AGTGTCATTTCGATGTTCTCTCTATAACCTGGTCAATGTTGAATTACCCATTTCACCTAAAAGATTGTGAAGCTTACTTTTTGATATTGTAGTTTAGAGCACATACAACTCGCGTAGACGTGGCAAAACTGGTCCCAGGTATAACCGCCCGCCTAGCTTAATATGTGAGTGAAAAGGACAGGCCAAGTAGTTCATAGGCGTCATGGGCAAAAGGTAGCCATCTACACATCCTTGAACAAATACACTCTTCAGACAACAATCGCTACCTATGCTCTCAAAGAAGCTGTTCTCCTTAATATCAATATTATTTAGTACAATACATATAAAAGATAAACTAATGAAGGTTCAATGCATTTCAATATAGTATCTAACGAACGAATATTCATAGTAACGGAATCGTACCTCGGAGGCTAGATGAGGGGCATCCAGCTTATCCGTGCCGAAAACGCGGTTGTGAAAAAAATATGTTGTTAGAATCTAGGGGACGACGGAGAGAAGAGAGAGGATAATGAGGTAAGTTCTCCAGGGGCGAAAGGGTCTATCTAAGCTATGAAGCCTATCTGGATCAAAAGACCTGATGGAGACAAATCTATCAGATATATATCTATCTTATATGCAGGTAGGCGAATCTGTTCGAACCGACATTGTTGAAGCTACACACATTTCCCAATTAGGTAATTGTGTTGAATCTTTGGCGTAGTATAAGTTGGAGCTACTCCTTCAGGCATTCCGGCCAACGCGCTAGTTAGGTGAAGCGGTCAATGTCGGCAGTACCGGTACCGGGATATCGGCTACTGGACCCATCTTAGCTTTCCCGCATCGCATCAGCCCCGCAGTTTGCTGCATCAAGACTTGTCCGTCACTGTCAAACCGTCGCCTCATTTGATTTGGTAGCAAATACCCCTACCCGAACGCTTGGAGAAATAGAAATGGATGGAGACCACTCAAAGAAGGTCGAGAACCGGATGGTGCGATATTGTCTCAGTCTTCTTGGCTTGTATTGTCACACTGACCGTTAGCCTCATATCAGTTATACCTGTCGCCAACGTCATCTGAAATGTCAGTCTCCAGAGCCTGCGGGTGCTGCGACTATCGCGCTGACCTACGTTCTCATTTCTCCTCTTAGGCGATGAAGAAAAACCCATTTGCTGGAGATGTCGGATTGGTGGCCGAAACTGCCTCCGGCCTAATAATTCCGAGGCCCAACCTGCGCGTCCAAGACGGACCGCAATTTACGGGAAAACATTTCAAAGAGCCTCACCTGATACTAACTGCCCGGCGCAGTTACCAATCCCGAATGACATGCGGGGAAATGATGATCCATCTCCCATGGTGGCTGCTCCTGCGCAGAGCGTCAGCAGCTTACCTGATTTGGGAGTAATAGGTATACCAACCACTCCATCAACAGTTATTCCAAGTGCCACCGTATCCACACCGCTCGCTGAAGGGACCGCTTCGCCCGGAGGGGCTGACCTGGCTACGTCGGCCCCCTTCGATGTTCAGACCCTACAGGGAATCCAACTTTATCTCGATCATAGCGACATCAAAGCTGCTTCGCCCACTACACATGGCTCCGTACCCGCTTTCACTGTATCCACAGAAGAGGAAACTTTGCTCCAGCACTATGTCCGCCGTTTGGCAAAATGGGTGCATAATATCCGTCTCTACATTGACTGATAATCGACTTACGTCTGCTTGAATCTAGGTGCGGTTCTCTGATGCCGATCGACACTTCACTATCACGGTGCCACATCTTGCACGTCGCTCTCCAATCCTTCTGAAGGCGGTCTCGGCTTTAGCAGCTCGGCATCTTTGCTGCTTAGGAAGCTGGGATTCCGCTATTGCGGAGGATTATCATAAACAGTGTATCGGGTTACTGATACCCGCACTCGGTGATCCTAACGCTGCGACTGATGATACCCTACTCGCAGCCTTAGTCATGCTAAGACTATACGAGCATCTAAATGGTGAGTCGGCCTGGAGACCTTCCTACTATTTTCATCTTACTTATTAGCTTTTTATCTGATATCATATTTCTGGCACAGTGTCCGACAGCGGCCAGGATTACGAGCACCATCTCAGAGGTGTATCGGCGATGGTCACCTCCACGATCCGTAATCCCTGGACCGCTTCAGGGTCCGGGCTAAAATGGGCGGCATTTTGGTGTTTTTTTCGACAATCAATCTACCCCGCCTGTGTCTACCGGCAACCGCTGAAATTCGACATCTCCGGCTCCAACATCGAAGTCAGACTGTCATCCCCGGCTGCTGGTGTGATGCCGACGGTAGAGGAGGAGTCAGAGTGGTGCCACTGGATAACATGGATTCTAGGCCAGGTTGCTGATTTCTGCTTTGGAACGAGGTCGCTTGAACTGACGCCGACTGAGGAGAAAGAGTCATGGAATGGATTGGTGCAGGCGGTAGATATGTGGGAGGCTAATAAACCGAAGAGCTTTCTGCCGGTAGCGTGTAATGATCGGGAACCGGAACAAGGAAGATGGTTTCCCGAGATATGGTTTGGAAGCGAATGGCACGGTGTGTTCTACTTAGGGTGAATCTCAAGAAGAGAACCTATTTTCGCTAACCACAATCGAACGGTAGCAATGGCTGCGGCGCAATCCTTGGCCGCGCGAATCCTGCTCGATGTTCACCATCCGCAGACACGGAAGATTACAATTGGAGAATTCGGCTTTCTTAGGGCAAGACAGCAACTTGAGGTTCGTACCCGCAAGTGGCATGTTCGTATCCTTGCTGATGGAGGTGCAGAGAAAGGTTCTTTTGCATGCCAGGTCGCTTTGCGGAATTTGTCTCACCGACCCAACCAACGTTTCGGCTATTTTCACCATGTGTCATGCTATTTTTACCTGTAAGTACAGTTGGGCCCTCAGATCTATTGAGACTGATATAGTGACTCTGGGATCGATCAAGTTTCCTCGTTTATCAATATTGATGAAGAAAGGCGACTGTTGGTTCGAGTTCTGAGAACCGTAGAGAGGGACGAAGGCTGGCCTACAACGTGAGTTCCCTTAGCTTCCTTTCGCCATGGCTTCAATCTACTGGAAGGAGCTGACCGTTTACTAGATGGATTGTGAATGCGCTGAAGGTGGACTGGGATGTTGACTGGGTGGACGAGTGATCCCAATTAGTGTGATATTTTCATTGAATATACCGCTCGCTGTTAATTTCAGCGCCTTTCTCCCAGAATAAGGCTGGCCCTTTTAAATCGTCCTGAAACGACACCTAAAACACCTGTTCAACCTTCTTAGTGACAATTTGGTCAACACAGTGCTCATCTCGCTCTTTCTCCTTGTGCGTTTTATATATATACGCCTGCTAGACTTAGTCCCAACCTAGGTCTTATCGGTCTATAAGATACGCGACCAATCCTCGATTGACTAAGACATAAGTTCGTAACCAACTATGTAAATTAAAGACGCTGATTTTTTATAAGTTCAAGTCATCTTTAGCCTCCCCCGAGTAATATACCGGCGGTAGCTATAGAACCTAAGGAAGCGGCGAGGCTTTATGATGGAGTAATTAAGACGAAGTGATATATTATATCCTCTCGCCGTACCTTCTAATCTTGTGTGGTAAAGTCGAGAGTTGCTTCAAATCAAGCTGATCTCTTATCTAGCGGGCTAGGCGGGGACCTAGTTGAAATTTAGCCGCTGAGATTGCCCGATGATACGATAGACTGTGTGATAGTCCTGGCCAAGAGATTGTGCAATATCTACAGGAGATTGGCTTCTTGCATATCTATCCTGTGAGCTTTCTAGATCACTCAGATTATGTACCTTGGCCAATCAGCTTCTAGATCATTAGGGCAGCGCCTGCTGACTCTACTACTACACGTGCGTATAGCTGAAGTAGAGAATAGGGGTGTTACCTCTCAAGACAAGGCTTCGGCTGCAACCTGCACCTACACTGCCCACTAAATACAAATTTTTCAACCCAATTTTCGTCCCGACCGTCCTAGCTCTTAGCTTATTGGCCATAGGCTGGTAGAAAGAATCCCAGTAATGCTCTAAAGTGGAGGTTAAATGTAATCTACTGTAAATATTACGATTTCAGTCTTACTATGGACCATCCACTAGCAGTGACCATTGGTTCGAATGCCGGAGGAAGGAAGGCATAGCGTCTTCCACGTTGCTAGCCATTTTGATCGATATAATATGAACACGGAGTGGAATGGACATGGTGAATGTAAAAGCGGTATGGGCCCTTGAGGTATATGGTATTTATATGGCGCTTGGGACGGGGGGGGGTTCTACATAGGGCGTAGGGTGTAGGGCGTACATCCTCTGTGAGATGCGCCTTTATCTGAAGCCCCATCAATGCTAACCAGATTGCAGAACATGATTCTAATTGGCATCTATAGATGATGCACACTCAACATTGACAATTATACGAACTCGACGCCGGAAGGACATCCGAATTTCAAGGCAGAAACACACCATAACATAACTGGTCAATTAATGGCGATGAGCAGGGCTCTTCTACTTCGACCCACGAGGCGTAAAGGAGACCCATGACACACGCCCACGCCCTGACGCCCTCTATGCCTCAAATATTGGAACTTATATCAATCCATTCTATACAGCTATAAGACCCTGGTGGATTGAGATCCACAATCCCTATGTTTAGCAAAGTAAAATAGCGCAGGAGGGGGTGTCATTACTGTTTATTAAAAAGTTTCCTGGCTGTCCTGAAAAACCTTCGAATAAATCGACCCAGTTTTGTGAAATCTCAATTTTATTTGAAATGTCTCTATAAGAAAACACTTCGTTATATTTTAATGCAAGAATAAAATATGTTGGAATGGGTGAGAATCGATGAAATGGTAATATCTAGTATCAAGGGATGCCGACCGGGCTGTGGACATCTTAATGCTTTGCCCCTTTTGAGCAAAATCAAGCGAAGAAGACGGTGTATTGTGTTGTGGCACCTGGATTTTCGACAAAACTTATTCACCATACAAAAGGTGGTCTCTTCTGACGACATTCACAACGACCACCTGAACGAAGGATGATGCCAATCTAAATCCTCAACCTGCCAGGCACTCAATTCATCAAGCCTCCTTCCACCATCACCCCGATCCCGTTTTCTGTTGTCACTTTTCGACCAAATCAACAATCCTACCGCTATTAACAGACATGTTGTTCCCGTAGCCAGATTTAGCCCATTCCCAATAGGATAGTTTGGGCCGTCAAAGGGTAGGAATGACCAAGTCGCAATAAGTCCACCAATATTCCCCATCATCACGACAGTCCCAATAGCTGACGCACGTGCAGTATCCGAGACAACATTAGCAGATGCGTGGGCGTTCGTGAGGACCCCGAGCGGGAACGAGCCAAACGCGATAAGGAACGTCGCGCCATAGCGTGCATTCGCATTCTCGGTAGCCAGGAATATGATATAACCGGTCATCATTAACAGCGGCGTGATGATGAAGAGTATCAGCCGGCGGTCAAGCCGTCCGGTCAGATAGGGAATTAGGATAGTAGATACCGCGCCGACAATGTACGGCGGGACTGTCTGGAGTTGCTGCTCGACAGTACTTTTCTCGGGATATATTGTTCGCACAATTGTGGGTGCAAAGAAGGCTAATCCCTGAACGGTGACGCAAGCAAGAAGCATAATCCACGAAATCGCTTGAACGACGGGATTGAAGATGCCGCGGGTAATTTTTTTCATGTTGAGCTTGTCCAGAACAGCGCGAGCACCAGCATATTCGTATTCAGAGCGCACCCGTGAAATTGCCAGCCTTTTTTCCTCTTGGGTGAGCCACCGAGCGGTCTCTGGTCTGTCTGTTAAGGTAGCGAAAGCGAGCAGTCCAAGTCCAATAGTGATGATCCCCTCAATGGCAAATATCATCCGCCAGGTTTTCAAGCCGCCGAATGAATCAAGCCTCAATATCGCTGACGCAAGGAGGCCACCGAACGCCCCTGCCAAAGGAGCCATAACAAGATCTAACGCGAGCCTTAAGGCCAGCTCCACCCGTCTATACCACCGAGAGAGATAGTATGCAATCCCGGGAAGCATTCCTGCCTCGAAGATACCGAGGAGGAATCGCACGCCACAAGCACTGCTGAAAGAGTGGACGAAAGCAGTGCCGACGGAACAAATCCCGAACGCAAGCGTCAAGGTTGGAAGAAACCAGCCAGGTCCAATCCATTTGCATGCGAGATTAGATGGAATTTCGAAGACGATGTAGGAAATATAGAAAACGGAGAGGAGCTTATTATAGTCGTAGCCCGTCATCTTGAGGTCTTTTTCAAGACCAGCAAGCCTTGCGTTGCCTACTGCTGTTAGCTTTGGCCCTGTAAATTGGTTATGAGACGACTGAAAATACCTATGTTGGCCCTATCAATGAAACAAAACAGGTAAATCAAAGAAACAGTAGGCACAATAGACCAATCGATTTTGCGACGTAATCGGGCTTCCGCTTTAGCATCGACAGTGATCACCACGCCGTGACTAGGTGTGTCTCGTTAGATATCATCAGAACAAGTACGTGGAATACATACTGGTTAGCTGTGTCAGAACAGGTATCCGTAGCAGCTTGACTACTTGTTGTCTGGACATGGTCCACAAGCTCCTTTTCTACCGCCATAGAGAGGTGAATAACAGAAGAGTAGATAACGAAAGATATTTAGTAGAGATCAATGGGAGAAAATTGCTTGATGAATCGGTTGAGGGTACCGCAAAAGCCGACACTTATAATATCATCAACAAAGTGTGTCAAATTTGCCTGGGGATCTTGACCGGGCGGCTCAATTTAATAGAATGGCGGGGACCGGGGAAAAGCTCCACTTCCCCAGCTCTAGACCCTAAGAAAAAATAACATGCGGGGAAGCAAGGCGTCAATCTTTCTACCAGATCAATAATCTAGTGTGGGATTCGAGCGTATATGCTGTCAGTGGTTCACAGGACAGCGGAGCATTGGATACTCCAAAGTCGCTTGGCATTGATGCTAATTCACTGGGCAGCTCTTGCGCGTAATTTTGTCCAATGAGCATGCCAGAATCCGAGGACGAGGCAACTTGTTGAGTTGATAGCTATCTGACTGCGGCAGGAAAAGGGTATCTGAACTGCCGACTGCGGCCGTGCTGGGCTACGGTGGGGGTGGGGTGAGGGGGGAACCAGCAGTATGTCTACGTCTCGAACTCCAAGCCCCAGATACTCGGATAGCGAGTTACATACCGGTAGAGTTTTTTAACGATGGGCGCAAAGGTAGCTCTTTCTCGTAGGGGAACATACTGTCTTCCTACATGAACACGATCGACTCCTTTTTAAACCCTAATCGACCGCAAGCACACGAGTACTTGCGACGAGATCCTTCGGGTGCTTGACTATCGACTGGGGTCCTCTTTCTCCTGGTTTTTGGGCGGATAATGGTAGACTCCTCACCACATTCTCCTCATAACCTCAACTGTCTCCCGAGGTCAGCAAGCCACAATCGAGACATAAGCAAGCCCAGATCCTCACTGAACATCGATGATGGGCGAATTGCAAGCCTTGTAACACAGCGCATTGAGTTTGCCGGACACCATTTGATCAGATGGCCGAATCGCTTTTTTGGATTAAACTTTTATCACCCAAATAATCCTCGTTGCTAGAATGCGAAATCAATAATCGTTGCGGAGAAGGCGAGCTAATTGCCGATGTATGGGGCGTTTGGTACAGACACGCTCTCCGACTTCTAAAGAATTCCCGTTTCTTGGCATCTTGGCAACATTGCAGCACGGCCTGGACGAATGTATCAACCAACTAGTCGGTCCCCGATGGAGAGAGATGTCAATAGCGGATACCTCACCAGGAGAACACATATGTGCTCAACTACAATTAAATGTGATAGCTTGATCAACGAATTATCTTTCTCTCGCAGCCATAAAAATTTTCACGGGATTGTCACTCCTAGCTCTTGTTTCTCTGTTCCTGTATGCTGCTGCCATTCAACTTCATGCGCGCTATGATTTGGCTACAGCGGAACTGATTCATGGCAAGACTTTAAAGACAACATACTCCATTAATCTACACAATAGATATTGACTCTCGAACTAATTATACAAGATATACAGCATGCCCTAATCCACCCGCAATCTCTTAGAGAGAATAGGTCACAGGTGATCCATTCAGCTTGAAGTATCCTGGTTGCAAAGTCTGGTAGACCCCAGTCGGGTCGTACAATTTAGCAATCTTCTGTAAACGGTTTTTGTTGGCTTCTCCGTAGCCGGCAACCGGATCCTGGAACATGCTGGCATAGTTCATGTAGATGTACTCGTTGTAGATGCCCAAGTCCTGAGCCTTTGCGATGACCTGGGTCCAGAAGCTATGAACCCACTCGTAAACTGTGTTGTCATCAGACTGATCATCCCACCAAAAGGAAACATGCATAAGATGAATGGGGCCCATGGAAGCATCCAATCCCAGGGCGTTTCCACCATAGTTGGTCATGTTCTTCAGCATTGGCAAGGTAATTCCCTGATAGATGAGCACTGGCTCTGCACCCTTGAGGTCAATCACTTGTGGGATCAATGACATGAATAGTTCCACAACCCAGTTACTGAACTCCTCGTTTAGTTGCACGGCGATTGGCCAGTACACTTCGCGGTATCCAAAAGGATTCTCGCTCTCAAGATACTTGACGTATTCGACGAGTGTCTTGGTGCTGGTCGAATCTGCAATTGCAGGGATGCTTCGGTATTGCTGGAAGATTTCCGGGTCGGCGACATCTTCAACGTAGGTTAACTCGGCCGTGGCGAGGTTTGTACCTTGGCTTTGAAGGAAGGCGACATATTGTTGCGCTTTACCATCCGAGGTGGCGTTGTTCACAACGTTGATGAAGGCGTCAATGACTTCAGTGAAATAGTTCTCAGTAAAAATTCTGGCACCTCCGCGCATCGTTGGGCATGCAATTGTGTAAAGGTTGTACTTGGTGACAAGACCAAAGTTGTTTCCGCCACCACGGAGGGCCCAGTACAAATCAGGCAGAACAGTCTCACTCGCAGTGACGATTATACCGGCTGCAGTGACAACCTGAAAATTGTGAGTATCTAGATCTCTGAAGCAAGCAGGAGAACATTGAATCATCACTTACCTCGAAGCTTTGAACATTATCAAGGGCCCAACCGTATAAGTTGGAGTGGTAGGAAATGCCGCCGCCCAGGACGAAGCCACCCACACCGATGCTGGAGGCGCGACCACCAATTGTAGCCAGTCCATACGGCTCAAGTGCCGAGTATACTGACAGCCAGTTGTTACCAGGCTCGATTGAAGCAACTGACTTGTCCGCGTTGAGCGTGACCGCATTCATGTCCTTGAACCAGATGCTGATTCCTCCGGCACTGCTGGAAGCCCCGGAAAAGGCCGCATGACCACCACTTCTGGCGGCAAACGGGCAACCAGTTAGTCGAGACAACAGGACAGCTATACTGACTTGCGTGTTCACCGAGGGTCGGAAGACACAATAAGGCTGGACTTCTTCTTGTTGCTCGGACCAGAAAGAATTGGTGAAATTGTTGTACAGGGTCGTATTTTGCGCGTTGACCTTTTGGGATCCATATAGAAACTTCAAACTTGCACACTGATGATTGTAGAGTTAGGTTCTGGTATGAAATAGTGCAATTGGGTTTGACTTGATGAAAGGCTCAGACTCACAGCCGCGGCACATGCGCCGTCGGTTGAACGTGTTTGAATGCCACTGAATGACTCCAAGGCGGGAATGCTCGACACATCGACGCCCAGCTGCTCCAACCCTTCAGTCACATTGAAATTCGAAGGTTCAATCACATCTGCAGTCACCAGAGCCACCCCGCCAGCGGCAGACAAGGCGCCGAACAAGGACCAAGCACGCATAATTGCACGAGTCTGTTGATCTCTGAAAGACAACGGCGTCAAGACTCAATCTTGTCCGTAGAGGGAAGAACGAACCACGGTAGACATAAGAAAGAATTGTTTGCTTCTTAAATGATCCACGTTGGGTGGCATGAGGGAGCTACTGTAGCTTCGGTCGGATGAGCTTCCGCTAACCGATCGCTAGCCGATCGTACATGTACATCGTTTGATTGGCGAATTGCTTCAGGGGTGCCAGCTAAGGCTCCGTTCTCGTTTATGCCTACGGCAAAATCAACTTGGATCTTTAAGCGAGGCGGTGGAACCCGACCGCAGAACTTGAAGCGAAGCCAGGATTTTGGATTGTTGTGGTTGCTAGGACTGAAGGAGCATCGCCAGCGTTCTGATCCCTGCAAATTCCATGCATCGGTGCGGAGCACCCCAATAGCAGAACTACCACATAAGTGGTGGAGACTCACCTTGACTACTCGCGCTTGGGTCCTCGGACTTTCCACTGCCAATTGTTTTTACACAGGATCCCTGACCAAGACTCTCTGCTCTGGTACTGTACTAGCCACGTACGTTTTGGCCCCATTACTTTCAACATCCGTTGAAATCATGTTACATCGCCTCAATTTCGGTGACCCTTGTCAGCCCCTTTTTCGTGGTACTTTTCAACTACAGAAGCGACCGTATCGCTTACATGCTTGGTAAATTTAGTGCCAGGGGACGGCGTCGTCTGTTAAGCATGACTGGTACGCCACGCCTTTAGCCCATGCATTCAGAACCTACGAACTTCCCTCCCGGTAAATGACCCTGGCACTGCGGGTTTCAGGATTTCTCAAGTCGTGCTGATATACCGACACATGGCAACGGAGGTTTTCTTTTTTTTTCCTTTCGAAGCGATGCCCAGCCCACGGGCTCGGCTGCAGGACTAAGATATAGAGACGAGGGCCCCATTGACGGGCGATGTGATGAGAATGCCTCTCGTTTTGCACTGCTTCCCGCCGACTTTGGGGAGCCTCGCCAGCCCTAAGTGATGGGAGCCAACCCGTCCATTAAGGGTACCTTTAGACCCGAAGCCATCAAGGGCACGGGTATTGCCCTAGTTGTTGTCACTACGCTCGTGGTGCTTGCGCGCTTTGCTGGTTCCATCCGTCGACTAAAGGACATCAAGCCGGAAGACTGTCTCCTCCTCGTTGCTTACCTTTTCTTTCTGGCACTCAGTATCCTCTATATCTACATTGCCCCTACTATCTTCCGACTTGCGTCCCTCGAAGCTGGATTAATTCCATATTATTCAACAGTTCCTGAGGACTCTGTACAATTGCAGATTGTTTTTTTCGTCACAACTTCCTTGTTATGGATCTGTCTGTGGATGGTTAAGTTCTCACTTTTGTCAATGTACAAGCGACTCTTGGTTGGAAAAACGTACATTGCAGTGTGGTGGATTATAACCATTTCCTGTGCTCTGGTTCGCATATTCCAATCCCCGCCTTGCTCGGCCCAATGCTAAATTTATCTGAATAGGTTCTCATTGGCTGTATTCTCTCATCTTGGTTTTCATGTTCGAGCTTCCATGCTTGGTTCACCGCGGGGGCCTGCAGTACACCGCGCGACAACCGTGCCGCCGTGATCAGTCTCTATTATGCATATGCAGTAGACATCATAACAGACCTTGCAAGTGAGTTTGTCACCCTTGCCCTATGCCAGGAGAATGACTTGGATTAACATCATGGTTCAGTAATGGCTCTGCCCATACGCCTGATCTGGCACTTGAGAATGCAGTTGAAACAGAAGATGAGCATTGGCGGCCTCTTTTGTTTCGGTTGGATCTGCATTATCGTTGCGACAATTCGCGTCATACAACTTGGGAGTGCTTCAAATGAATCTGCAAGTGGCAGACCAGCCCCATCGTGGCTTGCTATGTGGGGAATAATCGAGGCTTCAATCGGTACGTGTTCATGCATTGGCCTGCATTATCGGTCAACCTGATAAACTGACCATTATTGTAGCTGTTATGATAGGCTGCTGCCCCGGCCTCTACCGTGTCGTAAAGTCCGTCATATCCCCCTCCAAAGCCTCATACGAATACAACTCATACAATGCACGCGGGCGTGGTCTGAGTGGCCTACCATCTCACAGATCAGGTGGTCTGAATATCGCATTGTCAAATATATCGGGCAAAGACGGGGTATTTCAGTCGGCCAGTGCCTACCGGTCTTCGAGTCCTTCGAGTAGTCAGGAGCAACTGGCACATGCCAACGGTCGAGGTGTCATCCTTGTTAACCATGGAATTGAGGTGACAATTGGGGAGCGGACGCATGATTTTGACCGTAATGAATATCGCACATCAGATCATTCTTTATAATGAAGGTATTAGATTTCCATCGGATACAATGGTCCTTGTAGCTGCTTAGAGTCTAGCTTGTGAAGGTATGAAAGGCCATTTCGCTCCTAATTATAAAGATCTACCTTACCACTTGTTACCCAGTAACCCTAATCGCCCCAGCAAAAAGGCAACTGTAGGCCATAAACTGTGGTTTTCTCCCTGAATTGTACCTTATTGTTGAAATTTGGGACCGCGATGATCAGAGTTGACTTGCACTTTGCTACGATAGAATATTCTAAATGCTGATTACCCTCCCTTTGAACGTTATCGTGGATATTGTTGCGGCGCAATATCAAGACTGGGATGCTCTCAACGGCCTGATAATGGTCGTACAAGGTCTCGGTCTGATAGAAAGGCGACTTGCATCTCTCGAAATCTGGGCTATTGGCGGCTAAGTGAAAAGGAGTTGTAAAGTCAATTACATTTGAACACAAAGGTATCAGACTATCTGGTGCATAAAACAGAATTCGACAAGATACGTGACAACCCTCTAGGCCACAGTTGCCTGTGCCGTGCTACTACTCACACTTTCTAGATGCTCAACCTCCGACGTCTTTGTGACTTCCACGGGTTTCGTCTCCACGAATTCCTCTTCCTTGGGATAGAAATCAATATGTCCATCTTCTTGGATGACACGCTCTCTGTCAAGACACAGGCGAGCCCGAGTGTATGGGTCAAGCTTCCAGTGATTGACCCTCAATCGCTCTGCCAAGTATGCTCGCTGGCTCTCTGCAGCTTGAATCTTCGTCTTGTCATTTGACTTGGCTGCTTCAATCCACTCGGAAGTAGCTGCGAGGAACTCTTCTCCGATCTGTTGGCGCTCACGGGTAAGTGCATCTCTGGTGGTGGTATCTTCCATCTTGTGGTTCTCATTCTCCTCGGGCTCGATATATTCGTACTTCCACTTCTCATTACCACCAAGCTCCTCAACAAGCTGATCACGGTTGATGAATTTGGTAAGATCGTTGGTGTTGTTTGTGAAATTCACTTTGGCGGCAATATCAGGGTCCATCCAGCCTCGAATGATTCTCCAGATTCCTATTTAATTGAATCGCCACGGGTTAATATATGCGTTTCTATATAAACCAAGACGGACGAACCTGAGAATACCCATGGGGCGTTGTGGATAAGAAGAACACCCAGTGATTCTGGGTAGTTTGCTTCGAAGCACTTCAGAATAAATTTGACGGGTGGGTATTCCTGTGTAATTTCAACCGCAATTTAGCCTTTCATTCTTTCTGACACAATCTGACAGGAGGCGTCGATGGCTCTATCCTATACGTACCATGTTGGACAGTCCAAATCCTGTCATGTCAAATACGACGGCCTATAACCAGAAGTGATTGGATTAGCAAGGGTATCAATACACCATAAGAGAAGCGGGAACTCTTACAGCTGTCTCCACGGGAGGGGATAGAGTCAATCGAACAGACTCGATGACGTGCACAATGAATCTCTCCAGAGTCTCCTCGCTTTGAGCGCCGGGTTTGTGTAAGCGAACCTTGATCACCACAATTGGTCGACCGAGCTTGTCTTTTCCGTGCACATAGGCTTTGCCCATACGCATTTGAGCCAAGAAGTCTTTGCCCGCCTTCTTCTCGACAACATTGGAGTTATTTCGTTCTTGCTGCAACGCGTGCAGCTCACCCTTGGCCATGACGTCGTCGTCGACATGCATTTCCTTGGCCCGCCAGACAATCGCCTCCATCATCATGGCAAAGGCCTTTGGGACGTCCCACTTGCGGGCGCGGAGGAATCGCAGTAGCATCGCATCAGGATTGTCATGCTTCAGCACATTCAAGACTCCGTTGCGCAACTCAATTGGAGAAATCTCTGAGAGGGCCTTCTGGACCATCTTGGTCTCATTTGCGCCGATACCGATCCCCTTCAGATGGGCCATGACCTTCTGCTGGTAGGGTGACTTCGCCACACTGGCAGTGGTCTTCTCGGAGACATTGCTCTGGGTGCGACTGAGCAAAGAGTGTCGGCGTTGTGACTGAGTAGGGCTGGTGGGCTCTTCGACAAAGCCGTTAGACAGCTCGTCGCCTGACGGCGCCTCGGCCGCCTTGAGCAGGACCGACCACAGTTTTTGCAGCTTCGCTTCCTGGTCCTGGTTGATGTTCCCCAGGAAGCCTGGTTTCGGTCCATCCGCAGCCATTGTTGGGCTTGTGTCGTGATCGCGACTCGACTTAAGTAGATTCACAAGAAGAGGAATAAGGGTGATAGTGAAGACAATTCCAGTAAACCGACGAGTCTGGAAATTGAGGACGGTAGTGTTTCAGGGGGTTGCTTAACACGCAGATCGTCTAAAAAAACACATTCCGGATGAGGGCTGACTTGGCTGGATGATATAGTTCTCATCAATGTCCCCCCTTGCCCCTCGAGATCATCGTGAATCCACATGAAACCCCTCATTCTATGCCCCTCGTCATGGCCACAAGTCTGCCTCGGTTGCCCCGGGTCACCCCAAGTCCCCCAAAATGTTGGGGAACATAAGGTCCATGCGCCCCTCCTGATGGCTTCGCCATGGCGATCCAAACACGATGGTGGGCAATGATCAACCGTCGTGGCCACCGTGCCCACTCGTTCCCCGGATTTCACCAGTCAAGTGCCGTGATTCGCAGCTTTCGTCGTTCACGGTGGAAAACCTCGGGCCCTCGGTCGCAGGCCGACCAACGGAAAAACACATGCGGTGGGTCCCCCACAAAATTGAGAACGGGCTCGACGTTTCAGATCCCGGGACTCTGGGATTTGCGATTTGCGATTTGGGATTGGGGAACTCTTATTTGGTCAATCGAGAGATGATAACAGAGAACAGGCCAAAGGGCCGTCGATCCCTGCCGATTGGGGTATTATCTGTCCCTGTACCTCGATCAGCGCGTTGATCTCCATTCACTCGGTCCAGCCCGGAAAATTGTTCGTGGGCAAGATACTGTATGTACATCCACAGCTGCCTCTCACGACACCAGACACCCTCGAATCAGCTTCGATCAACCTCGACCGACCGCTCAAGATGGTTGTGATTTCGCTTCCACCGGTTGTATGGTCGTGGATCCATGTCCAATCGGGACCGTCAGTCACCTCGATGATATGTGCAAACGGTAGACATGGGAAGATCATACTCGCCGCGGGGAACAATGGCCGATCATTGTATTTCGAGCGCACCCACCGCGGTGGATCAATTGCATCACAGTTGCTTCGTTGTAGGAGCCGCAGTCGCCGTGACTCTCCCGGCGAAAATCGGTGCAAAGCCGAACATCCACGTGACTCTATGGGATCCACCAAACGAACGATGGCTGGAGTCATGAGACTACTATTTTTGGAACGAAAGCGGTCGAACCATTTCTGGAATTGAGGCTATAAGGGAGAAAGATTCTAAGCGTGTTCTTGATGACTTGGATGTGAGACCTCCATACCAAAATTGGGTCTCCTATTTCGAGCACCTTCAAGGCTGTGTTGCAACCCGCGACCGGGCACCAACCATAGTCCTTGTACTTGGGATCCTCATACCTTGTTAAACAACTCAAGCCCTCAATATATCTTCCCACCTGGGCATCGACCTGGAAGTCATTACTTACCTAAAGGTGCCCTACGTGGAGGACGACAAGCTTTCCAAAGCAGGGATTCTCGGTCCAATCACTAACAGGATACGTATTGATTTTACTTCATGCCATTTAGGGGCCCGGTATGTTCCATTTGTCTCCTCAACACCACTGCGGTTGCTACAACACGGAAAGCGATGAAGCGACTCAATAGTAAACAAATACGGTCAGAACTCGCTTAGACGGGAAAGTGTGTCCGCGAAATTCAACAGGATAAGTTTCATGTTCTCTCGTGAGGTAGCATACGTCAAACCTTGATCCTCCCGCCCCACACGCCAATAAAAACAAGCAATTGGGATTAGGCCACACCGGGACATGGAAGTGATTCGACCTTCAGTGCTTTTATGGCGGCAGGTCCCGCAACACCTGACGTCTCGTGTCTCAGTCAGACAGGTCAGACTTGTCAGGTCTGGTCGCCTGGTAATTTGACTTGTTACTTTTAAGAGTTGTTTCCCCCCCCCTCTTTTTCAATTCGACTCGCGAGATGTACTTCTAATTATCGTTCAACCAAACCAGCTGTAGTTTGTGACACCTCCTTCCATTCCAACTTCAGAATGGCGCTTAGTGCTTGTAATGCCGTGGTGAATCCATCATTCGAGTCCGGGTCCTTGTATCCGTGGGTCCCTTCGGCAGTGAATGTCGCAAGAGTCAGTAATGGCACAACCGCTTATAGCGGAGATTACTATCTGTGAGTCTCCCATTATCTTCTTGAAATATGAAAATTTCAGCTGATGACACACATAGTGATCTGCAAACTGCCGTGGGCAACAGGGGTAACACGATATCCCAGTCTCTAAAGCATCTCGAGCCACGCGCAAAGTATACCTTCAGCGCAAGCGTCCAAGTTCCCTCGCCATCTGGTTCCGAATACTGTGCTGTTTATGTATATATGGGCCACAATGCGACAACGGGCCGCATTGCATCCTCGCAGCTGTTCACGTTTGGCGAGTGGACGTCCGTGACCGGAACCTATTCGCCACGCAGGCCAGTGGAGACTCTGAACATCATTGCTAGCTGTGACTCTGAGGATTCTTCAGTGACGGGTCATGTATGGATTGACGAAGTCATCTTCACCGGGGACAACAATTGTGGAGCTCTGTTGAACTGAGAAATCTGCCACCAACTCTATCACTAGACATGACAGCAACAGTTAGACTGACATCGGTTATAAATACACTAGCATTCTATGTTTCTCACAATCAGTCAAGAAAGGATTTCAGTTTTGGAAGACTTGAATCATTCATCAATGCTGGATAAATTGTGACTTCTGCAAAGCCCATATGAATAGCTCATCTGACCCGAAGCTAAATTCCGATACAACCTCGAAACCACACTTACGGAGGACCATCACGCTCCCAATATTAAGCTTCTCACAAATAGCGTAAATCCTCTCCTCACTCCCATTCGATCCACCCGTATCTCTTCTTGGGAGATCCCACCACTTTGATAGCATCATTCGTAATGCTTCTGTAGCGTAGCCCTTTCCCCACGACTCGGGAAGGAGAGAGTATCCAATTTCGGGGCATGGGTCTAGAGTGTTCACGCTGATATAGCCAATGAGCTGCGCTTCCGGTTCTAAGATCGACTTATCCAGAATCGCAAAATTAAAAGAGCGCCCGATGATGTCTGCTGGGCCTTTGAGAAAGATCTTGCTGGACATCCATTCACGAGTCTCCTCGATGGACCTGAATGGCTCCTTGGGGTAGCTAAGCTCGTTATTACAATTTAGTCACTTGCGTCAAGCGTTGAGCATCTAAGAAAACTCACTTCGTCTTTGCTACTTCCGGTCGGCCTCGAATCGCTAACAGTGCGGCAGCATCAGAGTCACAGATTGGTCGTAGCAGAAGGCGCTCGCTCTCGATTGGTGCGTTGATTGACGGGATTGTCACATAAACTGGCTGATTGGGTAATTCCATCTTCGAAGTAAGTCTTGATGCGTTACAGACTTTAAACTTTGAATCGGGAGCACTGCAAGGTCGGGGGCGGCAATCTGGTGAAATATGCATCGGGGAAATTCAAACTGAAGGGACAATCTTGCGGATACCCCCGCCGCCCAATGTTGATTGGTCGGACTTCCCCACATTGGCATCCGCTAACCTAGTTTTGGAGCCCGCATTTTGCTATCCCACCAGCATTTATAAGCGTGCACAATAAGAAAGTGGCAGTTCTTGAACAAACATGAATGAGGAAAGACAGCAGTACAAAAGTATCTTGGACCCGAGTACTGTGTACTTGCAGTCTCGTTGCTTTTTTGACCTATGTTTTTCGGGAATTGATCACAATTGAATTATAGCTATCATCACTCACAATGAAAATTCTCGGATACAAAAAATTGCTTGTCTGCTTCAATCGATTGATCTATGTATGTTCAATATAAAGAGATGATCTTATCACCAGAGGTGGGTTTTGCATCATTCAAGTTGGTCCAACAAGGTCGCAGTCTGCTCTTCGCAGCATCTTATTAACGCTCTCGCCAACGTGCAATCAACGGCATGGGGTTGCCCAAAAACGTCAATTTCTCACTTGGTAGTGAAAGGACCCCCGTCCTGCAGACTTTTGATCCGGCCAAGTAAAAACTCAAGTTGCCTATAAGCAGCACCGGGGGTATACTGCGGAATCTCTGTGTGTCCAGGTCAGTTGCAAGATCTTATAGTTATTGATAAGCTTTAAATGGATCCGATATCATCATTCTTACCGTGTCCAGATCCATATACAGTGCTGAACGTTAATCCGCGTTCGGTATGAGCTGTCCCCAGAATGCCGGCCCCCGCATCGGCAGTAAAAGGCGTCTGTCCGTTGCCATTTGCGATCGCGTTCAAGGCATCTGTGTATGGAACCAGCAGTGGCTCAACCGGAGGCTTTTGGAAGCCCTGATGTCCATTCCATGTCATGTTCTGGATGGTTGCCAGGGTCCCGTTCAAAAACAGTAGATAATCGTACCAACCATGACCAATGAGGACATTATTAGTGCGCTCAATCACACTGGGAAGCGGACCGAGTGCACTAGGGGCTGATCCATCACCGTTGGGGAAAATGTTTCCACCACAGACAGCGTAGTTGGTAGGGGGAATGTGCAAGGCTTTCTGGACCGCGGACTGGTTGAAGTAGTTATTTGGGCCGCCGGCTAGGGACGGGAAACCCATTTCATCCCACAAGAACGGGCAGAAGTCTGTTAGGTGATAGATGTTGAAGCACGGGTTAATGTAGGTAGCTGCTTTGATAATCTGATCCCAAACGTCACATCCATGTTGACTGGGATCCGGTGCGGTTGGGAAGTCTTTAGGCGGGGGAAAGGTCAACGCTTTATCAAGGAACTGATTGTAGCCACACTCATCTGCGCGCTTGTTGATTTCCGTCATGAAAGTATCGTTAAGCGAAAAGACGGTGGAGAAATGGTTAAGCGCAGGGACGGCAGGAGCTAGAATGCAAGTCAACTTAGCTCGAGGAAGATGATTGGTTGTCGCAGGACGAACCGTAAATCATGACATTATCCTCGTTGATGGACGGATCATTGATTTGTATGCCCTTCAGGTTAAAATGAGTTGTATCATTCTGATCCAGCATGCCGGAAGCAAGATATGGGATATATTGCCCCGCATAACTTTCACCAGTAATGTATATCTTATATCCTTGCATACTAAAAGTTTGAATAAATCTCTTCCAGAAATCGTTGAATTGGTTTGACACATCGATCTCGTTCTGAACGGTAGCCGGTCCAGGGGATAGTCCAGTACCGGCAGGTTGGTCGATGTAAACGATGTTGGTCAAATTGGACCATGAGTAGGGGTTTCTGACGGGCGCATATGTCCCTGACTGCCAGAGAAACGGTCCATTCTCTTGCAGTAAGCCATCCAGAGAGCTACAGCCAGGACCTCCATTAAGCCAGATCGTTATCTAGGATCCAACGTGAGTTTGCTAATCGTAACATATCGATGACCACTGACCTCTTTTTTCGCATCTGGATTGGTAGAAGGGAAGAACCAGAAGAACAGGCTGGACTCCCCGTGAGGAGCATTCGACAAGAGGCCTGCATAACTTTCGCCGATATCAAATGGGACCTGGGGGAAGTGCGCCCCATCGACAAGGTACTCTGAGGTTGACTTAGAATTTTTGCAATTCGTCTAATCAAGGGCGTTCCATGTTTGGTGTTCACCACTCACTCTGTGTATTGTTGTTCAAATACTGATGCCCCAACTTGACCGCACTGCTTCTTTTGTGAAGAGAGCTGGTAGGGAGTTTGACAGAGGGGGCCTTTCGATGAGGGTTCTGCAAGGCGGCGGCCGTCGCCACTAATAGAGTAAATGGGGCCAGGATAAGCATTTTCAAGATCTCAATCGAGGCTTGGCATGGGCTTGAGCTGAAAGCTACGGCCGTGTGAATGCGTGGGATTCATTTGTATTTCTAGCCATTCCTATGATTTAAGAGCAACCGTGAACGCTAGGCTCGTTCCCTCGAAGTCTGAGCAGAGAATCCTGGCAAATCTGCTTCGGACCCTGGCGGTACTATCCGCTGCCATCGGACCATTGGGTATTTCAAGCGGGGCGTCTCAGGGGAATTGCCTGACTGCAACCTCGCCAACAAAAACTAGGAAGGTGACATACAGGAAATGGCGTAATAGTTTTTAAATTCAAGAGATCTCCGATGTGGAGGTTGATTTCCCGACGGAGTCCATTTCAGGCAGCAGCGCAGTCACGGACTCCATACGACTCCGATTCGATCACTATGTACAGGTTTATTATCGCGCAATCATTCTGGGAGAAGTATTTGTAATGGGATTGAATAACTAGGATCTTCGGAAACGTTTGATATCAGCCGTTAGCGCTCCTGGTGTCGTTAGAGAAGAGATAGATGCCTGAAGCGTGGCTAATGTACAGATGAGTGAGGGAATTAATTCCGTGTGTGGGCACTTTCGAGACTCTTAGATTCTCCAAACTGGAATTTCAGAGTATATACAACCATCCTTCGGAACATAAGGACTTCCGCCTCCTTACACCGACCTCTCTACTATATTCGAATTGTGTTAAATGATCACCGGATACAGTATCTATGGGGAAGACAAAGACGCCGAGCGAATGAATTCTTGTTATCAAACTATTTGCAATAGAATTTCCTTAGCCCTCCAACGTGTACGCCTCAGGCATTTTTGAACGCCTATCGAATCGAGGTACCACTTCCTTGCCTTCCATCTAATTGTTTCAAAATAAGTAGCCCAGCTTTGCTCACAGCGGGAACAAAATCCTGCTAGCCTCTTTTGGAGTTTCTGTTACCTCCTTGTTCTTTTCTTCTGCATGGCATCTGAGGGCTGCCACGGTCATTTCCGACCATCAAAGCTTGATCAAGCGGCAATGGGGGTTGGCTATGTAATCAACAAGCAATTAGAAAAGACAAAGCTTTTCGAGGCTCCTAAGACTGTTGAAGCGTTACAACTACATCGACCTTTGCGGAAATGCTCCGCGTATATCAGAGTAGCCAATCAACAATCAAAATCAGCACGGACAATTCCCGTGCTTCGCCTCCGAAAGGCATTCGCCCTCGGATCGCATCCCGGGCTCAGCCGGCAACTGCGCTTGGCTCAGAAATCTTGCCAGAATCCAACTCAAAAGTCACTGCAACATTGAAAAATGAAGAGTCAAGCAAACGAGTTAAACGAAAGAGTAAAACGGCGAAAAATCTCGGTCGCTTGTGATGAGTGTCGAGGTAGAAAGGTAAGATGTGACGGGGTACAGCCCGGTAGGTGCCAATTCACAAACCCGTCCGGGATTCAACCCGCATTAACGCTACCAATGCGACCGCAGTTTGTGGACCTTGCAGCAGGAGACCGGAACGGGGAAGTCAGTGTGTCTATACCGGTGAACTGGAGAAGAAACGAGCAACACAAACGTACAGGATTGCAGCTCTGGAACACTTGCTATGATTGGCTGGACTGACCCGAGCGGTTCGGTAGATATATCTCCAGCCTAGAAGATCGCATCAAGCAGCTGGAGAGCCCTCAACATTCTGAAAGGGCATTTGGGTCAAGTCAGACACTCGTGCGTCAATCTGAACCTCACTGGATCCCACACTCGGCTCATGTCCCAGTAGCACACAGGCTTATCATCTCTTTCGCCAACGACTACCCACTCTGGGACACCTAATGAATCTTCATGGTCAACACAATACCAAGATCGATTCGGTCATCGCTCTCGAGGCAATGCAACTAAAGCAACCCCGGGACAAAATAATGACGGCGAAAGCATGAGAGATGGAGTCAACGCGATGATGGGTGCGGTGGAAGAAGGGCGTGCCAGTCAAGGCTTTTTCGGGACGTCCAGTGCCGCTGGCTTCATGCGTCAAATCAAGACTGCAGTCGACCGAAGAGTATCCTCCCCAGACAGACGATCTTCGGCCCCCGAAATTGCTCTTCATTCTAGCCTCTTGACGGGGCAACGCAGCGAACGAACTCTCTCGGCAGCACCAGATTACGTTCTTCCCCCTCGAAGAATTGCCGATAGATTGATGGAGGTATACTGGGACTATGTCTTCCCCCTTTATCCATTCGTGGATAGTGCCCACATGAAAATGGAATACACCAGAGTATGGCAGGGGGACCCATTGCATTATGACGAGAACATGGTGATGTGCACATTCAACGTGATCTTTGCATTGGCTAGTAAATTGGCCGATTTTATCGCTCCAGAGGAACGCGAGACATCCGCTGACGCATATTTCTCGCGCGCAAAGGGGCTCCTGCAATTCAATCTTTGGGATACAGGGTCTGCTGGGCTGATCCAGTGTCTTCTGCTCATGGCACAATACCTACAGAGTACAGATTATTCCCATCAATGCTGGATTTGCACAGGACTTTCGATTCGCAACGCCCAAAGCTTGGGAATTCATCTGCCTCAGACGATTGCCAACCTTCGTACTCCCAGTGAGCGACAATTGGCTCGGAAATTGTGGCATGGCTGTGTACTGATGGACCGGTATGTTATCCGTATCTTCCCCAATAAACTTGATCTCATTGTGTCCATTACATAGCGTTATATCCATGACTTTTGGGCGACCGGCTATGATATCAAAATATTCTAGCGGCGCCGTTCCGCTACCTATTTCAGTGGATGATGAATTTATCTCTGCTGCCACTCTTGCCGAGCCGAGCCAGCCTGTAGAACGGCCATCCATGATGGTCTTCTACGCAAAAACTCTGGAATTGTACGAGATTATGAATGACGTCCTTCTCAGTTTGTATAAACCTGTTGCCGACGAAATCACGGATGATATCCACGATTTCTATTTTAACAACACCGCGGGGGAAGGAGAGAGAACAATATTTGAATTGGATCGCTCCCTTACGCGCTGGACCAGAAGTCTTCCAGTGCATCTGCGTGAAGACTCGTCGGTAAACGCGCAAGATAATCCTATATTCTTTCGTCAGGGGATAGTCTTACATGCAAGGCAAGGGAGCTTAATTCTATCTTTCACTGCGACAGTTACTGACCAGGGACGATGGGCAGGTTTTTGCACGTCCGGATGCTGCTCTTCCGGCCAACACTGTGAGGACACCGCATCTCAAAATGGATTGTTACCAATCCGAGCTTCTTGCTGACCGTTCTTGATAGTGCAAAGTACTGTGCTGCACGAGATCATCTTACACCGCACTCCATGATCTCAATCAATGATTCTTTCCCTCGAAGAGTTGCCCTCCAGTGCTCTATAATCTGCGTCAAGGTAGCCCAGGAATCAATTGAGCTCATTTATACACACGTTCCCCCCGACGGCACCGGTGGTCCTCTCCCTGCGTGGTGGTATAACATACTATGTAAGAAATTACCTTTGGACCTTTTACGATTTTACAGCACGGCAGAATGGGTAATCTAATATGATCTCATAGACATCTACACCGCGGCGACTGTTTTGATCGCCGGGCGACTTTCTCCCACCATCCTCGCCGAAATTTCAGAACCTTCCATTACTCGCTCATGGAACTGCGCACTTGAAATACTTCGCAAATATCAAAGTCACAGCACGTCTGCTAGGCGCTGTGTGGCAGCGCTTGAGATTCTCTATGAGCAAGTTGTCTCGGAAGGGCAGCCACCGGCTGACACGGCTCCTGGCCATGATCTTGGCTCCAACGTTGGTCATAACATGAATGAATTGCCTTTCGGAGAAGGAATTCATGCAGCTATGATGGATGGATTTGAGTTTCCAGATTTCCAAGACATGTCATGGTTGAACAGTGTTCCTAGTAATCTTTTCTAGTGATGTTATGATTAGTGTCCTCCGAGCCGCTGAGTTTCCGACATATGAAAAACCTGAGCAGTAACACAGACTTCTTATGGCACGTCAACCTATGCGAAAGTATTATCACAATGGGGAAATAATCAAAAAAAAAACGCTCTTCTGTTAGGGTAAACAAAGTTGTAACTTCAGCCTGACCCCACGGTCACTCGGTTTATTAGAATTTCAAAGCAGGTCTCTAGTGCTTGGCAGATTGAGTTGTCACAAATTGAACAGCAATGATCGGAATCATCGCACATCCGCCAACAATAGCCACCATGACTCCGGCTGCGCCACCAAATCCTAATGCTGTAAACATATGTGGGAGATAGAAAGGTCCGATCTAATCACAGCTCGTTAGCAAGGAATCGAACGTGTGTCGGACCGAATTTCCGTGCCAGTTGGAACTTACAAATCCATAAATCTGTCGACAGACATTGACGAACACGCCAACTTCAGCAGAGCGCTCCTTCTTACTCTCCACGGCGAATGTGGTCAAAATTGTGGTCTGCATTTGGTTGCCAAAGCTAGCAATGGCAGCACCCACACACGGCGTGACATTCCAAGTTATAGCGTGTTGAAGTTGGAATCCCCAGGTCAGCAGACCAGCAATGATGGTGCCAAAGGCGATATAAGACAACCAGAGGCGATCGGCAGGACACGAATAGCCTCGTGACTGGCGGACACGCTTCAAGAACCAGTCACAAATTGGCCCACTGACCTGTTCACCGAGGACACATCCGACAATGATTGCGATGAACTGCAGACCGATCTGTTGCGCATCGAAGTGGAACTTTTCTCCAAAGGCAATGGGCATCTCCACGATCATGGCAATATTGCCATAGCAGAACGTAATTGCATGAGCACAGGCCGCAATCAAGACACGTGGAGTCATGGCCAGGGAAAATGGAGCCACAAAATCTCGCGGGCTCAATGAGTGTGAGATTATCTTGCGGGGCATGAGCTTTCCGAAGAACCCCGACGTCTTACGTTCGTTTTCGGGATTGTAGATTGTTTCGTCGCCGAGAGCGACGTACACAACGAACTGGCAGAAGTTGATGATGGCGAAAATCCAGAAGATCCATTGGACACCAAGGTGTTTAGTAACGAAACCCATGAGGAAAGGTCCCAATGGTGTTCCAATGGTAGTCATCAAAGTCCACCATCCCAGCTTCTGCGCGCGTTTCTCAGGTTCACACAGATCAGTGACGACACCACTACCGTTTCCGATAGGAGGAGAAATCAAGAACGCAGTCAGAACCCGAGTGGCCATTTGGCCTCCATAGGTCGTACATCTGGCGCCGCCAATATTGCAGACCATACTGCCCAAGACTGAAAACATGCTGATATGATAGCGGCCGTAGATGGCAGTGACCGGATTCCAAAGAAGGGGGGCAAGACCTAGAAGTAGAATCTATTTGAACATCCGTAACAGTTAGCCCGTTTGCTCATCACCTGTCGGTTCCTGCAATGCGACACATACCTGGAATGAAGTGAGATAGCTTGCATCGGGTACTGTAACCCCGTATTGCTCGGCGAATATGTCATAGGCTGGGATGATTCCCGCCGCCATGAATGTTGACACGCATGAATGGAAGGCAACCATGAGAATCTGAGCATTTTTCTTCCACTGAGGCCAATTCCGAGGATCCTGAAGCGAACGAATGGGGGGGCCGCTATCCTCTAACATATTGATCGGGGGGCTTGGGGGCACATCCTCGAGATGAACCGAAGTCTCCGAGTTGGTGGCCTTGATAGTCTGACCCAAAGTGGCTCCTGTCATGGCTTTCGATCCAGGAAAAATAGGGGGCGTATGGGGATATAAACCAAGATTCCAATGTTCCGGCAAATTTCCGACCTCTGAAAATGTCAAACTCGGTATGTGAAGCAATAGGAAGACAGGTACCAAGAGAGCCAAGCTGAATAAAGATCTTTGCTCCGGTGAAAAGACAGACGGAGCAAGAGGGTCTCGTCTGGGGTTTTTATGTCGTGGAGCGTCCTTTTGTGGACCCTTTTGCAACCCGTACCCCATGGGGCATTTCCTTGATAATTTCACCGGAGTGGACTGGGTGTTGATGGGATGTGGTACTGACCCCGTGGAGCTTGTTGTTGCTGCAGTTGTCATTGGATGCTCCCCGCGGACGCCTCTATCCCTCGGCGCCGTTCATCGCAAGTTCCATGAGTTCGATGCTCATCTTACCATCATCATCATGAGCCAAGGCTTTTGATTGGCTGCGTCCCGAGGTGTAGATGCCACTCGGCAAGGAGAAAGGGAGTTTCGGAGCTGACCCCGGACGATCTACGGGATGCTGCGGGATGGATTCCGAGAACATCATCGCATCAACGTAGATAATTGAAGCCCCCACCGGGCACGGGGCGACCACGGTCAACCCGACTATGCATCGTAGGAGTGATATCCTGGTCACCATGTCACATATAGTTCCCGGATGACCAAGCCTGCGGAGTCCAGTCCGCTGAGCCACTCTAGATTCAGCCTCTGAAGAGCTGCGAAACACTCCACTCCAGGATAGCGAGCGCGGTTCGTTGGGAGTCCTGCAAATCGTCAATATCAATATATTTTGAGCATATAGCCAAGAAATGGATAAAAAACACACTCCCGCTGGGCTGTCTCTTGTGAATGAGTACGGAGTAACCCCCGTCGCTCTCGGAGGTGGTTGTGGGGGTGTTGGTGCCTGATAATACCTGAAGGTGCCTGAAGAGGCCAGCCGGTGCCTGGGGCATCTATATGAACGCCCGTGTTTCCCCCGTCTCCCTTGGCAGAGTCTACCGTTGCACAAGAGAGTATATATCGTTGTCCACTCGTTTGTTGTTTCATCTTGTTCCCATTGATATTCAACCGCAAAAGCCCTACCAAATCAATTGATCCAGTCATCCGGTCCTCTTTCCAGTTCTCGCAAACTCGCACTGGAGATTCGTGTGACGTCGGCACACGAGCCTCTTCACATATTCTCGAAATTGAGACTTCAGAATGCAGAATCCCAATTTTCTTCGCAAGTCGGGTCAACAATGGCCGAGAACGTCATCGGTACACCGTAGTTCTCCACGGTGCCGGTCGTCCCAAGACCTCGTCCAACTGCTCGTTGGCTGATGAACATCTCCATTACCCCTTAAACGAGCCCGACCCCCGCATGCCAAGACTTGTCCACCCCCATGTTGTTTATTCACTGAGATCCATTGGCAACGAATGATTGGTGGATTTACATACGTGAATTTTTGACCCGACGCTTCGATCAAGCGCCTTAGCTTTCTGGAACCTGGCCGTTCGGCGTATCAGGACCCGGTGTTATACTAGACATAAAGCACACCGCACTTCTTCGAGATGTCGGGCTTTCGTTCACTCTGTCTACGTGGGCAAACAAGAAGGAATTGCTTCGGGACAGTGAATATTGGTCGGGCAACATGGCGACAGTTTTGGTTGCTCTCCTCACTGGAGTGAGCCTTGCATCGGCCGCACTTCAGGTTTCGCAAAATGACACGACCATCACCGTCGCCAATGATCGTCTCGCGGCCGTTCTGAGCAGAAGCGCAGGCCAGATCGTCGATCTTTCCCTCGACGGCCAGGATCTACTGGGTCCCCAATCAGGCTCGACGGGTATAGGTCCGTACTTGGATTGTTACTGCATCCCTTCCGGTTTCTACACCGCGGGTGCCACCACTCCTTCCACGGAGGTTGTGCAAGGAGTCGATTCTACGGGAACCAAGTACGCTGGCATGATTCTGACCGACACCTACACTCCGACGGGTCAGCAATTCCAGCAATACTGGTTCTTGCGTGATGGAGAGACTGGCCTCCACATGTTTAGCCGGCTGTCCTATTTCAACGAGACGACACCATATCTTCGAAATTTGCAAGAACTTCGAACTCTGTTCCGTCCAAACACGGCCTTGTGGACCCATTTGACTTCCAGTGAAGTGCAAACTGCCCCTCTTCCGAGTAAGGATGCCGTCAGCCATGAAGTCGTCGTTCAGGATGCAACCTGGACCTTCAACAACACCCCAACCGATGCCTATTACACGCAGTTCTCGGATTATTTCACAAAATACACCTTTTCAAATCGTAAGCACGCTACCTACCATTTTATCCTCGATGAGACTGGACTGTTCACTAATATTTCGCTAGCTTGGAGAAATAACAGCGTTCACGGGTTGTATGCCGACGGGTCCAATTCATCTGGCACGACGTATGGAGCATGGCTTGTCATGAACACCAAAGTGAGTTATTCTCCAAGATTGTGAGGACCATTGAGATTTGCTGACAGCGTCTGGAATAGGATACGTATTATGGAGTAGGTCCACCATTCTTCTCGGTCGGTTTAGAATCTAACAGGTCATAGGGCCCAATCCACTCGGACTTGACTGTGGACGGTATCGTTTACAATTATCTGGTTTCCAATCATCATGGAGAGGGAACACCCAATATCACAAACGGGTTCGACCGTACCTTTGGACCGCAGTTCTACTTGTTCAATGGCGGGAAGGGTTCCAAATCACTGAATGAGTTGAGAGCAGAAGCTCTGGATTTGGCCAAGCCGGACTGGAATGCTGCGTTCTATGACTCCATCGCTAAGCATGTCGTGGGCTATGTTCCCTCGAGTCAGCGTGGCAGTGTTCGCGGAACGGTCAAACTCCCAAAGGGTGCTGTCCGGCCTATCGCAATTCTGAGTGCCAATGGTGTTTATCACCAAGACAACAGCGCTGTCCCTGACGCATATCAATATTGGGTTGACATCGAATCTGACGGGAGCTTTACCCTGGACCGTGTCAAGGAAGGCAAGTATCGTCTTACTATATACGCAGAAGGAATTTTCGGTGATTTCGTCCGCGATGGGATCGTTGTTCGTGGAGGGAAAGCAACTACAGTCCGCGATACTTGGGTGGAGGAATCGGCGGGAACGGAGGTCTGGCGACTGGGAATTCCGGACAAGTCTTCGGGGGAATTCCGTCACGGCCGTGCCAAGGACACCACCCATCCTCTCCAGCCCCCGGAGTACCTAATCTATTGGGGTGCCTATGATTGGACCAATGACTTCCCCGACGGCATCAACTACACCATCGGGAAGAGTGATCCCGCTAAAGACTTGAACACGGTCCACTGGTCCGTCTTCGGTCCTACGCCGTCCAACTCACATGTAGAGTATAACACCACCCACGACTGGAATATCCACTTCACATTAAACGCAAAGCAACTACGTCAACGGAAGACCGCTACTTTGACAGTGCAGCTGGCCGGTGCAAAGACTGCAGCTGGAAATACAGACGTCTGGAACTCGGCGGTAAGTCCGAATGCACAATGTTACTCGAACGCCCAATTTTATTTCTTCCCGTCCTGTCGCGCGCTCAAACTGATGGATCGCTTGCTAGGAAACGTACAATAATCTGTCTCTTGAGAGCTATATCAACGACCATTCCGACCCTCTAACATTGGTAATTGGCTTCAATCAATCCAGCAGCTGCATCGTTCGGTCTGCGGTGAGCTGCTATCAAGTTAGCTCTCGCATGTCATTCCCTGCCAATTGGCTCCAGGAGGGAGACAATGTGCTGCGTCTGCATCTCCCTTACAACGCGACCGACACCGAGACTGCAATTTTGCCAGCAACTGTATATGTGCAATATGATGCACTGCGACTGGAAGTGAAATAATGTGTAATACATCCCTTCTCTAGGTGTGGTCCCAGACTAAATCGCGACGACGGCTACATAGCTTTGATTATCAATGAATATTTCCAAATTTCATCAGTCATGCGCGTGTAAAAGATTTCCCTTGAAAGGGTATCTACAAAACAATGGCCATAAAGCATGGCGTATCCTCAATTACTCCTCCTCGGCCAATGGAGAGGTCGACTTGCAGACATCGGTCTTAGGCTTCAAGGCTCCCAAGGCCCTTGAGCTCGGGTGCCAGTCAAAAGCTGTGGCTCCTCATTGCCCTGAACAAGCAGTATGTCCTCGTGTCGCACACCAAACTTATCAACCAAGTAGATACCGGGCTCCGATGTGAATGTCATGCCTGTTTTGAGAAGAGTGCCACGATTGCCTTTGTTAAGGTACGGACTTTCATGGGCTGTCCAGCGAGTCAAATTGTGTTCAAATGAGAAGCTGAATGGTAGAAATGAAAGTGAAATTCACAAACCTTTAATTCCAATTCCGTGACCGACTCGATGCGTGAATGTTACGCCATATCCAGCTTCAGTAATGACCTGGCGAGCAGCAACATCGACACTGGCAGCTGTCAAATTTTCTCTCATCTGGTGGATTGATTGCGTCTGGGCCTCGAACACAACATCCCAAACCTAGTGAGCGCCCGCCTTAGTATTTGACACTTTTCGTGAAAGATGTCGACGCACCTTAAGCTTCTCATTCAAGTTTGGTGACAAAGGTGCATCCTTCGACGGCTGCTCGAGGAAAGGAGGGAAGAATGTACGACAGATATCCGAGGAATACCCGTAAAGATGAGCCCTGCCGTATAGATCAGATATTGAAAATGGCGTCCAGGAGACTGTGCAGACCAACCCGACGTCGATTAGTACGAAGGTCTCTGCCTCGAGAAGTTTTTCCCCGTCTGTTCCACCATGCGGGTTTGATGCATTTTCATCTTTGACAAGTCAGTAAAGTCATCATTTTCTTTGTGGGCAAGGCGAGGCAAACCAAAGAGCACAATGTCGAAGAATGGTTCCATGCCAGCGGCGCGCAGCGTATTATCAAGCACAGTGGCAATTTCATTCTCGGTCAACCCGGGATAGAGACCTGATAGTCTTGTAAGGAACGGATGCTCAGCATCTTTTTGGAACTTTTTTCTTCTTACATCTCCTCATCTGCCTCACGGCTTCGACGGTCCCCGTGTTGACTGCACGCAGAATCTCGACCTCGCTGGTAGATTTAATCTGGCGAACCTCTTCAACACGACCGCGTAAGCCAGTTACATCGAAGCCTGCTGAACCCAGGCCCCTTTGGATAAAGTCTCGCATTTCCTCGTCAACCATCAATCGTGGTACACGACTAACACCAAGAAATACTTCAGACTGCTGAAGTGTATTGTACGGATCCCAATGCTCCTCCCATGGGACAATTTGAAGATCTTCCGTGAACGGCATGCCTAACAGACGAGCTCGCTCAGCTTCAAATGATGGGCAGAGAAAAGTCGTATTTGCCTTTACTTGGCCTGTAGTCTGGTCCAAGGTTGGACGAACAATCATCAGGAACGGGCGCTCTTCCGGCTAGGTTTGATTAGCAACTTTGAAAGGTACATTGATGTTCAATGTCTGGCAATGACTGACCTCCCAGACTTCCCATTCTGGCTGGCTCACATTCCCATAATACTTAAAGGTGTATCCGGGCTCCACCACGAAACCATCGACGTCCTCGGCCACCAGCGCTTGCGCTAGCCGATCTCGCCGCTCCTGAAATTCGGAGGTTGTGATTGGAGATGCTTTCTGTAAGAAGGGCAAGCCGGTTTGCAAAAGGTTCTCAATGGCACATTGTTGAAAATCTTCTAGCCGGTGTTCTTTGCTGATTGCTTCGGGGAAGGAAGTTTCAGTACGAACATCAGTCGAATGCGCCCGCGGGTGCCAAAGGTACTGGTACCCCGTGACTAGTAAGCCTAGAGTAGTGACAAACTGTGCCAATTTCCGCAGATTGAATTGACTACCCTTTGAGCATTCTAAGTCAAGCGAAAGAGCCTCTACGTCTCTTTGGGTGCTCGGCAATTGCTTCGACATGATGTTCCGTCGACGCGAATCAAGAGTTCTGGTCGGTGGTGGAAAGAGGAGGATATATTCAACGATCCCGGTTTTTGAACCCAGCGCCTTGGCAGGTTTATCTCAACACCTGGTAGCTGACTTGGGAAATCAGTGCCTATGCAGTGCTATCTCGTTCTAACCTTCCCCGCCCGTCCCGTCCGACGGGTGGACTGCCTGAGTGGCTTGTGAGTGAGTCCGTGGGGCCGGCTAGCTTCAGATTCTAGCCTATCTAGCGCCTCGCCCGTCTCAGTCTCCACGCCAGATGCATATTTCTGGTATTTCCTAACCCCGCATGTCAATTGATTGGTTCGATAATCATGGGCAATCCTTACCAAATTCATACCACATATCCGAGAAGTACAGTCCACGCGGACTGTGCCGACAGTATGGCCTAGTATAAAGTGCGAATCGGCGCCTTTGTGATGCCTGTAATGGAAACAGCATAGGAAAACCTTACAACAAGATGATTGGGCCCCCGGTAGTGGAATTGCGTGAGCCGCATACACAAAAGCTCGCGACGGCAGAGGTAGCTGAGCCCAACCCAACCCTATCAGAGGGACTAGACTCCCGAAACGCGACAATCCCAGATGCAGAGACTCTCAATGCAGTCAACCCAGATTATTCAGTTGAAGAATCCGGTCGAGAATACTCTCGAGTGTCTATGGTGATGATGGTTGTCTTCAGTGGTCTGGCAATTGGCTCAGACGGCTTCAATGCGTCTATCATCGGTAACATAGAACTATTGATGGAAGTCATCTACCCACAAGCGCTCACGACCGCGGTCGCCGCTCGCCTATCAAATGCCTTTATGGTTGGCATGATCATCGGTATGCTGTCATTTGGATATATCTCAGACAAGCTAGGTCGCAAAACCGGTGCTGTGCTTACAACTACCGTCTTGGTCCTTGGCATTGCACTCAGTGCAGGTGCCAGCGGTCTCACTGATAACGGAATGTTTTGGATGTTGATTATTGCCAGAGGCATTGCAGGAGTTGGCGCAGGGGGGTAAGCTTACTTTCGCAACAAGCTTAACCTCATTTTATTTCCCGCCTGACATTTGATTAGGGAGTACCCAGTCGCCGGTGCAGGTGCAGCAGAAGCAACCGACGAAGCTCCGAGTGTGCGTAAGCGTAGGGGCTTCATTTTCGCCATGATTGGGGATCTCTCAGCATCCCTGGGGTTTGCTTTTGGTGCATTGGTGCCATTGATTCTACTTCTTTGCTTTCACCAGCAAGTGAAACACTACGAGGCCGTGTGGCGTGTCTCTCTCGCAATGGGTGCTATCGCTCCGCTTTCAATATTCTGGTTCCGGTATCGAATGGTCGTGAGCTCTGCGTATCGAAAAAGCTCGATGAAAAAGCAACCGATTCCCTACAGATTAGCAATCAAGAAATACTGGAGGTCATTGCTGGGGGTTTGTGGTTCATGGTTCATGTGAGTGTTCCCTTGTTCAAAGCATAGATCCGAGGCTGATCAACGTTGTCACTTTAGCTACAACTACATCTCCTATCCGTTTGGACTTTTTTCTTCAACTATCGTGGGCAGAGTCAACCCCTCATCGTCCCTTGCCCTTACTATGGCATGGGGAACATTGATCAATTGCTTCTATATCCCGGGAGCATTTATTGGAGGTCTGTTGTCCGACCGAATTGGTCGTAGGCGCACCATGGCACTAGGATTCTTTCTTCAAGCCATTCTTGGCTTCATCCTGGGTGGCGCGCTGAGGCCAATCCAAGCAAAACTGCCTCTCTTCATTGTCTTGTATGGGGTATTCCTTACACTTGGCGAAGTTGGCCCAGGTGCTACCATTGTTCTTACTGCCAGTGAGAGCTTTCCCACTGCTCTCCGTGGACACGGAGTTGGTATGGCAGCAGCTTGGAGCAAGGCCGGTGCTGCTATTGGAACACAAGTATTCAAGCCCATTCTAGCAAGCTGGGGGAATGATGAGCTTCATGGTACACAGGCTGTGTTTCTAATCGGATCAGGATTTGCCTTGCTAGGGGCTTGTCTGTCGTGGTTCGTTCTTCAAGATAGTAACAAAATCCTGGATCATGGCGACCAGGACTGGAAGGACTATCTCATAGCTCATGGGTATACGAACATTGAGTGGGGTATTCAGGATCAGCCGGTCGTAGCAGATACAAAAGTTGTCGAATAAGGACTCCTCGATATCTGCTATGCTTTCGGATAAATTTCCTGGTTATTTTGCGATGTTGAATGCGCGAGTTAGTGAAGTTTTGAATCCCCGACATGACAATCAAAAAGCTTGGAAGTTTCAGTGGTGTTGCTTACTCCCTCGAGAAAATGTTGACGATCATTCTTATCAATCGGTGCCAAATCGATACAACTCAGTGGGGATGCGTGCTGCACCAAGATGTCTCTAAAGCAGCGCATTGAAAGGCGGTTAGAACTTGGAACGCGCCAGTTGACATTGTGGTAGTTATGCACGTAGAGGCGATGTCAGTTCATTCACTCACGCCATGGTAATTCTCACTCGAGATCGATGAGAAATTATTTCTCAGGTTAATTGCTCTGTACATTTTGTCTCAACGCTACCTTCTCCTAGATTACAAGTCTCAGACGTTGAAATGGTGGATCAAATTCTGGCTCGCCCGTAGGGAAAAACCCGGACCGTCAACATAAAATCAGCAGCTCCTGATATTAGATTAAATAGATGGCAAATTCCAGAGGGCATAGACGACCCTTGCGAGGTGCATTCATCTTGAGCGCAAGATGTCCTCGATAAAGTGGATCCCTTGTGGACTGGTTGTTGGACGTCTTCAATATCAACATCGATGCTGATTCAGATGTTCACCATCGTCATAGAACGGGCCCTAGACCCAGAAAGGACATAAACTAGACCTTGGTAGGTGAAAATTTCCATGAAATGCCAAGACAAAAACCAGGGTGGAATACAGTCAAACAAATGGTCGCGACCAGAATCATCGCTCCTTCAAGAATCATGAAGGCAATCTCATCGTCCGCGAGCTTGCTTTGGAACCCACCCCGAAGCTCTGCAACGCGGAACACTGAGCGAATAAATATCACAATAGTCGCAACTAGCAGGCCTGGCATGAAATTGATGTTAGTAATGCTAATTATTATGGGTCTCTGGAGGGACTCACTGATCAAGAACCATTTCCAGCGCTTACTTTGCATGGCAGCCGAGGTTGGAAAATAGCCTTTTCGGCTGACACGACATGTATAGTCCAGTGCACATCCAAGGAAAGCCAGAAGCGAAATAACTTGAAGAGCCAGGCCAGCAATCATCACGTTAATACCGGTATCACGCATAGACTGTGCTTCCTCGCTTGCTCCACCTGTAGTCGCCGTGATTGCTCCTCCGGCGGCCTGCAGAACCAGACACAAAATGTCACTTGTGATAAAACCCACTGCAAATGCTCTCGGTTTAATTCTCGACAGTGAGGGATCGTAGATAATGATAATGCGGTAGAAGCAAAGGTAAATCACTGCACTGATAAAGGCTGGTGCAATTGTCAGACAGACAAGGTATCTGTTGTTTGAATCAGTATAGATTTACCATCTGGTTTGAGCATTGGTTAAGCACTATGCAACGATTGAGCGTACTGTACAAAGTTGTTAAATGAGAATGGATCAGCATGTAGCTGAATTCGGCCGGCGTAACCAATTATTTCGAGTATAAGGCCTCCGCCCATGCCCACAAGATAGCTCCAGGTTTTATAGCGACTGCTCAAAACGAGCTGAGCAATCAACAGGACTGCGAAAACTGCCAGGAAAAATGCATTCGCACCCACATTTGGCTGATAGGGAATTATCGCCTCGGATATCGGACAAGTTTGTAATGTGCATGGAATATAAGCTTGTGTGTCGTTGGACATGATTGTGGAGGATTGAAAACGATGTTTCTTGTGAGGTCGGTGGCATTAAAAAGTAATCTTGTGATTATCTCAATGCTCTGGATTTTCTAGGATTATATAGTCCTTACAATAATGCACATGCCTTGGCAGATATCGTATAGCCGTAGTCGCGAGTTCAGGCAACCGAATTGAGCATCCATGTTCCAGGTGAATGAAGTAAATACTATCACTATCGCTATGTTCGATCATTAAACAAATTTCCGAGTACTATGAATAGTACTTTTACGGGATTCCCGCGCTTGATTCTTTCCCAATTCGGCCTAGTATTGAACACGCACGCGGGGATCAGTCATTCGAGGCCAGTGAACACATGCAATGATTAATTTCAACCCAATGCGACAGCGGCTCCCCAGTCAAAAATACCAAGCTCGAGACCACTTTCCAGACTCTTTCGATGAACCCCTATTCTTATGTGAGATGCAGTTTTTCGTCCAACGGGGGGTTTGTGGTGATCCTGCCGGGGTATTAATCCCTCCTTGGCCACACTCGATTGGTTAGTCACTGGGTCATCATTTCAGGCTATATTTTTTTAGCCATTTTCCCTTCTCTTAAAATTTTCCTCCAGACTCAGGCCTCGCTTACTCTGCTATCAAAGATCGGATCGTCACCGCCCGCGCTTGATTACTTCCAAAAAGAGTCTAGCGTACGCTAGCGTGGAACCCAAATAATGGAAAGTCGGCTGCCTAGGATCGGACGAATGCGTCAACGCGATTGGTTATGGATAATGGAAGTGAGGCACATTCGAAGTCAATGAGGAGACGACACTAAAAATTTCCAATGTTCCATCAATATCCTAAGGCGAGTTTCAAAGGCGATGAACATCTGACCTTGAACGCAAGCGTCTAAATGTCAGGGAAACGCCAACTAGGTCCTCTTGACCAGCGCAGAAAGGTCATACGCTGCGAAGCTTGCGCTGCGCGAAAAACAAGGGTACGGCTTCCACAATTCCTGCGATACATGTATCAATGCTGATATAGGAGAGCAGTGTGCAGGTGGATATCCCTGCGAAGCGTGCGTTCGCATGGGCAAGACTTGCCGAAAACAGAGCAATGAATTTTCAAAGGCAATCTTTGTCTTGTACACAGGGAACGAGGGAACATCAATCCCAGCACAGGTGATGGAGAATAAGGAGACCACGTATGTGGATTACTTTTTTGCCTTTTTAGGTCGCAATCACCTTGGCTATCGTACAGAAGTGATACTCGAGGTGCTCCTGGCAGCAGTGAACAATTCCACGCTATTACACTCTGTAGTCAGCGCTATAGGTGCTCTGGATGCTTCACGTCATGGCGCCTGCAGTACTTACACAAAGGCCGCAAATCCTCGGACTATAGCGTACAAGTCATACTCCTGTTCGATAGAATCATTGAAATCAGCATTGATGGCTTCAGGGGTTTCTCAACGAGACGACGTGCTTTGGGCAACCTTTTTTCTTGGGATATTTGAGGTGTGTCATTTTTATCTGTTGCAAATGCGACTCTAAAAACTGACTTTTTCTATTCCAAAGCTTATGGTCGATCCATCTGGAGACGGATGGGCGAAACATATGTTATATGGTACATCTCGGCTGTTGCAGGCGGCAGGGCCAAATCAAGCGTATTCCCATTCACGAAAGGCATTTCTCGAAATCTTCAAGATATTTGAGGCAAACCGTGCAGTCCTTTATGGTGAAAGCACCATGCTATCTTGCTTTGAGTGGGCCCCGACTTATCACATGGACTGCCATACTACCTTACCTGATTGGGATAGTCTTGGACCAATCTCATCAATATTGGTCCGAATATCCACCTTCAATAACCGGTATACAATCAGAGAATTCCAAGCATTCCACAGCTCCACTGACCATTCTTCTTCAGATTCTATGATCACCTCCCACGCGTTACCAGGTTTGATATATCTGATCCAATTTTAAATCAACTCGGCCTTGAGGCCGAGGAGATCCAGAACGATATATTCGACTTGTATGGCAAAATCACACACGCGAGTCTCAAGAATTCACCAAATATTCATTTCCGCCAAACCTTGCCATACTACCACGCCATGTTGATTTTTCTTTTTAACACTTTTGATTATTATCGCTGCTGGCATCTAGCTCATTCCCCATACCTTTCACCGAATGAAATAAGCCGCCATGTGGACCAGATCCTCCGTCAAGCTGGAATCATACTCGATTCAGGTGGATCTGGTCTACTATTGATTTTTCCACTTCGGGTCGCTGGGACACGTGCTGGGACCGATGTTCAGAGATCTACTGTTCTGACTCTGTTGGATTGTATCTTCAAACGTGGATTTATTGTCGCAAGCAGGATCAAAGATGATCTTGATCAACTTTGGGATTGGCAAGGGGGATCAGACTTTCTGCCGGTAGGATTAGAATAGAAAAATTAGAGCATTGTGCCAAGCAGCGTTTCCAAATTGAGTCATAATCGCGCGCGGTAGCGCCCCACAATGGTTTAGGCATCTATGTCTAAACTATAGTATGTACAGCATTACCACATCAGAACCTCGTCAAAGGTAACTCGACGGGTATATAAAGGGATATGATGATCGGTTTTACCTCATGCAAGAATCAGAAAATCATTCACACCGTTGTCTCCTATCAATCTGGTCTACCAGTCCGGCGTCTCTCGATCTACTATGAATCTCCGATGGACTCTTTATTTCTCTTTTGTGGCTCTGGTCATCTCGGTCAAGCCCACAGGCTCATCATGCAATGAGTTTCCCACCTCAATGCTCGAATTCTCTAGCAGCTTTCAGCAGCCGGAGCCCCCCCTGGTGAAAACTGAATTCAAAACGAGTTTCATCCAGCACAAATGGTATACGATTTGATCTTACCATTTGCATGGACCTTCACTAACAAATTCAAGGAATAATAACTTGTCCCATATCACTTCGGGCTATATTTACTTTTCCCCGTCGCAGAATCTCGTTCGTGCCGATGAGGCCTACGAAGGGGGCTTGGCTACGTCAGTCTTTGACTACTCGAAGGTTAACAAAGAAGGTTTGGTCCTGAACAACCTCACCTCATATGAGGTCAATAGTACTGAAGCTACCGTATGGATGGGCTATGTCATGTCTAATTACCCTCTTTTCACTCAAGACTTTTTGATTCGAGGAAACGCTGTCTTCGGTGGACTGGTGAAGCGGAATTTGCTTGCGGAACATGTTGCATCTGTCAGTTTGAAACAACCATATCCTTTTTCATGCATGAGACGCTAACAAGCCTCAGTGGAATATCATGTACTCATCGATCCCGGTGACTGTTTTTGTGGACTCTTGCGGTGTGATTGTTGGATATGACTACTTTTCTCCTGGCCTTCGCACGAGAGTCGTCACTGATTTTTTCAACACTGCCGTTGGCCCACTTAAGTTGTGAAGTTGGTGCGGCCCGCCGATGTAGTCGTCTCACGAATGTTCAGGCTTGTATTCATTATATTCAGTCAATTGGTCCAAAAAGCCGGTATGCACAGAGCTAAATCGAAGAGTACAAGTTTCCCAATTTTCCGAGGAATTCGAGAATGCTCGATGTGATTGTATTCGGGCGTTCAACGGTAAATCACCATCAAGTATCTCCGACAATCAATGTATTTATCAGACATCTGCATTTCAATCTTGGTCGATCGTTTCGAAAGTTCTGGAGGTATAACGACCTGATCTCGACCGCAGGAGATAATTACATAATACTGCCGCCGCGGGAAACTTGAAAGCGGTGAAGTTGGTGATGTCACTCGTGCAGCCCCCGCGTCAGGTCTCGTCTCAACGAGATGGCTGATCAATCTCTAGCAAAATAAACCTCAGCATTTGAAAAAATGGGGGGTGGAAGCCAGTTTCCCTCGGATGGAGGCTCTCATGAAAGGCCCACAACTTCTTCGGTACCAGGTCAGAATGACTATCTACACGCAGTGGTTGATATGGGCAGGTACGCCGATCTTAACAGCGCGAACCCAGTCCGTTAGCCCAATCGTTGACCCCTCCATCTCTCTTCTTCCACCCACAGTAATGGTATCCGATGCTCAATTTCCGATCTCACCTCTCCCACTACTCGTATCATCCCTACAGTCCACTTCCATCGCGTCAATGTCTCCCTCTACGAGGCACAAACCGATCCCACGACCGGCGCTCGCATTCCTATTTCTCAACATGTGATCGATCGAGTGGTCAGCGCTATTGTCCGGTTTCAAATCATCTGCGTAGAGCTTGGGGTACCGGCTTCCAACATTCGCATTATTGCGACCGAAGCGACCCGGACGGCGATCAATTCCGCTGCGTTCACCGACGCGATCTACAAGAAAACGGGGATCGAGGTGGAGCTTCTACGGAAGGAGGATGAGGGGATCATCGGTGCATGGGGTATCGCGAGCAGCTTTTCCGACGTCGAAGGGTTGGCTCTGGATCTTGGGGGTGGGAGTATGCAGATGACTTGGATCATTTCGCATGCGGGCAACGTGCGGATCAGCCCCCAAGGCGCGGTGAGCTTTCCATATGGAGCCGCCGCATTAACCCAAAAGCTAGCAGACTTGAAGCGAGGGAAAAGCGAAGACGATGCTGAGAGGGCAAGAGAAGAATTTCGCCGCGAGATGGCGAACAACTTCCGCGCTGCCTTTGATCGTCTCGAGATTCCAAAGAGTCTGACAAAGAAAGCACGCGAGCAGGGTGGATTTCCCCTGTACCTGTCTGGTGGAGGGTTCCGCGGTTGGGGCTATCTCTTACTCTACTTGCATCAAACCCGAGGCCAGAATTATCCTATTTCCATCATCAACGGGTACACTGCCCCCAAGGCGGATTTCGAGAACACCGATGCCCTCAAGGAAGTCGCTCGTACGGCAGACGAGATCTTCCGTGTTTCTGATCGGCGCCGCAAGCAGGTTCCTTCCGTCGCGTTCCTGGTCAACGTACTTGCCGAATCATTGCCGCATGGGATCAAGGAGGCACACTTCTGTCAAGGGGGCGTGCGCGAGGGTGTCTTGTTCCGAGAAATGCTACCGGTGGTCCGTCAACAAGATCCCCTGGAGGTTGCGACTGCTCGATACGCGCCTTCGTCGGCTCAGGCAATCGCTGCATTAATGCTGGCTGCTCTGCCCCGACCGAATGGTTCGCATTCAGTGCCATCCGCAGTCAGCGTGCATTTGGTCCAGGCATTTGCCAATGCTCTCTATGTGCATGCGTCGATGGCCAAGGAGCTCTCCTCCAGTGCAGCTCTGTACAGTACAAGCACTGGCATCCTTGCCTCAACCCATGGGATCCCTCATTCGCACCGGGCTCTCCTCGCGCTGATGCTCCAGGAGCGCTACGGTGGAGAACTCCCACCACGCGATGTGGACCTTAAATCCCATCTCCAGGGGCTTCTCACTCCTGAGGAAGTCTGGTGGACTCGGTACCTCGGCAAATTCGGTCTGATTCTTGGCCAACTATATCTTACCGGTTCGATTGATACCTCCAAGCCGCGGATTGTTCCGTCTGCGAAATGGGTGACGGGACTAGGGAAGAAAGGCAAAAAGGATGGGATTGAGTTGAAACTCGCCATTCAAAAAGTTGCATACGATCCGACCCATTTGAAGGAGGAATTGGAGCACGATTTGCGGAAGCTCGAGAAAGTAGGAAAACGCAAGAACTGGATTGGGGGGAGAGATGGATGGGGAATGAAAATTCTAGTCTCTGTGGAAGAAGAGGACCTTCTAGTCGTTTAGCCCTTTAGTTTGTGACTTCGCACTGCACAGGTCGCCTCTTTGTGGATAATGTCTCGTCCTACAGTACATCAGGCTGTATTTTCGCACTGCGTGCTACTTATGATCATCGAGTTATGGAGCATCATAGTGGGCAAGGATTGTTTAGTGTATCATACCCTTATTGGCTCCTGGTTGTATCCCTGTCATGATGTGTCATGATAATGATTGCAGAATTGGTGTTGGCATGAAATAGGCAAAACATACGATCTCATTCAAGGTTTTCACATCTTCAGCCCCTTTCAACATCCTCCTCGGAAGAAATCGCGCGTCGAGATCCACCCAAGTGGGCATCATCCGTCCCTTTGCGTCGGAGCACTACGATTGCTGCCCTCTTGGAGGGCCCTGATGCCTTTGGCAAACTGGCTATGCACGCTCTTTTGGTGCACTGAGTACAGAGTCTCATGGCCACTTTCGAGAGTCGCGATGATACGTTCTTGACTTGTGAGAATGTTTACCTAGGTGGCCGCGTTCACTGCGAAGCTTTCTTTCTCAAAAAAGCCGGTCGACAGACCCATAAAAACGTCTAACTGACCAGGCAGACGTGAAAAGGCTACCAATGGGTTGCTAGTAGGTGGACCCTTTTCTTGAAGCTTTCGTGCTCCACTTCGCCCTGTAGGGCTGAACCCGATTGCGACTCGAAGGAGAACCAGGGTTGATCAAGTCGGCACCGAGAAGGGCGACCGGAAAGTTTCCGTGTCGAAGGATCTTATCTGATGCGACAAATTTATCTGATCCATTCCTCGGGTCTTCTCCAACATCTATTCCCTCAACTCTAAGCGCTGCTACACTCGCTATGGCAGCAGCCAAGGAGGTCGATGTTCTTGAGAAACATGTTCAGGATGCCCATCAGTCTGACACGGGTAAGAAAATTTCCCTGAATGCCAGATTTCCGCAACTTCTTGTCAGATCTTCCATAAGTTCAGGGTCTAACATGCATCGCCGTCGGGTTCAGACTCAGAAGTCGACGTCCTGCGGGCAGCCGGCATAGGCATCGCTGAGGATGACCCAACCGAGCCAATTCTCACTCTACGGATGTGGGTGCTTGGAATTGGCTTCTGCATTGTCGCAAGTGGATTGAATACTCTATATACCCTTCGAATACCTTCTCTCACCATCTCTTCCTCGGTGGTTCTTCTGTTGGCCCACCCGCTAGGGAGGCTTTGGGAGAAGCTTGTGCCCAGCTGGAATGTTCCGCTAGGAAACTGCTCTTTCAACCTTAACCCCAGCCCCTTTAATACGAAGGTGAGTCATTGTATGAGTAGTACGAAGTCTGCGTTTCGCATTAGCTAAACCAGCCTATCGACAGGAACACGTTCTCATCTATATCATGTCAAATCTCAGCATCTATGTTCGCCTAGGGGCCGATGTCTTGACCGAGCAGCAGATGTTCTACGGTTACAACGCCGGATGGGGATTCCAAGTCTTGATTACCCTTGCCACGTTCCTGTTTGGTTTCTGTCTCGCGGGCCTATTTCGTGCTATTGTGGTAGTTCCCAAAGAGCTCATCTGGCCCGGTGTCCTTAGCGTCACTGCTCTTACAACTACCCTACACAATATCGGCCAGGGTAAAGTTCAAGCGAGGTAAGCTTTATCCCACTCTACATCCCAATCGCCGGCATGTCTGTTAAACAATTATCGTAGCTACAATACTTGGAAGATCTCTCGCTACGCATTCTTCACCATCACCTGCTGCATCTCTTTCTGTTGGTACTGGTTTCCAGATTTCATCTTTCCAGCTCTCAGCTACTTTAGTTTCCCTTGCTGGATCAATCCGACCAGTCCTGTGGTCAATCAGCTATTTGGGATGGAATCTGGAATGGGACTAATCCCGATCACTTTTGATTGTACGTGTTCTTCCCCTTCGGTAAAACTGTAAACTTACAACCCGACAGGGAGCCAAATTTCTTACGTTGGATCACCGCTATTGATTCCGTCATGGGCAATTCTTAATGTATTCGGGGCTCTGGTCTTCTGGATTTGGATCGTGGCTGTCGCTTGTTATTACACCAACATGTGGAGCACGGGGTACCTTCCCTTCCAAAGCTCTAAAGGTACAGAGACCATTGCTGCATACACCACGTTACAAACAAGCACCTAACATTAGATCATAGTGTACGACAACACTGGAAGTGTATACAAAGCATCCAAGATTGTCAACAAGGCTTCCGGGTATACATTGGACGTCCAGAAATACCTTGCATATTCCCCCGTTTGTCGATCCTCTAACTCTACTGCCACGCACGTCTCCCAGAACTTACCAGACATCTAGGTCTACACGCCGATTACATATGCCTTGAATATGTTCGGCCTATCTTTTGCTACTCTGAGTGCCTTGCTGGTTTGGGTTTTTCTGGAACATCGTCAATCTATGGCTGATGCTGCTAGGAGGGTTCCTAAACTGGTGATGGAATCTCTCCCTGGTCGCTCCAGATCTCAAGCTCAGGACGAGACTGGGGCATCTGATGTCCCGGTTTGGTGGTATCTCGTTGGCTGCGTGCTTGCCTTATTCATGGCCATCTTTGCTGTGGAGTATTGGGATGCCGAGCTTCGCTGGTACGGAGTTCTGCTAGCTTGTGCCGTCGCTCTCGTCTTCTACCCTCCAGTAAGTCATATCCAGCAACGTGCATTTCTAGCCCTTTTTTACTAATTATGTTTCCTCTTTCTCTTTCAGTTGGCAATTGTATACGCCACGTCCAATCTCAAGATCAACATTGATATTTTCTGCAGAATTCTTGCAGGATTTGTCTTTGAGGGTAAAGTCCTGGCCAATATCTGGTTCTTTGATCTTGGATATATTACCACTATCAAGGGGCTGTACTTTGCTCAGGACATGAAGCTTGCGTATTACTGCAATGTGAGTAATTCCCACCCCCTGCATAATTCGCTTCAGATGGCCGGAATTGACACTTTGTTCCATTCCAAGATACCGCAACGCAAACTCTTCCTTGTGCAATGTGTGGGTATGATAGTGGGGACTTTGTCCTCTCTTGGCGTTCTCAATTGGGCTCTCAATCATATCAGTGGGGTCTGTACAAGTGCAGCCGTCAATGGGTTTAGTTGCCCGTATTCCAGTACCCACTTCAACACATCACTCATCTGGGGCGCGATCGGTCCACGTCGCTATTTCTCGAACCAGATCGGCTACCACTCCCTTCTGTACTTTTTCGTTATCGGTGCTGTCCTTCCGATCCCCGTCTACTTCCTGAGTCGCCGGTATCCCAACTCGCTTTGGAAGCGAGTCCATATACCGTTGTTCCTTGGTGGCTTGAACTACCTACCACCTGCGACCGGAATGAACTACGGCAGTTGGGCCATTGTGGGTCTGACCTTTGGTTGGCTTATTCGAAAGCGGGTTCATGGCTGGTGGAGCAAATACAACTTTGTGCTCAGCTCTGCCTTGGACTCCTCCGTAGGAATCGCTGGCGTCGTCATTTTCTTGGCCATCTATTTCACTGGCGCGAGCCACCATTTCAGCTGGTGGGGGACAGAGGTTCACAAGGTACGTGTGTCATATATTCTTTCATGCTCAAGGCTAATTTTGTCTAGAACACCTGTGATTGGAAGGGATGTCCGTATCTCTCAGTGCCGAAGGGAGGGAAGTTTGGTGTGTAGATGGCGTTTCAAAACGTCTGCGGCTCTTTAAGTGAAGTGTGGCGGCAACACCGATCATGCCGAGGGTAGGATGATCAATCAAAACAGTGTGATTCATGTTATCAAGTCAGTAGTGAGTCAGTGGGTTCTGCAGATACTTCCGTTTTAGTTGGGAGAGATCGTTGACAGTACTTTACTCGAGGTAATGAGATATTTTTTGGCCGTCTCCGCACCTCCATTAAAAAGCACCTCAAAGGAGGCTAAGGTAGGTAACAGTATAAATGTAAGGACGGCGATACTGGCCAACCGCAAGCTGTACCTTGAAGCTCGGATTAATTCTCGGATCATCGGCCTGCTTCGGTCCGCCGCGTATTTCTCCGATCTCCTCACGTGGCGATTATATCAATCAGATAAGATCGATTGCCGCGCCACAGCCACGAGGAGATTCTGTTGTTATCGACAAGTTCGGGCACAATTTATTTAGTGAACGAGAGGATACCTCATGTGACCTGATTTTGGATTCTATCAGGATCTCTGATCATTTCTATCTGCCGGATAGCCTCTCTGAGTGGCCATTCTTGATTTGAGAGGATTTCCCTTTTTCTGTGCTCACCAGTGGGTCCACATCCATGGATTAGTGCGATTATCGGCGCCCCCCTCTCATTCTCATCCGCATCTCCGTCCGCGCCGCATTTTCTCGCAGATCGGCTGCCAGAGACCGACCGCAACCATGCGATCTCTCATATGGTTAGGCATCTTTATCGGTGCTCGTGGCGTTCAGGGAGAGACCCTCGCCAAAGATGAGCTCTGTGTGACTGCAATCTTTTCAGCATACAATTACATATCCTTCCAGGGAGACCCCGCAAAGGGAATGTGGGATGCACGTTGTCGGAATCCACTCAAAGTTACCTCTATCTATGCATCGTCAGAGAGATACTGCCGTGATGGGGAGCGTCTTACCGGGCTGGCACAGTTAGCGAAACTCTGCCAGGAGGTCGGCCACCGCGAGCTACTGTCGAGAGATTCTGTTGCCGAGAATTTGACTAGGGAGGCTGTTCGCGATATGAGAGTTGTGGATTACTTGGAGCTTTCACGAGCGGATTATCAACAATCACCTGTTCTTCTCTCAGCATCATATTATAATCGCATGTTCGATACAATCGTACGTATCACCAAATATCGAGGCATGACATGGCACATTCACCTGGACGGGCTGACACCCTGTTAAACAGGACTCCTGGCAGTTCGAAACATGGTCTCATCATGCATTCGGGTATGGAGCCTGACTTCTACAAATTTAAATTTTTGACGTGTGACTGATATATATATTTTCAATCAGCTATATTGGGTACGCCTATTGGGCAGGAATATTGTCACTGGGGATTCTGTATCGCCTCTGGAATCGGATGTTCCTCGCGCGGCAGCATCGAATGGAATACAATCCAGAGCCCAGCATATACCCTCCGACTGGCTCCTGTCGTCAAATATCCTTCGTGGACAATGTCGTTAACTGGGTCTCAACACACCTGATTATCCCGGCTCCACTCGCTGGTCGAGGACGGCATTTACTCAGTTGTACATTCACCTCACGAGCAGAGGCCCTTGTCGTAGGAGGCTTTTGGCTACTGAGCATTATACTAAGTGTGGTTGGTTATCGAACCTTTCCTGGAAATATCTAGTAGGTTCCGTTTCCCTGCGCGGAGAAGATCAGTTCGCTAACTACATGCAGCTGGCCCGATGTCACAAGTCAACTTTTACGCTACTCAGCAGATAGGACTGGCATCATGTCCTTCGCGAACTTTCCTTTGTTGCTTCTATTTGCTGGGCGCAATAACATCCTGATCTGGGCCACAGGCTGGAGTTTTGCGACACTGAATTGTTTTCATCGGCACGTGGCACGGATAGCCACATTACAGGCAGTGGCGCATTCGATCCTCTACTTTGTTATATGTATACGAAGTAAGTGATGAAACTTGCGGCCTTCGGACCATTGCGTAGCCAAGAGTGCTAAGAAATTCGATTGGGGCAGTCAACAAAGTATGGAAAGAAATGACCAAGGTCTACGTTCTTTGGGGAGTCTTGGTAAGCGAATCGGCCCCATTTAGTTAATGGCTACTAGCCACTGAATGGATACTAACGCACAATAGGCCTTCGTGCTCATGATCCTGGTATTGATCACCTCTTTGGATCGGGTGCGCGCTGCATCCTACGAGATTTTCATGGTAGCACATGTTGTTTTCTCCATAGCCACCCTCGTCGGTTGTTTCTAGTGGGTTAACTCCAGCGCATGTTGAGCCATTTGGTATATGCTGACACCCGACAGTCACACCGTTGTATTCGAGGGACACGAGTACTGGCAGTATCTCTGGCCATCCGTGATAGTGTGGGCAATCGATCGTTTCCTACGGCTCGTTCGGATAGTCTATTGCAACGTCCATGTTAGGCTGTTCAAGGGCAAAGTAATTCATGTCACAGAGAGCTGCATGACGTATGACGAAGCAGCAGATGTCATCCGGTTGGAGGTGAAGTCTGGTCTTCCAGGTTTAGAGGTCCGGCCAGGAGACTACTACTTCCTGTACCAGCCATTCCGCTTCACTGGCTGGGAAAACCACCCGTTCACTGTTGGAGCCTCCAGCTATGAGGTGGATCCAATGGGAGTGCAGCTGGACGATTCTGGCAATCCTCGCAACTCTTTCGATAATTCTCAGCTGCCGCTTCTTCCCGAGACCCTGACTGAAGGCGAAAACCTGGAAACAAGAAAAGGGCCTTACCAAAGGTCATTGGTCTCAAAAATGACCTTCTGGATTCGTCCGTATGATGGGTGGACACAGCAGCTTCGCCAGCAATGTTTGCGTGCGCCAAACCAACCTGTTCACACCAACATTCTTCTCGAGGGCCCGTACGGACAGGGGTTCCCCCTGTGGAGATACGAATCAGTGCTGATGATCGTGGGAGGCACTGGAATTGCGGCCGCGGTGCCATATCTCCAGGATCATCGCCGGCGGTGTGCCAATCAATGGTCTAGCCCATCCGAAGAAAAGCCACGAACTAAAAAGATTGAGTTGGTATGGACTACACGACAGTCAGCCTTCGTTCGTGGCCTTGCCGATCGTGAACTCAACATGATGCTTAACCAGGAAGATTTCCGTGCTTCTTTTTATGTCACAGGGTCCTCTGATAGATTTCACGAAGACTGGAATGGCACTAGATATACTGTCCAGCTGGGTCGGCCGAATCTTCAATCGCTCATTCTTAGTCGGGCTTCTGATGCGTCTGCTACTGGAATGAAGCTGGCCATTGTGGTTTGTGGTCCAGCTGAGATGGCTGACGAGGCGCGTGCGGCCGCTCATTTGGCAATGCGAAGAGGCTACCAACCTATTCAGTACGTGGAGGAGTCTTTCACCTGGTGAAACAATACGTGAAATGATTGTGACGTGTGATGTGCCCCAAGGGATCTTTGCACGATTCTGTATTTACGGTGAAGATATGCTGAAAACTTCCCACTTCATGGAAAATTAGATCATGGTCCCCGAGCCTCTGGAGGCCCCTTGAAAAAAGAAATATGTGCCACACCCGTGGGTCACTACTGAAACGTTCGCCAGAAGCTTTTGGATTACTCAATTGCTATTGTAAGGGCTGAGCGATCGGCTTGAAAGAGGCCTGGTAGAGAAGGGATATACATCACAGCGGCGACTAAGAAAGCTCTCTATCTATGCATGATGCAGGAGGTGGTTCCTGCACGTCCGTGCAGGGGATCTATTGATTTCAAATGAAGCCCCAAGAATTGCGACCAATCGACTCGGTCCAAATGCCGGTACTTGACATCTCAATTTCTATTTCCATGAAAGCGACACAGAACACGCCATTTTTTATCCCGAAGTTGCAAGTGTCAGAATAGCCGATAGCCGGTCGCGACCGTCGCTTCTTCGTCGGTCTTTTTTTTTTTTTTATTCTTTTGACTTGTGTTCGTTAGCCTCGAATCTCTAGTGGGCGATCGCCCGCCCCCAGATTCGCAAATAGCAACTTAAATGGCTTGATAGATCACATCGCCGATCTCTCCGAGAACAAGAAATAATTACCGCCTCTCAAAGGCAAGAAACAAGCAAAAATTATTGCATCTCGAGAGCTGATCTTCATCTCGACATGGCAAAGCCCTTGCCAATAGTACCCAGTCATTTCACCTCCCCACAGGTCGTGTTTAGGCAGCCTCGCATCTACATACTTGATGCTGGGATGTGGATCTCCAAGACGTTTGACTATGGGAGGTATAACGCAGTTTTTAGCCAATCGCCCAGATACTCCGTACTGCGTGCAGCGTGCAGCTACCTATCCCAGTTTTTTTCTGCGATCTGCAGGGACCATGGGAGCTGGTTCCTGCAGCCGCGTTCCCCAGATTGAACATGTACTACTGCGCTGTCGTTGCTAGTCGTCTTGGCGAAGCAAGAGGGTGCATTGCAGGAACCCTGTTTACTCCGTACCGCTCCGCATCGAGCAACAATCTACACTTGCCACAAGCAGGGTCGTGAACACTATCGAGTTCTCCGCGCACCCTGTGAGACCAAGGGCGTGCAGCTGAACAAAAGCACAGATGGATTGATGTCAAAGTACCGTATACTCTGGCTCAAGGGGTTTTCAAAGGGGTTCGGGCACGATGGAGGACGACTATAAAAGAGATGGGATTTCCTGGTCAATTCTGTCTTTTTATTCCCAAGCTCATCAGTATTCTAATTGTCCATTCATCTTCTCAATCTCTCATTCACTCATTCACTCACCTTCTAATCAATCACTTCTACGTGTTTATCATCCAATCCATCAAAATGAAGTTCTTCGCCACTGTTCTCCTCTTCGCTGCCACCGCCATGGCCCTGCCCGGAGCTCCCAGCGGGGGCAACGGTGCCGAGTACCCCCTCTCCCGGGACGTCACCTTCCAAGAGGCCAACGCCAAGTGTGGCAATGACGCTGTCGTCTCCTGCTGTAACAAGAAGAGCACCACCGGCGATGTCACCACCCTCAACCAGGGTGTTCTTGCCAATGTTCTAGGCAGTGCTCTCGGCGGTGGCCCCGGTGGTGATGGTCTGGGCCTCTTCAACGGCTGCAATGATCTCAACCTGAATGGTAAGAGGCTCAGAAAAAAGATTCTTGCCATGGATTAATAGCTGATTCGTGTCAAGTTCCCGTCCTCAACTTGGTTCCCGTCAACGCCCAGGACCTGGTCAACAAGAAGTGCCAGCAGAGCATTGCTTGCTGCCAGAACACTCGCTCCGAGGCGGTATGCCACTCTCCTCATCTTTGACCCGAAGAACTTAGCTAATAGATACTAGAACGGTGACCTGGTTGGCGTTGCTCTGCCTTGCGTCGCTCTCGGCAGCCTGATCTAAATGACGCTCACGCCACCATTCCTCAAACAGAATCTTCTGTGAAGCCTATCCTGTGGAATGTCCAAGGCTTATGCAGGAAGGAGTACAATACATTAACGTACATATATGTACACATGAACGCCTGGGCAAGGGCTTTGTGTTCCGGTACACAGAGAACAGAATTCTTCGCCGTGGGTGTCTGCTTCTCTCTGATGTATCATGTCGTTCGTTCTCTTCTCGTTTTTCGTCTTTTCTGAGACGTTAAACTCATGTAATTAAGAATATTTAATAAAAGGTCCTTGCTGCATACTTTCTTCAAATTTCTATCTGTGATTTCTGATCCGCCGTACCTGCCACGGTACCACCTGCTTCTTCGGTTATCTGACTATCGTCGGTCGACTTTTCTAGACTGACATCAATAATTAGCCAATGCTGTTTAAAATGGGCCCATCAGTCACCAGGATAACATCCCTTCTTGTTCATCCCTCTGGAGGGCCAAGTTAGAGCCAGCAAGTCAAATTGGAATCTGACCAACTTTGGAATCAACTTAGGGTTTGCCTGGCAGAGATTATCGGTAGCTTGGGAGTAATTTCTCTTCTGGATCCTGCAGCTGTCCAAGCATCGCATGTCACATGAACAGAACAAGCCCCTGTGGAGCCACGGAGCGTTTCCGCCGATACCGAGCTGATTGATTAGATCTTTGCAACATGGTCATACTGATACCCACCGGACAGACAGCAACTCAACATTCGGTATTGTCGTGACAGTGGACTAAAGCAGGGTCTCTGCAGCCCTGTTGGCACAGCTGATCCGGATTAAACCGGCCGAGGTCCACATCTAAAGCTGGCGAGGTTTGGGTAAGTGTCCCAAATCACCAGCAATGAAAATTAGAGCCCAGCAGAAACAAGACTATCCTCCATGGAGTTTTGCTTTCACGTCAACGCACATAACAATGCCGGACCTCATATTCAACTCCGACTCCCTTCCGCAAGATGGTTGGTGACGCCATGCAGAAAAATCTCTAAATTATCTGATCCGAGCGGGGCGCCACGAGGCCCGCCCACCGAAGCAAAGTGGATCACCTTTGCCAGGTATTTTCCGGTATCTACACAGTTCATCCCACTCGGATGCCTGTATTACCCGTGTATACACTAATGTTAATATGGCAATCAACGATTCTGACGAAAAGGTCCGGAGCGCACATCCTCACAGGGAAACTTCCTTAGCCGATCACTGCCACTCTCCGAGAAGAACCAAACAAAGATCCACAGCTCTCGTCTTCCAGACTGAAACAGACTCTCAATGCAGGTTCCGTGCTCAGCCCACTGCGAACTGTACAAAGAGACTGGAATATTCGGTCTAACCTCCGACGATGTTCTTCTTGGGCAAGCAGTTGTAACACGGGAAGATGCTCAAACATCCTTAGCAAAGGAAACACTGCATAGGGAGTTGACCTTTTGCTTCTAGTTGCCCAATTAGCGGAGTGGAACCCCCGGCATGCCAAAATAGTCCAGAATCACTGCACATTGGCATAAATGGTCTGTGAAATGCTGACTGGAGTAGGATAGAATAACCAGCTATGTATTCTTGTACAAGTTGACGGGGAATACCGCCAACCACGCGTCCATCCTCCTCCGTCATGAATCCACCGGGCAATACGCAGCTCCACCCCACCCGCCTATCTGATTGATCGATGGCTATCTGATCTGATACGGAGAAAAAAAAAATACAAAAAATCACAAAATTATTGCCGCGGTATCATCGGCTCTGCTATAAGCCCACAAATGCGCTCCATCTTTTCCCGAACTTGCACACTTTCTCTTCGTCATCCCTTCGCCTACTGAGCGACGAACTTCTACCAGCCATGGCTGTCCCCCGGAGTGTTCATCGCCTGCAGCAGACGCTGTCTCACGTCCAGCCGCCACCGGCACCCCTCCAATGGTCAATGGTGGCGGGGCCAACTCAGCCGAAGCTCTTGGATATTACCCTCGGTGAGCTGTTGACGCTGCAAGCGCTGCAATATGGAGACTATGAGTGCTTGGTCTTCCCATGGACGGGTGCGCGATGGACATATGCCGACCTGAAAGATGAGGCCGACCGTCTCGCACGTGGAATGCTCGCCATGGGCATTCAAAAGGGCGATCGTGTTGGTATTATGGCCGGCAATTGCGAACAGTACATCTCGGTCTTCTTTGCGGCAGCGCGAGTTGGCGCCATTTTGGTGGTATTGAATAACACGTATACTCCTTCGGAGCTCTATTACGCTCTGAACCATACCGGTATCTTAATCATTGCCCCATGAAAGCGCCGAAAGGAAGGCTCGACTGACCACTGCTATCGCGATACAGACTGTCGCTTGCTACTCATGACTCCCCATATCGGCCGTCATAACCTTGAAGAAGTCCTAAAGGAGCTTGGCCCCAAGCCCAAGCAAAACAACACATCGAAATGCCTGGATGAGATCGTGATTCTCCGCGGCAGCTACCAGAATTTCACCACATACGGCGAAGTCATTGACCGGGGTCAATCACAGGCAGCTCATGTACTACTGGATCGCGAGGCCGAGCTGCGACCCGACGACGTCTGCAACTTGCAGTTCACCAGTGGCTCAACTGGAAATCCCAAGGCAGCTATGCTGACCCACCAGTATGTGCTTGGAGATGATTCTGAGGAGAAATCAGAATATCAATGCTCACCAATCTTCCAATAGTAACCTTGTCAATAACTCGCGATTCATTGGCGACCGCATGAAACTCTCCTCTTTCGACATTCTATGCTGTCCACCTCCACTCTTCCATTGCTTCGGCCTCGTTCTAGGCATGCTAGCAGTGGTGACCCACGGCTCGAAGATCGTCTTCCCCAGTGAAACCTTTGATCCTAGAGCCGTGCTACACGCCATCTCGGACGAGAAATGTACCGCGCTGCATGGTGTCCCCACCATGTTCGAAGCCATCTTAAGTATCCCCAAGCCTTCTGGGTTTGATACCTCGAACCTGCGCACGGGAATTATCGCCGGAGCACCAGTGCCACGTCCCTTGATGAAGCGACTTCTTGAAGATTTGAACATGACCGAGTATACTAGCAGCTACGGTATGAAATCTCTTTCGCTTGTCTCTTCGCTTTTGTCCGTGATTTTTCTATTCATGCTAACGCCACTCTCCCAGGTCTAACCGAGGCTTCGCCCACCTGCTTCAATGCTTTCACCACCGACAGCATCCACACACGATTGACCACGGTCGGCAAGATCCTGCCCCACGCCCGCGCCAAGATTATCGATGCGAAGGGGAACATCGTCCCCATTGGTCAGCGCGGTGAACTCTGCATCGCCGGATACCAACTCACCAAGGGCTACTGGCACAATCCGGAGAAGACGGCCGAGGCTCTCATCACCGACGCCGACGGAGTGACCTGGCTGAAGACGGGCGACGAGGCCTCCTTCAACGAGCAGGGCTACTGCAGCATCACCGGTCGGTTCAAGGATATCATCATTCGCGGCGGCGAGAACATCTACCCCCTCGAGATCGAGGAGCGTTTGGCCGCACACTCACATATCGAGCTGGCCTCCGTCATCGGCATTCCCGACGCCAAGTACGGCGAAGTTGTTGGTGCATTTATCCAGCTGGCTGCAGGCCAGAGCCGACCGACGGATGACGAGCTACGCGCCTGGACAAGAGAGACTCTGGGCCGTCACAAGGCGCCGCAGCATGTGTTTGTCTTTGGCGAGGAAGGTGTACCCAGCACGGTTCCAGTGACGGGAAGCGGAAAAGTGCGCAAGGTGGAGTTGCGGCAAATGGCAACGGCAGCACTGGAGCAGCGAGGAGTCCAGGCGTAATGCAATGCCTTGAGAAAGCGTCGAGTTGTGTGAATACCCTATATATTTGTTCTTTTTCCCGTCCTAACACCTCCTTCTTGGACTATGCGCGGTTTTGTCATATAGAACGCAGAATGAAAATTGTTAGACTTTTCGTTGACCCCGCGGGGCAAATCTTATCAGATGCATATTTCACGCCTTGAAATTCACGAAAATCAATTACAATACGAAGGGAGGAGTCCTTGGAAATCCACTAGTAACGCTGTCGAAAGCTGGGCAAATTGCGCGATTTCCTTAGCGACTTGGCGGGGTCTGCCCGGTTGGTTCTCTCGGGTTTTCCTTTTTTTTTTTCTCTCTCAGTATTTCATCCTCTTTTCGGGTTAGGTCGGATTGAGTGGCCTTTTTGGGGTGAATCAGATTAGATGCGGATCTTGTCTGATCGAGAATCTCCGCGTGATTGGACAGAGTGTTCCTCGGCATGATGGAGGTACATTAGCCCTGCAATTCCACCCAACATCACGGAATGCATGTCCCATGGGTCACAAAAAGTAAACAACCGGTGCGACCCCCTAACCGTGATCACGTAGGCTGATTTCTGTACTCCGTGCGTACTCAGGGAACGCAATCCTTGTACATGAAATCTCGCCGGAGTAACCCACTCCCCACTTGACATGCCCAGCAATAATCTTATTTGCTAGAGCTGCTGCTCATGTCAACCCGGTTAAGGCCGGATCGGATCGGATAAGTTCGCGTAGGTGCCAAGAGACCAAAAGTCTCCGTACAAGATTCTGTAAGGAGGTGCCGCGCCCTGTCCAATGTCTCGTGTGGGCCGAAAATGTGGAACGTCACCGATGTCGCATCTGATAAGATCAATCCAAAGATCTATAATTTCGGGCTTGGGAGCTACCGAGTCAGGCATCTCTGCCCCCTTGGTTCTTGGCAAGCCGTGCTCATAGCAGAGTATATTATACTTGGAATTCGCCGGTTTCTCTCACGATTCGTGGTCCTCTGTCCCATTTCTTTTCCTTTCCCTTCCTTCTCTTTCCCTTCCTTCTCTTTCCCTTCCTTCTCTTTCCCTTCCTTCTCTTTCCCTTCCTTCTCTTTCTGTTCCACACTCTCAGCTCTCATTCTTGTGTTGCTTTCGATATGCCTTCCAACGACGGCGTACTAGCAGTTGCCCGCTCCTTTCGAGTCCTAGTCATTGGTGGTTCCTATGGAGGTCTCTCCGCCTCCCTGAACCTCTGGGATCTTTCGCGCGGCCGTCTGCCTCGATTCAACTATGCCTACGATGGCCCACCTCCAGCACACCGGATTCCCATTCAAACAACCATCGTGGATGAGCGCGATGGATATTGTAGGCAAATGCCAAAAATAAGGAAAGAAAGGCATAAGTAACATGCTAATGCATCGCTTTAGACCATCTCATTGGATCCCCCAAGTCGCTGGCTTGTGAGAAGCTGGCCGCGGAGTCATGGACTCGGTTCCAAGATATCCCGGCACTCAAATCTCCGAACTTCAAAATCATCCAGGGCAGCGTGAGCAAGGTAGATTGTACCACCAAGGTCGCCCATATTACGGACACCGCGACCAAGTCGACCATTACCGAGCCCTATGACTACCTCATCGTTGCCTCCGGACTGCGACGAGCGTATCCCACCGTTCCGAAATCTCTGCGACGGGATGAGTTCCTCGAGGAGGCCAGAAAACATACTGACAGTGTGCGAAACGCCCAAGGTGTTGTGGTTGTTGGCGGCGGTACGCATCCCTTCTATTGGTCGCGCCCAATGTTGATTGAGGAATTCTCTTTCGTACTTGCCGAGTCAATCTAACGCTTAATCGTGGATCCGTAGGTGCAGTTGGAGTGGAGATGGCGGCCGAGTTGAAGATGCTCGAGCCACAGCAAAAAGTAACATTAATTCATTCGCGAGATCGGCTTCTCTCCTCCGAGCCACTGCCCGACGACTTCGCAGAGCAGGTGTATTCCATCCTGCAAGAAGGAGGTGTGGAAGTGATATTGGGACAGCGTGTGGTCGATACTGTCGCGATTGACGCCGAAGCTGATCAGCGAACGTGGCGCTTGACGCTGGGCAATGGCCGACAAATCACAACAGGGCATGTGCTGAGCGCCATTTCGCGATGCATTCCCACATCCACATATCTACCACAACACCTTCTAGATGAAGCGGGTTATGTGAAGGTGAATTCATCGTAAGTCATGTCCCCGGGTTTCTTGTCTGCCTTCCCTGGAATCAATCCCCTCACAAATCAATAGATTGCAATTTTCGGGCGACCTTCCGCATGCCGAACATCATTATGCCGTGGGAGATCTCGCAGCCTGGCCCGGCATCAAGCGCTGTGGAGGTGCGATGCACATGGGTCATTATGCGGCGTTGAATATCCATCAACAGATGCTGGCTGAATGTAGTGGTGAAAAGCCCAACTTGAAGGCTCTCAATGCCTTCCCAGCCGTGATTGGCTTGGCCCTTGGAACGAAGGCTGTTTCCTACACACCGGATGAGGGAACACGGCACGGCGAGGAGCTCTTGACTGCCTTGTTTGGAGATGATATGGCCAATAGTAGTAAGTTGGATGGAACGAGTTTCATATCTGTGGAGGTCTAGATGCCGGCGATGGCTAACTGAAATCTCAGGCTGTCGCAATTATTTGAAATTGTCGGAAGCGTGCCAGGCGTAATAATCGCTGTTATATCATGATTTTCTGGCGTTTGGAGTTCAGAGACCTAGAGCCCAACATGCTTTCAGAGTCTATGGGGTGTTCATAGAGGGTATAATAGCCCACAGACAATGCCACCTTCGGCGGCCGAATTACCAATGCAATGAAGCTGCACAATGTTTAGACTGAATTATTTCCAGCTTGAATTAAACATACGTACTTGATACTCATGCTCATGTCGTGTCCAATATGCAACTATGGTGTTTTATTTCGTCACTTTTTGGTTTGTTGGAGTCGAGGACAGGTATTGCCAGCACTTCACGCAGTAGGAAATGTGTCTACCAAGGCGATCAATCGCGCCAGGTTGAAAGCTTCGGCACAAGAGACAAACTACATAGAAGTGGTCATTCATGATGATATGAGCACCGGGGCCGTATCGCGCCGTGCCATTGCGCGGTTTCAGGCCACACTCGACGCAGAAGCGCTTGTGACTGTCCCGGCCTTCTCGGCTGCGGCGTCGCCGCAACATGCTCTCTCCAAATTGGCTAGCCGGGCGCAGCCGGAGGCAATAGCGACATGCATAGACATCGCGTACGCGGGCCCAGTCAGTAGATTCGATCAATAGTAGTTCATCATGCGATGGCTGGGGAATCGAGTCGTAAAAGTAGGCACACGTCAGCCTGAATTGGAGGATATCCTCGAGAGGAAGAAAGGAGGTGATTAGGACATGCAGCTCAGGCGGAAGCAGGAAAATCGGTGACATTGACTGGTTTCACAAGAACGTTCATATTATTATTGAAGACATAAGCTAAGGTGGCGATGGAGTTGGATATTGAGAGACTTCGAGGGAGGAAGTACGGCGGACTCCGGGGCAGATGGCCATTACCCTTAGTCAGCAAGTTTTAAACCGGGTCGTCCCACACCAGTGCAATTTGATGGCGAGCTGGTCGCCGGCTCAAGGAAGCAAGACAGGAAGTAGAATAGTTCGATTGCGTCTAACGAGAGACCCATCAGGAAACAAAATAGGAAGAGGCCTGTATTAGCCGATCAAAGGACTGGTCCTGGAAATAAACGGCACGAACATCAGTAAACGGGACGGAATCACCGGAGATGTAGGCCGCGATACCAAGATTCATTACAATTCATTGCTGGAAAATGATTTGAATTGATTCGAATTACTAACTAATGAGATGATTAGAACTTAAATGTAGATATAGTCTGCAATTTGATGTTGAATCCTCTTACAGCTTCATAAATATATTTAATCCCATTGATCCTGCGATCGGGACTAGGCCCCGAGGTCTGTATACGCATATGATCCTCCGGTTTCAATTGATATCGTGATTGAGTCCTTAGGTAGGCTGGGATTTTTGGGTATAATCTCCTAAATAGTCTCTCAAATAAATTTCTATAGTTTTCTGGGTAGGCAGTTTCCTAGACGGTTTCCTAGATAGTCTCTCGGCTAATCACTTGATTCTCGCGTGATTGGCATAAAAATACCTATCAAGAGACTTCACTCGCTCGTAGATTAGAATGATCGATTGTTTTTATAAATAGACGGCGAAGACCTTGTAGCTATCATCCCCGGCGAAAGTCAAAGACCGTCAGCGTGTGTCACGACGAATTGATGGCAGTGACCTAGTAACTAGCAACTTTGTGGCAAAAGTTCCATGTGTTCTTAGACAATCTGGACTCTTTAAAATTAGAAATTTCTAATGGAGAAGAAATAGTTCCTTGCCATCCATGGTATCCTTGTAGTTTATTCAATCCAAACCAGACCCTGGATCGGAAATGTATGGCTGCTTATGATTGTACCCTGGTCCAGCCCCCGCAGCGCAAGAATACACTATCATTGTTTGCTAAATGATGACATTCACTGATCGGTACGAACCAGCATGCACATAACTAATCATTTCCATGGCTCCTAATCCATATCTACTTCTTCTTTCTACAAGTAACACTTGTAGAACCTCACGTCTGTCTTTTCTCTCGTGTCACTCCTCCCTTCCCATAACCAACCCCCCCACCAGCCACGGAATTCATTCCCTGTGGATTAGCAATCGGTTTCCACTTGCTTCTACCCCACCTCTATATTGGCCTAGTGGTGAAAACGTGTTGAATAGATCCACATGATTGAATTATTAATCCAGGGCAGAAGTGATCAAACTTTGAATGTCGGCCAAGGGGTCGGAAGGCAGGGGTCTCTTGCACTTATCTTTAAATAGGATTTTGCCCCCCCGGACCTGTGGCTTTCCTTAAGCTTCGCACCTCATCCTCCTCCACAATGGCACCATTCGGCACGATCTACTCATACATGCCCAGCCCTCGGGTCATGAAGGTACTTACGACCTATTCTCCTTCCGGCTTGACATCCTTGAGAACTTTATTCAAGACGGGGCTTTGCTAACAATATCTCTTGACATGATAGGCCCAGGCTGCGGCTAACATCAACGGCCTCGAGGTGGCCATTTTCCCCGACTTTGCCATGGGAAAGACCAACAAGACCGATGACTTCCTGTCCAAGTTCCCCCTTGGCAAGGTGCCCGCCTTCGAGGCTGCCGACGGCACCACCCTGTTCGAGTCCGACGCTATTGCCCAATACATCGCGGAGAGTGGTCCCGCCAGCGCTCAATTGCTCGGCGCTACCCCGGCCCAGCGCGCCACCATCCGCCAGTGGATTTGCTTTGCACAGGGTGAGATCTTGGACCCCGTCACTCACCTCGCCCTGTGGCGTCTGAAGATCCGGCCCTACGACGAGGCCACCGAGACCAACAACCTGCAGCGCCTGGAGCGTTCGCTGGGCTGTCTCGAGACCCACCTGAAGGGTCGCACCTGGTTCGCCAGCGAGGAGAAGGTCAGCATGGCTGATATTACCCTCGCCTCCGCTTTGGTCTGGGGTTTCTCCATGGCTATCGATGCTGAGATGCGGGAGAAGTTCCCTCTGACTGTCGCCTGGTATGAGCGTCTCATCCAGGTTGACGGTGTGAAGCAGGCCTTTGGAGAGAAGAACTTTGTTGAGAAGCGTCAGCCCTACCAAGCTTAAATGGGTATCTTCTCTGAGAAATCAAGAGATGAGCCCCTTAAAAAGTACCTAATAATGATAAATGACATGTCTATCGATTATGATTGTGCACAATACTTTTGAGCGATAGAAGAGCATGACAATGTGCAACTTTATTATATATGACAAGAGGTAATATGTACCAAGTCGGGTGGCAAAGTGCCATCATATACACAGACATGACGGAGCTACTAGGGTAAACTTTGTACAGAGAATCCTGCAACATCAACATGAGAAACATGGGGTATAAGAGTAAAGAACCAAGACACGAGTATATACAGCCTGCTCTCACAGGCGAGCCATGCCGTTCCGCTCACTTCGAGGCTTTCCCAATGCCCGAGCGACCTTCCGGCTAGCCCAATCGGCAATGGCCATGTTGGTGACCATCGGGTTGACACCGCTGGCACTGGGGAAGACCGAGGCGTCCACGACGTAGAGGCCATCGGTGCCCCAGACCTGACAGTCGGGATCCACCACACTAGATTTAGGAGTCTTGCCCATGCGGCACGTTCCCATCTGATGTGCACTGGCGAATAAACCCCGTTCGGGATTCAAGGGGGACTTGCGACGCAGCTCTGCGATCCAATTCTGCAGAGCAGCATCGTTGGTTCCCTCGGGAGCATCGGGGTTCGACGCGTCAGGGCGGACGAAAGGCGGGATATCACGGTAGGTCGTATGGAATTCCTTGGCACCAGAGATGTATGCAATCTTCGCAGCAGCAATGATGCCCTCCACGATATGGCGGCGATCAAATGGAGAGGGGGTATAGTCAATTCGTGGTCGGCCATCCACGGGGTCGGGGAAGACCCGTCCACCATCACGATCTTTGGTCAGCGTAATGAAGCTGGTGCTGCGACTCATGCCTGCGGCCCACAGCTTATAGTCGAGTCCGTCCCGCCAGGGGAAGACTGGAATATACACGGATGGCATCATCGCCACGGCTTCAATCTTGACACCGTGACCATGTCCATCCAGGTCCTCGAACTCGTTGACCACGGTTGTCAACGCGCCACCCTCCCATGGACGAACTGAGTCGTCGAATACAGCGCCGCCGCCCATGACTGTTCAAATCAATTAGTATGAAAGCTCTATACCAGAAGAATGATAGACGAATACTTACCTGGATGCAGATGCAAATTTTTTCCAATCTGTGAGTTCTTGATGCCACTCCGTAGCAGCAAAAGTGGGCTGTGCAGGGTACCCGACGAGACGACCACCTTCTTCGCCTTGATAATCAACTTGCGTTTCACGGCGCCATCACCACTAATACCGAGATACGAATCGCGCGAGGTCCAAATACCCTCCACGCCGACCGCGACCCGCTTGCCATTTGGGCTCTTCTTGTCAAACATGACCTTGTCCGCCATGAATCCTTCGATAAAGACCGCACCCGCCTTGGCTGCATCGGCCAAGAAGGATTCCGTGGGGCCTTTCTTGCCAGCCGAATGGCAACCCAGGGTGCAGTAACCGCAGTAGTGCTCGCCATTTCCGGTGTTCTGCGGCACTGCCTTGGCTGCGTAGCCGAGCTTGCGTGCGCCCTCCAGGATAACGTTGTTCTGGCGGTTGTGCTCAACGTGTTCGGTGTTGACTCCCATGCGGTCACAGACTCGGTCCAAGCTTCTCTGGAATTCGAGTGACGTAAAGAAGGGCAGTCCCGTATCGGCCCACTCTTGACGAACATATGCCTGCGTCTGGAGGGCAGCGGACCAGTTGACGGTGCCACCACCGCCCCAAGTTGAACCCGCAAGGACCGCTATCGTCCCGTCGTCGCTGATAGTGGCTCCCGCATTCTCGAACATGTTGACATATGCCTCGTTCGGCGTCATGGGGAATGACTTGCTAGAGTAAGAGTAGGATTTTTCAACCACGAGTACCCGAAGACCAGCCTCGGCCAAGTTCTTCGCAGTTACTGCACCACCACAGCCACTTCCGACAATCACCACGTCGGTCTCGATCGTCTCGGGCTGGTCTCCAGCGGGAAACTGCAGGAATTCGTAGGGGAAACCATCGGTCGGCTTGCCATGGACTGGAACGCGAGGAAACCCGAGAACCTGGTTCATGGTCGGACTGGACATTACCCAAGACTTCTTGACAATTCCAGTGAGACCACGGTAGACGGCACGGAGAGGAGGCAGTCGTGAAGAGTCCCATCCTCGAAAGACCTTTTCACGAACGGCCACCGGCTGTTGATGAATTGGTGTGGTGGATCCGGTGAGAATCAACGAGCCCGCTCGAGTGCTATTCTCAGCGTCAGTATGGGATCTTCCATAGACTTTAGGGATGAAATTCCATACTTCAGTGCATTCATGATCAATCCGAAGCCACTCTTTCCTTCCTCGTGCACATAATGACCCATGATCCGTTCCACGTATGCCCGGAAGAGCGGATTCGACGAAGCATCTTCTTCCAAATAGACGGCCGCGATCTTTGCAGCATCGGGGCTGGGGATTAACGAGGATAGCTTGGTCACGGCCGAGTCCCATTCGGCAGTCGAAACCACCCTATCGGTTGATGATCTGACGGTGGCAGCCGTTCGAATAGACGGAATTATAGTATCTGCCAATGCAAATAGCGTGTTCCATTGTGTCTCCGAAAAGAAGGAAGTATCCGGACCCGGAGGAAGAGGAACCTCCAGCGGAATATATTCGGACGCAACGAGATCGGTCATAGTGATGATGAGACTAACCCAAAAACTAAACCCGTCACGCTATGCAGGGTCCAACAGATCATATACGTCAGAAACAAAAATGGAGGGATTGACAAGTACTCGAACAGTACGAGAAGGAGGGGGAGAGAGAACGGTGGCGAAGAGTGGAGAGTACAAATATAATAACCCCGGATTCCCGACAACCGACAACGCTCGTTCCCCAGAGTCCGTTTACGGGTCGACGCTCCGAATCCGAGCCTAGAGGACAAATGAAACGGCTAGGAAGAAGAGAATGAGGGAATAGGGAGATCGAGGATCAGACCATGCCCATCCCAACAAAAGATCGCAGCTCGGTGAAAGCTTCTTGCCATTGGGACTGGGGCGGGCAGGGGCCTCGGTAGACAAAAGTGTTATACAGTTGGATCCGTTTTTTTCTCCATCCAAGTGGGTCGTTCAACGTGCGTTGAACCAGTCAAGATGCTCCAATCGTAAGTGATCGTCCGTTCTCGGAGAAGCTCGTGCGGGACGGTTCCCTGAATAAGCCGAGAATCCAGCGCCCATGTGAATACATGGGCATTCATTGGATGCCAGACGGACAGCAAGGGAAAGCAAGAAACGCTTTTGAAGTATGGTTTGAAGAAGGAGATGGACCCATGGAGAGAGATCGGCCACTTTAGGTTGAACTGTCTGCTAACTAGAAGGAGAAGTATGTATCCGACCATCCCCCCACGACCTAGATCCTTTCGATGCGATCGGTATGAACTGTAGCATCGGTGTCCCGATCGCTTGGTTCCATATGCTGTATGACATGATCGAAACCGTGTGCTATGCTATGTTATTCGGAGGATTTGGGTATAGTTCAAGCCCATATGTGCCGTATATCGCTGGACTCGGTTAACAAGGCACCGTTAAGGGCATCATCTAGGGCCACAACTCGGTCAGGACAAACTCTAACGAAGAGAGGTGGATTAATGAAAGGAAATACTGTAGAGCTGCGAAAGATGATCCTCACAACACATCAAAAGCCCATAGTTTGATAGTTTGACCTGCAGGGCCGGGGTTTTGAAGCCGAACTTGGCAGGTATCGGGCGTGTCTAATATAGTCCTTTGATAATCATATGAGCTATTATTTACTAGAACCAAGTTAAGAGGTAGGTATAGCGATTATGCACGCACGTCAACTTTTGTTGAACATCTCCTGCCGGGTCCACCATGTATGTAACTGACTCGGTGCACTGACGCGGTCAGCTTAGCTTCAAATCACCCGCCAACCACCTCTCCCCTTCTCAACCTCCCGTCATCCCCTTCGCCCTCCATCTCCACCTCCACCACCATGGCAGGGGACTCCAAGACCACCACTCCCCCTAGCGCCGGCAAATTGCCAGCCTGCACCTTACCCTCCGACAAAGTCTTCTCGATCCAGATTGGCTCCGAGCTCTTTCGCCTTTCTGGAGCCTCAATTGCCTCGGACGGTGAGTGGAGATCTCCAACTCGTTCCTCCCCGACGATCCCTAAAAGTTAACGTGTCACTCTTCACTCAGCGCCCTCCTATTTCTCTCGCTTCTTCGAGGAACAATTGCGTCTGGCCGATGCCTCCAATGTTCGAACCCTCTACATTGATCGCGACCCGGCGACCTTTAAAGACATCGCCCGCCATCTCCAAGGTACAGATACCGCGAAACGACCGCAGGCATACACGCGCATGCGCCGGGAGCCTACAACCCAAACCTTCACGGGCCACGGACTAATAGTTCACAGGCTATCATGTGCAACCTCGAGATGGCGCCCAATTCGTGAAGCTATTCGCCGATGCGCAATTCTACACCTGTCAGATCCTCACCCCCGCTGAATTGACCCCAATTTTGCGACCGAGTCCGTGCTGACCGAACGACAGTGCCACGGTTGATGTCCCAATTATTCGAGGCAGAGATCTTCATGCAGATCGGCGACCGCCACTTTCAGATCCCTCGTGATATCTTCAACGGCCCTGGTGATTCCCCGAACTTCTTTTCCCTTGGGTTTGGTGTGTTTTTCGCCTCGCCCTCCGAAGTGTTCCCCGGCCTGGACCGTGTCGGCCTGCTTCGACCCCCGGCTATCGTGCCCCCAAGCGTTCCCAATCGATCTGCAGACGTGTTTGCAGAATTGCTGCACCTTCTACGCGGGTACCCGCTGCACATTCGAAATGCCGACCATCGTGCAGAGCTACTACGGGATTGTCGCTATTTCCACCTTCGCGGTCTCGAGCAAAAGTTGATCCCCCACCATATCAGTTACAATCCGTTCCGTCAACGCTCGGAAATTATCATTCGCTTGGAAGATGTACGACCTTCGGGTGTTCAGTTCGCTCCTGATACCACTTCTCGAACTGGCATCGGGTCGGTCCTGTACGCGCGTCCCTTTGTCGACGAGAATCCAGCCGACTTGATCTTGGAGATTGCAGACGCCTCCACGTGGGTTAATCGAGCCGCTCGCCGGGCCGACTTTGTTGGGTTGACCAAGTCTCGCATGGCCAGCTTGCTCCAGGTGGTGGCTAAGAAGATGGGACTGTCAGATTCCAAATTCGGTTCGATTCCCGTCAGGGTTCGCTGGGGACAGGCTACGGACATTGTGGTTGACGGTGAATCGAACCCGACCTGCCCAGCGAATTTTGCGCCCGACTTGGAGACGGATGATGATTTGCCGCCAGCCAAGCGTCACCGATCAGATGCGTCCGAGGGATCTTACAACGAGCCCTGCGTAGTGAGGACGGGACAATGGCGACTACAGGTGGAACCGGACAATCACGGTGCATACGAGGCAGTTTTGATCGCGGTCAAGTTGGATGTGTGGACAAATGCACAAGTGCGAAACCAGCAACAAAAGTTCCTCTAAAGAGAATATCTAGTGGGACATATGTTGATTCTGAAGAGAGATGTTGGACAAGTATGCTATGTGGATTGATAATATACAGATCAAGGCATCATCCGCCATGGCAGTCAACCCTGATTTAATCGGAGAAGCCATCCCACTCTTCATCCTCATCGCCATTATCGGTGACATCGCCTTGGGCGTTGTCATCTGCAACATCGTCGATATGGGACTTTTTCTGGGCGAGTTCTGTACCAGTGCCTTCCGAGTCACGGACAAATCCGGCGACAAAGAAACCTCCCAAGCCTTCTGCATCGCCGGACCAACAGCGCAGGCAAGCCTCGAGGTCCTCCTCTGAGAGTGCGGCTACCGATTCGCTATCTTCCGACTCCACGCCGGTCTCCATGTCTCGATCACGCCGAACGCCGCGGTGTTTCCACCGGCGCAGACCCTCGGGTTGTTCGTTGCGTCGCAAAAGTCGCCAACCACGCTCTTTGGCGACGTCTGATGCCAAAAGGCGAGCCACCACGGCTTCGTTCTCGATCAGATGAATCGAGCAGGTACTATATGTAACGTGCGTAGCATTGGGGAAACTCAATGCATGCTCGACAATGCGCGCCTGCAGGTTCGACAACTTGGTGAGACGATCATTGTCGATTGTGCCGCTTGGGATATCATTCTCATCGGATGGTGCGGTACTGGGCTCTCCGATGGTCACGTTCGATGACGACTCTTCCAACTCGTCCGCGTCTTCGGCACCGCGTTTCCTCTTCTTGCCGTTGGGCTTGGAAGATTTGATCACTTTAGGCTGGGGCAGTGTTAATTGCGGGACATCATCGCGACCCACGATACCACTGCCCGAACAACTTGGATCAAGTAGAAGACCAGATACATTCTCAAACTGTTCATCGGTCGGATCCAGCGCTAGGAAGTCCTGGCCCTGCAAGACGGTAACCATGGGGTCTGCGCCAGCGAGCCCGACCATCTTCTGCAACGTCTTGGAACGCACTCTAGACGCATCCATAGAGAATATCTGTTTCCGAGGTTTCTTCTGCTTCTGCTGCTTGGCGAGTAACGATGCCATGTGTGTAGTCTTGTTTCCCGGGGCCGCGCAGCCATCCACCAAGTCCCCCTGCCAGGCATCCTTGGGGCCGCGATCACCTAGCAGGAGGTAAGCGGGGAAACACGACGCTTTATCCTGTAAGATAATCTCGCCATTCTTGTATGCGGGCGAGGAGGTAAAATCGGCGCCATAGGGAACCGCCACGAGATCGGGAATATTGGGGTCCAAATACAACAGCTTCCGCTTGGTACGATCGTCCTCCTCCGGGGCGAGAGCGGCCAGGGTATCCACACGCTGGTACTCTGCAAACGTCGTCCGCAGCTGTTCCTCGAGGGAACTGCGAATATTGTTCACGCGCACCCAGCGCGGATAGACGAAATGAGAAGTACCATCCGCTTCACGCTTCTCTCTCAGCACGGCAGCCTTGAGCTGTTCCACCGTTGCGCAACCGCGTCGCACGCGGGCTTTGGTAAATTCCGCCTTGAGGCGAACTTTATGCCGCTCGACCGCTTGGCGAAGTGGATGTGCCGCGGGCGCGGCGATGCCCTTTTTCGCGAGGAGGTGGTCATAAACCAAGAGGAGCGCGAGGAGGGGAGTCAACTAGAACGAAATCAAGGATGCTTTGTCAGTCAGTAGGTATGACATGGTAGATCCACGAGACAGTGTGAAGTATCTCACCTTGCGCTCCACGCTAAGGATATCGGCCTTTTCAATGACCTCCGCCAGGACGCGGTCCCATTTGGAAGCCTCGGTGATCAAGGCATAGATTTGAGCAGGCGAGGCCCGTAAATTGCGGGCGCTGTAGATGCGTGATTTAAAGGAGCCTCCTGCCGAGGGTGCGGTCAGGATGGCGACCGCATCAAAGTAGAGGGACATGGAGGGCGATGTGCTGGAGCTACATGAAACCCGGGGGAAATTTAGGACCGATAAAATGTTAAAAGATGATAAAATAGTTAAAAATGATGGAGAGAGATGTTTGACTTGTTTGCACATGTGGGTCCGCCGAAGAGTATATGCTGGGTCTGGCAGCAATGGTTCGTTTACATCTTCTTGAATACACTCAAGGCCTATTGGATTGAGGGATGAGGGACTACTGTATCGAAAATAATTTCATTTACTCATATGAAAGATGAGCGAGCCTTACTGGCCACTGTATATCCTGACATGGAGCGGGCCGAGGTGCAATGGTCATGTGCTACCACGGTCAATGCACACCTGGTACCTGACCAATTTGTTGATTCGATTTCTTAGAGGAGTTTGAATTAGACTATTTAATAGAATTTAAAAGAAATAAAACCAAAATTCAGTATTCCTGCGGTTGACGGTCACCGGCTGAGGTGGTGAGTCACTCGAGTGTGTACTATATACCATGGGCCCCTAAACATATATATATATCTCCCTCAATCTCAGTGGACACGCTCTGGACATCCCCTCCGCAAGACTCGTCCAAGCCATACCTACCTACATCCAATACGAGTCTCAACCTCCCCCATCAACATCCCAAACCCCGCAACCATAGCGAAAATGGCACCCTCCAAACCCACGCCGACATTCACAACCGCGATCCAACCCCCGCCAGGCCCATCCACCCCGCTCGTCCTCCCAACCCACCCCCTCGCAGCCCAAAACCCACCAATCTTCAACGATGCACTCCAAGTCCGCACCCGCGTCTTCATCGACGAACAACACTGCTCGGCCGACACCGAGATCGACACCGACGACGCCCGGAGCTGGCAATGGGTGATCTACGCCTCACTGGGGGCGACGGCACCAGACTCCCCCACGAACAGCAGCCAACACGCCGCAGCAGCACCGTCACCCGTCGCCGTAATCCGGCTCGTGCCCCCACCACAACTACCGCACGCGCTGCTCACACACCCGTCCGACCCGGCGAACGAGCACCTTCCGGCGTACGATTGGACCCACGAGCCGTGTGTAAAACTGACCCGGGTCGCAGTGCTACCCGAATACCGGGGGCACGGGCTGGGGCGACGACTCGTCGAGACGGCGTTGGAATGGGCGGCGTCTCACGCGGGTGAGATTGATGCCGCTGCGGTGCGATTAGCGGCTCAAACGCAGGAGGACGGGAAGGGAGGAGGAGGAGGAGGGGTTCCGAGTGGATGGCGGGGATTGGTGCTGGTTCATGCGCAGGTTGACGTGGAGCGGATGTATAGCGGACTTGGATTTGTGACGGATGAAGGGTTGGGGCGGTGGGATGAGGAGGGGATTGAGCATGTTGGTATGTTTTATCGGGTGGAGGTGCGGTGATGTTAGGAAGCGGGTTCGAGGTAGAAGTAAACGGGACTACGATGATATCCCCGATTGGTTTATAGTATGTAGAACATAGGACTATAGACTATAGAAAGTACAACCAGCATAAACTTTGTGGCATCATGCAGGGAAGCGGGCGTTACAGATAAGATGGACCTAATCTACAAACTTAAACGGGATTAGAATTACGGAGGAATCAGGAAAAAGCAAATTGGAATAAACAATTCTGAATTTCATTTCAATGGTTGCAGGTTGAAGGGAGGTGACATGGAGATCAAGCCTAGCCCCACGCCGTGTCCGTCTAGCGTTGCAGTTCGGGATCAGGCACCAGTGCGAAAAGAAAAAAAAAAAAGCATAAACGAGATGGCCGCTCGAGTGAGCGGCAGGGTATCCTGATCGAAACATGAAAAAAAAGCACGAAAAGCCACTGCTAGAACAAAAAGGGGACACGCAAATGACTGCAGATCCCTCGCTGGATCGAAGCAGCTTGCACCGAGGGGAAACAACCCGAGACCGTTGACCCCGTCTAATAGAAGCACGATGCAAAAATGCAAAGGATCGGGCAAGGCCACCGCGGAGGGGCCTGTGCCTTGGAGAGACAAAAGCGAACAAAAAAACCAGAAGCATGATGCCAGGACGCCAGTAGAAACTCCGTATCGATGGTCGCAAATCAAAAGAGAATAATCAGGCTATGAAGAAAGAAGATCCATCCGGGGGATGATGAGAAGTGAATTGTTGTCGTATGCCAGACCCGCTGACCAGTGCGATAGACCCGAGAGGGAAAAGGCCAAGCTCCATAGAGCGACCGTCCTCAAATTTCGGATCACTTTAAAAGGTACTCCAGTTCCAGTCACGGGGAACGCTGGCAGCGACCTCGGTAGTCTGACCGAGATTGGGCTTGAGAGTCGCTCGGGCCGAATTCTCACTGGAATTCAGATCCTCGGTGGACGGCGTGTTGTTCTCATCATTCTGGGCGTCGATGGAGCTCTGAATCTTGTTCAGGCGATCGGTGCGGGTCTCCTCCCAGCGCTGGTACGCACTCCAGCAGAGATCACAGGCCTTGGAGGAAACCCCCTCGGGGTGGAAGCGGGCATTCTGGTCGAGAGGCACGAGATGCGGGGTGTGGTTGTGGCAGAAGACGTGGCCGCAGTGGCGGCAGTGATGACGGCGGGTGAAGAGGCCGAATGAGGAGCGGCAAGTGGGAGAATCACAGCTCGACGAAGCAGCATCAGCCTGTAAGGGAGAGGAGAAATATTAGCAAAGGAATGATCAACGATGGTGAATGAATGCATCGGTCTCCAGCCATCAACATGCAAGCACGCCATCCGATGACGAGCGCGCAACGTCGACTGTGAATGGCGCCATCCTCGCCCGTCCCCGGTCATATATAGAGGGGGGAAGATGACCGGAGAAGGGGGAATTATGGAAAGAAAAAAAAAAAAAGAGAGAGAGAGAGAGAGAGAGAGAGAGAGAGAGAGAGAGAGAGAGAGAGGATGTACTCACTTTCCAGTGATCACGGGTAGGCATTCCCGTCACCGTGCCCAAGTGCTCGGTCTTCATCCACTCATGCTCAGCGGACTTGCTGATGGTGCTGAACTTGCTCTCCATGGTGGAGCGACGACTAATGGGTTCGGTGTCTTCGTTTAAGCTGTCCAGAGAACCGTGCACGCTGCGCGGTGGGGTGATGGGCGAGGACTTTTGAGGACGTTCGGTGGGCCGGAGAGCCGCGGGGACATACAGGGGGCCCTTGAGCGGACGCAACTGGCGGGACTGCAGGGGCAGTTGGTGCAAAGCAGCGGTGGTGAGACGGGGGGAAGTGGGCGAGTTGTTGGCGGGAGTGGTAGCGGAAGAGTTGGTGGGCGAGGGCTGGCCGTAGACGGAGATTTGATTCTGGCCGGGTGCCGCCGTGCCGGGGGCGGGGGCAGTAGTAGTGGCCGTCATAACGTGAGTTGCCATGTTGGAGTAAAGGGAGGAGGAGGGGAGAGTGGAAAAAGAGAGAGAGAGAGAGAGAGAGAGAGAGAGAGAGATAATGAGAGAGAGGAGAGTAGTAGAAGGTGTGTAGTGGAAGTGAAGAGACTCTCGAGGGCAGGTCGGAGATAGTAATAATAAAGGGGGGCAAATGCGGAAGCCAGACACGATGATGTCGGGAAGCAAGTTGACCAGTGATCGGGCGGTTGAAGGTCAAGATTCAGCGGGAGTGGGTAATCCTGGAACTAAAACAATAAATCGTGGGTAATCAAGTCCACTCTAATTGCGGCGTCGCAGATTGGGGGAAACGCGGTTCATATGAGCGAGTCGTCTCTCTCCGTCTCTCTCTCTCTCTCTCCGCAGGCGGCGGTTCGGAGGCGAGCACACGACAGACTTGGGGCCGTGGAGTTCCCGGTAGACGAGAGCCAAGAGCGAGTCGAGTAGAGAGGCAAACGGGTGCACGGTGAATGGCCGAGCGGGTGGAGAAGACCCGGGGGCGAGCGTTGGAGTGGAAGTGGAGTCGTCTTGGGGGGAGAGAGTTTTATGGAACTTGAGAAGTGGAAGAAAAGTGGAGATGGAAGGATCAGGAGAAGGAAGCTAAGACGAAGAGGCGAAAGAGAGGACGAGGCAGCAGAAGAGGATGCTGGGGGAAGGGGGAGAATGGACGAAAGGGATACGGATCACGAACACGGGGGAAGGGACGGTGTTCAAATAAGACGGAGTTGGTCTCGAACTATCGGAGAGATGAACAGAACCAAGAAAGGGCGGGATTCCGCGGCTGATAATGAGAGAGAGAGCGCGAGAGAGAGCGAGAGAGCAAGAGAGCAAGGGAAAGAGAGGTACCGGTACGGGAACATACTACGGGACATACTTGGTCGACGTATCCAATTATCTAATTATCCAATTATCCAATCGCCGGGACATACGGTCAGAGAGGTTCGCCAGCAGATGTGAACCGATCCATCGACTTCTTTTAGGACGATACTTCATCGTTACTCCGTATACTCTGCCGCCTCTCCAACCCTAAAGAGACGAGTCCCCCGGTTACGACACGGGCCCGTCCCTGGGCCGCCATCCCGATGCCTTGCCGGTGATACTCCCGCGAAGAAACGAATAGGTGACTACGTATAGAATGATTATCCCTATAAGGGAATGGCAATTACTGTAACAAGTTCTAAGAGATCGTCGTAACTCCGTACGTTCACCTCTCCCAACCCCGCGTCCGGACGGGAGTACTTTCGACACACCGATTGTTTCTGAACCGTCTCTCCTTTTCACCGCTCTTTTTTCCAGAAGGAATGAGCTTGGGCGAGGTTGACGGATCCCTCACGATTCTCAGACTATCACATGTGCGCACCGGGATCTATATCGGTCGCGTACTTATCAACCCACGAATCGCAAACGCATACAATAATCCCTTGCAGCCCGGGGATATCGTGGACTCGACACTCCACATGTATGTGCATACAGTAGACTCCCAGTACGGTAGATCCGTAGACCGAATGTAATCGCCTCTACAGTACCGCATATCTACAGTACCGCATAACAGTCAGTCCCTACTCCAGGACTGAACGGAGTCTACTCCCTATACTGTACTCCGTAGTGGTCATCTTGCAGACTCCGCTGGCCCCGCCAGCTCCGCCTTCCTCCGCGGAACGCGCTCGTGCCCATCCTCTCGATCGGGATACTCGAGCCCTAGGCTACCGGAGGATATCCCCAAGTACCGATACATACTCGATTCCCGAGTATAGCATACTTTCTTCCCGGGAATTATGATGCTATGATGCTCAAGATCATCGCCGGCGCGACGATGCGATGATGTGATGCTCCCAACGTCCCGCCATCTAACAGGACGAAGGGAAATGCCCGACTAACTCTCGCCCTTCCCGGATGCCTCGCGCGGATTCCGCCCGAGAAGTCAAAAAAGATGGAAAAAATGTGGAAAATCGACCGGGTCCCACTTGCTATTCCATGCACCAATCAACCGTTCTCTGAGTGGAACTAGTGCCTCGCTCCCAGTGCCAAGCACGGCCGACCACCGCTCTTCACGGTTCATCACCACCAATCAACATCCTTCCCTGGCCGGTGGCGTTTCTGGCTTATCGGAGACCGTTAATTGGTTACCAGTACCTCGGGTTTCCAACGCTTTCGGGGAAAGTCTTGCCGTAACAGTCGTGGAAACTCTGAGATGACCACTGTTGCGGATGGATACTTTGAACAGAACTGTGGACAGAATCTCATCAAGGGACCGTTTGGGCGATCTTCTCTACAGGCACTAAGAAAGCTACAGACCCAAACGACAACCTCGATCATCCTTATTGGCGCAAAAAAAAAAACAGTTCCAAAGGTCAATATCCCAGCGTTCCAGCCCGCGCGGATCAGCGCTTTGCCCGCCACCCAATTTTGGAGTCCAATCCGTGAGGGATGATCCACCATATCCAGTTCTCGGTGGAACTGGGTTCTCCCAGATTCGGCAATCATCTGGAATGCTTCGACCGTCCACTCCGTCCATGCCCGAGCTTTCGCCTCCTAGTGAAGAATGGAAACTGGTGGATGAACTATTTGTACGGAGTACCTTCTATATGCATGTCACTTGATTCGGTCCCGCCTTCTCCGTAAGCCTCGGCTCCTTGGAAGTGGTCTGCTGACCGCCCCCCCTTCGGATTGCCGACATTCAGAGCAGTACGACATCCCCCTCCCCCCGGCCCAGTCGAACTGTCGACGGCGACTGCTTCGACTCTGGAGTACGGTAGGGTCTGCTTGGCATGCAGGCCAAGCAGACCGTGTCTTGAATTAATGACGCGCCAATGATGCTGTCGATCATTAATAGCGTCCCGAGGATCTTACCCATGGATGAAAAAATGGTGACGTCCAAGGGACTCGTGCGCGGTTGGAGAAAGTTGGAGTATTCGATGGCTGAGACAGATATCACTAACTCTATTCGACTGCGGAAAATAGAGTGTGTTCGTATATCCGCGCAGGTAATGGGTATGGCTATGCAACGGGTTAGAATGCTCTTCTCAACCTGGCCCCAGTAATCGTGATCTACAACGATACTGTAGTACGCTCGACGGGTTGCGACCGTAGGAACGAGGCGGGTCGAAGATCTTCCGCATTTGGCATGGCGATACCGGATGGTGGTGCAGGGATCGTGGACTGGACTAGACTGGTATTGAAAAGGCCACACGAGCGAGACGGCCAATGTGGCTGTTTGCGAATCGAGAGAATGATCCAAAGCTTTCGGTTTACACGGTAGACAGAGTCCCGTGTCCAAGTGCCGAGCCATCCAGAGTAGCTCGACTTCGATGGCGATATAACGATTGCCCGCCGTTGCGGTGGCTCTGCCAAGAACACTGAATAGTTAGACTAGCCCATTCGCAATCGACTCCTCTAGACTGTGGCCATAGACCTACACGTTTCTCGTCAAAGTCAACAACCCCCCCCTCGTCCACCTTGCGTCAACCTTGGGATCCACACCAGAACATAAGCTTTCCCAGCGATAGACGGGCAGAGACGCGGGGAAACGGAATATAGACCCAAAAGCACGGACTATCGATAACCTTGGGATAACTTAATTATCCTTCTTCAAATCAACCACACGGCTGGCGCACCATCTCCATCTAACTATAGACCAGGTAAGACAGCCACGTTCGATCCGGCCCAGAAAATGTAATCCCCGATCCAGCCCATTAGATCCAACCGATCGCGCCTCATCTTCAAGATCCCCAGGTTCTAAAAGGGTCCCTCAGATCTCAGATCCGTACATTCCATGCTGGGGCATCATCCCCATGGACATGGAATTGCCGCGATGCCTCAAAGCGCGCCAAAGGTCCTCCATCCGCTTGCAGCCGGGATGATCCCCCCAGATCACTTCCAGCTTAAGCCCCAATGTACCCTCAAAGTATCTTCGTACCTGCGTACTTTACCCCTCCCGCTTTGCTACCTCCTCTCCTCCAGATATCAGATATTGCGTCATGACTCGGTGCCTTTTGTCCACGCCACACCATGTATACTTTCACACTTGAGCAGCGCCAGCAACTGCTTCCCCTCCATTCTCCTCTCGTTTCCTCGGAACCACAATTCACATTTCATAATTGACACTCCAGATTCTCGAACAAACGCAAGACCCATCCCTAGCTCAAACCCTATCCCACGCACACCCCCAGCCAAAACGTCCAATCATGAAGCTCTCCGTCTTCAGCGCCAAAGCCTACGATAGGACCTACCTCGACGACGTCCTGACGACCCGCTTCCCCAACCTCTGCACGATAGAATACCATTCCTTCTCGCTCTCCGCCGAAACCGCGCCCCTCGCACACGGCAGCGATGCAGTCTCCGTCTTTGTCAACGACACCCTCGACGCTGCCGTGCTCCACGCCCTGCATGCCGGCGGTGTCCGGGCCATCCTCCTCCGCTGCGCAGGCTTCAACCACGTCGACCTGGCCACCGCCGAAAAGCTAGGCCTCTTCGTCGCGAACGTACCGGCGTACTCGCCCGAAGCCGTGGCCGAGTTCGCGGTGACGCTAGTGCAGACGCTGAATCGGAAGACGCACCGGGCGTATACGCGGGTGCGGGAGGGGAACTTCAATATCGAGGGGCTACTCGGCATGACGCTGCACGGGAAGACGGTGGGGATAGTCGGGGTGGGACGGATTGGACTGGCGACTGCGCGGATTTTCCACGGGTTTGGGTGTCGATTGTTAGCGTACGATCCCTTTGCCGGGGAGGAGTTTACTCGGTACGGGACTCTGGTGGAGTTGGATACCTTGTTGCAGGAGAGTGATATTGTTAGTTTGCATTGTCCGTTGACGGAGGGGACGCGGTATTTGATTAACCAGAAGACGTTGGCACGGATGAAACCCGGTGCGATGCTGGTGAATACCTCGCGGGGCGGATTGATTGACACGACGGCCGTGATCGAGGCGCTCAAGAAGAAACAGCTGGGTGCGTTGGCGTTGGATGTGTACGAGGCCGAGGGGGAGATCTTTTATAAAGACCACTTCGGGGAGATCATTGACGATGATGGGTTGATGCGGTTGATGACGTTTCCGAATGTTTTGGTTTGTGGGCATCAGGGCTTCTTTACGAGTGAGGCTTTGACGGAGATTTCGAGTGTGACGTTGTCAAATCTCTCTGATTTTGTTGAGGGCAGGTCGTGTCCTAATTCTCTAGTGACCGAGGGTCATGTCCTGGTTCGTAGAGACACCGCGCCTGTGCGATTATAAGGGAGGTGGCATGTCACCAGAATATATGTAATGATCGCATTAATATATAATAGGAAAAAAAAAGGGCATGCATTGGAAGTTCATATCAGACTCATGGGAATCATAATGGCAAATGGCATTCATAAGTGGTTGAAATCATCCGCGTCGTGGGATATAAAGTCTGACCGGCTGGTCAAGAAAAGAAAAAAGCAAAGCACAACCGGGCAACGAGGAAATATGAAAAGACGCCGTATGAACAGAATGAAATTTCTGTTCAAATCAGTTCAGTCGCGGAAGGGTCGAGTACATTGGAATTGATCTCGTAGTGCCTGCCACGCGCGAGGAATGAAGCGATGTCCGTGGACGATCAACGGGACGACCGCAATCAACCACATCGCATATACAATGCCAACCGCAAACGCCAGGCGAATCTGCTCCATGGTCGAGCCGATAATCCCCGGGCGAAGCGGCGTCCGGGGACCGTGCGACTCTTGATCAGTATGTGTCAAGGAATCGGCAATCTGCCATGCTGCTCGACGGTTGATCTTCTCCCAGGTGGTATCATCCGCATATTGACGGGCAGCCTTTGCAAGTCTCTTCCGTCGGGCAGAGTCCTGGGCCACCTCGCGCGTCAAATCGGTGAATCGGTCGAGGTCATGTGGCGCAACCAGATATCCCGTCTGATCATGACGGATAATGTCAGAGGGTCCGCCCTGATCGCGCGCAATCACGGGAATGCCACTGGCCATGGCTTCTAGGACGACCAGCCCAAAGGTCTCGGTGATGGAGCAGTGCAGGAAAAGATCGGCTGAGGCATAGGCACGAGCCAGCGCAAGTCCGGTGAGGAACCCGGTAAAGAAGACGTGATTGCGAACGCCGTCAAACAACCGCTTGACCTTGTTTTCCACCACCGGATTGCGGTTGCCTCCCACGATCAGCAGCTTGAAAGGCACCTTGTCCGCCGCCAAGCGCGTCGCGACCTGCGCGAGAAACTCGAATCCTTTCTCCGGTGCGATCCGACAGACGCAGATGAGAATGACTTCTCCATTGGGGCCGATCTCGCGGCGGTACGCCTCGTCACGATGTGTGGGAGTGAACAAGACGGTATCGACGCCGCGACCCAGTTGGACCATTCGATCGACTGGAGCGCCAGCGCGCTCCAGATAGCCTCGAATCGCCGAGCACGGGTAGAAAATGGTATGTACCGCACGAGTCCGGAACAGGAACCCCTGAACCGTAGCCAACAACCAGACCCCGAATTGATCCAACGGGGTCGGTAGCATGATCTCCGAGTAGGCCGACAGATCAGTCTGAAAGTTGAGCAGCACTGGCGGGGGTGACCGTAGCTGACGGATCTGCAAGAGCATCTGAAAGCCCAGTGAGGCCGGACTCGCCAGGTACACAATGTCTGGCTGAAAGGTCTGCTGGTAGACATGGTTGATCTGGAAAGGGTAGACGACGGTCAAGTCTGGGTTGTAGGGCAAGGCGCACCCGGGGAGGCGATATTCCCAGGAGACCTTTTGTTTCGAGGTGTCACCCTTGAAGTGAGGCGCGACCAGAATCAACTCCACGCCGTGATCGCGCAGGTACTCGACCAGACTGCGGGTAGTACGACTGACGCCGTTGACGGGACCCCATGATTCAGTGGCCAGTAGGACCTTTTTCCCTTGCAGAAGACTGGGGAATTCGTCGCGATTCTCCTGAAAGGAGGCTAGCAAAGGCGAAGACTCGGCCATGTTGCCAATGCTAAGGAGTCATGGCGAAAAAGGTCGTCGAGGCGGGGGAGAAGGGAGGGGGGGATAATAGATAGTCTTGAAGACGTGGGGCTGATCAGAGTCGATTCAGAGTTTTGGGTTCACGCAGTTGGTCCAGGTGGTCCGGTGCAGGTCCCGGCTTGAATTCGATTTTTTTGGTATCTCGCATCTCAGCCATGGCCGAAAATGGCAGCCGAGAGGCCGCGATGGTCACACAAGGCGAGTCGATTGGCGGGAGCTTCGAACGAGCTTGACTGCCTTGAGTTGGGTCATGGCGAATTTTGTTTGGTTTACGTTGAGCATCGACCTGCACGTGCCGCATCTGCCCGCTGACAAGCAAACGAGGTGAAAGGAGTGGGAATTTGAGAAGCATCGCAGGGACTTTAGGGGGGGAACGTTGCTTAACGGGTGGAGGCCGCTTGGCGGCCAGTGGGAACGCGCCATTCCCCGCGTGCCCCAACGATGCGCTCTGGAGTGGACTCGACAACTCCCCTCGTTCCCGACATTCGCGATAACTCGAGGATCAACCGATTCAATGTATTCCCGTACCGGGAGGCAAATGGTCATGAGGGAGGCACGCGCAGTCCGAGAGCGGATATACTCTCCTGATTTTTCCTTTCTTTTTCGTTCCTCTGATCTTGGGACTTTCCATAGTTGGCCAAGTTCTCATACTTCGTGATCTATGAAGTGACACCAACCAAGTCATTCGAGACTCAGTGACCAGAAAATCTGCCAACCAGAGGACCGGAGACCCGTGATCTGATAGCGTTGAATCGTTATCTCTCTCGTGCCCGCGTGTTCTCCCTCTTCATCGCAACCACCCACGAGCGCACCGCCGACAATCGACAATCATGTCTGGCGATGAAATCCCCATGGACGTCTTCTCCTCGTCTTCCCCTTCCGAGGGCAGTATGTCCTGCTCCACGGGTCCGACTACTCCAAGTGCCAGCCCGTTGTTTCGTCCCTCGGAGTTGGATGATCTCAAGCTGGCCGCCTTGCCGCAGTCGCGCGTTCTCAGCGAGACCGAGTTGCCCAACATTGCGGTGAAGAATATCTGTGTCGTCGGTGCAGGATATGTCGGTAGGTCTGATCTCGCAACGAGCGAGCTGCCTTAACCACCGTTTCGGCGGGACTCGGATTGACTCGGATTCCTACAGGTGGTCCCACGGCAGCAGTGCTGGCCCTCTATCACCCATCCATCTCGGTCGAAGTGCTGGATCGAGACCCCAGCCGGATTCAGAGATGGCAGTCCCAACATCTGCCCGTCCATGAACCGGGCTTGGAGACTGTGGTGCGCATTGCACGTGATGGTGCCGAGATCAGCAACGAGGAAGGCATCCAGTCTAGTTCTTCTGCATCCAGACGTCCTCAGAACCTGTTCTTCACGTGTAACTCTGCGCAGGCGCTCTCACGGGCAGACATCATTCTCATGGCGGTGAATACGCCGACAAAGATGTTCGGTGTTGGCGCCGGATGCGCCACCAACATGGCAGCCTTCGACGGGGCCATACGGGATGTTGCAGCTCACGCAAAGCCGGGCGCCATTATCGTGGAGAAGAGTACCGTACCGGGAGGGACGGCGGAACGGGTTCGCAACATGGTAACTCTCAATTCCAGTTTCCCTTGAATAACACATCGACTAATCTGACATCTTTTTGAAGCTGGTCACCCACCGACCGGGTGTCTCTTTCGAGGTTCTTTCAAACCCCGAGTTCCTCGCCGAGGGTACGGCCATCAAGAACCTCACAGCTCCGGACCGTGTGTTGATCGGATCCGCGGCGACTCCCAGTGGACGCCAGGCAGCTCAGACTCTGGCCAACCTCTATACGGCCTGGGTCCCTCCATCGCGCATCATCGAGACCAATGCCTGGTCCTCAGAACTGGCCAAGCTCGTGGCCAATGCCATGCTTGCCCAACGCATCAGCAGCATCAACTCGATCAGTGCGATTTGCGAGAAAACCGGAGCCGAGGTGGACCAAGTGGCCAGGGCCATTGGCATGGATGTGCGTATCGGACCCCAGTTTCTCAAGGCAGGGCTGGGCTTTGGCGGGTCCTGCTTCCGCAAGGACATTGCCAGTCTGGCGTACCTGGCGGAATCCCTGGGCTTGGACGACGTGGCACATTATTGGCGACAGGTCAATGTGATGAACGAGCGACAGCGGGACCGATTCTCCCGCAAGATCATCGATCGCTTCGAGGGCAACCTGGTCGGACGCAAGCTGGCAATGCTCGGATTTGCCTTTAAGAAGAACACTGGGGACACGCGCGAGTCCCTCGCGGTGGAAGTCGTCCGTACCCTTTTGGAAGAGCGACCGGCCGAAATTGCCATCTTTGACCCATACTGTCGTCAGGAAGATATCCTGCGCGAGTTGGAGGCCGTTTGCCCGAGCTCGACTTTGGGTCAGATTGTCAAGGTTTATCCTGACCCGTACCTGGCCTGCTCTCAGGCACATGCGGTGCTGGTGGTGACGGACTGTGACCAGTTCCGGAATACCCCAGCACGTAAATCATCCAAGCAGTCCATTCTCCCTTCAATCCACAAAGAATTGGCTCGATCTACAGCGGACGAGACAAACGTGGAGAACTCCAAGAGAGCCTGTGCCCGACAGGACCACGAGACCTGGAGCCATGCGGGCGTGTCTTATCAACTGAGACCGCAAGAAGCTTGCACCGCAGACTGTGGCGATTGCCGTTCGGCTGCAACCCGGCCAACAGCCACGGAGCCGATCGAATGGACACGCATTGCGTACAACATGGTTGAGCCGAAGTGGGTGTTTGACGGGCGGGGATTGTTGGACGCGGCAGAGTTGGAGCGGCTCAGCCTGAGACTCGACGTGGTGGGCCGACGGACGCGGGAAATGGTGGCATACTAAAGCGATACCCTTGATTAGATTCTTGTTCCCTATTTTTCTTGTTTTTTCTATCATTCAGGACATATTTTTTCCCTCCCTCGTTTACTACTTAGAATACACGAGACATGGAGTTTGACTAATCGATCGTTTATTTATTCTTCATGATTTGATGAACGGTATGTTTTGTTACTGGTGAGGGGTATCTCATCCCTATCTAGATAGAAGACCTTCCTATACACGGAAGCAGCGTCACTAGTTAGCAGAGCAACCTTATAGGGTATTAAGCCCGACGCTAGTAGATAGGGGATCCTTGTCAATGCTTATGAGGTTGCCGATGCGACACCTATGGATATCTTTTTGAATCAAGAACCTGGTCGCCTCCACCGTTGTTTCCAACAAAAATCCCCGCCTACAACTTAGAGCTCTTCGAGACACTCGGCTCCAGAGCGATACTTGCTTCGGGCCACCAGGGATAATTTGGCGCACTCCTCTCTCGTGGATCGGCCACGAATTGAGGCTTTCGCTTCTCAAGGAACGAGTCGACACCCTCCCTGTAGTCCCTGTAAAAACCGAATTAGCTACCGACCTATGGTTCTCAACATTAAATTTCCCAAACCCATGACTCATTATCTTACTTTTGCCCAATCATATGATGAAACACCCGCGACTCAAGCAAATGAGCCTCTTCGGGCGATGTCGGACATTCCCACATCAACGCCCGACTCATCGAGGATGCCAGCGAACTAACATTCTCCGCCATGTCCTGAGCCATTTCCAAAGCTCGGGGCAGTACCTGAGCAGAATCAGGGAGTACTTCGGTAAACAGATCACCGAAATATTTTGGTAAAGGTGGGTAAGCTCCGCCTGTAGAGATGAGATGCATAGCGCGTGAGAATCCTAACAGCCGAGGGAGGAAATACGAGGCGCAGGATTCGATCGTTAGGCCACGACGGGTGAATACGAAGCCGTATTTGCTCTTTTCGTGGCAGATCCTGGATCAGTGTTAGAAGTAGAGCATATTAGCCATTTACAAGTTATAGAGCTTACCTCACGACCGCCGGCAGAGTCATTGTCATCCCGACACCAACCGCAGAACCCTGAAGCGCGACAATCGTAGGTTTATGGCACCGATGCATCGCCAAAGTCACTCGCCCACCACTAAGAAATGGTAAGCTCAGATTGTTTCCAATCGAGAGTGAAATAACTTACATATCGCGAAAGTCAACCGCCCTCCCCTCTCCATCTCCAAATCCAATATCCAAATCCATCCCAGCACAGAACATCCTTCCCGTCCCCGTTAGCACAACGACCTTGACGCGCGGGTCTAGATGAAACATTTGATAAGCCTGCGTGAGGCTATCTGCCATGTCAGGTGTAAACGCATTATGTTTCTTCGGTCTGTTTAGGGTCAGAATTACGACTGGAGTTGCCGATGGTGATCCGATAGGGTGATGGGAGATTTTGATGTCCGTGAGATTGAGGGTCTCGTAGGAGGTGGGAATGTCAATGGCAGCTGATGTGAGCGGCATTTTCAGAGGTCAATTTTTGGAACTGTACAGGTTGTTATTTTTGTGAAGAGCTCGTACATCTTATACATAATGTGATTTCTTAATGATCGGCTTCTTGAGCACGCCGCGTCCGACGCGGTGCCTCGGCCCCGCGGGCGATCATCCGGATTGAAGCGGGGTGGTGAGCAGCACGGCGAGCTATTCGTTAAGCTTCATGGTTGGCTTTGAGAGAGCTCATGAACACACGTTATGTTTCAGTAATGAGAACAATTCTGAAAAGCCAGGAGAAGTAAGCGTTTGATGATTTACTTTCATTCCTCTACAACGTCGTTCTGCATGTCGAGGTATCTGCTTCTGCGGTTCCAAAGGCATTGTCTCACACAATTCAAATGTGACTTTCTTCCATATTTGCAAATACAAACCGATTTCGAGCTGACCTTGCTTCTTAGATCCTAGAAAATATCACTTAAGTAGAGTAGAGACTGTTCTAGATTTACGAGAAGTTGTTCGTTAGAGAAGAGAAGTAGTTAACAAGACCCTTTTGCTCTCCCATAAAAAAGTCTCCCGTGTTCTCCTTGTGAATCTCATATTGTCGGTCATAGTTTATGAGATGTGGAAAAATTTACAGTGATTCAAGTTCAGCCGTGAATGGCCGTAACATGCGAAAGATTTTAGCATGGGCCCTGGGCCGCCGAGGCTACTTTGCAATATGTAGTCCGTCTTTGCCCAGGTATGACCAAATTGAAATACATTCTATTGATAAAATTATAGCCGGCCTTGGCTCTTTCCCTGAGAGCTATAGTATCTGGGCAGTGGGGCTGGCTAAGTGAATCCTTGATCTATATTCAATCTAGACGACATTTTTCTCGATAGATGTCATCGCCTCGTTTCTGCTTGGTTATAGAACACTGCCCTTCTTTCACGGACAATCACGCTTTACCGGAATCTCCTACTCTCTATTCACTTTTGCAAACACTCCACAGGTGGTCCATTCCTCGAGGGTGGTTTCAATGACCAAAGCAGCAAGATTGAGCTATGCTCAGCCGGCCTCAAGCCATTAATTCCCTCGAATATCGAGGCAGTGCAGGAGAGTAAACACAATAGAATCAAACATAAGGTTCGACTTTGTACATGCTGACCACATAATTGATATCTGGGCTGTGTTCTGTGCCATCCTTTGCCTTTGACCGAATTGGGTATGCAGTATGCAAGTAGTCGAGGGTGATTGGGGCAGCACAGGAACTGGACCTCGGGACAAGCTTACGTGGGCTAGAACACGAACTATTGCACCAGACCATACCCCGTACAAGACTAGTCGCATATCCTCTGACAAATCCAGACTTAATTATTGTGTCCAGTGCCGGGAAAACCATTGGGAGGCTTGAAAATGGGATTCAATTCCCAACGAATCGGGCTTCTAAGTTCACATGAACAGCAAGGCATGGCCCCGCAGATCTCGGGGGTTTATCCTTATCAATCGAGCCTCGGGCCATTGACATCATCCCACCACTGAGCCACACAGCCCACTTGCTAGCCACTAATACAAGGACGAACCAAAGAAATAAGAAACTAAATAATAGGCTCCTGGGGTTGATAAAAAAGTGTAGCTTGCCCATCTGCTTTCTTTTGACAACTCCATTATCCCCAAACCCCCCTCGCCGAACACACAAAATGACAGACAACAACCAAGGCTGCAAGATCACGCTTTACTGGTTCGTCGGCAATACAATACCCTACAAACAGCTTCATCTCATGACTGATACCTCCTAGGCTCGAGCAATCTCGGAGTCACCGCATCCTCTGGCTACTGGAAGAGCTTCAGTTGAAATATGAGCTGAAGACCTTCAAGCGTCGCGCCGACAAGTTGGCCCCCGCCGAGCTTAAGAAGGTGCACCAACTGGGCAAGTCCCCCGTCATTACAATCGAGGCCCCCGGATCCGACAAACCCCTGGTACTGGCCGAGTCTGGCGCGATCGTGGAATATCTGTGCGATCACTTTGGCAGCGCGCGACCGACGCTAGTCCCGGAGCGCTACCAGGCAGGCCGCGAGGGCCAAGTCGGTGGAGAGCGCGAGGAGTGGCTGCGGTATCGCTACTTCATGCACTACGTGGAAGGCAGCCTGATGCCTTTCTTGGTGATGACTCTGGTCAACGATAGTAAGTCCATACGATCTATTGGCCCGACGCTCATTCGTATTCCGGGCCGCGTATTCTTGCACCGCAGCGAGATCCCGAGCAGAATATGCTGCAGAATATGCTGACGTTTGCATCACAGCCATCCGCAACTCGCCTCCCTTCTTCGTTCGCCCAATTACCGGACTGGTGGCTTCGCAGGTCGAGTCGGCTTTCTTGACTCGCAACATCGAGGGTAACCTCGCTTTCCTGGAGCAGCAGCTGCAGACAGCCCCCGAGGGCGGTCTGTATCTTTGCGGAAAGGAGCTGACTGCCGCAGATATCTTGATAAGTTTCCCGATTATCGCAGCGAGTGGCCGAGTTCTGAAGGACCAGAAGCAGAAGGACAAGTATCCCTTGCTGGTGGCATATGCTAAGCGGTTGGAGGGAGCTGACGGTTACAAGAAGGCCGTTGCGAAGATTGAGCAGATCGAAGGACACTTCTCGGCTTCTATGTAATATTTGGGATGATTTCGCAATGATTGTATTTGATGAACGCGTTAGCTATAATTTGACATCTTCACATATTTGCTTATGAGCGCAATACTCTGTCAAGCTGTCGCCATCATGGAGAGTAATTGCTGCCCGCTGATTGGCGGAGACATTCGTGAAGAGAGATGCTTGAGATCGAGGGTCACGCAGGACCAAAGTACTCTTGCAGAAAATGTCGGCCTGAAAATTCAACCCGGAGTAGCAATATTAGAGCACATAGAAAAAGGTTTCAAGGTAGATCGGTGCGTAGTCTCAGGATGCGCTTCTGCTTCTCCGAGTAAACCACGTGACCCCATGCTGCTGAGTCGTGGGTCACATGACACTAACCTCACTTCACCTTCCGAGTCAAGACAGGAACGGCGCTGTGTATACGCTTCGAGTTCCATCACAATCATGGCTGGCCCCAGCAAGTGTAAGTCCTGCCAGTCTAAAGTCCTCAACGGCACGATAAACGTCAGCTACTAACCAATTGACCAGCCCTGGTCCTTGACCCGGCCCTCCAGAAATACTACGGTACATGATTCCCTCCCCATCCCACCATCTTCAAATCTTGCGCTACGAACACGATAAGCCACGAGACAACCCCTGTGACACATACCCGCTATCTGCTTCGAGAGAGACAGGGGCTTATGCACCCGCTTTTTCGGTCGCAGAGCGCACTCTATCGAGCAATGACTGACCGACCCGACAGAACTCAACGCCAACCGCTACAAGTACTTCCGCTGGACCCCGCGCCATGCCTGGCTGTCCTTCGTCTACATGCTCGCTATCCCCGGTGCTCTGACCTGGGTCGCCTATAAGACCGAGGTAGGTAGCAGTTCGTTCTGACGATTGTCATGACGAGAGCACTCCATCAAGACAGGTACAGTACTAACGGTTGACAGGGCAAGTACGAGCTCCGTGGCAAGAGAAGGGGGGACACCATTGCCGAGTGGTAGAGAGGTGGTTGGTGATTTGAATTGATCGAAGGCGATTCCTGAGATGCAGTGGCGATACATGAGATGCTTATCCAACACATCCTGGGTTGACCACTCGTCGGAATTGCAAGAGGATGGAAGCGAAAACCCCAGTCTTACTTTTTTACCGGCGCCCCTCGCTCTTGGGCTGTGTACCTTACTACGAGCATATACCGCATTGATATTCTTCTGTTTCGATCCCGTTGCGCACTTCGTGTCAGGCGCTACGTCCTAGATAACCGGTGATGCTATAGCGATAGAAAAAGGCACACCATTAGGCTTGATTAGATATCGTATTGACTTTGAAGCTGACTTATTATAAATTACTGCTACGAAGAGGGTTATCCATATCTCCACCTGTGAGATCACGGGATTTTGATTTGCGCATCGAATCCTATCCTTGATATTCGATCAACGTTCAATATGGGGCCCAACCCCGGCGACCTCCACCTCGAGGGCCTCCATCTGGTAGTCTCTCCCCTCGTTTCCAATCGCCCGCAGGAAGGATAGGAGGCCCACCACGATCCCCTCCACGGGGACCACCTCGACCACCACGTCCTCCGTACCCATTGTCTCGGAACGCGCGCATGCCGCCTCCTACCGGCGGCGGTGGACCGGGAGTACTGCGGAGCATGGGCGCAACCGAACCATCCTCCAGGGGCGGTAATATGGCACATTCAATGTAGTCCCCGATAATAAAGCGGGCATCTTGCAAGGCTTTGTCTGCATCGGAGCCCTGGAAGCGCATTGGTCCTGCGCGAGGCCGAGCCTCTGCGCGATCATCCGCATCCTCCTCCCCGCGGTAGGGACTATCTCTCGGTCCAACGATCACACTCCCCAAGTCCCTGCTCAAGTATCGGCCACGCGCATCGGGCCCCATCATAGCTGCGCTTCGTGCGTCGGGGTAGATTAGACGGAAGCAGAGGCGGGTGCCCACGGGCGGATCGGGAAGTAATGTGGGAAGGGCGGAGGTGAGAAGCTGTGAGAGTTCGCGGAGTGTGCACGATTGCCATGTGTAGATCTCAAGGTGTGGAGGGAGTGGTGCAGCAGCTGGTGGAGGGGAGGGCGCGCGGATGGCATTGGGGCCGCTAACGGGCCCACCGCGGCGCGAAGGAGCGGGGATGCTATAGTCGGAGATAGAGTGGAAGGAATTGACACGATAGAAGAGTTTCAGGTGGAAGGGTGTCGTTGTTTGGCGGTTGATTGGAGGCTTAGTGCCTTCTCTTGAGGAGTTGGCCATCGCGGCAGGGCGCAGTCGTGTGTCTTGTCAATGTAGAAAGGAAGGTAGAGCACTGGTTGTTGTGCCAATCAAGACTGATGAGAACGATGATTGGCGATCAAGGTCTTGGAGACGATCTTTGGAGGAAGTGAGTCGAGTGGTGTTGAAAGAAAGAGGGTGGGAGCTTGGAGAGTGGAGGTGAACGGAGAAAACCCGACATGCGGGCGTCGAAGCTTGTGGCGGTTGGCAGTTCCTTTAGCTTCGAACATTCTTTCCGCTCTGCCAACTTCAACTTCAACACCTGCGCATTCCCCACCACCGATTTACACCTCTAGCCTACCAGTCAACTCTTCCCCGCGGGATCAAAGACACCAGACTCTGCCCGAAAATTGAGAGAAGTCTGCTGTCCCGCAGCTATTGCCATCATGGATTTCGCCGCGCTTATGTCTAAAGAGATCTCCAAGGCTAAAGGCCCCTCCACCTCCAAAGCGTCTGCTACAAGCAAAGACAAAGATACTTCCGCCGAGCCATCAAAGAAGTATTTGCGCCGTGCCGAACTCGAGGCCGCGCGTGTCGCAGCATACAACGAGGAGCAGGAGCGGTTACAGCGGGAACGCGAAGAGCGCCTAAGCACGAAACGCAAGCTCGAGGAGGAGGAAGCAGAGCGAAAGCTGGAGCGAGAGGAGAAGAAGCGCAGGCTTGCAGAAGAGTCCAAGAAGAGAAGGGAGGAGGAAGAAGATAAAAAGGAGCGTGAGAGGCGACGGAGACTCGGGTTGCCCGAATTGCCAGCCAAGAGCGACGGCGAGACACCTGCCAGCGAAGATGCAGACGAAGATAATATCGACGAGGAGGAACTTATAGAGAAGCTACGGGAGCTCGGTGAGCCGGCTCGGTTGTTCGGCGAGATCCATCGTGCTCGACTCCGTCGGTACCGCCGTTTGGTGAAGCGAGCTGCAACTTTGCAGAAGCTGTCGGATGGCCCGATTCCCACGATCCTGGAGCCCGTTCCCGGTGGCCAGATGATTATCGAAGCCAAACCTCCCAAGGAACAGGATGGCCGACAATTCCTCTTCCGACAACTTGCATCCTACTTCAATATGGTTCTGTCCGAATGGGAGCTGGCGTTGGCCAAGCGTGATGTGACCGTACGAGAGAGCTTCCAAGGAAAACAGGCATACAATGCCATGGTTCAGTCACGAGAGAATATGAAGCCGCTTTTCCGCCGATTTGAGAAAGGTGACCTGGAGGATGGACTTTTGGAACCGATTGTGGAAATCGTGCACAAAGCGCAGCAGCGGAGATACGTTGACGCCAATGATGCCTATCTTCGAGTGAGCATTGGAAAAGCGTAAGTTGATTTCTCCCCGGGAACTCAATGAATCATGAATCATATACTAATGTATTTTCAGTGCCTGGCCCATCGGTGTGACCATGGTTGGTATTCACGAACGATCTGCTCGCGAGAAACTTCACCAAAGCGATCAACAAGCCCACATTCTCAGTGATGAGGCTACGCGGAAGTACTTGCAGAGCATTAAACGTTGTCTTAGCTTTGCACAGGTGCGCTGGCCCCCCGAGGATCAGTTGCAGATTATGGGTTAGGGTCGTCTTGGATGTTGTTATCATGTGGTATATACCCTAGGCGTTATTAGTCTTGAAAACATTGCCCGGAATCTCAGCATTTCGCTGCTCAATGAATTACTCGGTGTCGGTAGTAATGATGAATGAATCCAGTATATTCCACGTAGACTTTGAAAAGCTCTTGGTTTCCAGTCGCATCTTTGTCTCCAAGATGTCAAAGACCCGGAATTCTTATCGTACAGCGATGCTATCTTTATGAGCATGACAGACCACGGTGGATTGAGAAACTCACCAACTACTACGATTTGCTTTCTCGAAAGCGATATGTGAACTCGAGGGGCATGGTGACTCTAATTGTCAAGTGGAGGTCGCGTGTCCCATTCAGCGTCAATTACCATAGTTTTCGCTTCCAGGATGGTTGACTTGAGGACGAAATCATGCAAGATGCTATTGACGCATGATTATCACCCAATTCGCTCCACTGTCCTTGGATTTGGTGAGAACAAATTTCAAGCAGTTTTAGATGAAACTTGTCTCTCGATGCTTGCGCTTAATAGAAGTCTCAGTCTGACAAAGGACCAAACTCTCTCTACTTGGGAGCAAGCTCCACTTGAATATAGGCCTGGAAAAAGGATTTGTTGATGCCTTAGTCACAATAACAATATCACAACAATGGTATTCCTCGCGCAGTGCGGGCGATTCGGTGTGAGGGAATAGCTGGTCGTCCGACAGGATCCTCAGGCCGCCCCAAGGCCTGAGGCATCAACATAGGAATAGCCTTATGACAGAAATCTCATAACATATAGCTCGTGTACTTTTCGCATGTTCTTCTAGCGTGCTTTCCTTTTCTAATTAACGTCGCCTTCGATATGTCACACACATAACGAATCGTTTTTCGTAACATAGGTTGTTACTGTTCTGGCCGTTTACCCCTAGCAATATTCTGATATAGCCTTGGTTTAAATAGAGTTTCTCACGTTATGGCATGAAGGCCGCAAACCAGTAACGCCGGTGGAATCTATTAAACGAGGGGATGCACTGTGGCAGTCTGGGCGAAACAGACAGGTCGAGGCACGGAGGAGATAGACAACCAGGAACAGAAGGAAAACCACCACACAAGGACTATCCAAAGGACTCACAACCCCCTCATCAACAAGGTCTCGGCCTAGTCAGAAGGAATAGTGTGTTCTGGGTAGTTTAGCACTTGCGGAAGGCAACAGTCCTCAAAAAATAGAGAAAACAATGTGAATTGGAAGTAAAACGAATGGCTATCTCCTCGAAAGAGTGCTGCCGCTCTTCTTTTTTTTTTCGTTGTTTTTTTTCGCGCGCGCTCTTTTCCGAGAAAAACCTCTTGTCTCGATCGACTCCCATAAAACTATCCTCCAAGCAGTACTCCGGACCAAAGAAACCAACAAGGCAAACCCCTTGAACAAGGATCATCTATTCAACCAATCAGAATCAGCATCAAAATCCGTCAGCAGTTCCCCCAAGTACACTATTTAACTTAAATTGGCGGAGATTTCACCTAGCCATTATTGGTATGATAGATCATTGTCGCTCTAAGGCCTATAAGGTAGTTAATATATTTTACTTCACTTGATCCGGTTGACTAAACATTAGGGAGACAGGGAGTTCTATTCGAGAATTAGAACTACGAAAGAATTGGAAGATAACAAGAGGTACACCTGCTGTAGTCACCTTGCATGTTGGAATTATCAATACGCACGAATGCACGTACACAAATATGTATTGGTGAACTAGGCATGCTGTTGAGATATGAAGCTATAATTCATACATTCACATCACTAGTATGTTGGAGCCCTGCGGTTGGCCTATATTGATGGCTTACCCTTGGATTACGTGAGTTCTGTAAGATAAACCGAGTTTCTCCACACAGCCATAGTACATTATTGCACAGCCACATCCTAAGGAAAATTACTAGTCATGTATGCAGGGAATAAGTATTGTTCAGTCATGAACTACTAGTATTGTAAGTATTAGCTGCCTAACCCGCCTTAGCCTAAGTGACTACTTCAAATAAGCACTACTACTAGGTAGAAAGCACATCTGTAATCTAATTACACCAATCGCCATATAACCTGATATCATTCTAATTTGACAAGAAAAATGGTTTCACGTTTTTCTAGGGTCTAAGGGTAGTAGAAGCTAAAACCCTAATATATCTATAACTACTACGAGAAGTAGGTAACTATTTATGACCGGCAAATGTGTAAGAAGATGGATATCATTTATTACTTAAGGAGCTCTAGTTGCCCTCCGACTCTAGTTGCCCTCCGACTCTAGGAGGAGGTTAGTATTGATGTGCGCCAACGCCCTATTACGTCAACAACACGGTCCGTAGATATCATCGATGAATCATATAGTCTCGCTCGGACTTTCAAAAAATAAGGATAGAAGAGGAGGCAGGTATAGCTATTGTGCTCGTGCTCGATCGAGGTGATTACAAGCCTCACCACTTTTAGTCGGTAGGCAAGCAGGCAGTCATTGACCTTCCTATATATCGTTCGAAATTTCTGTAAAACCGAGCCTCCCTTGCATCTTAGACACTAAGGCTTTAGTTCAATGTTAATTATTCTCGATTATTTACAATACAAGGCTTTGCTAAGCAGCTTTCCACTAACAAGACTAATTTTATCTATGCCTTTCCCCAAACGATGTGATGGCTCGGGGCACGAGGATTGTATAAGCATGGTTAGAAGGCTATGAGATTGTCGAAGCTTATAGTAAACCAGCCTTTGAAAAGTCCGCGAACTAGACAGTCTAGGTCGGTATATCTTGATTATGAAAAATAGGTTGAATATATGTCACTAAAATCTAGCAGGCGGTAAGCTAGAGTGCTTAAAACCCATTTCTCGCTGCCTACGCGGTTATCGACACTACCGGAGTGAAGATTCTGGCGACTCCTAGGTTCCCGAAAATATCGACCTGATTATTCTAATCAAACCCTTCGTTTGCCCATCCAGTTCTGACTACCTTATCTTATATAACTTATAGCTTTTGCTTTTGCTTTCCCTTCTTCTCTCCTAAATTATTTTTCTATTTTGTAAAATCCGTTTTCTTATATAATTTCGGTTTATTAACTCGATCACGAACCAATATTTACGACTAGCTACCCATACTTTGCTGTTCGATCCACCGCTACACCGAGGGCGGTTATTTCGGTGTGGCTAGTTTACATATATAAGTAGGCTTACCTAACTTATCAAAATAGAGAGGGTAAACGCAGCATAGAACAACTATATAGGTTAAACAAGGTTAAGCGTACCTTTGGGAAATGATAAGTAAAGCAGGGGCAAAGATTGAGTTAGAGTGAGTAAAATTAAAGTTACAAAAATGTTGCGCAAAATCTGCTCAAAAGGTAGGCAAATAGTGCAGAAAACGTAAAGAACGAAAGATTAAGCAAGAGGCACAAAGGTTGGGCAAAAGTTGAGCGAATGGTAGGGAAGTCTATACGTTCCTTTCAAGAATACGGTAGTTACTTTGGGTAATCAACCTAGGATAGATTATCAATGTTTAACTTCGAGAATTATTTCTTATGTCTATCTAAGGTTTTAATATCGGGTTTCAGCGCTGATTACTTCAACTACTAGGGCAAGCAACAAGAATATAAAACTAGGATTAATATAATTCGCACCGATCTGCGGATAGATAAATTTGGACCGAGCAAATAGTATATGCAAATCAGAGCGATCAACGAAATATAGCGGAAGCGAAAGTTGTTTCCAAGTGCTCGAAAGATGCTCACGTAATGGGCAACTTCTGAGATTCTGAGTAGCTAATTGAAATGGTAAATTAGGATAGTTCTCACTGGTAGCGATCGATTTCGAGGTCCAGTTCTTCAGTATTTCCTCGTTTTGACTGCTAGGGACATGCAAAAATGCGATAAATTTATAGTGATCAACTCTGACGATGCAGGGATTCCGGGTCAACATTTAGGATATATTCGCTTGCTATGGGTGTGCAATATGGAGAGAGGGTGGCAGGGGTAACGATGGCGGTTAGGGGGATGAGCCTAGACAGTGGTGAGTAGACGGTTTAGAACGCGGCAGGGCCTGTATACTAACCATGCGAGGATTGCGAGAAGAGTCAGTGTCTTCGCGTAAACCCAGATGTCCCACATGAGGAGCGCAAGCGGGCTGCCCATGACCGCACACATGCTGTCAGTTGTATAGAGCCGGATACTCTTCTTGCGCTGCGTCGCTGCGACTCCAACAGCAGCAACCAGAAAAGGCCGGATTAGAAATGCAAAGCCTGTTCCAATTCGAATCGCCCAAGTCTGCTGGTTAATCGAGTGGACACGCGTGTCGTTGAGGCTGTCATAGTACAGGTGATGGCCGACTGCCAAAAGGGCGCCGCAGATCACAGTGCCAACCATCATGGCGGGGCACTGCCACCCGATTCCCCATTTTGCCGGTGTGATTTCACGCCCATCTGTAGGGACGCTGGACGTTTGCTGGGCGGGTGTTTTGGGTCGACATTTACATGGTCGGGGTGATGAACAGACACAGTATCGGATTCAGTATGACCAACGGAGTGGGCGGGCATGACGACAACCTGGTTTTCGAGCAGCAGCAGCAGTGATCGTCAAAAGGTTCTGGGCTGTCAGCTCTTCTTATTTCCCTTGCGGCTGAATGGGGCTCGGAAATGGTCGAGTCTTGTGCCTGCTACTAATGCATGCCCTTCGCCAAACACTGCAAGCTGGCAGGCCCCTGCAGCAGAAGACCTGACAATAACCAATCACTTGTTCGGTGCAATCAAAGCATTCATCCAATTGTAACATGTGCTGACCCAACTTGGATCTCGAAGTTGGACATCGAATGCCAGCTGTTGCCGAAGCCAGTACTTGCGGGGGTTCAGCCTTCGCGCGACAAGAGCCTCTCTCCACTTCCAAGAATAATAGTCAAGTCAATGTAAAGACAAGTCTGCGACTTTGATGCGTGCTCGTACTAGCGCGGGAGAGAGCTGTGCGTGCTCACTGTTGAGTGCTCGAGCCTCAGGAGCAATCTTGGTTGCGGCCGCTAGCCGACTTTTAAGAGGGGGAATACGGGAAGGTTATTAGCCTAATTTGCAGGGGACGGCCTCTGCGTGCCACTCATGTTGGCCAATTCTTTGCCAGCTCTCCACATGGGCCGCGATTGCCCATGTGTTGCAGTCAACCACCGCATTTCTAGTACCAAACGAGGTCATGGTTGGTGTATCGTGATAGGGCTGGATCTTCCAAGGAACAAAATGGCTGGACGACATCTCGAACTGTCTCCGTCGATGATATAGGATGATCAGACGGGTGTTCATGACGGAGAGATTCAGTTTGAAGCGAGTCCGGGTTATTATGGAGGTTGTCGGAGGCCCTTCGCGCCTTCCCTACCGATGTTGACGGAGGCATACCAAATCACCAACGCAGCCTAACTCGCTCAAATAAAGGACAAAATACGATGGACATTGGTAATGGTATAGCTCAGTTCGATGAGCCCACAGCACGAAAAGTCACGGGCTGGTCTAAATGCAGTCAAGCGAAGCCATGTCAGAGTCTTAATCCAACTTCTACAAGATCATAGAAATCCCCTGACGATCTATGCCATTCCTATTGGTACAACCGACGATAACCTGAACTTGTGAAGACTCAGGACCGCGGTTCCGCGAATCGTAACAGCCGACAAGGCTCGTTCGAAGGCGAAATTACTGCGAAATTACTGCGAAATTACTCTAGGTAATCACCTTTGGACCTCTAGTCCAAATCAAAACCAAGGAAAGGGAAATTTTTACATCCGGGTGGGCTGAACCCTCATGGGTGTTATGGTGCTAGCCATGTGTTTAATTTTCCCCGTGTCCTATGTGTCGATCCGTCCTACTTGAACGTCTCAGTCCATTGCATCACTCTAGCTGAGACCTGTGTGAAGATATAATACTGTACGCTATAGACTAGCAGGCGCAGATTGTTTGAATGACTACGCAGAATTGACATGCTTTACATGCCAGTTAATACAGAATGAAAAAGTCTAACAACATTTGTTCTCAATCAAAAATTGACTTTCATTCCACATTCAATTGCAATGTTGAAAATATATACACAGATTGTGTGGGCCGGGGCGGATCCGCGGAATCCGCGCGGGCCGAACTACAGGTGGGCTCCACCTCCCCTGAGTTGACCTAAGAATGATCCGAAGTAAATCGTGGGACGGGTTTTTCGGCGCCTGGCTACCCGCGTAGACCCATCTATTTTCCGACTCCGGGCATATATAAATTTTAGTTTCTCGCCTACGAGCAGTGAAGAGACTAGCGTTTACTTCAGGAACATTCTTGAAAACGTTGTCCTATATCTATTCATTTCACGTTTATCAGCGAACCACCGACGTCTAGTCAGAATGGGCGAATTGTTCGATGTCGCAGTGATTGGGGCTGGCATGGCCGGCATTATCGCATCTCGTGACCTCAGCAAGAAAGGCCACAAAGTGGTCTTGTTAGAGGCCCGTGATCGTCTTGGAGGGCGAACTTACATGGATCACGCTTGTGGTGGAATGCTTGAACTAGGAGGAGGCTATGTACACTGGACACAACCGCACGTCTGGAGCGAGCTTCAGCGCCACGGAATTTCTGTCAATCCCCCAATGGAGGAAGGAAGGCATTACTGGCTTGCCGATGGTACTGTACACACCGGCAGCTCCGATAAGTTCTACAAAACCGCGATACCACTTCTGGAACGACTATTTGCAGACAGTCGTGATCGATTCCCGATGCCATTTAACCCTACCGCAATCGAAAACACGAAAATCGAGAAGGAGTCAATCGAAGACCGCATCAATTCGTTGAACATTTCCTCATATGAGCGGGATGTTCTGGAGGGGGCATTATCTGGTGTGGTGCATACTTATAAAGATCATGGCATTGCCCAACTGCTCCACGCCGTGGCCACCTATTTTGGAGATTTCGGTGCCTTCTTTGAGACGGCCGGCACTTGGAGCATCCAGGGTGGTACTAAGGGACTGATCGATGCTATTATGGCTGAAACGACAGCCAAGCTACTGCTTTCCACGCCAGTGAGCTCCATTACCGATGAAGGCTCCCGGGTTATCGTTGAAACTCGGCATGGCCAGCAGATCCATGCTCGTAAGACGATCGTCGCGCTTCCACTCAATACTATTGGCGACGTGCAAATCACACCAAGGTTGCCCGACATGGCGCGATCGATGATCGCGAAACAGAATCCGACTATGGCTGGTAAGCTCTGGATTCGAGTTCGGGGCGAAATCGAACCTTTTAGTATCTTCGCACCAGCTGGAAAATACCCACTCAATGCCGCGAGGACTGAGAGGTACTTTGATGGGGATACGCTCGTTCTTTGCATGTGCTCTGATGATGCTTCTATTCGTGGCGAGGATCGCTTGGGTGTGCAAGCAGCGCTACGAAAGTTCATACCGAGTATTGAGGTTGTCGATATCGCGTACCATAGTTGGGTCGGCGATGAATATTCCAAGGGAGGCTGGATGATGAATCGACCTGGATTCTTTACAGCTGGTGCCGCCGAGCTCCGACGGCCACATGGCAACATTCATTTCGCAGGGAGTGATGTTTCGGCGAGCGAGCCGGGCTCTATTGAGGGTGCTTTGTCGAGCGGCGTACAAGCTGCTCGGGATGTCTCTATCAAGTTGACCAAACCGAAGCTTTAGTCCTGAATAGGCAATACTCGAGCCCACTTATTTTGCTTCTAGTAAATGTGTCGGATTTACGGGGTCGGCATGAAGGCTTGCGGGGTTTATGCATATCCCCATGTCGACAAAATATATATTCTCTTACTCAATATCTATTATACTCACAGTTAAGGCCATAGATAATTTATCCATTTAAGGAACCCGCGCGTGTAGGGGGAAGGGCACGAGTAGATATCCGAGGCAAGTATCAGGTCAAACCTTCTCTTTCTAAATAGAGAGGCTCGTAAATCCTTCCACATTATAGAATATCCGACGCAAAATGTCCTGTTGGCTTCGACTGTGGCGTCTAGCGAATTAAACACCATGGAATAGATGATTCTGGTGAACCCTCTCATTTCCTAATTGGGCCTTCCGTCACATGGTCTACTTTTCACCATCATCTAACTCTTCCTCCTTCTCTCTCCCTCTACTTGGTTAGTCAATACCACATCTTCAGCTCGTCGCTCAAGAAACACATACCACAATTCGCGCAACAGATTCCGTTGAAAGTTTCACGGAATTTCTGACATCAAATTGGAACCCAATACTCTTAGAAATTGGTCAAGTAACCACCGCAAGCGCGGGTGGCAAGTGTAACTCGGAATTCGCGGGGTCCGCGGATCCGTAGCACGAACCCCGCATTTTCTATATCATCGGCCGGGGTAGGCATCTCTGAGCAAGTTCTTCTTTCATGGCCCTGGCGAACGCATCGTTCTTCAGAGTACTTCCGTGACCACGTTAAACGCACATTATATCTCGGGATCACATCGAGGAACCTATTTTTATCGTTTTTATCATACCAGGAAATTGGGATACTGCTTAATGGACCGCGGCAGTATGGCGTTTGCCAACCTATTTAGTTATCCCAGTGATTACGACGTGCTTAACGTGGGAAATGATGACTGGAGTGATCTTCAAGGCGCTCCTACGCGTCAGAGTCACATTGCATTTACTTATCCTTTCGGCCCTACTGGGTATTCCGAGGCCTTTGCTCTGCCCTTTGCTTCCGATAGGGGTGCATACTCTGGCCCCGTTCCGGATAAAGCGGAGCCGATGCAATTGAACAGCGAGGCCTTGGACTCACTAGATTTTTTCCGTCTCTCCCAGGGGCCAGATATGGTCAGATCACCTTACTCGCAAAAGGCCAAAAAAAAGCCCCCTCCAGCGTCACGGAGCCCAACACCTGCGAGTAAGAGGGGACCACAAAGATTTCGAAAACAGAATCGCTCGTGCGATCCTTGCCGTTCAGCGAAGAGAGCCTGCGATTTGCCCCCTAATACTACCCTCTCAAACAACCCTCCTTTATCACCATGTTCCATGTGCAAACTACGGGGCAAGGTTTGCACGATTGCGTGGCGTTCTACCAAGCAAGCTTCCTACAATACCAAGAAGGATGCGTCTGATTCATTCGTCAAGAGCCATTTTACCGGCTATGGCCCCAATACCATCGAACACGCCAATGATGGCCTCTCGCCTACCACCAGTCCAACAACTCTGCCAAGCCACGACTATGCACTAGTATGCCGTACCATGGCTTCTCAGACATGCTTTCAGAAACTGAGAGTATACATTCACACATTTGATAATCCAATTTCAAATCTACTTTCAGACAAGTGCATGCCTCCTTGTTACATTTTGGGAATTACTGCTTTAACACCATTGAAACGCAATACACAAATAGCCGCACGATTCAACCAAGCTGAATCGAGCATCATGAACTCCTGGGAATCGAAACCTCCTCCACCGCTGCCGACTTCTCCTGAGTCACGTCTGTTCCTTACGGCCAGCATTCTTGATTTGCTGTTTCAGCGTCCATATTCTCGCGATATTGCCTTGATTGAAACGTACAAATGGGTTGCCATTGCGACCGGGTCGCAATTTGTGGTCAACAAAAGTGGCGCTGATAAGAAGGAAAAGTCTCACGAGCAAGCAAGAGATATTGCATACGCTACATGGTGCAAGGCAAAACATATGGTCTTTGAGAATATTGCAGCAAGCAAATCGTTCCGTTTAGGATTGTCGCTGCTCCTCTTTGGAACAATCTTGCCACCTACTGGGACGGACCGGAGTAGTGATTTTAGGGAAGAAGCTGCCTATGCACTGCATGAAGGTATTCGTCGACTCCGCACGCTGTGTGCTGAAGCTCGTGCTTTTCTCCAGAGTGTTGGTATCCGTTCCCATATTCTTACGCCCTTAGGAGGACTATATACGCCCACGAAAAGGCAATGTCTGTTCCAAAAACTGTCCCCCGAAGCCTATGGAAACGTTATAGAGCTTATTGCAGCTTTTGAATGGCTCGTTGAGATTTCACAGTCCGTAGCAATTGCCCTTTCCCCACTTGGAAGTTTTCCTGTTGAACCGTCTTTCCATAAGTTCAATTCCGAGGGTCCTCAAGTGAAAGAGGTCTTCTCGGATGTGAAAAGTATGGATGATGGCATTATTGCGCGTGTCAGGGCAATGGCCCAGCCTGTGACAGAGCTATGGACTCAAGGCGCTGCGGAGCAACTTGTGCACGAGGCCGTGCTTAAATTAGGGTCTTTCGTCGTCATAATGTGGAAAGCACTTGCTCGCTTGACACTAGCCGCTCAGAATTGGGGGACCGGATATGTTAAAGATGCAGAGATCCATCATCATTTCAATAAGATGCTATTGCATATTGATCTATGGAGAACGACCTTTGGCACAATTGACTGCGACTCGGCTAAGAGTTTGCAGCTGTCACCAACCGATGTGCGGCTCAGTGTGATTTTCTGCGCTACTGATGGCGATCTCGCGGTCCTTCTCTTTTATGAGCTTTGCTGCCATCTTCAAAAACGTCTGGGGAACCAGCCACGGGGGCAAGGTGGTTTCCGTGAAACACTGAAATTAACCAAAAGTCACCGGGATAGCCAACGACTTGCGAGCGCGATCCAACTGTCTTACCTAGCTTCAGCGAACCGCGGAGTCTTAAGTTCTGGCTTCCAAGAACAGTGTGGAATCAAGGCACCTCTTGAGGATATTCGGGCACACCCAGTAAGTCTGGCTAGCGTTTTGTTCGGATTTTACTGACATTGATCTCTACACAGCATCCTACTATGGTGGTCCAAGCATACCACCTAGCCAGCAAAGGTTTAGCACAAGAGATCCAGAACTCAGTTTCAGCAGTAAAAGTAAAAGGTATTTCAGACATTTCTACTGCTCTCGAATGCTGTCTGCAGGAGCTGCAAGGTTTGCAAAGTTCCCTTATCATGGACCCTGCGATAGGAGGGTATAATGAGAGTGCAACACTCACTTGAACTCAGCTATTTGCTGCGTTAATGTACTAAGATAAACTTATCGCTCTAATGTAGAGTTATAAACAATGTCAGCTACTGAGCATCAACACCTGGTCCCAATTTACTTGAACTTGAGCCCATAATTTCGATTTAGGCCTTATAAATCCAAACTAGCTACCGAATTGAAGATCCACGAGCAGGTTCTTACATTAACGAACTTCTCAAAGAGATATCACCTGTTTTTTTATTAATAGTATTCAAAAAATATATATGGCAAACTTTACGGTACTAAAAAGAAAAGCCAATGTATGGTATATCCGAGATGTGGCGTTGTTGCAACAGCACCCCGGCTCTGCGGCTCCGCGGCTCCTCGAAGTCCGAGACTCAACTTATAGGAGAAGGATCTTAGAAACTCATCCTCGAAATTCATGCAATAGCTGAGCTTAGAATATCCCCCTTCGCTTCCGCGGTCAGTTAGACCCATACTAAACTAATTTGGTTCGATGGGCCTAAAGGCGTGCATCCGATTGTGAGGGGATTTGCCCTTGGCTTTCGAAGGCCGCATAAACAGACCATGATATAAAGACGAGTGTAAAATCCAGGTTCTATCATTTCAAAACCATCCTTTAAATCTCAAATCTTTTGAGTTTCACACATAACCATGGCCAACTCCACTAGTTCTAAGCCCGTCGTCTTTATCGGCGCTGCCGGCGAGATGTGTCGAGTGGCAGTGGAACGCTTTGCCAAAGCCAGCAATGCACAGCTTATCCTTGCGGATCTAAACACCGCCGTCATTGAATCTCTTGCCGCCAAATTCCCAGCTGGCCGAACAACTATTCAAAAGCTTGACCTTTTCGACAGAACTGCCCTGGTGAACCTAATCAGTGGTGCCGGGCTGGTTGTTCTAGGTGCAGGACCTTATTCTAAGACCTCACATCCAGTCGTCAAGGCCTGCATTGAGGCCAAAGTTCCCTATCTTGATTTTGATGATGATGTCGAAAGCACTCAAAGCACCTTCGCCCTCACTGAAGAAGCCAAAAAGGCCGGCATACCCCTCTATATTGGTTGCGGTGCGTCACCTGGCCTGAGTAACGTTATGGCCGTCGACGCCACTAGTGAACTCGACCGAGTCGACAGCATCGATATTTGCTGGCTTGTCGGTGACGAAGCGAGCGTTGGGAAAGCCGTGCTTCAGCACTTGATGCATATTGCTGCCGGGCCTTGCTTAACATGGGTGGATTCGAAGCCAACTGTGAACGAGTCTTGGGTCGGAACCACATATGCACCAATGTATGCTGGAGATGGAGAGAGACTCCTACACGAAACTGCTCATCCGGAGCCTGTGACGCTGCCGCGTCTTTTTCCAAATGCCACTCGCATTCAATGTTTCGGCTCGCTAGATCCCAAGCCACTCAATGGCATCGCTCGAGGTCTTGGGTCTGCTGTCCGCGCCAATGCTTTGACAATGGACGATGCAGTTGAATTTCTTTATACTTTGGCAAATAAACCGCCGCTAGATGGTGGCTTGAGTGGACTAACAGGAGCGTTCGAAGCATTCAAGGGGCAACTTCGTGGTGGCGACATCACTCTCAAGGAGCTTTTCTACTTGGTCAGCCACTCTGTTGGCCCTCTGCGATACGCTCTATGGGGGATGTTGGAGCAAATCTGGAATGGTGAATGCACCACAGCCGAGGTTGTTACTTACATCCTGAACGCATTGACTGGAACGAAAATCGAAAACCGAGGAAACATACTTGTGAGAGCAGTTGGTATGCGCGATGGGATTCCGACGGTGATCACGAAACGCAATGCAAAGAACGGCAATGCATCCTATTTCTGGCAAAGTATGGGCACAGTTACTGGAACTTCAACTGCTGCGTTTATGGTCATGGCACTCGAGGATGGACACAAGCGCAGTGGCGTTTTCTCTCCGGAGGACTGGGCTCAACCCGAGGTGTTTTACAAGGCCTTGGAGCGTGTTGGGGTCCCTAAGGAAGAGATTATCGAGTCAATCTAAGCCTCCTGGGGGTTTGTAAATAGAGTGAACACAATCTAGTACAGACCATTATCCGAAAGTAACACCCACAGTAGATTGATTATTCCTGTGCTGAGTATACTGATATATGTAACGCTAAGTGTGGTCAGTGACAGCAAACATCGAAATTACCTCAAAAGTTCTCAAGTTCACTCTAAGCGGAAAAGACAATGTACACTCATTACTTCTTGGCTTCAGCAACTCATATAATCTTTGATGGTTTGAAGGATGTGCCGAGTAGACTGCGTATGTCTATATTCGGACCTCTCAAACTTTCGTCTTGGTGGTTCTATCCTTTGAACATTTAATGGCTCTATACGTTATACTCCAATTTGGAACTTGTTGGAGTAAGCTAATACAGTATAGATTAGTGCGCGGCAGAGCGAATGAGGTCAACGATATGTAAATTGTTGGTGGTGGTTTATCATAAAAGGGGCCCATAAATATGGTTTAAGCGAGTGGATCGGAGCATATGTGGCAAGTAGCTAGCTGGACGATACAGTATGAGTAGACCATATGTATTGATGTATAATGCGAGTGGAATAATAAGCTTGCCCTGGCGAATGAGACCAGGCGAAAAAACCCATTGCCAGGTGTTTTAGTATTGGGGGTTGATTTCTCCGCGTGGTCACCTTTTCTCTACCCTGGCGCGACCGCAAAGCGGCGTATGCCCCACTTCTCACGTGTGGAGGTAGGGGAGTCGTCGCCCAATTACATATAGCCCGCATATAAGCCACGCGCAGTAACCAGTGGTATGCTTATCAGATTGCTCTATGTAATGGGTCTCGGAGCCGCGGCGCTTATGGCTCCGAGACACCAAAATAAGGTTTGCAACCAGAGGGTAGGTGAGCGCATTTGGAGATGTATTTTGAGAGTAGACCGACCCACGGTTTTTGAAGAGGAGAGAGGTTGTGTGCCCTTCGGCCCACCCACGACGCTCCCTGCAACATACAGTAGTTAATTGCCACCGTCTAATTCTATACTCGTCGGATCCGAACCCCCCGCATAATCTTCCCCACAATTCTAGGGGCCATCTCACGCCGTCTCTTCTCTGCAGCCTCTCCTGTCTCACTTTGACAGTCTGCAAGGACCGTGACCAAGGCTTGATCACGCCTATGTACCGATCAGGGTCATACTTGCAACACGATGTCAGCTGCGCCAGCCAGTTTCTTCCACACTGAGATTCCTATGCTCAGCCATCTCGACTGCGACGAGATGTCTGACCGGGATGACCCTTGGACACATCCCTTTTCGAACTACATTGCACTCAGGGCAAATTATGCAGAGCACGTGCAGCCGCCCGATGGGCTAACTGAATGGGGTGCCATCTCGGCCCAGCTATGGTGCAACCTGCCTCCCCCCATGGCCGACAATGGCGAAGATGATCGTCTGGTTAACATCACCGCTATGTAACGAAGCAGTCAGGATTTACTCGTCGATAGTATTGAAAACAACAGCCCTGAAACTGCCCATCTAATTCAAAGTCCTGGTGCCCGCTTCTCGCAGAGCGAAGCCTCGGTGACCGAGCAAACTCGCAAGCAAAACCATTGCTGCGACCGGTGTCGGATCTCTAAAAGAGCGTGCGACCTGCCACAGAATATCGAGATCCGTAATCAAAAGCCCATAATTTCCTATACGACTTTCAACGGACGCGGGATAGTATGCACAGTCGCATGGCTCTCCAACAAGAAGGCCCTCCAGCACACCCGAAAGCGGCCCAGGACAATGTCGTGTATTGAAGAGACGGACATAACTGTGGTAGACTCTATCACTGCACCCGCAGCATTCACTGAAGAGTTGACAGAAACGCAACTAGTCGACTGCCAGGCATCTGCATTAACGAGTGAAGGAGAACTTTCCCGTAAGCTGGTCTCTTGTGACGCTTGCTTACAGCATTTCAACTTGTATGTTGATGTTATTGATATGCCACTCGCCCAATGCATTGCACATGCAAGTATGCCTTCTCGATACCCTCTCGGAATTGCTGCCTTAGGGCCCCTCGGTAACAGCAGCCATATGTCCGCATACTTTGACCAGGTCAATAAGTGGGTTGATGGCTGCTAGGAAGCCCAAACGAGCTCATGGGCCTTTTCGTCTGGGGGCCCTTATGTATTCCGCGTAGCCAGTGTACTTGACTGCCTGTTTCAGCACAATAGGACCTAGACAGGACGTGCGCCCGTGTCGCGTGATGCTCTCATTACCGAGACCTATAGATGGGTCACCATAGTAACTACAGCACAGTTTAAGATTCCGAATAACCGGCGCTCATCTCCTGCCTAGCCAGAACAATAGGACCCGAAGACACATCCTCGGGATATCGCCCTAGAGACATGGCGTAGGGCCAAGAATTTATTATTTAAAAACATTGCAGCTGCTCATTCGTTTCGGCTTGCGTTGTCCCTACTTCTCTTGGCATGATATCTGTACTAACTACTGGCGAAATTACCGCTATAGACAGAGAGGATGCTTTGTATGCTTTCTGTGAAGGCGTCCGGCGTCTTAAAACGCTCTCTACTGAGGCGCGCGTATGTGTTCTCGTAAGTTCTGGCGGAGAAAAAAGTTCTCTCAACCCGAGGTCCAAGCCTCCCGTTGTTCAGGGACTTCCACCCGATATCTAAGAAAACATCTTAGAGCTGATTGCTGCTATTAAATGGTTAAGCACCATAGCCAATTGCATCGTAGTTGCCTCATCGCGCGGGAAGGTTTGCCCGATACCTCTGAACATATATAGCAGCACCGTCGGGAGCCCGTGCAGTGCGTATGATATGACCCAGAGTCCAGAGAGCGAAATATTTTCAGTAGTCCTGCCCTATGACTGTAAGACCGACAATTTAATTATCTCGCGAACAGACGAGGGGAGAAACACATTTGTGGATCTCGCTTTGGGGGAGAGTACTGAGGATACGTTACTTCAGGCGGTGAGATAGTCAGGTTCTGTGGCAGTCCATCTATAGATATCACTGGCTTCCCTCACAATGGACGTCGAAAACCTCCTGAATGGTAAGGCAGACCATAAGGCGCTTCATCGACGCTTTATTACGGCCGTGAGGCTGGTGAAATTGTGGAGACTGTCCTTTGGCAAACTCGAGAATAGAACGGCGTCCTGCATTAAAAAGCTGGCGTCTGAAACGCGACGATTGGCAGGATTCTGCTTGAATGACGGCGATCTAGCCATCTTGGTCTTCTGTGCGATTACAAGGAGACTTGAGACCGGTCTAGCAGGGGATTCTTCATCCAAAGAGAAAGATTCCCTTGCTAGCGTCCTCCAATCGTCAAAATCATATCGTCAAAAGCAGCGCCTTATTAGCGCACAGCAAGTATCTACCTTTGCTGCAATCTCCCAAGGATCCAAAAGTCTTGGTTTTCAAGGAAATGGTGGCTTGAAAGCCAACATTCAGGATATTGCCGCGCACCCTGTGAGTGAAACTGCTGGTAGAATCCCTGAAGTTTCTGCTAATATGAGTCCTTGAAGTATCCGACAATGGTGGTCTAAGCACAGACGTTCGCGGCCAAAGCTTTTGCAGACGAGGTCCATGAAGTGATCAACATTTTGGATCTGAAAGGCGCTGCTGAGATGTCAGAGGGACTGGAGACTTGCCTTGGGGCGCTTCGCGGCCTTCAGGAAACACTGGTGACCTTACCCGGTCTACATCATTTCCACGTAAAAGAATCTGTATAGCTGGATTGTTCTTGACTATAATCCGTTGCGGTTATTCGTGCCTATATTGAGTCCGTTTTCCAACCTTCTCGTTCTTTCTATCAAGGTTAAGAGACAAATACAGTGGACTTTCAAAATTTATAACTATCTCCCTCGATGTGTGAGTAGGTAATACTCCCAAATCTTTGCACCACCACTTTATCAGCGAAAAGGATTACATTCCCTGACGATAGAATTTTGAAACAACTCTCGAAGTGGACACAGTTTAAGATAAAATTCCATACGAAAATAAAAGTCGCTATTTAACTGTTCTACTGTCATAAATTTGCAGATCGAGGGGTAGCCACGACACTGTGTTCTTTGATCATCTCACTCAACTTGGCAGCCATAGCAGCAATAGGTGCCGTTGGATGTCCGCTGATCTGTTCTGGGAACACACTGGCATCCATCACGCGGAGACCCTTAACACCATGGACTCGGCATTCAAGGTCGACGACACTCGTGGCGGGCGACGGGCCCATGCGCGCCGAGCCGACAGGGTGGTACAGAGTGAAGGCCTTCTCATCCATGAACTGCAGGAGCTGCTCGTCAGTGATATTGTCAACATTGCTGCTCGAGTAGGGCCACCAGTATGAGCTCGGATCATCGTCCACGGGGACTGCTTCCAAGTATTTCTTGAGTGCCGGGCTGTTGATGATCTTGAGACACACACGAAGGCCGACCAGGAGAACATTTCTGTCGTTGCCATACTCGTCACTGAGGTATTTCGGATCGATAACCGCTGGAATCATTCATTGCCTGTCAGCCTTGGTTCAAATTTCCACACGAATGACGCAAGTAATAAAGAACTTACGCGCATCGAATGCATTTCTACTCTTTAGGGTGACTGTGCCGTGACTCTGCGGGCGAAGGCCAATCGGGATGATAGTAAAGACACTGCTATCATCGACTGCCTTCTCCTCACCATGATGGATAAAGGCAAGGGGGGCGCTGATGATCTCAATATCTGGCGCGGAACTACTGGATGTATAGTCATTGGGAGTTTCCACGCTTAAAGGGAAGCGATAGTCCGTAGACCGGATGAATGCAGCGGCCTCTCCGACGTTGCTAGATAGAGGTCCACCGCCTGTGAGTAGCCATCGCGCTAACGCCGGAATAGCCTTAATATTATTCCCTAAGTAGTCAAGGGAATTGCCAGCCTTGGCTTTGCAAATGAGAGGCGTCGTGCAGAGATGATCTTTGAGATTCCGACCGACCGCGTTAATCTCTTGGATAACGGGGATGTTATGGGCCTTTAGCTCGTCAGCCGGGCCGATACCGCTTAATAAAAGCGTCTGCGGCGTGTTAACCGCTCCGCCACACAGGAGGACCTCCTGTCGCGCGTGGACCTGGAAGCGCTCCCCCTCGCGGCTGGTCTTGAACTCGACCCCGATCGCCGTCGGCTGCTTGGTTGTAATCAGATCAAAAAGAACACGGGTCACACGAGAGTTGCATGCGACATAAAGATTCGGCCGCGCTAGCACCTCCGGCGTAAGGAAGGCGGTAGCTAACGATGAGCGCTGCCCCGTAGGATCGATGAAGGTCTGGAATCTTGTCACTCCTAGACTACCCTGAGGGGTATTTACGTCCGCGATAGTAGGGATATGGGCATCGTGACAGGCAGGAAGGAATCCATTTTCGACAATCTCGGATAACCACGAATAACCAGTCTGCCATTGCCCTAAGGTGCCGCGGTGCTGAGGATCGATGGCGGGAACCCCAGGATGGGGGGTAAACCGCTCCATGTCCCGGAAGAAAGGAGCCAGCTGGTTATAGTCCCATCCCGCACAGCCATGGGTGGAGGCCCATTCGTCAAAGTCGGATTTAGAGCAGTGATGGTACATCATAGCGTTAAGGGAGGTCGAACCCCCAAGGATCTTCCCCCGGGGCCAGTACAGCTGACGGTTAGCGAGCCCGGGCTGCTCGACTGTGTAGTAGTCCCAATCATGCTCGGTATGGAACAGTTTCGAAAACATGATAGGTACCTTCGTTTCGAAGACCTTGGTATTGTCGCTGCCGGCTTCAAGGATCAGCACCGAGACATCCTTGTCCTCGGAGAGTTTGCTGGCCAGGACACAGCCTGCCGCACCGGCACCGACGATCACTGTTTGTGAAGAGCTTTGGTTAGTGAGTATTTCTAAAGCCTTCTCAACACGCCAGTGACATACCGTAGTCATAGCTGACAAGGTTGCGTTGGGCGGCCGCGTAGGTTGCCGGGGGCCCTGTACGCAGTTGCAGTGAAGCATAGTCCAGCGGGTTTGTAAGCGGGTTGCAATGCCTCCTACCCATGATGAGAAAAGTTAGCTGAGCAGAAAGTGTATGAAGTGTTGCATAAGTCTAGGCAAATGTAATTTGCAAGTTTTTTCGCCCACGCCTCTCTTTTATACCGACCCCTCGCGGAACGACGCCTAAATCCGTATTAGCTTTCTCGATCTTTCTCCAACTCTCGCAAGTGCCCTTTCTCGGGACGCAGTTGGAATGTGGGGATCTGAATCGCCCCGCATCTCAACGCGTTCTTGAGGTTCTAGAGGGCGGTTCCGCGAGGCAACACCGCGCTTCACCATTCTCGGGGCCTTCATTAACTCGGCGGTTGGCGGTCCGGCGGCTCCGCCCCTGAACCGCACCCCCCGTCGCCCCCATTGTCTTGATTCTCCTCTTCCTCATCCGAAACAGCACTATCAGGTTGTCTGGAATAGTGGATATGGCTGTAGACCATGTGGTATGCAAAATGGATCCAATTCTAAACTCGCAATCATCGCATCACCGGTTTGCCTTCTTGTTACAACGAACAGCCGCGCCGTCAGTTATGTAACGGCATTGCCCTCTGGGATTCCAATTCCTAGTGATCAACCATAATACACGTCTGATGGGGATTCCCCCCTTCTGGTGGTTGTATCCACAGATGTTGCCAGGGCCAGCATTTGCCGGAGGTTTACCTTCAGCGACCTATAAGAGGCCTTGCTTCTTGTTTCCCCCTTCTTCGTCCTTCGATAGACGTCTATCACTCCTTTCCTGATTCTCCTTGCTTTTTTGCGTAGAGGCTTTTGACGGGCGTACAGTATAACATTGGCGATAACTACCTTTGGAAGTTTGCGATGATGGATAACTTGCCGAACGCTGTGTTTGCGTTCGGATATATTGACGCCAGCTGGACTCTCGGAGCAGATGCCGAGGGCTATTCTATTACCAACAATATCTGCGAAGACTGCAGTACATAACCTTCCCGAGCAAACAACTAGGGATTCTCTCCGCAAAATGACGGTTCCGCAGAAGAACCCGAACAGGACATGCCGACTGCCTGTATATTGCGGATCCCCAAGAGGCAGAAGCTTCCGCGGAATTAAGAACCCCTGATATTTTCTCAACAGGCCTGTTCCTCCATCTCCTCGTGGTTCCACAAGGGGTCAGATAATAGCGGTAATGTACGACTCGAGGTCAATGCGCTGCCGCTGCGGAAAAGATAGTAGAACCGCTGGCGGAACCACCTCACCCCGCAAACCAGGCGCTGAGTCTCGGCGGATGCTGGGTGCTTGGATCCCCAGTAACTAACAGTCCGCTCCGGTGTCAATTGCGGAATCCATGAACGGCTGACTGGTCCTGTTTAAGTACGGGATTGTACCCATAGGCTATTCTTTTCTAATATAGTTAGATAATGTGCCATGAAGGAGGTTCTCGTTTCCAAAGCACCAGCAAGGAATACTCTCTTTAGCCCACAATCAGGTTAGAGGAAATAAAGAAAGAGCAAGATGTCCAAAACAGCAAAGCCAGCTGTCTCCGCAACGCGGCTGTCTCTAGTACAGAAGCTCGATATGCTCCCAGCACTGGTCTCAATCCTTTCTGTTGGGGTTTTATCGCTCTTTTCTGGTCTGGTTCCAGGTATGAGGGGGGCACCAACCCTCCACCTTCATGTCGCCTACGCCATTTTGCGGAAGGCGACATCTCGCCTGTCACCGCTTCAACTGCAGTAAGTATTTCCTTACAGTCGGACGTGACTACTAAACTGAGATAGATTAGCTTCCCCATCGACAGAGTCCATCTACCTTCGATATATGCGGTCGGCGCGACTGACTCCTCAGAGTGTGAATTTGGGTACCGGCGCTAAGGGCCACTGGCTCGGGGACAAAAATGCGAAGAAAGTGCTTGTTTGGTATCACGGTACGTATATATCAATGTTTTGAAATTGTCCTCCGCACTCCCCCTCGACAGCAGTGATGCGAACCCGGATCTAGGAGGCGGATTCTGTTTACCGGCCAACATGGGCTATTTCAAGTTCTTTGAACAATTAATCCAGTCAGCTGGAGATTCCGGTCATGACCTTGCAGTGTTTGTCCTCTCCTACACTCTGGCCCCACACATGCGGTACCCAGGACAACTGAGCCAGGCGGTTGAGGCGCTACGGTATATTGTGATGCAAACACACCGCAGCCCACTGGACGTGCTGGTTGGCGGAGACTCGGCGGGTGGAAACCTGGCCGTCGGTTTGCTGTCGCACCTTTCTCATCCCCATCCTGCCATCCCAGCGCTGAACCTGGAGGAGCCACTCGCCGGCGTCATCCTGATTTCGCCCTGGACTTCTCTGGATGCAAACCCTGTTGGCTTATCCAAAGACATCGGGGATTTGATCACGACTCAAGTTGCAGGTCCGTGGTCAAGCGCATATCTTGGGGGTGCTGATAGAGACTACTACAGTGATGCGTCCAATGCTCCGTCGACCTGGTTCGAAAACCTGCAAGTGAAAGAGATACTAGTTCTGGGAGGAGGTAATGAGATTATGAGGCCTATGATTGAAGCTTTTGTACAGAAGGTTCAGGTATCACACCCATTTATAACCTATGAGATACAGGACCAAGATGGACTAACTACAAAAGATTGCTTTTCCTTCGGTGGAGCTGTTCATTGGAGAACTCGAGGCTCACGTCGCGCCTGTGTTTAATATATACGTCGGATCGAAGATGGAGACCCAACAAGGAGAAAAATTGAAGAATTGGCTCAAGAAAATGCTCTAGGGAACTTGTATCATGTCGGGTCATTTGCATCGGTAGAACAAGATTCTACATTCTTCTTCAGTCCAGATTCGCAGCACTATGAGCAATAAGAAGTAACGATCAATACCGAGAAATATATTCCGCGATCTTTGCAGTATGCTTCACGGATAGATATCCAATAACGGTGCAAAAACGATCTCGTTGTTAGACCAATCGGCGCTTATCCAACAATCAACTCACTACCTCGCAGGCAGAGTGTTCTTTGTGCCAGTACATTTAGGAGTCCAAGGCAAGATTATTTCTTGAACGTTCTTGATGTCGCTTTGATCGGAATGGAAAATAGTCCGGAAGTGTGTACTTGGTTTGCTTCGAGAATTTGAGACTTTGCCGCGCGTGAAGTGTGATGTCAATGATAATATGGTTAGGTGGCGTTTACATATAATTTGTTTCACGTTTGATGAAGTAAATTTCATCATAGTGAACTCAGGTTTACTTTGGTATGATGATACGATTATGTGACGTAGAAATGATTCGGGATGCATTTTGTATAATTTTTCCAAGCCGGTATTGCTTTTTAAGGAAACTCAGCGTTCATTCAGCCCAGCTCTCTATTGGTTTGTTCTCGGCTGTATACCTCGGATAAAATGCTCCGAGAATTTGTTAGTCCGGAGAAATTTGAGCGTAATCTTTGCTGCCCAGCTTTAAGAGGGATAGACTGTGAAGGTCCAGTATTCAAAGTCAAATAAGGGCGGAGAGAGGGAAGGCAAGCGACTGTAAGCCCTGTATAAATGTCAAGGGCACACCATAGTTCAAGAGTCGTAGTCGGGACATCTGGATATGTAATGAGAACAGTAATAAACCTCCCTATGCAGGCACCTATGCTGAGAATACCGAACCTAAACGTGACGTAAAGAGCGATCTTTCTCTTCCAGGCGAGCCGAATAATACGTAGAATGAAAAATGGCAAGTAGAAAATAAATATATCGGAGGAGAAGTGAAGGGCCCAAGTGGAAGTCCAGATGATGAACGAGTTTTTGGCGCTGCACAAACCATGATTATTCCTAGAATCTGTCAATACCACGATAGAAGACGTTCTTGCTTAATGTTTCCCTACTTACCCACTCGATGTTTGTGGTAGACAGATAAGAAGGACCAACAAAATTGATGTAATAAATAACAGTATCGAGAAGATAGCAACAGTCCAGAGTAAATATAGGAATATTCTCAGGACAGATGGGAATATATAGAAAAATAAAGAGAGAAGGGCGGCTTTATTAAGATACTGCACCGTAAAAAGTAGGAACTATTAAGAGAATACGATCTATTAAGATTAGATGCGCCCTTACATACCGGATTATACAATAATATTACCTTTATGGTCAGATCGGTGTTGGGCGTGTTAGACAGGAAGTCGAACCAAGTAGTTACTGGACTCAGCCATCCTAATTTCTCTAATTCAATGTCAAGTACTGCTCCCCATATGCCACATAGCTATGCGAGACATATACAGTAGTCGCTTAGTATAGGCCTTTTTGAGCTAAAGGTGTAGTCGAAGATGAAGGCGAGCGAGAACCAGAGCGAGACAAATCCCCAGTAACGCCCACTCGACGGCCTAAAAGCAGTTAAACCAAGCAAGTAGATTCAAACTTCATCCGAGCTTAAAGTACAATGACCGCCGCAGAGTTAACTGCGCCCATCGAGTGAAAGAAGTATCGTCTTGTGTACGTAGCTATTCAGGGGGATTTAGTCTTGATTGTGCAACTTTCTCAGAACGCTCAAGCTATTTCGTGGTCAGGGATAGACATAGCACCATTCTGGGCAGGCAGACCAAAAGCGTGAGAATTAGCAATGGAATTTGATTCAAATTTTTTGCCTTGTTAAAGGGAAACGAATGCCGTGTTAAGTTTCTACTCGTCGTTGACGTCACTTGGGTCGACCCCAATTAAGGTGTGTGAAAGCCAAAAAGCCGAGCTCCAAGCGCGCCCCATTTGCAGATAGAGTATGCATCGGAGTCACCTGCCATTGGCCTGAAAGTGTGGGTCTCTCAAATATGGTGATATCATTGTTTGCCGCTTTCATAGAGCATGTTCAGTATAGGACTGTCGGTGAGAATGCAAACGTAGGGCATCTAGGGCATCAAATCCCGGAAGATATGGTATGCTCATCCACGACTGTCCCGAATGGTGATCCGAATGGTGATAATGAAGAAGGAATAGGAGAATGCAAAGAGGCTTCCTTTCTTTCGGATGGTTACTCCAGAAGGGGTGGGCAAAAGAGTTAACTGGCAAGCCGAACCAGCGAGTAGTGAAGGCTCCAGACAGGAAGGTGCTTCGGTTACTCGAGTCTCTGTCGAAGCCCTACACCTCCATTCTGATTTAGGTGCGATCGATGCGCATTGCACTGAATCATTACTTGTTCAAATTCAAGGCGGTCGAATCAGATGAGTGCTACTGTGGAGAGGGGTCTCAAACACCGAGACACATCTTGATGCAGTGCCTGTTGTACGCTGATCTCCACCTACCATCGGTAGCAAGCAGAACCTTAAGTGACGATTTTCCAACTGTTCAATTGTATAGGAGAATCAAAGTCTCGTATCATAATACACAGTATGGCTCCGGATATGCACGAGAAAAAGAGTCGCTTTACTTACGACTTACGAGCCTTTCTGCTGCAATAAAGAGATAGAGAAATATATGAGTCAGATAGGGCCGTACCTCAGAGTAATTCAGCAACAACCTATAAGGTTAATTATACCTCTAATTTTCGACCATAGGATAGGAACGCGTTAGATTAGAAGCAATGATATAGAAGGCAGGATAAGCGCTAGGCACCAAGCTAGACTTACTAACTCGCCTTTACCTAAATAGTTCACCAGACTACGACAGTGACAGTACTACTAAGTCCAGAGATTGCATACTTTTTTTCAGATGGAACTTGTTAGCTAAACTATGTACAAAGATATAGACTAAATGCAATCGCACTACAGCTTCGGTTCTGAATAGCGACTCGAGATCATACTCTATTTAAAAGTTTGATTACATTTCTCGTCTAGACCTCTGACATCAGCTCACAGACACGCCCTATAATTTGTATGGCAGTTTCCGGAACACATCTAACTATAATCCGCGGTTTCAACGGAGATAATTGTTCAAAGAACTATAGCCCTCGCGTAGATAACCCCTATTCAGACTCCTCGCCGTGGCCCGCTCAGACAATAGGAAGGTCATTTATAGATCTCTCCAATCAATATACAAAGACATATCCGTAGGTCTCAACCAGACTTGTACGAATGGCATCGCGATAATCCGTGAACCAGGGTAGACTGATCGGAATACTAGCTATCATGTCGCTTGCCAGAGAGCAATATAAACTCCACTTCATCACCGAAATCGAACGCCGCATACAAAACTCTTCTATCGCCTTTTGACTCACTTCTTCCACACCCGCATCGTGGGTACTGAGTTCGGCAGTATAGAGATTTTGCTGACAAAATGCGGTCACCGGGTTTGTCGAACTTGCATCGCCTTTTCGACTGACCAAGCTGGAGGTTATAAGTGCAGTATCTGCTTTCGGCCGGCGAACTTCGTGATAGGGGAGAAGGCGAGGTTGATAACAGGGATTAGGGCAGAATTACAGGCAGGCGTGTCCGGCCAGAAGAGTTACAAGAAGCAGGATTTAAAGTGCCCAAGATAATGCTTACTATGATGTAGGTGGTGACAATTAGAAAAAGAGCTGGTAAGGCCTTGCTCTATCTAATTAAATACAGCGTCAGGATTTCGAGGGATACATACAGTATTATACTTCTTGCTTTGCTTATTCATGTTTTGGCATTATAATTTTCTATCAGGAAGTAATGCCATTATAGCGACAAATGCATTATATCTCCCTAACCTAGTAGCTTGTAATCCAATTAGTAATAAGCTTCAAAAGAATCGCTCTGGGTGATCCAATATTTAATATTGTAGCGTTACTTTATTGGCGTAGGCTTCCTAGGGTGGGTTTGTTAGGAGTTCTCTCAAAGACTTCTTATAGCCGTCCATCGCACCTAGAAGTCTCCATTACATGCCTTTGCAAGAAAAAGCCGACCGGGCGCAGATAATACTCTTATGCACCCAGTAGACCTGATCACCGCATGTAATAGTAAGATCGCTATATTGCGGGTCAAGGCGCAGCCTATACGTTAGTTAGCAAGAACCAAACTTCAAATAGATATTGAATGTGTAGTATCATACTTCGCTAGTGAGGGGAGAAGCTCTTGCCTAGGGAAGCTTCTTAGTCGGGAGAGAAAGTACCGTCACAATTAAGCTCGGGCTGATTCTCGCCATCTATCAGGACCGGTCGCGGTGACCTTCTAGGTGCCATAAGGGAAAGTAAATCTATGGTGATTACATGTTGAAGTAAATTTTGTGAGGTGAAATATAGCCAATCCCTACTTGCGTCACGATAACGTGAGCGAGTCATTGACACTCTAAACTCGCGCGACCTAAAGCGCACTCTTCATAGGCGAGGCTCTAAATTTGGTTCATTATAGACTTCCACGATGATAACCAAGCACGGTGACAATCCCTAACTAGTTAAGCTTTTGTTACAAACCTCACAAGGCGCGGGCTACCACTAATTACGGAGCAACCGAGAGCCAATTAACCCCTCAGTGAAGCCCCTAGTAAGTTGCATTGGCGCAGTCACGTGTGGTCCCTTTTGTGTATATATCTCGATCCGGTCTTCTATCACAATTTTGATTTTCAATTCTTCTTTAAACCTACTAAACAGCCTTTCGGCATAATTAAGAAACGATGTTATTATAGGTCTTCTATTCTTGCTTTTCTTGCCTCGCGTGATATAACTATACTAGCGGAAAAATTCTTTGAGAAGCTTATAGTTAGGAGTCTCACAGCCTGTCCTAAATTTATAGCCTTTGATTCCATTATATTTAACGAAGCTAAGAGCAAATCAGCAACGCACACGGCGGGCAATCCTCCTAGATAAATACGTCACAACTCACTCTATCTAACGGCGGACAGCGTCGGAATACATCCTCTTAGTCTTAGGTATTCGTTTATCCTTTTCACGGATAGTATCCTCTTCTATATAAGCGCTAAAAACATAGCCGCTGTTTTCTAGTTGCTTGGAGGTCTCGTCTTGCTAAGCAAAGAAGGTCTTTTAGCCTATGACTGAAAGTAACCCGACAAACGCTAAAGAGAATAAGATGAAGTAGAGATTAAAATAAAGGATAAAGCAAATATGTTCCGTAGGTTGAAAGGAAGGGGCATAGGTGCAATTTATACTTCACGACTTAAACACAGATCTTAGTGTCTGATCGGAGCAGAATACTTTTTTCCACGCTGGTGCATAGCAGGCGGCCTAAGACCTCCATTTTTGCGTCACCGTGGCCCAGTTCGTTATTTTTTTGAGGAGGAAAAGAGATTGCATGATCGAGTATCTCAAGAGACACGGGCACGATGAAAATTAAGGTCCACCAAAAATTAGATCGGAAAATACACAGAACTGTAGGGCAAAGCGCTCCTTTGGGTATGGGCTGAGCGGCGACTGGGTGCTCAATAGATAGTTACCTATAGTGAACATCTAAGTAATCAGTGATAGCTCAGTGAGTGATCAGTGAGCGCTCATTGGACCTCACTGATCATCACGTGATGGGACTGAGCAGCTCAGTGAGTCTGATTCCGGACTGATATTTACTTAGTGAGTCTGACTCTGAGCGCCCTCATAAAAGCGGCGGCAGCTAAAAGAGGAAAGCCCCACCTGGCATAGGAAAAATGTTACGTATAGTGACCTAGGTAAGTTAAGTAAACTAACTATCGGTGGGTACTAAGGCTACTTAGAAAGTTTACTTGTCGCCGGCACGTAGATCATCCGATCCAATATCAGTAAAACTTACCCTTAGTAGGTCAACGTAGAAAATATAGTGCATTATAGTCGTTAATGAATAGATAAGCTACGTTCTCCCTCCTAAACTATTTCATCAAATATTATACGGCACCTCATAATTCTCAATTCCGTTAATATTAGTAAGACCTTTCCTAAGTAGACTTATCTGTCCAGTATGTAAAAGTTAGTGGGTAAGTTCAGAAGTTAGTAAAAACAAGCTCTGCAGAGTATTACCTATAGCAACTCACTGAGTTTGACGAGTCTGTATATACACGGGAGGACTACAGCAAAGGAACCACTGCCCTTCTTGATCAGGTTGAGGCTCGTTGGAAACGGTACGTCCCATTTCTTCGTAGACATCGTCCCTCTTTTGATCCTTTATTTCCTAAATCGTTTCAGATTTTGTGCATGTCTCTGCAACGATCCTGAATCTGCGACGGGGTAAGAATAGAAGACGAGTACCCGGAATCAAACAAAGAAGCTCCTTGGAAATATTTTGGAAGTTATTTCGGCTGGTCTTCTAAAGAGCAACCTTAGAAAAGATAGGAAATCAAATGAATCGACGGATGCGCCGGGTGCCGTCACAGGATGTTCATCGAATTTGTGTCCGTACCATTTCAGATTGTGCTTAGCAAAAGCTTGGCAAGCCTTGGCGCTCCGCTTGCAGCCATTTTTCCTGGTCATGCGATTAGGTGTGTCGCAGTGTCAAGTGAATTCCCTTTTACATACCTTAAATCAAAGCTCTAAAACGATAAATAGATTTTCATGTATAGCCATCCTGGCGACACATCAGAGTCTAGGCATCGAGATGAGGCTATCCTATTTGAAAAAACCACGAACCGCCAAGACACCTGCCAAAGGATAGCCGCATGAATTAGGACTTATACGCTCATTTTATTTCTACTTCATATACTTCATTCCTTCATCATTCCTAGGCGGGCGGATTCAAGGTGTTTAAAATTGCGGAAGTTCAAGTCTTAGGTGGTGATTCTCGAGGTCTGCGTGGTTACACATATGTACGCTATTCTCAAAATAGGACTCAAAATGAAAGTGCTTCTAACATATTACCAGTTCCTTTTCTTTCTGACTCATATTAAACAATATAGCATGACTCAGGAAAGAAACGGAAGAAGAGAAATATCATCTTTGAATGCCTGCATACAGGGATTTGTTGTCGTTCTGCTTTTAACCGAAATGGATGAATAGATTCTCCGATAAGTTGCTCTCCATGTTTCAGCGAAGTTTGTCGAATGAGTGTATGCTCAACGCATTCTAGGGCGCCATCCGGTAAAAGTCAGTAATTTTCTTTCTCTACGTTGTCATTCATAGGTAGTGTAACGAACTGGTTCTGTCAACTTTCAGATGAGACCACGAATGCATATATCTTGCCCTAATTTCAGTCCATTGCGGACTGCTTCGGTGGGCACGACTTTGACAGCGCAAAGACCTTGCACCCGTGTTCTAAGACCTTCACAGCAAGCAAGGACCTTAGGACGATTCTTCTCACAGGTAGGAATTTTCGATCTTCGTGCTTCGCACTGCACATCGCGAGGTTTCCGGTTAAGCTCGCAACGAGCCTTGGTGAACGGGTCCTTGGCCTTTTTCTTGCAATTGTCTATGTCTTGTCGAACTTGGATGTGACAAGCTGCAACATCGTCCACGATTTTCTTTTTGCAGGTCGCGATGCCGCTTTGCACGGCCTTTTTGCAGCTGTCGATGCCCGAACGAATCAGATTGTTGCAATCCGCAGGAGCCCGTATAGCGTGAATATTAAAATCCCCTTCATCATTATCTATGTCAGAGACTAATGCTTCCCCTGACTCCTGTTCGTAGCCCGAGATAGCGTCACTATCCAAGGCCTCACTAAGAGACTCATCATAGTTTCCGTCAGATTTCGGGACGACGGCCGCGAGAATATTGTGACTGAACAGAGTAAGGAAGAGGAATAATGGAAGATATCGGACCATATTGATGATGTTAAGTTTACTTGTCAATCGTATGTGAAGTATTGATCCAACTGCAGTCGTTATAGGAGAGTGGGTGCTATATATATGTATTTTGAAACATCCAGAACGTTCTACAGGATTAGTCTAGACTTTAGCAAGGCTGGTGATCCGTATCATAGGACTTCTCATTAGGTTTGATCTTTACGATACTATGGGTCAGATCACCGTGCCACGTATCCAGAATAGAGCCCGATAGCTAAGTGCAAGCCTACTACCATAGCGATGGATGCTTATGAACCAGAGGATTGGACAAGAATACGGCCGATGTGCCCCCGCAGATGGGTCCATTGAATAAGATCAAAATGAGACCAGCGCAAATATGAGATGTATTGAAATTCGTCGTGCTGAAAAGTGGAATTTTACCACCAGAGGAGGTCATTCAACGACTATCCACTCCCATACATATTTCTGTAAGCTAAATCGGGTTAATCCAGAATTACCGCGTGGTAGTATGCTAATACTTGCCTTCCAGGCAATCAAACGTTCGCAACAGCGATCCCTAAGGTAGCTTCAATCAAATCCCTCAAATTGGTGTCCACAGTACTAGCAAGTATGGAAATTCTACTACCCTCTAGTCTGTTAGAAAGATCCATAGAAGTGAGCACAGCGGCACTAGAAGCCACAACCTTCTCGTAAGAGAAGCGCTTGTTCACGAATTACGCCAGATGTTTAAACCCCCGACCTGCTGTGGTTGGCGAGGCTTGTCAGGTCTTGGCGCGACGTTTGCAGTCGGTCTTCGTGGTCATGCGAGTAGGTATCTCGTGAGTAAATTCTCCTCAATCAGCCTTGGCATCAGAATCTAGAATGATAAATTGATCTCGATCCATTAGCTTTTTAGCGATACACCAGAGTCTAGGCCTTTGTATGGGGCGGTTTTTTTTGAAGGAACCGTTGATCTGCCAAGAGACCCGCCAAGAGGTATAAGCTACGTCAATCGGGCTTGGCACTAGGATGATTTTCCCTCAGAGTACTTTAAACTTTCAAATCTCTCAGAGCTTCCAGGATTAAGGTCTTCGGAACCATGGTTGTTCGGTCTTAGGGCCTCGAGGCCTACGTGACCAGACACATGCAGTCTTTCTACGGCCTAGGCTTCGCAGGTATCTCAGAATAGCATTCTGAAAGGAGAGAGTAACTGAAAAAATCTTTTCAGTTGCCTTTACCTCTGGTTCATATTTAGTAAGGGCATGATATGAAGCAAGGATCAGGAATGTGCCGCATGCGTGATGATATCAAGTTCAGACGAGATGCTTGGAACAGCAAGCCACATAAGGCAAGCCCAGAAAATCTCAATCATAACCAGCTCATATGAGATCATTCTAATAAACAGATGAAATACTTCAAAATTATTTGATACGTATTAGTTCAAGCTTCCGGTTTAGAAATCCGCAAGATGGCAAAAGCCCCTCACTCAGACGAGGTTTTACTCTGCAACTTTTAACATACATGCGTCAGAATCTCTCGGTTGGCGAAGATATATTAAGATAAGAATTCGTGTATCAGCTTAGAATAAGGATAATTTAAGAGGATTACATGGATCAATTGTTTTAATCACTATCCATCGTGCTAACCATTCACCTTATTTACCTCGTCTCTGTCCACTTGATTCAACTCTTTCTACCCCGGTTAAGTTGAATCCTTCGTCTACCCATCTTATTCCCTCAAAGACCCTCTTGTAACCTGCTGAATTGTTCAAACTATGGCAATAATCGATGTACGTTCTAGTCAGAAACCCATCCTCGCTACGTACCGAGCCCCGCGACGCGTGGTGCCTCTCGGCATAGGTAATCTCGGAAGCCAAGATCCCTCAGTGGCATAGAGCCGTTGCCCTGATACACTAATAGCTGCAAGAATACATCAATATCAGGCCAGCTCGGCTCGTTCAGTAGACATCAGTTCGCTCAGCCGTTTCTCGGTCCCTGTCGACCTTCTATTTTCGCTTGACATCTGCGAAAGGGAGGTCACTGTCTCCGTCTGGGACATCCGTGTATGATGCGGGTCTTGATACCCAAAGATGGGCAGCGGAGCAAGGTCATCTCTAGGTTGATCTATCACCGACACTTCCTGAGTGGCTTTATGGCGTCTTTTGCGCCGGCATAATAGGAACGCACCAATAGTGGCGGCTATTAACAAAACTCCTAATGAAACTCCAAGACCAATTCCAACTTTAGTGGTTGATGACAAGCCATTGCTAGTCTGAGAAGTCGTCTCGGTCGTTGAGGGGGATGTAGTTTCGGCGTTAGTGGAAGAAAGGAGAGTCGTGGACGTCGCTTTCGTCGGGCTTGCAGTCGTGGAAGTCGATTCATTGATGAAATTGTACGCGACCGGTGATGGATCACTTGTGTATCTTTTTGCGACCCCGAAAGTGACGCCTGTAATATTGTCACCGTACGACTCGCCCTCGGCTGTGAATGGCTGGAGCTTGAAGTTGCAGCCAGACTCTTTGTAGTCTTGACGAGTCGCTGTCCACACGTAACTATAGTTGTTGTTTGTTTTCTCTAAAAAAAAAAAAACGAAAGTTAGGATACCATTAGAAGCTTTCAATACTGATTCAAGACTGTCCCACCTTCTAATGCGCGGTCATCGCTCCCGCAGCTCTCATAGAGCGAGACCAGAGGGGCAAGAACATTCCAGGTTACGTTCACCAGGTCCGCTACGATGAAACGACTCACGGCTTCTGTTGGAAATGTAAAATTGCCTCCCATGTTTCATCTAGGGGCATGAAAAAGGAACCGATGGGTGGCTGTTGATAGTGGGGAGTTATGACAGCAAGGCGACTTTCATGGAGGCTGGTCAGAAAGTGAGATAACAAATAGGGAGGCAAGCCATTTTATGAACGAGCAAGGCGACCGAGCCCCTCCTGCTATGCGTGCTATGTCACGGGGCAAGGCTCATTGTTTTGCATGAGACTAGGAAGTATATGGGGTAGCCCCTATGAACCCTGCCTAGTGCGGGATGCTAATGCATTACAAGTGCCCGTCATGATCATTGGTTTTTGACACTCGGAAGTACAAACGAAAGTTGTTCAAGCAAGGCCTGAATTGTTGCATAGACCATAAACAAGAAGATGGGCAAGTACCAGCATCATCAGGCAAAAGAGTGATTGATTGAACAAGGAAATCTACAGTAGGTGTATTGGAAAGAAACGGGCTCGGGTCGAACCGTCCGTCAAGATTTGGGGTCGGACCACAGCAAATGGGTGGATCCCCAGAGGCAGGAAGTGCTAGTTCGTCGATCGGCTCCCGCTAAGATTAGTCCCATATTTGAGCCGATCCTATTCGCCAGTCAGCTAGGGTAGACCACATCAAGCAGCACCTGTCGTGCTAGAGATGTGATTATTTTGAGATCCATTATGCTTGGCTAGCCAGGTTTGCGGTCAGATGATCGAGTCAAAGGAATACCATGTAGAAGCTCTGTGCTGCAGAGAACCAATTCGGAGTCATGATCGATAAGCCATCTGAAGTTATGGGAGGACATGTCTATGTTTCGCTTGGTCGTCATACTTCATCGCGTTCTGTCAAGTGGGGCTACTCCTCCGGCACTCAACGCCAATGCGATCGAATCTACATCTTCCCTTCTCCAGTCACTCCGCCATGATATCCAGCATCCTCTACACATGCTGTCTCCTCTGTCCTCTATATCTAATTTATAAACCTCCCCAAACATTCGTCAAATATCTCCAACGCCGCTGGCCCGACGTCCTCTTCCACCACCCCACCACACAGAAAGTCATTGCCTTAACTATCGACGACGCCCCTTCGACACATACACCCGCTATTCAAGAGCTCCTGACACCGCACAACGCAACGGCAACTTTTTTCATCATCGGCTCCCAGGTACCAGGCCACGAGAGCGATCTAGCCAATCTGATCCGCCATGGAAATGAACTAGCCAATCACGCCATGTACGACGAACCGTCACGCGCGTTAAGCGACGCGACACTCGCAGAGCAGATTGCTACCGTGGAAGTGATGATCCAAAACGCCTATCGTGAGGCCAGTCAAGACGGACCCGAGAATTGGTTCTTTCGTCCCGGCTCGGGCTTTTTCAGTTCCCGTATGCGCGCGCTAGTTAAGGGGTTGGGATATCGATTAGCGCTAGGGGATGTCTATCCCCATGATCCGCAGGTACCGTTTGCGAACTTGAATGCGAGGCATATCCTGAGTATGGTACGACCGGGGAGTATTATTGTTTGCCATGATCGGAGGGAGTGGACGGTGCCGATGTTGGGTGTGGTTTTGCCCGAGTTGCGGCGTCGGGGATATCGAGTTGTAACGCTTTCTGAGTTGATTCAAGAGGGCTGACTTCCCTCTTGCAATCTAGCCTTCCAACGAAGCCCTGGCTGGCACCACTGATTCCATCTCAACATATCTTTTGATCCTTTCAGACAGTGATAGTTTTGTCAATCAACCAACCAATCAACCAATATTCATTGGCCCGATTTAGCTTCTTTTACATATAGGTGTCATGCGGGGGTTTGCTATCTTGCATTTCTAGCAGCAGACACAGAAAAAGGCAACGTGTGATGCAGTCAGAACACACGAGGACAACAAAATGCAGGTACTTTGAAATTATATACAGATACAGGATTTCAGCGATGATATCAACATGTGACGGGCTATTGTGTCAAATCCCTCCACATATGCAGTACCGTTTTCCACCAGCTCTGTACAGTCGTCGGTGCGGTAGTCGTGGATACTTTACTCAAGGTATCCTCTCGGGTCAAATCAGTCCCATTGACGGGGTATACGTGATGACCGTCCATGCCATTCATCACCTGCAGGGATGCGGATTGTGGCCGTGTTGAGACCACGCTACTACATGTGCTGCGTGATTCTCGCTCGCCTTCCTTGCTACCCAGCAGATGTCCTGCTGTCGCCACGCAGCCTCCATATGCAAAGCGGACTAGTGAATCGCCCGTCAAACTACCGATAATATAGACATCCGGGGCGACCTCCAAGTCTTCCAGTGCTTTCGCTCGCAGTGTCTGGCCTGAGATGGCCACGTCCACCTCATCGTGGCCGAGCACCTCCGTGCGAAGTTGCGAGTCGAGATAGCCTAGAGTACCTCGCCGACCAGCTGCGTAAACGAGGCCCCGCACGGACCGTGAGAAGGTGGACCCGTCCTCTCGACGGAAGGTGACCTCGGCCAGATCATCTTCCATCTCCACGGCGATGACCTCGACATTGGAGACTCCCTCATACGCTTCATCCCAATTGCGGCTTTCCAAAAAGCCCGTCGAAGCGCCACGGCGATATTTTGGCCGCTGGCTTTTGCCTCCCGAACCGGCAGCAAGAGCAGCCCTCTTCATTAATCGATAAACCCCCGCGTATTCTGGATATGCGTGTTGATGACAGCCCCGAAGCGGTGACGGGCGATCTTCGGGAGACCATTTAAAGACGTGCAAAATCTTTTGGTTCTTTGAAGCAGAAATAATAGCGTCCGCCGCAGAAAATCCAGACCCAATTACAAGTACAGGTACATCCGGCGTAATCTTCGCTTGAAGCAGCGGCTGTAGTATGGGCGGAGGTGGAAGAATCTCCGAGAAAATACCACTTGCGAGCACCAATCGCTTGCAGCGGATGTTGTGGGACTGTATAAAGAAGCCGTCCGCGGTGCGGGAGATGCCACTCAATCGTTCCCCGCATTGAAAGACATCATCGACCTGGACAGCTGCGGGGTAAGCCTGGAAGTAGTCGGCAATCTCACGTCTGGTCGGTCGGGTATATTGAGGTAGATCCTGGCCAGTCACCTGTCGATGGTGATCGGTGAACGAGTAGCCCGGCAAGGATAACATGGCTGCATAACTCAAAGTTTGAATATCCCAGCTCGCCCCATGAGGATCCTCCGTCCATTGACCCCCCGGACGAGGCGCGTCGCCAAATACGAGGTGGGAGACGGCCTTTTCGGGCACATGGCGCCACTCGATATTTGACGTGCAGCCTGAATCGTCGATATCAACGCTCGGTCGCACCAGGGTATCCAGCAAGACATTCACTGGTAGAGCCTGGGTGGAGTAGGATAACCGAGAAGCCGCGAAATGCGCGGTAAGCGCGTCGACGTCGGCATTTAGCAGGTTCGGGGTGTTCTGCAACTTGGAATCAAGTAGGGAATCCGGATGCGGAGGGTTCCGCGAGTAGAACGGAATGTGACCATGCAGAATGTATGAGAGGATCATGGCCGACGGCCCATTGCCTGATATCAAACAGAGCGTTAGCCAGATTCTTGATTCGCCAGAATATCGGAGAATCAAAATCAACGATCAGATATAAGATCTTACCGACGATGACAGTGTCGGTCTCCATTGAGGACGACGGGGCCTCCGATGCTGCATCAACCCGCGCGGGGCATTCTGAAGTCATGCAACTAGGAAAAAAAAAAAGATAATTACAATCACGACAGTCTCATCCGATGGAAATCAAAACGAGACTCCCCCGGGGCAGATCAGTTGTCGAAGGCCAGGACCAGCAGAGCCAGGAACGGCCATGAAGAAGGAAAGAAAATGTAGTTCATCGATGCGGCGGGCGGGGGGCGTTTAATTTTCGGAGAAGTCCTCCCAGAGAATTCCGGGGCATGATCGGATCAATAATCATGCTGCTGACAAACTGGGTCGCCCCGATTTTAGGAGGTCCACCGGAGTGGGGAATCGGGACGAGACTGGAAGCTCTTAGCGGTCATCATTGGTACGTTGTCCAAGGCTTGAACTTGCTTTTTCTGTGACTGTCGGATCACTCTCCAGCGTCAGGAAATGAGGAAGATGTCAAGTTTAGAAGAATCGACAGTTCGGCAATGCAAGTGCCCGTCCGGGCGGAGCCTCGATCTGCCAAGGAGCCAATTGTAGGTGGAAGGTGTTGAATTAAGAATGATAGAATCATATCATGGGTCAATGACGGAATTCGCACGCTTGGATACCAATTGAAGGCTGAACTAAGCAATTATGGTGTTCCAATCGACTCTACAAATAGAGAGGCATGAGCCAGAGTGCATCATCTCAGTCTGATCTATTCGCAGTCTCCTTTACAAGAGAAAGGAAGACGATGGCCGGGATCACTTATGTGATGGATCATACTCAGCTACGAGCATTCAAGTATACAAGGGCAAGGCTCTAATCCCAAAGACGTGGTTTGATTCCTGTGTAAGAATAGGTATGTTACACATTCGGTCTAGATAGTACTTCACCTCCATGAATCCACCCGAACCTCAACTATGAACGATTCCAATCGGTCATTGATGCCCGAAGCACTACTATTGGATCTCGTATCTGCTCACGAATTACAAAGGACTATTTCCATCTTGTTGGAAAACTACTCCCTCCTTTGCTTGCAGGAATGACATGAGCATACTTACAGTACTTCCCTGCCCCTCCTCCAGCCCTAAGCCCTACCTTCCCAATGCGGCAATGAGGCTGGGGATTGCGTCGCAGATCGCAACTCCGACTCCGAGCACGCGCAGCCTCTAGAACCTCCGGATCTCTTACAGGCTTGTTTTCCCATGATTGCCTCGGCTCGACTATCTCGGTCGCATCGGTCTTGATCTTGCGACCATGTATCACCTGGCCAAGTCGCTGTATACGTACGCGACCAGCAAAGAAGGTAAACGTCCGTCCGTAGCGCAAGCTACGTGCCCTACCCCCGGTGCTCCTCGCTGACCATATATCTACCAAAGAGTACTCTGTCCTCCTCCTCGGGCTCGATAACGCCGGCAAAACCACTCTCCTCTCCCAAATCAAAGCCCTCTACCAACCCCGCCCCGATGGTTCTCCCGCGCCGAACCCGGGCAAGACCGTCCCCACCGTCGGCCAGAATGTCGCGACCATCTCCTTATCAGATATGAACCTGAAGATCTGGGACGTAGGCGGCCAAATCTCCATGCGCGGTCTCTGGCAAAGCTACTACTCGAGTTGCCACGCGATCATCTTCGTGGTCGACAGCGCCGATGTAGGCCAAGATCCAGATATCACCCGGCTTCCATCTGCCTCCAGTCGACGCCCGAGCTCCGTATCAGGGCCGACGCGAGGGAGTATCGGTACGAGCGACCAATTTTCTGAGCATACAGTCGGTATCAACGCGCCCGGAAGCGATTTCGGACGATTGGACGAGTGTCGACAAGTCTTAGAGTCGGTGCTGCAGAGTGCCGACGTGGCGGGTGTTCCGATCCTCGTTCTGGCCAACAAGCAGGACCGTGAAGATTGTGTCGAAGTCGTTCGCATCAAAGAGGGGTTTGTGCGGAAGGTATTCGAAGGAGAGACGGGGAGCGGCGTCCGAGACAGCCGCGTGCTGCCGGTCAGCGCGCTGCTTGGATCAGGCGTGCAGGCTGCCGTCGAGTGGGTGCAGAGTCGTGTCCGATGGAATAAGGAGGGCCGGCCACCGGTGATGCGGTAATATACTAGGATAATGGAATGGGGCGTGAGTGTGGGTGTAGTTGTAGTGGCAGAGCTACAACTGGGCGAAACTCTCTGTACAGGAACATACACTCGATTGCATCATGGCGTTACTTAATGATATTCCCATCTACCTTTGTTTTTCATAGATATACCAATTGATTCTGTTCGCCCAACAACCGATCTTACCTGGATCTATCCCCATTTTGCCTGGCAGACTGCGCCAAATGCGAATGGAATGAGACACAAATGTAATATTTCGAGTAAATCTAGCCCTGTTCGACTAGACCCTGGACATTTCCGTTGATTCACAGCAGAGCATCCCAGTATTTTAGTGGGTCTCAACATCTCAATATTCTCATGGAGTAGATACCAGTGTATCACGAATGGAAGACATGCGATTTTTCTAGAATGTATATACTGAACTCGAACGCAGAGGGATGGCAAAGCCGAATGCTCCAAGAACTCAACACGTCAGCTTTGTACGAGCCGCATTGGCACTCGAGCGTTGAAATAACAGTCCAATCTGATTAGCGGGTTGATCCTTGACCTACACTGCATATGCATAGGGTTGCAGATGGAGAGCCGTTCTAGATTAGGACCCACAGCTAGCCTCGGCCTGGGATTCCTCCAATAATGTCCCAAAATGCATGAACGACAAGCAAATGAAATCAGTTAGTATCTCTGTGGGAAAATCAGGGAAATGTCCTTAAATTAATATCGATAGCTTTGCATCTCTGAAATCATCCCATATTGGAATGTCAGGGATTGATGTCACGACCCACGGATGATCCGCGCAACCTACCGACCTGCTTTCGGAACATATCATCTACCAGGACCGAGGGGCAAGAAATATCTAGACTGGAGTACCAAAGATTAGGTACTCTACAGAGTCAGTTGAAGGATCTTTGCGCAGCAATGAAGTCAGTTGCGGTGGATCTGACGTCACGCTTCCAATGCTCTTCCAGATGGAAATCCGCCATGTACTATATAAGTGGTACTTGTATCAGAGGGCTGGGATATAGACTCGGAACTAACGAAATACTTTGAATTTTTCTGCTACTTTCGAAGTAACCATCTATCATTCACCACATATCACCATGAGCACACTTAGCAACCCCGATTCGATCAACCACAAACAGGGTCCCTTCAAGCCCTCGGTGGCACCCGAAGGGCCTACGACAAACAAGGGTGTAAGTATACATCTCTATCACGAAGAATACACCAAAATAACAACAGTGGCCAGCATCAACCCGGCCGCAAGGTCAATGAGGCTGATCAGCGCCCCGAATTCCACATGGAACGCCTCCCTCCCGGCACCGCACCTGCTAGCAACTCCTACACTCCCAACACTGTGAACCAAGTGGGCGGTCAAGCCAACAACCCAGATGTTCTCCGTGCACACGGCAAGGAGGCCGTTTACACATCCGCCGAAAGTACATTGAGGGGAGCTACTTCCGCCGATGTACACACCGGGTTTGGCAAACCCCTCGTGGGCCAGACCGGCGTTGAAGTCGCCCATGACGGTGCCCATGGCCGAAAGAAGCAGCGTGGAAGTCTGGAGGGCGTTGGCGCTTCCCACGAAGACAAAAGTATGGAACGTAAGTTGCCGGACCAGCGTAGTCTTGAGAAAGAACATCAAATGAGCGGCCGTCGGGGTGACAAGGCAGATCGCTCTGCGGCGGACATGCGGCCAGAGCCTGCTGAGACTCTGGATGCCGAGTGGAAGTCTGAGCCTAGTACCAAGCGATGAATGAATAGATTGGGGGAATTATGATGGAGGACGGATTTATCAACGCGCCATATTCCGGAGCGCATACTTGGGCTCGCTGGTGTTTTATTAGAGGTCGATCGTGCGAAAAAGAGAGAAGATGTTGGGCATATGAATACAATTAAACTGATGATGTTACATGGCACGAAATTGTGGAAAAATATGTACAAGTCGTATCTCCACTTCGAAGAGAGATCAAACGTCCGAGAAATTCAACTTCAAGGTTCAAGGATTCACTGGCTGTTGCGAGCGGCGGTGGAAGTCCGGGTTTTCCCTGCTGGCGGCTTCTTCGGCCAGCTTCGAGCAATATCGATATTTGCTCTGGGGAACCACATTTCGAGGAAGACATAGATCAAGAAGTCAATGACAACGCAGAGACAAAAGAGCTTGCCAGCCCAAACACCACAGCCGTAGTACCGTTTCAGACGGTCGATGAGCGCGAAACTGCGTACACGATCTCCACTAGCCTCCCAACCTTGACCTGGATAATAGCCGTAGAATTCCTCGGGGCTGATATCACCCGTGATGCCTTGGTAGACTCTTTCGGTACGTTCGGCCACATCCCGCCAAGAGTACATCATTTTCACTTGGTCGTGGAAACGGTCCGTTCGGACTTTATTCGAGCGCAAGGCAGCAATTGCCTTGCTAGTTGCAACGACGAGGTCGTCTTCTTCTGGCTTCGCAAATGTCGTCATATGCTGTGGCAACACTTCAGGAATACCACCGACTCGGGTACAGACAACATACAAACCGCAACTGGCGGCTTCAACGATGACAGTACCAAACGCTTCCGTCAAACTAGGATGTAGGTAGATGTGACCTCGTACCATGACATCTCGCACCTCTTCGTGTCGAACCGAGCCAAGCATCTCAACCTTGTCTTGAAGCACATTGCGTTCTAACATCTGTTCAAGGTCGATGGCCTTGGGTCCAGACCCAGCGATGATGAAGCGAGTCTTTGGATTCAAAGCAAGAATCCGTGGAATGGCGGCAATTAGGAGATCAGTGCCCTTGTTGTAAAAGAGGCGGGAAATTACCACGATCGTGATCGTATCATCAGGACCGATTGATGTAGGGGGTGGTCGTTGGTCAGAAGGGGATGTGGGAATCTGATCCAGCGCACGAGAGTTGTATGGGAGCGGGCGGAAATTCTCCGCGACGACGGCATTTGGAATGACTGATACCATCAAGGGGTCTAATGAGGCTCGAAGGACAGTGTTCTCCTTACTAGTACTCGTTAGTTCATGGTCAAGTGATAAGCGCCAACATCCACATACCAAGTATGGCTGACACAAATCGCATGGTCCACGTCACTCAATGTAAACTTGAGCAGCTTGTTGGTCAAAATGGAGGCAGCATCGGCGAATCCGAAAAGAGAGTGGTCCGTAAAGACGGTCCGCAGGCCCATTGTTCGCGCATGGAGAATGGCTTCTCCACAGAAGCTACTGAGACTGGCATGACCGTGAACAATCTCAATTTGTTCACGGATCACAATGTTGCGGAATATGGGAAAGAACGAGAAGACGGTAGGGAATGTGGTTTCGCGGTAGATGACGAAGAAGGGGACGTGGTAGATTTTCAAGCCGTTGGTGAGGTAGCGGACGCCTGTTCGACCTTTGTATGCATGTGTGATGATGATGACTTTATGTCCGCGGTCTATGAGTTTCTAGACTACTGTCAGGATCGGATAGAGGATCGAGAGAACGATAGCAGGACTACCGGGGTGCATACGGATGACAATTGGTAGATGTGACTTTCAATTCCCCCTGGACGAAGTTCAGTATTGTGCTGATAGCTAGCGAGAAGAGTTGAGAGACATACCCGATTGGGGGAAAAAGAAGTCACTGACCATACTGTCACAAGCAAGTTCAGTGTTAGCGATCAGGACATCATAGTACTCTTCCCCTTGGAGGTATAAACACTCACGCAATGTTATACGGCATAATGTCTTTGAAGTTGAGGCAAATGGGTCTGAGACAACAAAAAGCTATCTCCGGTATAATTGGCCTTGCCCATGGCGATAACCTTAATTGGCTCTTTCAGACATGAGCGAGCAGCAACCACAATCGCGTCGAGGCCGATGACAACGAACGTGAAGCTGCGCGATAAGAGTGGGGCGGTCAACTGGAGGGCGGTGGGATGTGGAGAATACTGCCGGCATAACATAAAAAAAACCCAATCTGCTCCTCACCCAGAGCTCTCCATCTCCAACACAGACGGTCACCCCAAGCACCTCGGAGAAATGGCCGGTTCCAAGGCTGCCCTTGGATCCTCAAAGATGGAATCAACCCCAAAATCCTCAAAGTCCCACAAGCGAAAGCGAGATATCGAAACCTCTAATGCGACGACGCCAACTCCGACCAAGAAACACAAGAAGCGCGAAAGGTTGCCTTCCACCACCGGAGATGGAAGCGCCACTAAGCGGGAACGACTGAAAGATAACCTCCAAGGTAGCGATTTTGACAAAGAAACCCGGAAAGAGAGCGCCTCTCCAGAAAAGCGCCGGAAGGATCGACTTGATGAATCAGGCAAAAACACAAAGGATGGCAAACGAAAGAGCTCTGGGCAGGACAATCCAGAAGATTCTGAACCTGCAGCTGCGCACTCTAAGTCTGGGGAGGAGAAGGAGGAGAAGGAGGAGGCAGAATCTTCTGAAGATGAGGGCAAGCGCCGCAAGTCATCGAAAGCGAAACATGCGGGCATCCTGTCCAAGTTCGAGCGGACTAAAACGGCGGCAAGCGCAAAAGCAAAAAAAGCCAAAACAGCGACTCCGGAAGCCGAAGGAGCAACAGAGCTGAATGTCGAGCCTGTCATTGCCCAAGGTCTTGAGCCATTGCCTCAGCCAGAGAATCCGCCCGAGGTGACGGAGGCGCCCACATACTCCTCCTTGCCTCCATGGCTAGCGAACCCTCTGCGAGCGTCGGCAAATGAACGAGCTAAATTTTCAGACCTGGGAATCAAGTCTGACCTTCTGCGCATCCTCGAGCAGAATGATTACAAGGAGGCATTCGCCGTGCAGTCAACGGTCATCCCTTTGCTGTTGGACGGCAGTAACAGTCACCCAGGTGATCTCTGTATCAGTGCTGCCACAGGCTCAGGAAAAACCCTTTCCTATGTTCTCCCGATGGTCACGTCCCTCACTCCCAGAGCTGCTTCTAGACTTCGAGGACTCATCGTTGTCCCTACCAGAGAACTGGTCAAGCAGGCCCGTGAAGCATGTGAGCTGTGTGCCTCCGGTTCGCGCCTGCACATTGGAAGTGCAGTGGGTAATGTGGCAATCAAAGAGGAGCAGAAGCATTTGATGCGGGTCGATCAGATTTACAATCCCGCAACCGTTGCTCAACGACAGAAGTCAGGGTTGCAGGGTAACGACTGGATGGACTTCAGCCTTGAAGACTGTGTCAATGAAGCAGTAGACTCAACTGGATACTTGCCTGGCTATATCCAGCGAGCCGAGCCAAATGTGGATATTTTGATTTGCACACCCGGTCGACTTGTTGATCACCTTCGATACACGAAAGGGTTCACCCTCAAGCACCTTGAATGGTTGGTAATCGACGAGGCCGATCGTCTGTTGAATGAGAGTTTCCAAGAATGGGTGGATGTGGTCATGGGGTCGCTCAACTCACGTCAAGATCCCGAGACCTTTGGACCCGGAGGTCAACTTCTGTCTGAGCTTAGACTTCCAATCGATACTCATCCTCCCCGCAAGGTGATCCTGAGCGCGACAATGACCCGAGATATCACCAAACTGAACTCTCTGCGTCTGGACAACCCTAAGATGGTCATCGTCAGTGCTGAGAGTACCACGGATGGAGAAGATCTATCTGCGTCCCATCCAGATGCTCACTATACTTTGCCATCAACTTTGCAGGAGCACATTATTGCTGTCGATGATGCATCCCAGAAGCCGCTTTACCTCCTGCGCCTTCTTTTGTCACACATCAAGATCAGCGGTGCGGACAAGAGCCCCAAGACGCAAGCTCCTGCTTCTACTGGGTCCGACTCTGAGAGTACCAGTTCCGATGATACCAGCTCCGACGAATCTTCTGATGATGACACTTCTGATGATGACACTTCTGACGATGACACTTCTGACGACGAGACTTCTTCCTCGGGCTCAGACTCTGATTCCGACTCCGAAGTCTCGTCCGACTCGGATTCCGATTCATCTAGTGATTCATCAACAGACGAATCTTCTGATTCTGAGGATGAAGCCATTGACATCGCGCCTGCAGTTGGCTCCCCCCGTACGACAGTCCTTATCTTCACCAAGTCCTCTGAAGCTGCATCACGTCTATCCCGCCTTATCTCCCTCCTTCATCCCCCACTCGCCGACTGCATGGGAACCATCATCAAATCGAACAAATCGTCTGCATCTCGCAAGACACTGGCAGCGTACCGTCGCGGCCGTATCTCCGTCATTGTTGCTACTGATCGTGCCTCTCGTGGTCTGGATCTTCAGTCATTGACCCATGTCATCAACTATGATATCCCGCCCAGTGTGCCTACCTACGTGCATCGTGTTGGCCGAACCGCCCGTGCCGGCCGCGAAGGCTCCGCATGGTCTCTGGTCGCCCACCGCGAAGGCAGATGGTTCTCCAACGAAATTGCTGCCAGCGTTGAAGGTCGTATCACGCGCACTGCCAGTATTGATCGGGTCCGTGTGAAGACGGATTCTCTCAAGTCACTCCAGTCCAAGTATGCGACAGCTTTGGACCAGCTCGAAAAGGAGGTCAAAGTCGGCAGGGCAAGCTCATCCAAGCGGGCTTGAATTATGCCATCAATAGCATCTTACAAATGCTTTATATGATAGTCCATGCATAGCGTCCTCTGTATCTTATTGTACCCCCTCTTGTATACTACATCAAGAACATTTTACTTGACCGCCTTCAAACCTTCATTGGTTCTGTCATGATTATCAGGCCTCTCTTTGAAACTCAGTTCCAACCCGTACTCTGAAGGTATAGAGTGAAATCATCAAATAGCAATACAATAACCGTAGTAGCCGTCACAGAGCTAGGACGTTGGGGAGATCGTGATGGTTATCCCACGCCCCAATCGGGGTTGTCTCGGCGAAACAAGCAACTCTCCGCATGCCGATCTTCTAGCTTTTACCCGACCAAGGGGAACTTTCCGGCGACTATGAAAATATCCGAAAGGAATGATAGATTATTGAAGGTAGCAGTTATGCATTGGATCCACACGTGCGGGGAAATGGCACCGTTACGCTCAAAAGCCGATGAGACTCATAATCTGATAGTCAGGGCCATGATGTTAAAGCCAAGACTTTCCACACTTGGAGCTACCATATTGTACCAATCTTCAGCCAGTATGGTGAGGGTCAAGCATTCAATTGCTGCCTTTGCAGCTTACTTAGCCCTAGCTACTGCGGTCATTTTCAAGCCTCAGAATGAATACAAAGCACTTTCTGCCGAGAGCGCATCCTTTGCCATTGATTTGCAACCGTGGTTCAATAACCGTGCCTTTGGATTGAAGCCAAATGATTCAAGCTTCGATGCCAATGGAAGTGGGTGCGCCCCGTATCATCATTCATTCACGTGAGTGACTAACAAGGCTGTTGCCTCATAGATTCATACCCAGCAGCGCAAATACCACCCGAGGACTTCACATACGGGGGATTCAATTATCACTTTTCGGCATACAATGCCACCGGATTTGACAATATCCTCGTCAAAGGGCAAACCGTTAATATGCCTCGGGCAAGATATTTTAGCTATCAGATGCTTGCAGCTTCCGAGTCTGGAATGGCTTCTGGTTCAGTGACAGCCGAATACGCCGATGGTAGCTCCACGCGTGGGCCACTTCTAGTTCCAGCTTGGTGGAGTTGGCCGTATCCTGCTGGAGGCGATCTAGTATTCTCCTGCTACCTGACCGAGAACGAAACGAATTATAATAGATCGAACATCTTCCAGACTATCAACTGGCTTGATGCGTCCAAGGATCTCGTTTCCCTGACATTCCCGAACAACTCGGCCGGGTCATCGACATCACCCGGAGGAGCATCGGTTGATACGAAACTGCATGTCTTTGCTCTTTCGATGCTGCCCGTTCCAAAGGTCGATCCAGGTACAGTAAATTTGGAGATACAGTATGCCCGTTCCACACAAAAGTGGATGGAAGGAACCGACAAAATTCAAATCATTGAAGCTATAATCAATAATGTCGGCTCGGATTTCGTTCTCCGCAAGAACAGTGTTCGAGTGCTTGTTGAGTCTGCAGGCCTGGAAACAGTGACAGAAGGCACTATCAAACGCCTCGGACCGGGCGATCAGGCCATTGTGGAGATCGGTGTTCGAAACCGCAAAGGAGTGAAACCTGGAGAGGCTGGCCCAGCAACAGTGGTCATCAAAGGCCAGCATGTATCGTCTTCAAAATACACGTTCACTGCGACATATGGAATCAGCCAATATGAAGCCACCTATGAGTCTGTCTACAATCATGAAGCGCCGAACTGGTACAACAATGCCAAGTATGGCATTTTCATCCACTGGGGAGTATACTCGGTACCTGGATGGGGAAATGCGGGTTCCAAAGAGGATTACGCTGAATGGTGGGCTTCTGCAAAGGAAACACAGGATGTGATTGCACTGCTGACGGGAGATTTAGGTACTGGTGGTGGTTAAACGAGGGTCCAAGCAATCCAACGGATGTGTATGATTACCATCTCGAGACGTACGGCAAGGATGTTGTTTATGATGACTTTATCCGAAATTTCACTGCCAGTGCATGGGATCCAAAGGAGTGGGTTGACTTATTCGCCGATGCTGGAGCCAACTACTTCGTCCAGGTCAGTAAGCATCATGAGGGGTACGCTTTGTTCGATCTTCCAGAAAATGTGACAAAGAGGACTTCGGTCGCTTTGACGCCCCATCGTAATCTCGTTAAGGTAAGTCAACAGATCTCCACGATCATCCCTTGCCAGCCATTTAACCAAGTCTTTTTGTTAGGAATTGTTCGATGCCTCGAAGAAGTATCAGCCACACCTTCACCGTGCTGTCTACTACTCGTTGCCGGAATGGTTCCATCCTGACTACAAGAAATACGGATTTTCGTCATGGCCCGGAGGTACGATTGAGATTTCTTCTCTTCTCTCCTAGTTATTTATACTTAAGTAATTGCAGGAAACGCAACCAACCCGTACACCAATGAGACTCTACCCTATACAGGCTACGTTCCACTGAACGATTATGTCATCGACAAGATCTTGCCAGAGATGAACACCCTAGCCGACATGGGTACAGAAATTATGTGGTGTGACATTGGTGGTCCCAACCGCACAACCGAATTTGCAAGCGCATGGTTTAATCGCGCCGCAGAGCAAAATCAACAAGTGGTAATGAATGCCCGTTGTGGTCTCCCCGGAGATTTTGATACCCCAGAGTATGCCCGTTACAACGGTGTCCAGGTCCGCAAGTGGGAGAGTAATCTGGGTATGGACCCTTATAGCTACGGCTATAATCGAGCCACACCCTTGGCCAGCTACATGAATGCCAGTACTATCGTCACTAGTCTGATCGATATCATTAGCAAGAACGGCAACTTCCTGCTGGATGTTGGCCCCGCTGCTAATGGAACGATTGTCGATATTGAACAGCAGCATCTTCGCCAGGCGGGTACTTGGATCAAGAGTCATGCAGAAGCCATTTTCAACACAACCTACTGGTTTGTGACACCTGAAGAAGGGGATAATATTCGTTTCACGATTTCGCAGGATGCTTTCTACATCCATTCCCTCGCCAACCCCTACAGTACTCTCACTCTGTCAAGTCCCATTCCATGGGTACCCTGCGATCAAGTGAAGGTGGTGGGAGGGAAGATGGATGGTACGGTTGTGCCAGTCCAGAAATTGAGCAATGGCTCCATCGTTATATCCGTGAGCAAAGATGTCTCAGCTGGAGATCAATTTGCCTGGGTGTTCAAGATTCCATATTGATGTTAGTACCGCTCGACGGTGGTGCGGGAAGAACGAGCTGGGGGCTGTTTCGAGAGATTATGACAATGTCCCATCACCTTGCGATGAAACGTGGCAGGTAAAGAGTGGGATGTAGCTGTCGTATTCATTTCAAAGCCTTGAAATTATGGATTATACGTCCGGATAAGGATCGGAAAACCGATGTATTTAGGTTTCAGTCATTGATCTAGGCTCTTGAACGAAATACAGATTCCATTTCTAGGATGTCGAAACATAATTTCCGAGACTGACATTAAGATACAAGTGGTTGAAAACGGTGAAATTTCTCAAATCAAGCTGGGGGAATCTGTTGCTCATCCAGTGGCCACTTCGAAATAACAGTCTCGTCGCCTGTCAATGTAAAGGACAGAACGGCTGAGCGCTCGTTGTTCAGAGCCAGCTCATACTTGCCCGGGTAGATTACGCGATTGCCCAACGAGTCCGTACGAGCAACGTTGTCAAGAGAGACGGGAATCGTCATCATCTCGGAAGAATGCGGCTTGATGGAGCCGAGACGGTCAAAGCCAACCAGCCACTTGTTGGGATAGGGCTTAGGGCCGGCAGTTGTATTTGCGAAAAGCATTGCCGTATAGTCTGAAGAAACACTTCCACTGTTGGTGATACTAACCGTGAAGTTAAGGAACGGAAGTTGCTCAATCACATTGTAGCCATCGTGGGACCGAGACAGGAGATCGACAATGTCAAACGATGCCGCGTCCACACTGCCTTTGGCACGGGACAAAGATGTCTTGAACGTTGTATAGAACAGTCCATGACCAAACTCGTATACTGGTGTTCCTGTGTACCACATGTATGTCTGTCCCGGGTTGCTGCCACCAGGACGCATGCTCATATCTGTGGCAGGGAACTGGAGTGCATACTCGGCTGGGTATTGTGTGGTTGTCAAGCGACCAGCAGGAGCACGCTTTCCAGTGATGATATCCAAAAGCGCCTGGCCACCAGATTGGCCGGGGTATCCACCCCAAATCAGAGCGTTGACATTCTTGTTGGTTTTCAAGGAGGAAGAATCAACCTGGCCACCACCCATCTGAAGCACAACCAATGGCTTTCCTAAATCACTCAACTCCTTGATAAGTTGAAGTTGATTACCCGGCCATGTGATGTTCTGTCTGTCCATTCCCTCTGCTTCGATCGTGTTGTCAATACCGCCGGCGAAAATGATCACGTCGGATTTCTTCGCCGCAGAAATCGCATCGGCAAACCCGACGGTCGTGGTGGAGGAGATGTTTGTACCAAGAGCATAAGTAACATCCATTTTTGATGCCTTGAGTGCATCCAATGGGCTGATGAGATACGGAGCAGCTCCGTAGTAGTTACCCTGCAGTTGTGTGGTGGCATTGGCCCAGGGGCCGATCAGAGCAACGCTGCTCGTCTTCTTAGACAGAGGCAAGGTGCCATCATTTTTCAGAAGAACAATACCCTCAACCGCAGCCTCATACGAGATATTCCATGCATCGGTAGTGACGACATCGGACCATGTGAGGTCGCGGTACTGACTGTTATTGCCATCAAAGTACCCGAGACTGGCGAGGTTGGAGTAAAGTCTGATGACTCCACGCTCGATCTCACTGCGCGAGATTTCGCCCTGGAAGAAGGACTCATTCAAGTGATACTGGTAGGACGTTCCACAATCAATGTCCGTTCCGGCTCTCATGGAATCAGCCGCAGCACTCGAGATGTTTGCTGCATATTCGTGAGGGTTCCAGACATTATACACAGCATCGCAGTCAGATGAGACGTACCCATCTTCCACAAAGTCCCAGGTATCACGAAGAAGTGTCTGAAGCAAGAACGAGTTGGCGGAACTAGGCACACCGTTGACTGCGTTATATGAGGACATAACACTGTGTACGCGAGCATCGCGAACTGCAGTCAGGAATTGAGGCGTGAAATATTCCGCCAGATCCTGCTGGGTGATGTTCATGTCATTCCCAAGCCGGGAATGGGCGTCCCAGTTCTCTATGTCGTAGCCGGCATAATGCTTAGCAGTAGCTACCAGTTTCATATGCTCGGGGTCCACACCACCCTGGATACCGGTGATGTACTCATATGCGTATACCGAACACAAGCAGTAGGCATCTTCACCGGGAGTCTCTTGACCACGACCCCAAACTGGGTGGCGGAAAGAATTGATGTTCGGAGCATAGACATCGAGACCATATCGGCCAATGTTGTTGAATGCTCTCCCTTGTGTCGAGATGATCTCACCGATTTGATTGATCAAGGTCCGATTGAGAGCTGCCATGGAGAGAATCGGAGACGGGAAGGATGTTGCCCAACTATAGTCGCCAGATTTGGTGAAGTTTCCACGATCCAATCCATGTAGTGCTTCACTCCATACTTGGTAGGGTGGAAGTCCCAGACGGGGGATCGCTGGGATGTTATTCCCCGTGCTATTGACTAGCTCCTCGAATGTGAACAGCGACACGAGAGCGGCGGCTCGATCATGAGGGCGAGCGGATGTGTCGCACACCACGGTATTGCTCAGTGGTCCCTTGGTGCAATCGGGGAATCCTAGATTGACCTTTCCAAGCGTTTGAGCATCGAGGCTTGGCTGGGGCTCTGTATTGTAATCGATATAGCTTGTATTCGCCTGGGCCAACGTGGTCGGCACCAGCGCCGCCAGTGCAGCGAGAAGTGCAGTCGTAGCGGGCATAGTGAAGAAGAGGGCTCTTTTGCGGCCACGAGAAGGTCGTGTGGCTCTCTCAAGTTTGCACCTTCGATCTACCTTTTATAATCCAGCAATTCTCCAATTGCTCCTCGGTTGACCGCTTCCTCATCACCCATCGCCCTTGCCTGCAGATTTGTCTCGGCTGTAGCAAGCTTAAGACCGGGTCATACATAAACATCTTCTCCACATCACTCTCAACGAGGCAGTTCCCGCGGTCGATCCCCATGCTTAGCTATGGAACTTGCGGGGGTTTTCCGGCGTGGGGAGGCAGTTATTGCAAACAATGAAGCCATTTAGCCTGAAAACCAGCCACGATGACGACGATCAGCAGTCTGCGATGCTTTCTAGTCGGAAAATTATCGGCCGGAGATTCAGCGAGGTTGCACTGTCGAGAAAACCTTGCATCCCTATTGCAGGATCGTCATGCGAAACGAACCGACAAATCAAATCAAGAGCCATGCACTTCACTACCGGGTCAATTCAGGCTGAACGTGCAAAACGCCTCTCCCGGGCCTCCCGTAGCCTGATTGTGCTTAACTCTTCGCCCTGAATCCCCACTGCCCCACGGTGGTGTACTCCAAGGGTTGCTGTTGAGAAACCAGAACGTTGGGCTAATCGTATGATGAATTTATGCCCATGAAGGGTTGCTCCGACAAGATTCAACAAGTGGAATCGAATTATCTTGTTGATCATCGCCATGGGTATTCTTGTTGTACTTCCGGCCTCGGCCGGCTACAGTAAATAACCCCGCCAAGTTATGTATTCTCCGTAACTATCGGGTCACAGACGAAACGAGAATCATTTAAGCAGTCTTTCGACAATCTGACCCAAAATCAGAATCACATACCGCTGAATACCTCGGGATCTCGCAACAACACATCATTCAAAGGTGATGAGATTCGAGCCAAATAAGCTACTTCGCGTCGATCAACTTACATTACATGGAAACAGGCTCGAATGATGGCGATTTTGAATATGTTTTATCTTTCCACATACCAATCCAAACGGAAAAGGCTGCAAATTCACACAAGCATCACATATACAGCAAAAAATATCAAGCCAGCAACAACTACTGTCAGGATCGCTGCCCCAGCTCTATCCGCAGTCGTTATCGCAGAGTATAGAATTTCACTCTCCGTTTCATCCGACCCAGTTCCAGCCGCGCTGTCACCTTCGCTTGTCCCACCTGTGTTCGCCGTGACGGGGCCACTGATGTCCGTGGCAAGAAGTCCATGAAGAACCTCGAGAACACCCATCTGCTGCCCGACTCCCGTGGTACCATCATAGCTGCCACTTGACCATTGATGTCCACAATAGGTTCCAGTATCACCTCCTTGACACTGACTGATAGCAGCCGTTGCGGTAGCCCGGACCTTTGCTATAATGGTGTCGTAGGTATAAGGCGCGAGCTGTATGATGTCCGCAAACCAGCGGGACAAGTATGCCTTGAAGGATAATTGATCCGTGTCGCAGCTACCACTTGACTCACAGGGGGGCTCTTCCATTACATTTGTACTGGAGTTGTCCGTGGAGAAGAAGTGGTTGGCGGACGTGAGTAGTCCGTCGAGTCGGTTCTTCCACACAGTGGATGAGTTGGAAGATGAGTTTGAGGAGAGAGATGAAGTCTTTCAATGTCAAATTAGCCTCGTAGGTCTTTCTTCTGCTCGTCTGAGCCCACTTACGTAGTTATACATCACGGCAGCTCCATGAAGGTAAATACCGGCAGTATAAGTCCACTTAGTCCGGTCATAGGAGGAGCAATTCGAGTCAACAGTGGTGCCATCATAGACCTGGTAGTCCGCTGTAATCAATCCATTACTTTTGGACCAATTCCAGGCTTTATTGGCCCATTCGGCGTATGTCGCATTTCCCGTATACCGCGCCAGTCGAGCTGCAATGTCGAAGAAGCAACCATTTGAAATGGTGTTTTTGTAACCATATCCGGCATTCCAAGTGTAGATTTGCCAGCGTAAACCACCGTCACAGGTGGCCGTATCCCATCGATGAGCTTGCTCGTTAAAGACCGCCTGTACCATTGCTAACCAGCCCGGTGAGGAGGAGGATGGATTCGTAAAATTCCGCTCGGCAGCCATCATGGCTGACAGGGCCCAAAACGATTGATCATCATTACCCTCAGTGTATGTCTGATTTAAGGGCATGAAGTCTCCTTTTGTCCCGGCTTGGTGTTCCATTGCTTGGACGGTGATTGTGTTGTAGGTGGTATCTCCGGTAAAGGCCCAGTAGTTGATCAAAGCTCCAAAGAAAGCTCCTGCTTCCCACCAGTAATATGGATCAGGAAGATTTCCGGGAACATCTCCACTGTTATTGCCGGTATAGAAGGTGACTAGATCGTATGCCACTGTACTCGCCGCTGATTTTATTGAATCTATCATCACGCCTTAGCAGCAGATGACAAGAGCCCACTGTGAACCGTACTAACCAGTGCTATCTATATCCATAGTTATGCCTGCTGCCATAACGTGTGTGAGGCTTGACAGCCCTAATGAGAGCAAAAGGCACTGTCTTGCACCTAGCCATTGGCGGGTCATGTGTGCAGTGCGGCTGGGAATTGCTGGATAAGATAATCGGAAATAAGAAGACGTGGAAGTCCTTTCTTTCAGGATCGAAGTTTCGAATGAGCCACAAGTAATGAATTTTAAACGAGTGTATGGAGAATGAGAGTTGTAAATGTATAGAATGCCGCCACACGTTGAACAGGTTTGCAGGAGGGGGTGGGTTATTAGTGGTACTAATAACAGAAATTAGGTCTTGCCAATCCCTTCGGGTGCCCACAACCAGCATAATGAGAACTGTTCAATGATCCATCACTTATCTTGGCACTGATGGAGTGAAAGACAGAGGGCGGGTTTTGGCGGTTACATCCCAAGCACCAAGATGCCTTTTGGCGCAATCCGCCCTTCCGGTTGGCTAGTGGCTCCCATAGCCACTGCCGAGACACCGGTAAAACGTATAGAACCCCTGAAAGGAGCCCAGACTTGTACATTGGTGCCTATTGCAGGGGGAAATTTGCGAACAGCTTCGACTTGGCCAGGGCTTGGCAAGGAGTGGCGGATGCTCCGGACGCGTACGTTTAGCGCTAGCCCCGCTGGCCGCGTCTATGCCAAGTCTATAGACCAAGAGATTGCCCAGAAGTGCAGAGCTGTCTTCCGAACCAATGGTGGCTCTTTATCCCCCGAAAGCGCGTGATGTTTGTCTCCGGACAGGATCATGCGTGAATAACCCGGTAATGACAGCCGATTGATTCACTTGGCAAGCCATGTGAGGGTCATTCAATGCTATTCTGGGTTTCAAAGTGTCATGGCGTAAGTTGCTCACTCAGAAGACAGAAGCCGTTGGATAATTGGTTCAATGTAGAGGAGGTGTGCGACGAGGGAAGTTGGCTGATGGGTCGACTGCTTCGGGATTCTCGTCCTAGTATATCGTACGCTGGTAAAGTGGATGTGTGCATAGTCCAAATAGCCATAGTTGGATTGAACCCTCTGACAATTTGAAATCAAGTACTTGATCCTCATTGCTCTCGCATATAGGAACAATACAATGTCAACGATGTACCCTCGTGTCGTTTAGGCCAAAGTGCGGCATGGACCCCTAGATAATGCCTAGATGGTGCCTAAATTCCAAGGCACCAGTGTCAATTGTCGATGCCGTCATTGGCCGATGACTCTCGGTCGGCCAGTTCGTCGTTCCCCGCAATTCGTCCGCAATTCGGCAACCAGCAGTCCCGCAATTCGATTCGTGCAGAGGGCAGGTCTCAGTTTGCTTTTTCATTTTCTTCGATCCACCGAGGTAGTGTGCCAGGGACGATGGACCTCAGTCCGCAACAACTCTCGCCGCTGCAGAGTGCATCCTCCTCCGGACGAGCTCCGTCATCGGCACGGGGAGCCCTCGCCGGAGGCCGCCAGATTACTCGAAATCGTGCGAGTTACAGTTGCCACACCTGCCGCCGGCGCAAAGTCAAATGCGATAAGGTATGGCAACCTGGATTGTCTGGTTTCCGCGCGTAATCTGTCTGACCGAATCCTCAAAATAGGTTCACCCCATATGCGGCAACTGCGCAAAGACTGGGGCCGACTGCATATACGATGCCTCGTCCTCATCGCAAACCACGGAGAATGTGCGAGAGGGATCTGTGCGACCCGGATATGGTGTGAAACGTAGGAGGGAAACTCCACGAACGCTGGAGGAGGATGTGGATGAATTGCAATCGATATACGGCCACCTGAGAGAAGAGGATTCACCTGGTGGACAAAAGGGGAACCCGCACGCCATTGAGGCTCGACTCGACAAGCTCATGTCAATGATCGAACGACTCGGCGACAATCCTCATGCGCTCGAGGAAGCGGAAAGGCAAGGTGTAACTCCAACGGGAGGCATCGAGTCTGCACTCCTGGACCAATTGCGGCAGAGCGGTGGCTTTCAAAATGGACAGTCGACCTCTTCTCGGCGATCCAGTCCACGACGCACTGCAGCAGAGTCGAGTGGCGATGAGTTCCCCATTCCTTCGGGTCAAGCAACCGACCTTGTCGATCCGGTTGGAAGCTTAAACCTGGGACATTTGAGCTTGGAGGATGGAGGAAGATCCAGGTGAGTAGAAGAGCCGAATTTCTAGTAGCAACCGTGTCTGACAGCATCAGATATGTGGGAACGACATATTGGGCTTATATCTCCCACGAGGTATGTTTAATTCCCTCCTATTCTATTTCATTTCGAACAGACTCTAATTCGACCTCTAGATAAACGATCTTAATCAATTGCTGAGAGATCAAAATCGGTCACACGATGTATTGTCAGAGAGCGCGAATGAGGACCTCAGCAATCCTGTTACCGGCTCAAGAAGACCATGGAAAGAATCGATTGATAGCTCTACATTCTCCAATACCTCTCGATCTCGAGGTGGATCCTTCCAGCAATCCATCATCTTCCCATCCGGTGACTCTCCATCGATCAACGAGAAGACAGTTGAGCCCGAGATGCTCGAGCATGTCCCTACACGACGGCAAAGCCACCTCTTGTACAAAGGTTTCATGTCGGGTATCCACGCCATCAGTCCCGTCCTTCATCCTCCGACTATCTTGAAACTCTACAATGCTTTTTGGGACTGGTATGACTACACCAGCTATTCTGGAGAACCTTGCCCGAATCCTTCGTTTGTGCCATTGCTCTATGCCATCTGGTACGGTGGTTCTGTGACGATATCCCTCAGGACCATCAAAGCCGAGTTCAATGCGCCCTCTCGTGTTTCACTTTCTGCGATGTACAGTGAGGAGGTGACCCGCTGGTTAACGAAAATTTCTTTCCCTCGCAGTCCTTCTCTGCAAGGACTGGCAGCTTATCTCATCGTGCAGACCATATTGTCAAAAGAGGAAGAGCCTTTGACAAGCAGTCTGTTCGTGAGTCTGGCCATGAGAGTGGCGCAGACGATGGGCTTACATCGCGATCCAGCCAATTTCGGGATCGAACCGTGCGAGGCAGAGTACCGACGACGGCTCTGGTGGCATATCATGCACATGGATGGTGTGGTTGCCATGTCGAGTGGTCTCCCTCCACTCGTTAGCGACGAGAATTACTGGGATGTGCGGGAGACTAGCGAGATCAAAGACACCTTGCTAGGCACCCCAAAAGCCGAGCAATATGAAAAGCTCGTTGCCAATAAGCAAAGGTTACCCGACAACCCTGACGATCCATCTGTTTGTGGCGGCCCGTCAATGGTGAATGTCTTCTATTTGACCGCCCGAGGAAAATACACTATGGCTCGTAAGTCCCCCCCCCGGGAAATGAAAACTGCATTGGTCACTGACAAGTTTACTAGGTGCCGTTCGAAAAATCCTGAAGATTCAGCTCGGCACTAAACCGGTTACACGTAGCGATATGGAGGAATTGCGAACGATCCTTCTCGACCTGCAGCTGAAGCTGAATTCAATAGTGAATAGGATCCCGGAGGGCTTGCCTACTGGCAGTCCTTCTGTGTCATCAGGGCGGGCACTATCCATGTCCAAATCTCCCGTTGAAGCTCGATCCACCGAAACGGAGCTTCCAGGTGAAGGTCCAAACGGCTGTCCAGAACAATACCACACTGCAGTTCTTGTTTCATTCCACAAGTGGGCACGAATTATCCTGTCGTTATATATTGACAAGGTAAGAGATGTTGATCCTTTTTGACTTGCGGTTCTTCCAGGCTAATCTGTGCATCCAGGCATTTTGCGTTGCATATCAACCCTTCCTCAAGAATGCGCGCAGTCGGATTTGGCCGGCAGCACGGCAAAGGTAAGCATCCCGCAGTATCTCTCGATCATCTGTGTCTAACTGTCGCAGTGCTCTTCGTCACTGTCACGGATTCATGGAAAAGTTTATTCAGCTTGCGACTGACCCCGACTTTCAACCTTTTCAATGGAGCTGGCCTGGGTAAGTCATGCCGCGCTACACGAAGAAAGGAGAGTAGCAACTGACCGGTTCCCAGAAATCATCAACCTATGCATGCAACGATGTAAGTTTTCCTTATCTCAGCTTTCTCGATTCTCTCTCTTGTACTTTTATTGCTCTACCTCGTCATCATTATCATCACCATAATCGGGCCTCCAGCGTTCCATCCAGCTAATCTTTACTAGGATCATGCTCATTGACTTATACGAACGACCTTACAGCCCGGAGGCTTCACGCTCGCGCGCGTTCATTGACCGCATATTGGCTCTTTCTGGCCCTGACGGCGGCGTAGTTGGTGGTGAAGATGGCATCTCAACGCAACGGCCACTCAAAGACGGTGGCCGTGAAGCATGGGACATGATCCGTCGCCTTCGCCAAAAGGCATGGCAAAAAGCTGGATTAAACCCACAAATGCTGTGGACCGAACAGGATCAAATTCAGGCGGGCATAGCATCACCAGCAGGAGAAACCCGTGGCTCTCGTGGTCCCTTCTATTCGGGAACATCTTCAGTGCCTGGATCACCCGGATTATCCGCTATGTCCTCACGTCAATCCACCGCTCCCGATCGCCAACTCTCCGATTTCAACCGCATGTTCTACAACATGACTCGTTCTCACATCCTCCCTAGTCCCGCGGTCTCTTCCGCATCTGTCAAGCCGAGCCCCCTTCGATACTCATATCAACTACCCCCACCAAACCGAACCTCCGCCCCCCTGCCAACTCCACAATACAACCCCACACCAGCAGCTGTCACTCTGCCAGCTCCCGAGATTCTTCCTGCACCCGCTCCTATTGCAACTTCTCCCCAAGTTGCACCATCGCTTGGTTCTCCTTCCTCCCCTCAGCCTAGGACTACCTCTTCCACCGCTTCAATTCTTCGTCCAGAGCAGCATCTCTCCGGCATCACGACCTCCCCGGGCATGCCCTTCATGGATCCATTTGCCTCAAATCCACCTCCAACGGGTGTTCCCACTCCACCTTCCATGGTCGATCCCAATCTGAACTTCGACTGGGATCAATGGGACGCTGTCTTTGGACAGCATCTGCCAGTTGCCGATGAGTTGATGGAATTGGATCCCGTCTCTGGACTGGATTTTGCTAATCTCGGGTTCCCTACTGTCAGTAATAATGCAAATTTGTCATTCAATGGCCTATCGGATTCGGCCTCCGCTGGTAATGGGAATTTGCCGCCTGCTTGGATAGATAGTGGTTCGGGAAACCCCGAGGTTCCGTCTAGTGACTGGCCGGGATATTGTTGAAATGTTGAAGATGATACCATACACATAGACTATTCATGTAATATATCAAACGATTGAATACGGATAAATGATTTGAGTTTCTTGTAGATGTGATATACATTCACCAGGATGTTCATATTATTCAAAGGATCATCGGGACTTAAATACGTATATGGTTTTACACCAGGATTGAGAACGAAGCCGCACCCTTGGGAAATACAAGGCAATTGAAGAGATTGATATATATTTTGCAGATAAAAACGTAACAGTTTATTGATTCATGAGGCGTAACTCTTGACGATCAGATCGATCGGTCAATTAGGATACGAAGATGCGATTTGTAAAAGCCAGAACAGACAAGGCCCCGGCGGAAGGGAATAAGCGGTCCCCGCGACCGATTTAAGCTCGGATGCAGAGATTTCGCATTTCTTCGTTGGTTTCTCTTTCTTCATGTCAAGTGCGTTTTGTGGTCGCCCGTTGGTATAAGACGTTTAGACCTTGACCTCCTTGAAGCCGTGCTTCCAGACGGTGGCGTAGGGAGTAACACCGTCATCGCGGAAGTCAATCAGGACGTGCCTAAGGAGACGGAGGTTAGTATCGAAGATATAATGACGACCGGCACGGTCCCAAGGTATACTCACATGGCATCACCGTCCATGGAGGCACCCATGAGGACATCGTAGTTGTCGTAGTTGGCAATGATCTTCTTCATGGCGGCGGGAGCGTTCTTCTTGAACTCGTCGATGGACTCGGCGCTGGCACCGGTCTCCTCGAGCTTCTTGTTGAGCTTCTTGAGGTAGCCTGAACGGAGAGGGGGGGGTTAGACACTGGAACGAGAGATAAGGGGAATTATAAACACGCGCAATGAACATACTCTTCAGGTGAGACTTGAAGGCATCCTTGGAAGGCTTGAGGCCCTCCTCGGTCTTGAGCCAGACGAGACGGAACTGGTCCTCAATATCGTGGACCATGACGGCCTCATCATCACCACCTTCATCACCAGCCTCCTCAGCAGAGGGGTTGGCACCAGCGAGCTCGAAGTCCTCGTTCTTCTTCTTGAGGTACTTGCGGCAGTCAGTCTCCCACAGGATGGGGCAGTCCTTGGCGGGGGAGATCTTGAAGGTGTCGGAGAGAATCTCGTCACCGGAGATCAGGTCCTGTAGATCGTGGTTAGTCCTCTACCACGTAATCCCACAGCCGCAAATGCGAATTTCGATGCGAAAAAATCAGCGAATATTTGGTGTCGACATACCTCGTAGATAATCATGGCGGCGGTTAAGGAGTGATGAAACACAAAGGGAATTGATTGAGGTTGAAGAGGAGGGGGTGGGAAAAACAAAAAAGGAGGGGAAATGAAGTTTTTTTTAGTGGCGCCTCGTTGGTGGGGGAGTTTGCTCTGTTTGTTCTATGGAGGTCACGGGATTTGCTCTCTTGGCCCCTCTTGTCACTCCAACCGTTGGTCTCTCCTTGGTTTGTTTCAAATAAACGCCTCAATCCCTGATTGGGCTCTTGTTTTCCTTTCCAGGCTGACCAGTTCTCTGCCTCTGGTCTACGTTATTCTTATTGTGGGGAGTCAATCTCGGTGGGTCGATTTTCCCAAGGGCAGCCGACGATTCATACGGCGTCCATAGAGCGGTGATCCAGATATCCAGAATTCAAGACCATTGGCTGTTCATTGTTTGAGAGCTGTTTACCTAGGACAGCTGACAGTTTCCGGCAGAAGAAGAAGAAGAAGAAGTGGCATAGTACTGGCTTTCAATCGTTTTTCGATCGCAGGATCTACGGTACTATAGTCTTGAAGCCTATCCCATGATCAGAAACTGCTTTAAATTGAACTCGACACGGACATGCCAGCAGAAATAGCCATCGATGGAACCGCCTACAGCTTGGTTAACTCAAGCTGACTCTTCCTGGTTCAAGGATATAAGTTTTCGGCATTGAACCATTATGACAGTGAAGAAATCGAAGTCCGATTGTCTACAATAGCATATTTATGGGACCAACACTAACGCCGAGGCCTCACAGAGGACTCTAGGGTGTAAGAAGGATATTATTGCACAGAATAAAAGCTTCCTCCTAGTACATGAAAGGCCCTTTTGCCAGGTCAGCATACACACCAGGCAATTGCGGATCGAAGTAAATACGCAAGACAAAAAAGACTACTAAGGGGCCACCGCCTATAACTGAAGCTAGAATCAATGCTATTATTTGAGGATAGTCATACAGTCAAGTACAAATCATCGTAAGACCTAATCCACAGCCTAGTTAACTACCAGAGCCCAGCTTGAGTCAGCCATCCTTGGTGGTGGTGGTGCAGCTCATGACCATGATCTCCCCATTTCTAAAGGAAGTCAGACCACTTGGCGGACAATGGACCAAATCATCATTCTTACTGTAATAAAAACTTACTGTAATAAAAATGGTAACATTGGTATTCGATTATGATATGTATGTACTCTAAGAGGGTCAATTGATCAATTGGGTTATCTTCATACTTGTTCGATGTTGATGCTCTGTAAGCAGATCACGGAACCTGTGGGTACATCTCCATACTCTTGGATTATTTGTGGATTCCCGTACTTTTGTGTACTTTTTGTGTACATACTGGAGGCGCCCAATACCAAATCTTACGATACGAACTGTCAGATCTGCACCCCGTTACACCCGCTCCGGCCTGGATCTGCCCAAAATGACCGTCACCAACCCGTCAGCAGTCCGCATCCGACTGGCGCCACTTTCGAATTCGGCCTTTTCGGCCGTCTCGCCCTGCGTTCGCCTCCTGATCCCGCGTGGATCTTTTTAATCTTTTCCTTGGATCTAAACTTGCCCTTCCCCTCCTTCAATTTATTCTTATCGCATGCCTTCCCTTGTGTCTTCTTCGATTTCTCTCCCTACAGCTTGATCGCGCTTGCTGCATTCACGCTCTTCGTCAGCTTGTCGACCTCCCTTTTGTCCCTGAATTCATCTGCTTCGTGACCGACCCTCAGTCTATCACCAAACTCTCCTTTGTAGTGGCTTCATTTCATTCCAACCGGCCCAGCAGTGGCACCCAATTCCTCTAAATCATCCCTCATGGCCGTCAACGTCTCGGTCGCCTTCGACCTCCCTCCACTTCCAACCTACACCCTCTCCGTGCGCGAACCGCTACTTCCGCCAGTTCCCGATAACGTTGTCGCGCTGATATTGCCTATCATCGCCTATTGGGGCCTGTCCATGGTCTATCACTTCATCGATGTCAACGGATACTTCGAGCAATATCGTCTCCATACCCCTGCCGAAGTCCTCAAGCGAAACAAAGTCACTCGATGGGAAGTAGTACGCGACGTGATCCTTCAACAGGTCATTCAGACCATTGCCGGATACGGAATGTCATATTTCGATGCAACGGAGACGGTGGGCCGTGAGGAGTACGATGTAGCCGTGTGGGCAACGCGTCTTCGACTTCTCCAGAGAGCTATTCCCCCAGCATTGGGTCTCGTTGGCGTCGACGCAGCGGGCCTTGCCAAGTCCATGTCCCAGTCCGGACACACGATGCTCGCTGGCGCGCTGGCTGGCGGCTCCTACCCCGGTGTGGTACAATCTCTGATTCTAGAAAGTGGAGCAGAGGTTGTCGCGCCCGCGTTCGCCAGGTGGGAAGTGGCGGTGGCTAGCTTCATCTACTGGTACTTTGTTCCGGCCCTTCAGTTCTTGCTCGCCATCTCTATTGTTGATACTTGGCAATACTTCCTGCACCGGGCTATGCACCTGAACCGCTGGTTATATGGTAAGATTTTGAATCAGCCTTATCCCTGGCCTACCTTCATTATGTCTCTAACAACTCTCAGTGACGTTCCACTCTCGTCACCATCGTCTCTACGTTCCCTACGCTTTCGGTGCTCTCTACAATCACCCCGTTGAGGGTTTCCTTTTGGATACCGCTGGTACGGGCATTGGCTTCCTGGTTTCCGGTATGACCAACCGCCAGGCCATGTGGTTCTTCACCTGCTCGACCATCAAGACCGTCGACGACCACTGCGGATACGCCTTCCCCTGGGATCCTTTGCAGCACTTCACCTCCAACAATGCCGCTTATCACGATATTCACCATCAAAGCTGGGGCATCAAGACGAACTTCTCCCAACCCTTCTTCATCTTCTGGGACCGCCTCCTCAACACCCAGTGGAAGGGTGAGGTTAAGCTTCGCTACGAGCGGGCCCGAGAGAGCGCCCAAAAACAGGTGGACATGGATGCTGCCCAGGCCAAGGCCGCAGCGCCAGCTGTGCCCGTCATTGAACAGCGTGAACATGAGAGAGTCGTTGTCTCTCCCGAGGGCCCAGCAACCCGGACCCGCCTCCGACGAAAGACCGTGGACAGTCTCAAAGGCCCCAGTCACGCTGTTCCCGGCAGTGTACTTCACAACTGAGGTGCCTCTTTGATGAGTCTTTGAAAAAAACGTGCCAACTGTCTTTGCATTGCATTCCTTCGTCAGCCTCCCGAGTTGCGGGTCATCTCCCTGGGGCTGCTATGAGGCTTCTTTTGATTGCTTCTTGTAAATGGGATCTTTGGTCCCGTGTATTAATAATTTTGAGAATGCGCCAGTCATTTTTTCTGTACATGGTTCTCTCTACGACTTTTCTCAGGTTACTGTCAATAATGTCTATCTTTCTCTCTGCTACACATTTCACGCTCGGATACTATAGAAAGAATCAAATTAATGGCACTGCCTACACCTGCTATAATGGGAACGGTCAAGAAGAACGCTTACCCAGTGGTTGAGCCAATCACGTACAGACTCCGCCTCAAACGAGGTCATGATGTTCACAGACCAAGCTCCACGTCGTATCTGTAACAACTGGCGCCCTGCGTCTCGAAACATTGGAATCCAAGTCCTCACATTCATCATCCGTCCAAACACTAACAGAGTCAGAAACCATACCATCCTCCCGCTTGGTGGATCCACCATCAAAAGCAGCCACTACTGGTCGATACGAAGCCAAACTAGACTCGGAGTACTGTCTAGGCTTGTCAGTACCCAGGGTATCAACCATCGCTTCTGCATCGGGCGGAGCTCGAGAATAAGGATTATCCTCCGCAAGGCTCTGGTACATGGTCACCTTCTCAGACTGCTTGGCAAGAGTACCCCATTCAATTTCTGAAAAAAGTACCTTGCTACCCGAATGACGTGGTCGTCGAACGATACGCTTGAAACGGGGAGACTCTGGGCTCGGAGCTGCTGATCTTCGACGGCGATTAATGCCACAGTCATCCCATGAATCACTCGACGGAGATGTAGCGCCGTCTTGCAGGTGGTGCATGGTGAGAGGGTATGGCACCGGGCACGGTGTTATGACAAGATTCGCCTCCGAGGCAGTTGTAAAGGTGATACTCGGAGTTCGATGCCTTCTGGCGCGATCTGCATTGGTCAGTCCACTGCTATTTTTCTACTCTGCTTGATCGGTACGGGGGTCGATACTACCTGTTCTCCATTTATGATGACAACGCTTGCGCCGCGAGTGTCTTTCAGCATCATCTTCTCGATCACGAATATAAGCCTTGACGCAGGCCTTGCGAGCGCGCTTCATCCCGAAGGCAAGTTGACTAGAAGTGCTATGCAAATCTTCCGCTTCAGCGGGAGGAAATCTGTTAATGCAATGGTTGACGAAGATATTCAATTCCTGCTGACGATGGTTCTTGCGCGTTCGAGTGCGACTTTGAATAACGACCCGCAAGTTGCGGAGGGCATCTTTGTCCGAGGCGATGCGGGCTAGCATACAAGCTGCACATTCATTGATCTGGTATGGCCATGCACACGGGGGAACGGGGCTGTCGGGGCATGGCTTCGTCCATAGTCCCTTCAAGGCACGAAGGTCGTGCAGAATTTCCGCCTCCGCGGTCTCAATGAGATCTGGGTATGCATCGAGTTGGCGAAAGTGGGATGTGATCTCACGCTTGACAAGGCGGAGAATGTCGTCAACAAGGTAATAGTTTAACGAGCAGTGAAGATCACAGAGGTCTCGGGAAGACGTTGCCTCTCCACAGGTGTTGTTTCTCTGCTTCAGGTCTTTCGGGAGACCGTTTATCATTTCCAGGATTTGGGACTCGAGAGACGAGTATCCTTTGGATACATTGTCTATGTAGCACTGTGGTCAGCATTCTAATTGCGGATTGAATTATCTCGCTGCTTCGTTGGGGGTAAGTCTCACGGGTCGAAGAAGAGGGGCGCCCAGTATGGGATGATCTCGTGGCTTTGCTGGCTTTCTTTGATTCACCACTGCTCAGTGGCCACCACATGTTTCCCGAGTTTGAATATCGAATTATAGATTGGTAAGTCAAGTGAAGATTTTGCGACGCTCAAATATAGTACTAAGGGTTGTAATCTAAAGCTATGGAGAACGAGGGCTGATGGGGATGGCGTTCTTTTTATTTGCTCTGCCGGAAAGACGGGCTTGAATGAAATGCTTCCTAACCATTGAAGAGGTTGGCAATTTTGCACAGTCTGTCAAGGGTACATTGTTTCGAGTCTTTGGTTGTGGTGGGGGGAGTTGTGCCACATGCTTTGTTCAAGTTGTCTGAATCGTCAAAGTTACTAATTTTGGGGATCGGCATAGACTGTCTTTGTTCATCTGGGCAAGCACCCAAGCTTTTACGTGGTGCGATGACATATCGTGGTTATCTTTGGAACAATGTCTCTTATGAGGGATCAGTAATGGTCAGATGGCTCTTAATAAAGCTAATGATGCCCATTGAGCGTAGATTAATAGCCTCTACCTGGGGAATGCCTACAATATGTTTCTTCAGTGGGTCCTGGAGCCCGAGCGTCACACATGTCCTTTGGTCCAAGTATACGCCCTGACTAACTCAGTATTTCTTTGGACTATTTACTGAGGTTAATCAGAGAGGTTGCGGCTAACATTCGTATAAATGTAGATTGATTTTCGCGGATGCCCTCAAATCACTTTATGTTCATGAAAGCTTTAGTCACATTGATCTATGATATTGGTGAACTCTTTAAAGTGATCTTTTCGATATTATCTCAGGTGCCATTTGGGACACACTCTGGGAGATGAAGTCTTAGATATGGTCAACATGTTCCATCGTCTTGTTCGAATTATCATGGATGCTCTTATTCTTGCCATACTTTGTTCCTTGGACATCATCGTGGCCTCTCTGCGTATTAGTATGTGTATCATGGGTCTCTGTCTTGACATGATCGAAGTACTCTTACGGCATGTTTTGAACGTGAGTCCTCATATCTGCTCATGTCTACATGTCGTTTTTCTTTCTCTCTTGACTCTGCTTGTATCGTAACTCTGTTCTTCGAAAGTGCCATAGATTGGCTTAGAATGGATTACCAGGGATTCGTGCTTAGGGAGACTGTCTAGGAAGGATAGATGGAGTAGTCGCATGAGATACACCACTCTTCACTATCCCGATAGGACTCGCTATTGGAGGGCTTTTGAAAGTAGATGTTGAATGAAGGCCCTGGAAGGCTCGTGCAATTGTAGTAGACTCGGTCACAAGGTTCCAATCCCATACACACGGTGTGTAGATTGAACTTTTGATACATACTTGGCAAATAGTTAGAGTAATATGATTATGGACTAATCGTGTGGCTTTCCCTAAGAGGGCACTGTGGGGGCTTGCAATGCTAGCAATGGAGGATTGGTCGCAGTTGAATATAAGCAACAGGACATATAGATATATCAAACCCTTAGTCGTGTCCGAGCTCCTCAACCCGAACAAGGTGCGCACTGCTTGACAATTCCTCGCTCCGTTTGTCATAATTCCGGGAGCAATACTGAAGGAGTGCCTTATCCAGGCCGCCGTGAAAGCCGTGAACATGTCATCACCCCGGCAGCCGAGCGCGTCAACTGAAGCCGCTAGCGGACTGACTTGAAGATAGCAGATTGAACGGGTAATCCAAAGACAGGTTTCGCTTTGCGGGTGCGCACTTCCACTAGTTCATCCCCGCTCCCATGGTTCCTCTAGCTCGCCGATGATAAGAGTTCAGCACCATGGTTGCGGGTCATAAACAACCGCCCACAGGAAGCGCCTCAAGGACGCTAGGTAGGAATGAGCAGTTGGGACTGTCTAGGGTTCACTTGAGAAAAGTAGGCAAAGTACAGCGACCTCTCTAGGCCCCTGTGAGTCAGCATGATTAGGCCGGGGTCAGTGCAGGGGTCCGAGCACGTTCCTGACATAGTGCTTAGTCGATTTATCTATAGAAATGGTGACATCTGGTGACATGGTCAGTATATGCTTAATTGCGATCAAGATCAAAGTCGGACGGGTGATCGATGGGAGGAAAGGAGGAGGAAGTCAAAACTGCCAACTCATCAGACAGTCAGGTGGACGAGGCGACGCCATTCACAAGCACACTATCACATGACAGTTGCAGCTGCCTGCTGCGGTCGCTTTGTTAATTCCTGATGAAAACTGTCGTTCATTTCTTCGCTTGGTCACTGCGATCCACCACATTTTCAGACCCTGCACAAGCCTACGATAGGCAATAGCTGCGATCTCCAGCCCTACGGGTTCGCACAACGGGTCGTACTTGTACTACTGGACCACGATCATGGTTCCCCAGGTTCGTCTTATCTGGCGGAACTCGAACTCCACTCCCCTGCCATACACTGCGTCGCCGCTGGAGTTATTGTGGAGCGACATCTGCCTTGTCATTCGATATGCCTGGGCTCTTCCGACAATCTTTCTTCCGCTTCGTCTGGGACAGACGGGCCCGCTAGATGAGCTACATCTTAACTTTCAGGGCGGGTTGTCCCTAATAATGCAGGCCTTTCTCACGGTCTATCAATTTTTGTTCCTCCTATCTTTACCTTTTATCGTTCTATGCTTAGTTCCTGCTCTCTGGATCTTCATTTATATCGCCACTGCTCTCACATTGAACTATGCCATCTGCATGTTCGTTCTCAACGGGTTTGAGCGAGTGCTGGTCTCCAAAGTCCCGATAGTCGAACAGCCTGACCACCAAAAAGAACGATGGCTCTATATAAATGGAATAGCTAATGGGTTAGAACTCCATATTCAGTTGAGATACGTCTTGCGCTAACATCGCTAGGCATTACTGGGTGCAAGACAACATCGACCAACTATCGTACACATTCGGCCGAAAGATCACCGGTATACATAATCGCACGTAAGTTTAGATCAGACTTGAGACCTAGGGGTACATGTTGCACGACTGAGCTAATGATTTTCCAAGCGCCGGTGTTCTTTTTGATCTAGCCGAATGCCTAATTCAACGTGGCTTTGCCTACGCTACAGGTGACGTGCGAAGCGCCTATGTTCTCATCAAAGAAGCACTGCTCGACCCGACAGTTGAAAAGGTCGTACTTGTGCTCCATAGTCAGGGGGGTATTGAGGGGGGTCTTGTCGTCGACTGGTTACTAGACGAACTTCCCCAGGATCTTCTCCACCAGCTCGAGATTTATACTTTCGGAAATGCCGCCAATCATTTTAATAACCCTCATTGCATCTGTCCGGCATCAACTAAAGTCGATAATTCCAACCGCGATCCGTCAACGAGGCGTTCCATTGGGTATATTGAGCATTATGCCAACGCCGAAGATGTGGTTTCCTGGCTGGGCGTACTTCAATTCGCCAATATGCCGAACCGCTACCTTGGCCGTCTATTTGTTCGGCCTGGCTCGGGTCATCTAATGAACCAGCATTACCTGGACAATATGTTTACCCTTGGATCCGACAGACGGGTACTTGACTCCAATCCATTCATGGATATGGAAGTTGAGACGAAATCCAACATAACGATCGAGAGGAGAGGAGCGGGCCCAGGACCTTTGGACGATTCTGATGAACCTACAGACGAAACTTTGTTCCCGATTGCAAATTCGAAAAGCCTTTTGCGGAATGGCGTGGCGGTTGACGAAGACGACACTCAGGCTCTCCGTGTTAAAGACTTCAGCCGACTATGGCAATACAGGAACGGTGGATCTCCAGCGAGGCTGAAGACAGAGTAAGAAAGGGCTGGTCTTGACATAGAAACATAAAGCCTTTCAATAATTCCAAGAATATATTGTTCATCCTTTTTCCGTATAAGACACGTAGATAGCCCACATACAATATACTTGAACGTTTCTCAAAGACTCGCGGGCATGCCCTAATTATTCATAGGCCAACAATGGCTCGGCTTCTTTATCGTTGACTTTCTACACTATACTCGAACAAAGCCCCGAAGAACCTTCTTTGTGCGTCGAGATCCGACGTCCACCATACGAACAATGGGAAAATATTATTACCACCCAGTCAAGAGCATTACAACGCAGAATCTCGACTATAAAACCTCAATTCCCTCCATACAGTAAGGCATTATCATCACCTCTGCAAGCATCAGGCTAAAGAGCAGAAAGCAAACCCTCATCGCAACAACCAACCCACACAAGCAAGTTGAGTATTCAAACCCTTGCAATTCCCTACAGAATCGTGTCAGTTCTTCAGCTAACATCACAAAAATGCTTTCTAATGGTTCGCACTCTGGGATCTGCCCAACCTGGCACCCTTATCCGACTCCTCCACCTACACCTCGGCCCAACCCATATCCCACGCCTCCACCGAGCCCTCGATCTCATTGAGCGGGTTCCTGGGTAAGAAGGTATTTGCGTGGTAATGTGACTTCGCGATTTGAAATCAATTATCGATTTTATATGCAAAGCTGTGCTCCACTTTCCAGTTAAACTAGCGTAGCGTTGTGGCATCTAGAAACTGTAGAGATCTTCTAGCTATTTCCACCGCATGCGCACTGTAGAATGTACAATTTACTCGCGGGAACAGCCGAGGCCTCTCTTCCCGGACACTGTGGTAATACAATCGATGACAATAGATTACCTGTGAGGTCGATACCTATAGCCTGGATCGTGCTATCATGTTGACGTCTTGTCCTGTCTTAAATATCTTGGAGCATTGTACATGCGTCAAACCAAGCCCGGCCCAGTTCGACAAAAATGTGCCACACCCTCAGTCCTCTCTTCGGGGCACCAATCATTCGAGGTATCAGGGAATCTTATATCCTCTATCATTTCTGAAGCAAAGAAAGGAAAAACGCCTGTCGCCGTGCAATGCAAGTAGCAGGTCCGTGGAAATGCCATATACCAGCCCTATTAGACTCAGGCCTTACCCTTCTTCTTTTCCTTCTTTTTCTTCTCCGTGCCAGCAGCCCCCGAAGGCTCACCCATTCCCGCCATGCCAGCCATGTCAGCCAATCCTGGGATGGAGGGCATTCCGGGCATACCCTGCATGTTCTGCATTTCAGCCATCGCTTCCTTGAACGGGTTGTCACTGACACCACCGCCACTGTATGCAGGGGAGTGGATGGGCAGAATCTTGCCAATCTTCCATCCACGTGGGGCAGGCGGGGCGGGAGGAAGCTTCTCGGGCATGGGCAGACCACGGATTCGCAGGCGATACGGTGATTTCTCGTCGGTGGGGTGGGCTTTCAGGTATTGAGAAACGAGAATGTATAGATGGTGTTCTGCAGAGGGCGCAAGTTAGTCATACAACTACAATAAAATCTGCGCGTACCTCAAGGCGATTCGTGGATCGACCCTCAAAGTGCATTCAGGCACTTACTGTTCTTGATCTTCGGGTTCACCAGCCGACCGTCCTCATTCTTCAGATGCACGCGCACACGACCTGGGTTCGCCCAATCCTTCGGGTGGAGCTTCTCCGGTTCCAGACCAGCTTGCAAGCCCAACATCTGCACTGCATCCATGATATCTCGAGCCAGCGGGTTCTCCACCGCAAGCTCGGAGCCGACTTTACGCCCCTCCGCGCGCGAGCGAGTCTTGTCGAAATAGATGGGGTAAAGGCATTGGAAGTGCCTGGGGATCTCGCGCTGGGGCTCTGGCATCTGCTGGGCCATTGGAGGAGCCATTGGTGTTGGTGCGGCGGGGGATGGAGTGGACCGAATAGGAATTGCGGCCCTCTCGATGATGGAGTTCTCCTCCATCATGTCGGAGGGGGCGACCTCATCGGGGTCAGAGTCTGATACCTCCTCAATACGGGCGTGGTGCGACATTGTGTATGGGTGGATTGGGAGGAGGAGTTGATGGAGTTTGGGGGGGAAGAGGAAGAAAGTGCGGGAGGTGGTCTTTGCGCTTTCTGATCTTCTGTGCGGGCGGAGTCGCACTGGCCAGTTGCCGCAGCCGACATTGAGAATCCGGGGTAGACAATAAGCACGACTACATTAATTTAGCTGATTGAAATTATCAAAAACCTGAACATTTGCTTAACATAATTCTGTTCCAAAACATTATTTCCTCTTCAATATACATTCCACTCAAGCCCAAGATAAGCATTTTGGCAGTGAAGAGTCATATCTAAGGCGTGGGATGTCGACACTCAAGGCAGTGAAATTTGGCTGCGTATGCTTCTGACTCAACTGATACATACTCTGAAATATCAACATATTCTTCTCTTTAACTTTTGAACGTAAAGGTCTAGTAGTTGAATCATCGACTGTAATGCCGATAACTAGCATCCTACGGTGAGCTCAGCGCCCTGAGCGCTTCACTAGCCCAGATAGGCATGTCCGGAGAGAACAGCCCCACCTTCAGCCTAGGAATTCCATCCAGACTGATACCCAATCCATCAATCATATCCCAGCGATACCCCTGGAAGCGGCAGTCGGTCTTGAAGCCAATGGGCCACTCGGCTTTTCCCCGCTCGGCATGCCGAACCCACTATGCCCCGCAATCAAACGATAGCCTCGGGTGAAACCACCGGCCAGTATAAAAGATAAGCTTTGAACCCTGGTAGACTTGCTTCCAGATTCACCTTTTCCTTGACTCTTTGAACTGGCCTTTTCTATTGATCATCATGGCTGCGAATCCAGGTAAGCATGGACACTAGGCGTCTGGTATCACCGTTTGTATAACACATCCCAGATATCCACTCCAAGACGACCAGTGCCGTTTTGCACAGAGACACTCACTTTCTTCCCAGAAAGGCTATCGGTGGCAAAGGATGCTATATATTCCTTGAAGATGGCACCAAGTTCCTCGACTCCACTGGCGGTGCCGCGGTATCGTGCTTGGGTCACGGCAACGAAGAGGTCACCCAGGCCATCAAGGATCAGATGGATCAGATTTCATACTGTCATTCTGCATTCTTTGGGACTCAAGTGACAGAGGACTTGGCCACATTTTTAACCGAGTCTACTGGAAAGAAGTTGTCAAAGCTGTTTGTGGTCAGCTCAGGTATGGCGTTCGCAGAAGTCTCACTGTCTTCGTCGTTAATTAGTACATCTAGGATCTGAGGCTGTCGAGGCGGCCTTGAAACTTGCTCGCCAGTATTTCCTTGAACTGCCTACTCCACAGCCGGAGCGTACCAGATTCATAGCTCGTCTACCCTCTTATCATGGTACCACCCTCGGTGCACTGGGGGTTGGTGGACATGTCCTCCGAAGACAACCATTCGAGCCTCTCTTAGCCAAGAACACATCTCATGTTTCTCCTTGCTACGCGTATCGTGGCAAGAAGGAGCACGAGTCGGACGCTGATTACGTGGCGCGTCTTGCAGCAGAGCTCGATGCAGAGTTCCAGCGTGTTGGGCCGAACACCGTTTGTGCGTTCATCGCTGAGCCAGTCGTTGGAGCGGTACGTAAAAAGGCGCACTTTGGAGATCAAAGTGCCAGCTAACGCTGATCATCATAGGCACTTGGCTGTGTTCCAGCTGTATCTGGCTACTTCCCCGCGATGAAAGCTGTCTGCGAGAAATACGGCGCTCTGTTCATTCTCGATGAGATCATGTGTGGTATGGGTCGTTGTGGTACTCTGCATGCATGGGAGCAGGAAGACGTTATCCCCGACATCCAAACCATCGGAAAGGGCCTCGGGGGTGGCTACGCCCCCGTTTCGGGTATCTTAATTCATGAATCGATTGTTCAGACTTTGGACAAAGGGACTGGTCAGTTCCGGCATGGGCAGACTTACCAAGGCCATCCAATCTCGTGTGTGGCAGCATTAGCTGTGCAGAAGAGTATCAAGAAACACTCGCTTCTTGAGAACGTTAGAAACATGGGCGCTTACCTTGAGGAGCGGCTCCGCCAGCAGTTCCGCGATCACCCTCATGTTGGAGATATTCGAGGCAAAGGATTGTTCTGGGGTGTAAGTCCGCAAACTTCAAGCATCGACTGTGGATAAACCGCGTTACTAATTACTATCTACAGCTCGAGTTTGTCAAGGATAGAACTACCAAAGAGCCTTTCGATCCAAAGTCTCGTCTATCCTTTCACATCCAGGAAAAGGGCCTGCAACCAGAATACGCCGTGTCGCTCTATGGATGTACAGGTACAGTTGATGGCATTCGTGGGGATCATGTGGTGTTAGCACCACCCTACATTGTGACCAAGGAGGAAATTGATACTCTGGTGGATGTGTTGGCCCGAGTTTTGACAGACGTACTCGCAGAGTTGGAGGAGTAAACTAACGATGACACGTTTCATTACTTGACCAAGTGACTAAAAAGGATAGTTACAATTTGTGTGAATAACAGATGAACAAGAGCGGATACTATGTTTCTCATCACTAGGATTGATTCATATTGTAGAAGATACCCCGTTAATATACATATATGACAACTCAGGACGGAAAATGGTCAACCCTAAGCTTCAATAGCAGCCGCCTTCTTTGCGACAGCATCCATTTCGGCCTGCGCTTTGGCAAAGCCATTGGAGACAACCACTTCTTTCGGCGTAGAGCTCGGGGCCCACAGACCGGCGACCGTCTCGACTGCCCTTTCGACGACAACGCGCACACGATCGCGCAGCACGGCATTGGTGCACTCCACCTCCAAATTCTCAAGCCAGACACGAGCAACATGCTTATCCACCTTGATTTCAAGGCCAGGTACAGGAATGCCGAGCGCATGGAGGCGGTCGAGCTCCGCGGATTCAATATCTGCTGGACGTTCTTCCTTAATGTCCTCTGTTGTCTCGGTGGTCCCGTTGACAAGATCCGCTGGGACGCGCGGGCGCTCGATGGGCGCGATATCAGAGCCAAACTGCGCTTCCAGCATCATAAGAAGACGTGTCAGTCGGTCTTCAGGGCCAAGGTAAGCATGAGGGTTGTGGAGTTCGGAAATATCCTCGTCGGCGTGATGGTGGTAATGGTGATGGTGCTTGTTCTTGGCAGATTCTGTGAAGCATTGATTTTTAGCATATGAGGTATAGCAATGAGGGAGGTAAAAAATTCTTACGCTTCACAGAGGCAGGGCTACTCTCCACGGTGAGAAGTACAGCCATGACAGCGTCAGCAACACCGTCATTCATCATGTTCCCTTCCCATTCGAGTTCGATTTCACGAGTCCGCGGGTGGTAATGGAGTGTAACACAGCCCATGACCAAGTACGTTTGCTTTTCCTCCATGAGAAGCTCCTCATCCGCAGCCTCCTCTTTAGCATCGCCATTTGTAGCCTTCTTCATTTCTTGCTTCACCGTTGACCCAACTTGCTCGATGGCTCCAAATGTGCCTTCGAGAGCCCATCGAATGAGATCCATGCTTGCGGAGCTCAGAGTCAGATGTTGCTTGCACATGATAGTGGTAGTTGTGAGTCCGGCATATTCACGGAGGTCATCTGGAGCCATGAGAGATAGGTCAAACCCATTCTGAACCAGGACACCGGCCATCAGCTGGCCATCATCTGGCTCAGAGGGAGGGGCCATCTCGGCGAGCTTGCCAACGACCTTGGCGAACTTGTCTTTTCTGAAAGGTATACGCAGTTCGGAGCAGTTGGCAGGTGTGAAAACTTTGGTGGCGATGGTTTTCTGGGCGTTGAGAGAAAGGAGCTTTGACTTAAGTCGCATCATCTGATGCTTCTCACCGTGAACAAGAATCTGCCAAAATCGTCAGAACGCAACGAGGGGAGACAGGGGAAACATATTTACATACCACAACCGGCGCAGCCACCTCTTCAATGAAGTTGCGATTCTCCACGCCGTCCACATGTGCAGCAAAACTGATCTCATCAATCGTGCAGCGACGTGGGATCATGACTTTCTGATCCTCGTCGCTGCCTCCTGGTACACGACCGCGTCCTTGTACTGATGAACCCTTTGACATGATAGCGGGAATAGACTCTGGCTCATTCAGCAGCTGCTTGGCCATGGTTCCTTCAACACTGTAACCTGTCATGACAACACCATTGCGGTCGCTGGGTGCCCATCTCTCGAGAAGCTCACGACTCGTGCCGGTCTGCAGCATACCAGGGGAGGCAATCATCACACAGCCTCCTACATCATCGAAGCGCTCCAGGCTACGCAAACTTCGAACAAAGCGGAAATCCCACGGGCCAGCGGTCACACTCTTATCTCCACTCGCCTCGGCCTCAGCCATGCGTTGCCTGAAAAGGCGTTTGATGTTGTCATTCATGGCGCCAATATATGTCTGGTAAACGACCATACATCTTCTGGCCATGTTACCAATGTAATAGATGGGGACCTTTTGCAACTCGGGGTGCCGCTCCCAGTATTCTTCGAGAATGAGGAGCAGCTCCTGTGCTCGACCAAGAGCGAACACGGGCATCAAAACTCGTCCTCCGCGATTCAAGATTCCCGTAACAGACTTCATGAGAGCTGCTTCACGTTCCAGTCGTGGTGGGTTGGACGATATGCCGAATGTGGACTCGGTGATCAGGACATCAATCTTAATTCCCCGAGGGACCTCTGCGGGGATCAAATGCCGATCTTCTTCACGAGAGTAATCACCCGTAAACAAGATGTTCAATCCCGCAATAGATACCAAGAACATAGCCGCTCCTAACACATGGCCAGCGGGGAATGGTGTAATCCTGATGCTATTGATCGTGTGTGTAGTATTGAAATCGATCGTCTCGATGAGGGGAAGAGTTGAAAGGTGATCGCGCTCTGTATATAATGAGGTGCGTTGGTCGGAGGAAGAAGATGTATTGCTGACTCGGACGTTGTCTTGGATAAGCCATTTATAAATGGCTTTGGTCGCATGGGTCATGAAGACACGACCTTTGAAGTTCGTCTTGCTAAGGACATATGGCAGTGCAGAGGAATGGTCAACGTGGAAACTAGAGGCACGAGAGATCAGCTCCATTTTTCAAGGTGCGGATATTGTACAGAGTGAAGGAAGTCTTTCGATAGAATGTCTAAAGGGGTCCATGGTAGAGATGAATTGGAGGAACAGAGAAAAAGGTGCATGACATTGGACTGTATTGAGCTTTTGATCATATACAATGAGGGGGTGACTCGGTTCCCACTTCTTCTCAAACTCCATCGCTTCATAGATGTAGGAGGGATAATGAAAGTTCACGTACTGGCTGATCAAGAGGATATCGACCGTGCTTAGATCGAATTCGTCAAAGAAAGGAAGGGCAGAAAAGCCTTCTTTGGCTGGATGCATACCAGCATCAAGCTATGATAGGAGAACCATTAGTTGATAGTCAGGGATATAGAACATTGAATTCGCATACCATGACTGTCTTGCCCTTGTATTGAATGATATGACATGATCGTCCGACCTCATTGCCTCCACCCAGACAGTAGAATGCCAGCTCATCGGACGGATCCGCAATTTCATCATCCACACTTGCGCCCATTGCAGAGGCTTTGCGCTTAGTCGCCATGGCGGCGTGAGCACTGCACGGGTGCAATTGCGCCAATCGAGGAGCTGTGTTGGGGCTTAGTTTGGAGTTCAGGATCGGTCAAATCCAAGGGCAACTCTGCCCGGGTCGCACGGTTAGGGAAAGGCTACCACTCAAACAGAATTGGTGAGCAGTGCCATGACCAAGGCGACAAGAATTTAGAAACAAGCGCAAAGAAAGGGATCAGTTTAGACTGACGGGGAGAAAGGAAAGGACGACCAACTTCCCAAAGACGCGGCATTAACTAAGCTGTGTCACGTGACTAGCGCGATCCGCGGAGCAAAACCTCGAGACACGCCAGAAGCTCCCTTTACACCCACTCGCCCGGCATCTCCCTCACCAACCCCGCTGTCCGTTTCGTCTCGTGTATCGCGCCCATCCGTCAGTCGTGTCGATTTCATGCTTTACCTGGTGCTGTGAGATGGTCAGAGCTGGTGGCGTCTGGTGGTGCGAGCAACTCGCTCACTTCAACCAACCTCGCGTGGACTAGCTGTCCAGCCGCTTTGGGTTGCGCAAATAGCGACCTTTTATCATCTCGACTCTGAACCCGCGCCGAATACTATTTTTTCATCATGGCGCAAACACGCCTTCCACAACAGCAGGGGCAGCAACAACAGCAGCCTCCGCCTCAGTTCGCTGCCCATCCCTTCTCTCCTCCAGTCTCCTCGCCCTCACCTCATTCTGTAACCTCCCCCGTCAACGGAGCCGTCGCGCCGCCTCCTCAAAAGAAGCCACGGTTATCGCCACTTCCTCCTTCACAAACACAGTCGCCATACGCCTCTCCCAGCTTCGGCGCGATGCAACTTCCTCCATCACAGCCACCGATGAACGGTGTGAGCGCGAACTTTACACCGTCTACACCTACCAGTGCAGCGCCCGCCCCCGGAACCATGGGTCCTCCTTCTCGTCCTGTTGACAAAACAACAGATGCCGCCGAGTTGACTGATGTATTGGCATCATCGGGTATTGATGTTCGGGAGGAAGAGGCCTTCCTTACGCGCAGCTTCTCTGGGCCCAATGCGCAGGCGCAGCAGCCCAATAGAGCTCAGCTGCCACAACAACAAGCCCCAATAAACACCTCGTTTGTCTCGCAGGCGTCTACGCAAGGAACATTATCTGCCTCGAGCAGTTTCGGTGACTTGCCCCACACCAAGCCGACCATTCCGCAAACTTCATTTTCCACCGATCCAACCTCACAAGCGACCTCCATCAGCAATCCACCGAGTCGTGCCGATACGGAGGCAGCACGAAGGGCACAGTACCACCTTCAGGAGCCGTTCCTTTTCGCTAAGCTTGTAGAGCAGAAGATCCAGAAGCGTGGTTTTGAACTTGGAGTACGCATTCCCTCGGAAGGTCTATTCCATCCCGTGCCCGGTCGACAGGCACCAATCGAAGTCACGGGTCCCGATGGATCATCGATTGTGCGAACGGGTCAGACCATCCTCAACCAAGAGGGTGCACCCTTGGTGGATATCCTAAACCTCATCTCTCTCTCGTGTGAGGAACGTCTGAGAGGAGTGGTTGACTATTCTTCTACACTGGCACGTAGCCGGAGAGCCCACTCACATGGTGTGGTCCCTGATGCATGGGTGGACATTGCGCAGCCTTTGGGTCCAATCGCGGGGAATACCGTCACTCCGTCAAAACGTGAGCGCAAGCACGCTATCTACGTCTCTATCTATGATCATGCTAATTTTTCTTTTCAGGGCCCAATCCAGATGCCGAGGGTGCAGCCAAGAAACCCGCAGCAGAAAAATACCGGGGTCTCGTTACGAGAGAAAATAGCCTGGAAAGCAAGCGTGCAGCGAAACGCACCAAGAGAAGTGCTAGTGCCATTGTGGGTGAAACCACGGGCAATCGGTCCGATTCTGCGGACTTCATGGGTTCGGCCCCGTCTACCCCATTAGGAGAAAGGGCGCCCAGTTTCGACAGCAAAAAGTCAATGACAAAGAAGGAGCAGAAGAAATTGATGGATAGCAAGGCCAACGAGGCGCAGCAACATCAACAGTCTGTAGAGACTGCACGTCTTGCCACGAATTCGATGCTTTCCGGCCGGATGTTTGGATCTAAGAAGTCCTATTCATGGCTGAAGCCTGGAGGCTCCTCCAGTGGATTCTCAACGCCAACCCGTGCTGCTCCTTCGACTCCGACCACCGGGCCAGAGAAGCCCAGTCGCGCGGGCGAGACACCAGCTGGTCAGCCAAAGCGACGACTTGGAACGTGGCGAGAGGATCAGGAGAAGGGGCGAGGCATTCAGGTTCGGGATATCTTGTTTGCTGTCGAGGCCGATGGTCGAGCTAGCAAACACGTTCAAAAGGGGTATTCGAGAGACCCCAAGGAGGATCGTGCGGTTTGACCTGGCCCAGGCACTTGTAATCTTAATTTATACAGCGTACTGCTCAATGACACAATTATGGCATGCTAAGTATTGTTTCTGCATTTTTGTATTAAGAAAACGAAGGAACTTTATTCTATACGATACAAATCAAAAGGGGTATACACTCCACTCGATGTCCTCTTACTCGTATCATCTTCATGCTGTGTGTCCCAAGGCCTCGCGAGCACGGCTCATCTCATCCTCTGACGGCATATTCACAATCGCCAGGTATAAAACTTTCTGCATTGGAAGATCAGTACATTGCAAATCACAGTCAAAGGCGTTGAGTTGGGTTTCCATACCTTCTTCAACAATTTGGCAATTGGCGTAAATGGACCGATACCAGCGCCCCCGTCTCGGTTCTCAGCCGACCGATCTTGTCCCCTACCACCAGGCAAAGGACCGGCATACTCGGCATACCCGGCACGCGAAGCGCCGTTCTGGGGAGTACGCAAATCCCGAATGGTGTTGATGGCATCAGATAGACTGAATGGTCTGCCATGGGGCGCTGGTGGATTGGAATCGTAATCCCGGCGTTCTTGATATTGGTCTGTGAATCCTCGTGCCCCACGGCCTTTCATAGCGCTCAGCTTGTCTAGGGTGAGATGGCCGCCGGTAATCAGGGCGAGAGGATCACCGCTACTGGCCACATGGTTGGGATCGGCATAGCGGGAGTTGAAGGTTGGTTTTGGGCCTTGAGTTAAATGACTGTCGGGGTTTTTGGCGGCCTGACACAAGACCACGATTAGTTGGCATTCACAGATATAGTAACTATGAATGATGACTTACAAATTTGGCCTGGGCCCTCTTGTCCAGGTAGCCATCGACAAATTGCTTTTTCTTCTTCATTCCGGCAAACTTCTTTTGCGCGTCCTTGTCGGACGCTACTTGATCAATCTGGGGGAAGACCAGGGGTGCAACCTCGGGGAAGATATTGCCATAGGCTTTTCCGTCTGATGACTTGAACTTGTGACGAAGGCGTTCTAATCCGCTCAAACTTCCCCCATCGGCAGCTTTGGAAATGAACGAATTGAGATCAATCGTCGTCGCCGGGGCATCGGGCAATTCAGGATTCCAAGTCATGAGGAGACAGTAGAGGCCACGAGGTTGGAAAAATTCCTTGTTCATCTTGTCAAAGAATGTATTGGTCCTTCAACAGAGTTAGCAATATATCCTTGAGAGTCATCGGTGCTCACATCAGATGTACTCACTTGCGACGACCGTCCGCGGCGATCGCAACATCGGTAGCGATCTGGATAGCAATTGACACGGCAAGTCCAGTGACAGTGGGAAGCCACATTGTTCCAATGGACGCCAAGTTGATCGCATTCAGCCATTTGGCTGCTTGGCACGCCTTCTCCGCGGTATCGAGGAAATCAATAAACATCTCCTGATCGATACCGCACTCGTTCAACGTAGGGGCATACGCGCGAATGAAGCCGCGGTCACGGTTCTTGGGTCTGCGCTGTGGCAGCACGACTGGTGCTGACAACTGCGGCAATGACGGTCGACTTCCATCGTAAATGGTCGAATAGGGAGGTGGTGCAGGGTAGGTGGACGCAAATGCATGGGCGAGACGCTCTTGATCGACGTATTCCGGCGGTCGGTCGTTCTCGGGAGTGTTCTCCTTACCCTGCGCGGAATGCCCCAACTCTTCTTGTGCCTCATCCAGTGCCCATTGCTCCTCGAGAGACCCGGTGGGTGGGTTTTCATGGTGGGCCTCTTGTTGGGCGGTCGGTTCGCAGGGCACAATCACTTCGTACCACTCGCATTGTTTTTGCTGCTGCTGCTGCTGCTGCTGTTGTTGTGGCAGTTCCCGTTGCTCTTGTATTACCATATCGTTTTCAGGGACTGCGCCTTGATCCAATCGTTCTTTTTGATTCCTTTTCTTGGTCTTGCGGGCTGATCGGGCTTCCGAGACGAGCCCGATGCCTGCAGCAATGCCTTGAACGGCTTTGCGGCCAAGTCCTGATGCCATTATTTTCGAAATAAAAGTACAATGAAAGGAATCAAGGTGGAGATACAGTGGTGAAGGAATAATATGGATACGTGATAGTGGAAGGCCCTCTCCCAGTCGCGGGAATCTGGCGACCTTTATAACATTCTGGCAGTTCCCCCAGGCTCCCTCCTTCGCGCAGGATACTCAAATCGGCATGCACTGGATACCTCGCTGTAATTGCCAGATGCGACTGTTGTACATGATGAGCCATTGTTTAAAAAGGGCACCGAGTGCAACCCCCATTTGGTGAACAAGCATGGCCAAGCATCGATGGTTCAGGCGTGCAGCCACACGAAAGAGTGGCTCAAGCTAAGCCCAATCAGGAATCCATTTCGCGCTGGTCTAACTTGATTGGGTTATATTGACTGCCCTTCTCCACAATTTCGTGGCTATTCAGCTTCTCACTGGGGCCGTTTCATGTTCGAATAATTGAGAGCCCGAAGCTTATCAATATCACAGTACCCTGTCGACTGATAGTAAGTGCGCTTCCAGATACCAAATCACAATATGAAGTTCTAAACCTCGGACAAATCTCGAACCCTATCATGCATTCTTCGCGAAAGCGTGGCGCAAATGGGTCTGCTCTTTTCGTTCGTCAAGGGCATTGCCTATTCCGATAGTCCTATTGGAAGGACACTAGGCCATTAAGATCAAGAATAAAGGGGCCGGGCTTGACGCTAGAAACCTGCTGATTATTCTGGAACCCCTGGGAACTCACTCCCACGCCTGAGTATGACGGATGACAAGCATTGAACGGACGATTGAAGGGCTTGTCCGGAAAGTGTGCGCTGGCCTTTCTTCGAGCTATCTGACAAAGGCATCGTGAACGACGTCTCAATTACCGTTCTGGCTCTGACCACGATGGAATATGCAACACCCGGCATCTACACATGCTTGGCTGGACGGAGTATATACCGTGCCACCACGTTTACGGTATCGGCTTGGTAGCTGGGGATTTGATCTCTATCAAGGAGTAGCCTTGCTATACGGGTCTTCTCATTCTTTTACTATAGGATGAATAAGGTGGTTATTCATTAGCATGGACTTTCGTGGTGCGATCAAGACTGGATCAAGAGTTAAGATTAATGCGGGCACATTCGATCTAATTCGGAGTATTTAATGGTGGTCTTTGACCTGCGACGGCGATGGACTACGACACGGATGATGGTTATTCTTGATGCCACCATAAGATAGGCATTCTACCCGGTTCACTTTGCATGTCTTGCACGTAGAGGCGTTAAGATTATCATCCTAGATCTCTAGAGAAAAACCTTGATCCTCGATATCCGGGCTAGAACGATCCGCGTGCCACTCGCAATATTGGCCAAATTCCACGGGGCGGTCGATGACGGGCAATGATGATTGGTCCCGCTGGACCAACCCTGGCACCCGTTAGGTTGAACGCCGGGGACCCCGCAGAAACTCCCGTGCGGACGCGGCGGAGCGAGACTGGTGGGTGATAAGGGAGGCTTGTAGGTGGCTCGAGAGGGGTGTCGGTGGGAATGGAATTGTTGATTGAAAATGTCGAGGAGATAGTGATGGCTATTTGCCAAAATACTATATACTACGGCAGAGCGGAATGTACTAGTGGATTAGTCGTAGGGTACACGAGAGTGCCATATATATATCTCTGTCGGGTCCGGGGACCAAGGCTCCTGCAGACTATGTTTGCAATTACTCTTTTCGAGTCCCTATCCTATGTGACATTGGACAAATCTAGAATCTCTCAATCTAAAATCGAACCATGAAACTAGATGATCATTGACCGATGAGATGATCTTCCAAAGTGCTCCCCCGTGTCGCCACCGAAAAAGCAAAGTATGGAAAACTTACTCTCAGTCCCTCGCGCTAACGCGCCTCGAGAGGAGAGTTGGGGGGCGACTCCCACGTCAGTCGAGGCGGACTCCCTTGCAGATACGGAGGTACTGGAAAGACTGAATAGATAGAGTAGCCCGAAAGAAATGCACGGGCAGGGAGGAGTGCCTCTACGTCCGTCATACGGAGATCGTACATTGGCGCATTCCATGGGGAGTCCGTGATATGCTGACCGTCTTCTCTGGGCTTCGAGCTTAAATCTCCGTTTCAGCCTTGGTGCTCGTTTCGATTGCTTTGGCCGTTATTAGAAGGTGACTTCTGCTCTTGTTCGTAACGATCACCAGTCCCTCTTTGGTCGTCTCTAAATCGTCTAATTTTCTGCGGGTCTTTTACGTTTCCTCGATGTATATTCTTTTTTTTTAAGCCGTTTTCTCATCAGCCCTCTTCACTGCCACGCTGAGTCAGCTGGCATGTCCGGTGATCGGGAACTGTGATGAAGAGGGGGAACGAGTAATTTCGACACTGAATCTGTCCTTCGAGAGATATACGGTCATCTCAGATCTTCTAGACAGTTGATCGACCGTGTTCTCGCCTTCACTCCACTTAGTCCCCGTCCAATTTGCCCCGGTGTGGGCTCTCGCGACGGGGGTCGCTAAGCCAGGGCTTGGACGCGATGCTCCATTGCTGCCGGTGGCGGGCCACCAGGCCAACCAGGCCAACCAGTCCAACCAGTCCAAACTCGGGCCACGCAGTTTCTCAGTTTCAATCGTAAAGAACCCCCGGAGTTGATCAATATGAGTGATTGCACGGGCTCGTCTATTTTCATTCCGGGCAATTGGAATGTCCTTTTTTGGGTCTGGGGGTTATCTGGTCGGCTCGTCCTCGGGCAAGTCAACAAGCGCGCGAGGGACCTCCGTGTAGACGGGTCATCGACCACCTCATTATCCCTCTTTCCCCGTTGTCCTGGGAGGGGAACGATGAGTGCTCATGTTCGATCCGTAGTTAAGATAGTCTCATATCACATAGTTCCTCGTAATTCTCAAATTTCTCCAGGACCGGTCCGTTGTCCAAGACGATGGCAAAAAGATGGATCGGCGTGCTGCTCGCAACCCTCCGGCTCCCCGTTCTCCCCGTCTCGCTCACCCCCATCATCATCACTTTGCCTTTCAACTCTCCTCTTTCCCCTCCTCCACTCGTCCTCTGCTTGCAAATGTCGCCTCGTTCACCAATGCTTGTTTCGTTTCAACTCCCTTTCTCGTGAGCTGAGATATCGCCCCGAGAAACCCGTGCCTCGCTTGATCCAGTGCCCTCCGACCGCCTCGTCATTGTCACGTCTCGGTCTCCCCTCTTCCTAAAAGTCCTTCTCTCTCTCTCCCCTACCCCCCTAGGTACATCCCTAACTCGACTCTTTCTTCTCTCTCTCGTCTTGTCTGGAAACCCAGTCGGCCTGCTCCCGTCAGGCAGGTCTGTCTGACCGTGAGACTTCCCTGCTTGCTCGGTCAAGTTCTCTTCGCATTTTCCGCCGAAACGATCGGTTGTGATTACACTTCCTCCTCCTCCTCTCTCCACGTCCAGTACCGTTCGTGTGACGGACGGGACTCCTCCGTCCACAATGTCCACGCCTTCCACCGCCACTGCTACCCATCCTACCCATCAGCACTACGGTTATCCCCATTCCTCATACCAAGCCACGACCTCTTACCCGACCCCGACCACCGCCGCAGGGGCTCGCCTCGCGAATCCCTACACATACTCCATTCCGTCGCCGACAACAACCACGCTTCCCTACGCTCCACCCTCGCGAGTCGCTCCGGCGACGTCGACCCCTTCGGTGATGGCATCGCATCCGAGCGGCTCCAGTGTGGCCCCATCACAAGGTGGCCGGAGAAAGAAACCGGACTGGGGGGAATTCTACAAGAATGGCATCCCCAAGGAGGTCATTGTCATTGACGATAGTCCCGCTCCGGAAGCCTCCAAAACGGCGGCACCTCCTCCCGTTCCACCTCATGGCGTTGCCTCCGCTACCGGCCAGCCACCAGTGGCACAACCGGCCGGGAAGAGGCGCCGTACGGGAATGGAGACCGCGTATGACCTGGGGTACTATGACCGACCGTCCTTTTCCATCAATCCCCAACAATACGGCGAGGAATCCTCCGCGCACTCCTTGTCAACCGACCGAACCACTTCGTTGCACACGACGGCCCCGACGTCCCTCGGGTCGCAAGGAAGTTCGGGTGCTAGTAACGGGGTCTACTATGAAGACGCCACGGTGGGCCAAAAGCGCAAACGGACCACCCGGAAATCCACTCGAGACGAACAGAAACGTCGAGAGCTGGAGAACGCGCCAGAGGCGTTCCCCAACTACGTTCCTCCTTCGAAACCCATCATCAAATCCAAGGATGTCCCTGTGCCCGTGATTCGCGATGTACGTCTGACCTTGAGCCCGAGTATTTTCAGGTGGAGAATGGTGAAACTTACTATCCTCTCTACAGTTCACGAGCGGTCGTCATGAAAAGTTCGATGATGACGACGGTCACTACATTGTGACCCCCGACACGCCTCTGACGGAACGATGTAGGTAGACCCTGTTGACCGGATCGGGATACTTGGACTCGGCTAACTCTTTCTTTTCCTTCCCAGACTCGATAATCAAACTTCTCGGCCAGGGCACTTTTGGCAAGGTGGTAGAAGCATTTGACAAGCAGCGGAAGGCTCGATGTGCTGTCAAGATTATCCGTTCCATCCAAAAGTACCGGGATGCGTCGCGCATCGAGTTACGCGTGTTGTCCACCTTGGCCTCGAACGACAAGGCCAACCGCAACAAGTGTATCCACCTGCGGGACTGCTTCGATTTCCGGAACCATATCTGCATCGTGACCGATTTGCTAGGGCAGAGCGTGTTTGATTTCCTCAAGGGCAACGGGTTTGTGCCTTTTCCCAGCAGTCAGATCCAGAACTTTGCACGTCAACTATTCACCAGCGTGGCCTGTGAGTTGAAACCACCTCCATCATTCTTGAGACCATCCTCTCTTACTGACCCGATGCTAGTCCTCCACGATCTAAACCTTATCCATACCGATCTCAAGCCTGAAAACATCCTCCTCGTCAGCAGTGCCTACCAAACCTTCACCTACAACCGCACTATCCCTTCTTCCTCCCACGCGAACCCCCGCAATGCGCGCCAGCGACGGGTCCTCCTTGATAGTGAAATTCGTCTCATCGACTTTGGCTCGGCCACCTTCGATGACGAATACCACTCTTCGGTCGTGTCCACTCGTCACTACCGGGCACCCGAGATTATCCTCAACCTGGGCTGGAGTTTCCCCTGTGATATCTGGAGTATCGGGTGTATCCTGGTCGAATTCTTTACCGGTGATGCTCTCTTCCAGACCCACGACAATCTCGAACACCTGGCAATGATGGAGGCAGTCATTGGCTCTCGCATTGATTCTCGTCTGGTTCGGCAAGTGGTGCAGGGCCGTGCCGGTAGCCATAACTCTGCTGCCAAGTAAGTTAAACCCACTACATGGAACTTGCTGAAAATACCAGACTAACTCGTTCTTTAGGTACTTCAACCGCAACAAGCTGGACTATCCCAACAACGAAACCACTCGGGCATCACGCAAGTATGTTCGTCTAATGAAGGCGCTTACTGTAAGTCAAAACCATCATTCTTATCCACAAGCCAATACGATCTGATCCTTCGTGTACAGGAGTTCATCCCGATCAATACACCTTTCAACCGTGCATTCCTGGACCTTCTGCAGAAGATCTTTGTCTACGACCCCAAGCAGCGGATAACGGCTAAACAAGCCTTGAAGCACCCCTGGTTCAAGGAGAGTCTCATTGACGATGGTACCGAAGCATACCGGATCGGAATGGGTCTTCATCGCCAGACCGGAGCGAGGTAAAAGTGACTCCCTCATTACATCTCTCAGGGGGTGTCTCTTTTCAGCTCTCATCTCCCGTATCTGGCGTCAATAGGGTCTGTGGATAGACAGGTTGTCTTTTTTATTTCAAGGGGTAATTATTATCAACACATGGATGGGATGGGATCGGTGTTTTCGTTCACATTGGGAAAATGACGATTATGATGTGTCCGGTACTTTTTTTTTTTTTTTTTTTTTCGATATCTGCGCTGCGGTTTTCTCTTTGGAGGCTGTCTATCATGACGCAAGCAGAGAATGCCCCCGCGGCTCAGCAATAGCTGGACTACCAGGATGTTCGCAATTCTTTCTCTCCCCTTGCATGTTCTCCTGCTATCGGCATATCGCGCGATGAGCTTTCGATCGTGATCTCTTATGGGTTCATCTTTTAGTTATTTGTTACCATTCCTTGAGGCGCCGGTGATTGGATTTATATTTCAAAGGTTTTTTTTTCTGCGCTGTTGCATCTGCTGCGCGATGTGTCTTTTCTTCTGCTTTCTCTGTCAAGTACCCTTGGGGCTAGGCTGTGATTTTCGATTCTTATACCATGAGGTCGGGGGTATTCTAGGCGTCTATATGGGAGTAAAGGGGATGTATATAGGCATTGGCCGGTCCTAATGACCCGACTCCATTGATCCTGTGACTGTTAATCATTTGGTCCTTCCAGGACCGGAACAAGTAGACTTATCAGATATACGCACTGGTGAAGACGTACAAAATGTTTCCCGTTTCGTTACTAAACTCTTTTCATCTCTTAGAGGGATCTATCCTTGCCTACTATAAACGAGTTACTAACCCTCGATACACTATATCCCTAACGTAAGTCTGCTGTCCACCGTCCCACATCCAAGGACATTAAATGGTCAAGGGCATAATCACCCTAGATAGCTTCCTTGATCCAATTCATATCTGGGACCTTACCCTGTTGAAGAATACCCTCAATTCTCTGTGCCAGATCCAACAACTCCTCATCACCATCAACTCTCCCCATTAACTCTAATCCAACCGGCACACCCTGCGCCGCCGAAGAAGTCGGAGCACTCAACCCAGCTTGAAACCCGATATTAGCACCGTTCTTCCACAAGTTCCTCCTCCTAGAAACTCCAAACTCCAAACTCCAAACTCCAAACTCACCAGGAATACAGATAGCAGGCCTCCCCGTCAAAGCCGCAAGAATTCCATTCCTCCTCGGTTGTTCCCTCGCCCCAATCTGAACAACAAACTGCCTCTGATGCGGATAAACCAACGCATCAACCGCATTCCCCTCAAACACCTCCCTCACCGACTCCTTCAACACCGAAACCGTCTCTAATCGAGTCCGGTACCCGGGACTATCCAGCGCAAACGTCTCCGGATCTTCCAGCGGCGCAGTAAATACCTCCGTCACGGCCTTTCGATCATACTGCCCGCTTTCCGCGATATCTCGTAGCGAGCGATACGGTGACATGACACTCGGTAATTGTAGGAACGCATCGAGTCGTTCTTGGAACTCGTAGATCTGTGTATCAGCCGTAGAATGGAGCGTTGCAAAAGACCAGTCCGGATGACTAGCAGGATCGATATGAACCAATTCCACGTCCGCACCAGCTTGGGTCTTGATAGCAGTCAACGCCTCGTTGATGATCCCCCGCACAACCGCATTTTCCCGAATAACTTCGTCGGATAGATCCCCGGGGGCCTCGTCAAGCCCGAAATACGCATCCAGAATACCGATCCGGATCGTTCTCGCATGTCCATCCCGGACCTTCTCGCTCTCTACCTTCCCCGCGCTCTTCATCACGTCGAAAACAGTCCGCACATCCCCGACACACCTCCCCATCGGCCCAACGACGTCCTGCACAGAACTAACCGGCACAATCCCCTCAGTACACACCCGTCCCCACGAGGGTCTGAACCCGACAACCCCACACGCGGACGCAGGCGACCTCAACGAATTCACCGTATCACTCCCACACCCAACAAGCCCAAACCCACACGCCACCGCTACGGCTGTGCCCCCAGACGATCCACCGGGCGTCCGGCTCCCATCCCACGGATTGACCGTCTGCCCACCCACCGACGAGACCGTCGTCCCCTGCAGCGCGAATTCATGCAAATTAGTCTTGGCGAGGATAATCGCACCGGCAGCCCTGAGCCGTGCCACGACGGGACTATCCGTCGTCGTGTGCAGGGCGTTCAGGGCCGCGACGCCTGCGGTTGTGGGTGTATCGATCGTTGTAAAGTTATCCTTGAGGATGACGGGGACCCCGTGGAGGGGTGGGAGGGGGACATTGCTTTTTAGCAGGGATTGGGTTTGCAGATCTTTCTGGTGTGCGGTTTGCAGGGCGTGGCTGTTGATGTGGATTATGGATTTGAGGGTACGGTCGTACTGGGTTATGCGGGACAGGTAGATGGTGACGAGGTCGGTGCAGGTCGTTGTCCCGGTGGAGAGGGCGTGGTGGAAACTTGAAATTGTGAGATTTGGTATGTCGAGGTCTGGGGATATTGAGCCCATGATGGGGGAGGTCTGCGAGGGCTATGTATTGGGGAGGTAATTGGCTTTGAGGGTGGTTGACTTTGGAAGGGCAATCGATTTAATGTTTGGATGTTGGGGCAGAGTTGGAGTAAGTAGTGCGATGGACTCGTTGGAGTACATCCCTAGAATGTACAATGCGGGGGGGGGGGGGGGGGGGGGAAATCTTTCTGACTACTCGCCAGTACGGCAGGACTCCATAATCGAGGACCTTTCTTCCTCTGGAAATACTGTCTATACTCCGAAAATTGATCATATACATGAATCGTATATACAACAAACCCGAAAAAAATCCAAAAATTCTATTCATGCACATGCACATGCAAAAACCGCAAAATGCACAGCTATAATCAAAAGATGAAACGCCAACCCGCAAGGTAAGAAAAGACTAGATGCCCCGATTAAACTCAACCATTCCCTCGGATCCACCCCGGCCATGGAACTCCTCCTCCAGCGAAGCAGCACTAATCGCCTGACGCTGCGGGAACGCCGCCAACGCCAACGGCAAAGCGAACAGCGAAGTTGTGAGAATGAGACCCAGGTTCACGGGGAGTACCATGCGCGGGTTCGCCTTCATCCAAGCAGTCTTCTCGAGACGGACCAGGATCAGAGGGGGCAGGACCATGATCGGGGTTGCGTTGAGGACACGGGAGATGGCAGTCTCGCCGACGGCGATGGTCGCAGCCTTCTTACTCTTGCCCAGACTTTGAAGGGCCTCGGCGTCGTCACCGAGGGCTTCGCGCTTAGCGCGATCCGCGTCCGAGAGAACGGGGTAGACATCGATACCGCGGCGAATTTCCTCGCCGCGCATGAGGAAGACGTTCAGAGCTGAGGCGCTGGCGACGGCGGCGAAAGGGACGAGGCGGGAGAGAATAAGGCGGGTGTTGGGGGAGATGCTCTTCAGACGGGGTACGAGGGCGTTCAGGCCCAGGGCGACCGAGCAGGAGGCGGAGACGGCCATGAGGTAGGATTTGGCGATTTGGGAGGTGGAGAGTGGGGTGGATTTGTTGGCGTTGGCATTGTTGATGGCGACGTTGAGGGATTGGTTGCCGATTTGCCAGAGGAGCGTGCCGGCTGTCTGTAAATATTATATTAGGGCTGTCGTGTGACAGGCATGTAGGGGGATTCAAATACTCACTCCGAGACCCGGGGTGAGCATGCCCGCCGTAACGACCAAGTTGGTAAGGACATAGGCAGACATGCGGAAGGGGAGCATGACCGGCTCGCCAGTATCTAAAAACAAATACGATCAGCAATTGACCCTTTTTTCCGACGCGATTCGATCGTATGCATACCAGGGTGCAGCGTCGAGTCGACCACCTTCTTCGCCTTCCACAATTCCGGAGTCATCAGAGGGATCTTATTCTGCTTGTACGAAGCGATCAAGCCCTTCGCTTGCTCCAGCCCCGCGGGTGACACGAGCAGCATCCTGGTTGAATCAATTAGCATGCGATCGCATAATATAAGGGTAGCCTCGGGCCACCTACCGAGGATCGGAGATGTCTGCAGCATGGCGAACACGGCCCCAGTAGGACTTCAAGTCATATTGAGAAACGGGCAGGTCCCGCGGACCGGGGAGTGATGCAGACATGGCCCCAAAGCACGAAAGAATGTGTGTCTGAGAGAGAAAAGAGTGAAAGATCCTGGGGGAGGCGAGAAGAAATGACTCGAATTTGCGGGGAGCCCGATTTACTTTTTCACGATAATCAAAGGCGGTGAGGCGATAAGTGGACTACGGGGCCAATGAGAAGTCGGCCCGGGGGTTCGTCTTCCAGGAACACCGGGAGGGCTGCCGGTTCTATGCGGGACACAAAAAGGGAGCAAATTCTATTGGACCGAGGCAAGGTATAATGGCAATAGTACACAAAAAAAGTACAGAGGTATCATCAAGGTAGGGGGGAACGGTGATTAGAAGACACAATGGCGGGAGCGGTCCCGATGCAAGTATAAAATAAGAAACCCGGCGCTCGGGGAGTGAGTTTAAAACAAAAGAAAACAAGAGTCGTCAAGACACGTCCTCACTGGACGGGCCGGTAAGTCTACCGGAATCGAAAGGATTTATGCGCCAACGGGGAGGGAGGACCCGCGCCTGGGGCATACCCGGACCGGACTCGGGAGGGGGTTTGGGCACAAAACATGCAAACATAGAATGAGGGCAGGTTGGATCGCTCCAAACCGACACATTTCGTATGGAGCCAGTGTGTACAGGATTCGCTGGAATAAGGTGAATGAGCGAAATTGGGGTTTGCACAGAATGGGGGAGACAGGGTGCTTACCATTGAATCATGAGATGGCCGCCATTGTCCATCGAATTGCAAACGCAGCGCGTCCCGTTGCTGGGGTTGCTATGGCGATCGGTGTTGGGAGTGGCCAAGTCGGGGTCGGTCAAGGTAGTGGGAGAGTGATTCGAGTGATGCGATGGGTGGAGATCGAAGTCGCTATGGAATCGAGGAGGGGAAGAGCGGATGTGGGCAAAGGTAGCAGCTCGGGGAAGACGAGCACCGTAGCCGCCACCAGTAGAAGGCCGGGGGCCCCGTCCGCGGTCTTTGAGGACCTGTCGAAGTGCATGTGTGGCATCCCCACTGTCATCCTCTTCGCCGGGGAGCGTCTGAGAGGCAACGCTACCCCGGGTATATGTAGCGTCCGAATGTAGCAGGGAGGAATGCCGCTTGCTGGGTGTCCGCTTCATAGCTTCGGGAGAGCCCCGATAGGTGGATCGGCTCGAGACACCACGAGAGGAACCGGCCCAGGGAGACATGCGTCCCGAGTGGGACGAGCCCACCGTAGACGCATAGGATCCTTTGGAGGGAGGTCGCGAGCCCGAGTCACTACGGGACAAGGACGGCCGACCGCTGTCAAAGAGACCGTACGAGGAGGACTGTGGACGAGGCAGGACGGGATACTCCGAGTACTCGGCGGGGTCGGCTTCACTCTCGGTGGCAGAACCATCAAGGTCCATACCCGTCAAGGGATCAGTCAACCCCGTGGGACCCTGGTCGACAGGCTGCATCTCCGCCTTGGCCCGACCGTCCCTGCCAATTTTCAACACCACAGACCGCGAACGAGTTGGCATGCCCGTGGCGACTGAATTGGACCGTGCCAGCGGTGCCGGTCTCATGGTTTTGATGGGAGAAGACCGGCCCTTGGAGGGACTCTTGCGAATACCACTCGTTGTGGCCATGATGCCACTGGATCGACTGAGTGGACGATGGGAGGAGCTCATGATCGCCGTATGGGTCACACTCCGAGTAAGGACGGGCCGGCCACGAGGGGTGAAATCGTCATCTTCATCATCACCCGAGAAGCTCGAGAATGAACCGGGACGTTGGCCTTCATAGCCTTGGACTCGACGAAGTTCCTCCCGTTTCGATTCTTCAATCTGATGATGATACGGCTGTCTCATCCCGGGCCGCCTTTCGGGCGTGACTTGAGGCCCGCCAAATCGTCGGGCAGGAGAGCTCAAAAACATCGCTGGGTCCTCCGCTTTGGTGACAGGGATACGCGGGGAGGTCGAAAATGGAGCCGGAAACAGAGCGGCGTCGGTAGGAGCAGAGGAGATACCAAACCCGCCGCTGGTGAATTCAGGTAGATCCATGGAGCTATCAATGGTGGGGAGTTGTGGGATGTTCGCATTGATAGAGGCGTGAGCAGGCAGTCGTTCAAGATGAGCATTGCCTCGACCTGCCTCTAGTGACGGTAGTCCATTCACAGAGGGCTGCTGCTCTTGGTCCCAAAATAGACGCTGTTGTGGGAAGATAGGAGACCCCGTAGGATCTAAAGAAGCCAGCTGGAACAGGTCTGGAGAAGACTGGAGATTGCCAAACAGTCGAGGAGATACTCCCAGGAGACGACTCGGAGTTTCTAAATGATTGGCCATGCGTGGTGTGGTCCCCCTTCCGACACTGCCCATGGACTCAAAATCGGGAATCCTCCGTCTTGACGCACTGGTCGGCGGCGGGGTTTGCATTGATGCTGCCGATTTGGCCGAATCCACCGTCCTAGGGCCATCTTCGCTCATGGTGGGCATCGGCTTCATAGGGCGAATCCTCCTGGCGGTATCGGTATTCTCCGAGCTCCTTCCATCTCTGGTATCCGTCGCAGAAGCCTCTGCTCTTAGGAGATTGGACGGAGTATTGATACCAAACTTGTGCGGCGAGCGAAGGAACTCGGGACTAGAGGCATACGGGTCGGCGGTGTCCCAAGTGACTCGAGGGTCAAAGAAGCTGGACTCGAGTTTCGGGGTCGTAAATGAATCAAAGGCGGCCGTCGTAGGAGTCCTCGTCGGGGTCTGAGGTTCGCCATTGGGAAAGCTGAAGCTGAACATGGCCGGGTACATTAGCATCATGTTTCGGGGTCACGACCGGCGGCAATGCAGAGCCAGATTGTAACCGAAGAGAGGAATGGCATCAAAGTCCCAATACAAAGCACAGAAAGTAATCTAGAGCAAGGCACCCCGCACGGAAGGGATAGGAAAGGAGGGAGGGGAGGGGGCAGAGGAGAGGTGGTGGTGGTGGTGGTGGTGGTGGTGGTGGTAGCCGCAGCGGAAGGAGAACCAGGGCTCCAACATACCTGTGGACAGGGTGATCCCAACTCATGTCAGCAACACGAGCCTAGCAACCATCGACGGTCGATCTGCCAGGCAACCTTAACGGAGAAGATATGGCAAAGATTGGAGGAGAAGAGTCGAAGGGGTGACCGGAGAGGAATGCTCGGCAGGGAGGGTTGAGGGCAGGAAGGTTTGCGGCGAGTGGTCACAGCATTGATCGAGAGTTGGATGCTGCCGTATTGATTTGTCTGGGGTTGGTGTATTGATTGTAGTGAGTCTGACTGTAGCTTTCGAGATAGCTCGGATCGGTTACAAATTGGGTTTCAGTGCAGGAGGCTGATCCCAGGTCGATCTGTACTGTAGGAAGGAGGACGGGTGGAGGAAGTAAGCGGACTTGGTAGTTTCCCCGGCTGATTGAAGAGGGTCTGTAGGATTCGAGTAGTCGAGAAGTAGGGCAGCAGCGTTCCGAATTTGAAAAGAAAGAAGGACCAGGAATGCCGATAAGGTGCACCGAGTTTGAAAGCTGGTAAGATCTCTGAGGGATCGTCTGCAGGGGAGGAGGAGGAGAGAGACGGAGGGGTGTTTTTCTTTTTCTCAGTTGGTCCAAGATCGTTCTTTTTTTCCGTGGGGGACCACTTTCTTTTTTTTTTTCTTTTTTCTTTTTTGAATGTTTGATTACTTGGTCGGCCTCCACCGATCCACTACGAAGCTTCCGATTTTCCGTCGTTCACTGGCAGGAAGAAATCAGACGACTACGGTTATAGAGGCAGTCGGGCATAACGGGGGACTGAGTCTAGATCTTGGCTGGTGGTGTCGTCGTTGCGAGGGTTTAGTGTCGTGCGGAGAGTATAGGAAAAGGAAGACTATAGGAAACTCGGAAAGAACACGAGGATGGAACTATGAGCCTCGTTCCAGAGGACCACCTTGCTGAATACAAACCGTTCTGATCCCACTTGAACATTCTGATATCCTCTATAGCTATCCTTTTCCTCCAGACTCTAGACTATTCAACTCGGTCGCATGCAAACACCCTTTTCGAGAGACCTCCTCGGTCCGACAGGTCAGCACCAGCTGAACAAAGGACCACAGGGCGCCTATCAAGGGCCTCTCTCTTCCCCCCCCTTTGGATCTAACTTGGGTCTAAACTCATCTCAGGATGCCGGGCCCGCCGATCGGGACCCTATTGGGGCGGACACGATCGAGCCTCCTTTCCTAGGTTCTCTAGGTTCCTGAAGTTCCTTGGTCGTCTCGCCCCCCCGGGGGCCTTCGGGGCAGCCGGTAGCTCTTTTGCACGGCCAGTCAGTCATGAGCGCGGGGTCCCTCCCACTTTGGTCGTCTCGTTCCTTCGCACCAGTCGACAGAGTATGGAGTACGGACGAGTAGTAACTACGGAGTGAATAGCTCGGACTGTCACTAAACTAGGCTCATCTCCCCCGGGGCCAATCTGACCGATGACGACATGCGGCCATCCCTGGCGAGATGAAAGTGGAGCCGCCTTGGAACGGCCATTGAAGAGCCTGGAGAAATAGCGGCTGGACGGGTTAACTACGGAGTACTGCCAAACGAGGAGGAACTTGCTTTGGAAGCTGGGCAAACGGGAGGTTTTTCTATTTACTCGATCTCGTCACGGGAGCACTCCGGACTCCGTCCTGGCTCTCATAGCTCGCAATTGCTGACGGGACTTGATCCTGTTACTTATCTCCAGGGGGGAGTTCAGCTCGCCATGGTGCTAAGTGTTAAGCCGTAGGCCTTAACGAGTTAGCTATCGACCCTCGGGCGAGCTGAAGCCCAACCCCTCCCGTGAAAGGGGGTTTATCTATTCTCCGACCATAGGAACGGTAGTACACTCCGTACTTGCAGTAGTTCCAGGTCTCTTCTTTGTTTCCACGTATTCCATTTCCCAGTCTCCTCGGACTAAAGGGGAAACTGCCCCGCTACTCTGTAGTTGAACTATCGTTTTATGATAGAGATGGAATCTACCTTGTGCACTTGTTATACTACTCGGTCGGGATATTCATAGTTCTACTGAGCCAAAGATCTTGTCTCCATCGAAGGTTGTTTAGAGCCAGCTCCTTGCCATGTCCCCCTTCAGCTCTGTCCATCGTCCGCCGCTAATTCACGGCCCCTGGCATATACGACCAGCCCATCCTCTTGGCACACCTTGAATTTGCGACTCGCCGCTGATTCATCCCTCTGGCGGGGTCACTTCCCCTTGCTCCTCATTTGCTGCTCATCTGGCTCACGGTCCCGTCAGAACCGGATTTCTGCTGGCTGAACGTCTCGCACAGCCCGCCATCTCGAGGAGTACGTACTTTTTTATGGACTACTTCAAATTTACCGCAGAGAAGCGATGGTGGATGTCCACACTGAAGCCATCAGGCCTCCTCTCCCTCTTGTCCGAGCAAAAGGCCCCAGTTGTCCATCCAATTTTCGATAACCCGCCCAACCCGCACCGGATCTGAACTCACAAGTTGACTAGCCAACCCACCCGAGCTCTCCACTCTAATTCTCATGCAAGATCTACTCTCGGCTGATCATAATCTCGGTCAACCCTACGGAGTGTAGTCTACGTTCGAACCGGATTTGACTTTCATCCATGATCTGAGCCGCCTCTGGGACACTTTAACCCTACCTAAGTAGCATCCCCGGCCCTGTCTCCCACTTTCGAGACAGATCGTCACTCTCTCTTTCTTCACCAATAGTGATGGAGGTTGAGCTGACCCAGGACCCGAGCCGAGATCTTGCAGTCTTGCATTGTACCTGCATCCGGTGCTGCAAGGGCCGGCACGCTCGACATGGCCACTCGATTAAGATGCAAGCATGATCTGCAGTACGGGCCCCACGATAGCTGTCCACAGAAGTGCTTAATATCGAGTGTACTTCTTATACTACAATATTGTAGCATTATTTGTAATAATCAATGACCATATAGAATGTGTCCTTAACTCCATCCCATCCCACCCCGCATACGACTCCTCGTGCCGCCCGTCCCGCGTAATTGGACAGTTCACATGTATCATCAACGTCGGCCGAATTGCATGCACACAATTGTCAACCCAACTCCACTGGCTGTATAACATTGGCTCTCCGATCGATCAAAATCCCATAGTACCTGATACTGTAGAACCGAGTCATTGACATACAGGGAATTTAAACCTAGAATGACTCAACGATTGATTGTGACTACATTAGCAATGCTGTTTGACTTAACTGGTTAGTAATGTACTACGCTTAGTTAAAAAACTGCCATATTTAAACCCAAAATCTTTCAAGCCTGATTCTCAGGAAAAATTGTAGCTAGAGACAGGCACCTACACCCTCACACCTTGAAATAATGGGCCTGGCATGCCAGGCTGTCCGCAGGGCTCCCCTGGTGCGCCACACTTCCTGCAGCCCTATACTTCCCCGCCACATTCTGCTGCCAATCGATCTACTAGACTCCTAACCCTCTACTGCTATGGCGCCGTCAACGTCTACATGAATCGCAACCATGATCAAAAAACAATGAATACCTCATAATCAACACTTGATGGTCCGTCTCAGTCACAATGAGGGAAGCCACCCCTCTGTTGTTTCCTTCTTTGTGTTTCACGTCTTTCCTTCCGCACGAACTGTCTCGTCCTTTATTGACGTTGACGTTGACGTTGCCGTTTGCTTTGACGTATTTTCTATCTCAATCGCATCCTCACTTCCATTCTTTTACCTTTCTGCACGTTTACGTTGATATTCACGTTCTTCTCGTCCCAATCGCTTCTACACGCCCATTCCCCTCTCTATTCCTCAGTCCCAAATGGCATACCTACCATCACGCAAAGTCTGCGTGCGCCACGGCCGTAGGAAGATGATACGCAGTCGGCGGGGTGGCGTGGCTAAGCCAAAGGCTCGGTCCTTGGCCACGGCTATCCAACGGGATGAGAAGAAAGCCCGTCAAAAGGCAAAGCAAGCGTCTGGGCCCAGGATCCCCGAATGTCATAAGCCACTAGAAGATGTAAGTTGAATGTCTCTCGGACTTGACCATCCATCACAGCCAGTATCTAATCCTGCATAGAACGTGTCTGAACTTGCACCGATGCCAGAGGGCTACTCTTTTATTCCAAATGGTGATGTCTACATCACTCTAAGGTGCCGACTCAAGGCCTGGGAGTCTAATCAGTTCGTGTACAAAGTCTACGTGGGTATTCATGCCTCTCTCATTGAACGGCGACCTCCACCCCGAGTCGTATCATTCTAATCAGCTGCTTCAGGACGCACTGGACAATGTCCCCATTGGAATCCGAGTGCCCTCTGAGATCCACGAGGAAATTCTTGCAAAGTCTAAAGAGACGGAACGATCTATTGCCTCGGCCGCCAACGCCCGCGATAACAAACCCCGTGGTCGAGAGCGACAGCTCCTACGTGATCAATTTCCGATGATGCCCGGACACATCCTCGATGCCATAGTGGAGCATGCCTTCCTTGAGGGTTCGGGCCGAGTGGGTTGCAATGGCTATATGCCCGACGGCCTACGAGCCCAGCTGGCTGTCGAGGCGCATATTCGACACAATCACACCCCTTATGAGGTCATGCTTGAAAGGGGCGTAAATCGGGAGCTGGCACGCAGGATGGTACGAGAGGCTGGGCAGGGAATCCGAAAGGCATGGGAAGGAACTGGCTGACGAACAGACGAAACGGTTTGCGCCATAACGCTTGAGATGATCTGAGTGGGGAGAGAAATTGTCAATTGCATAGCAATGGAGTAGTTCGGATAAGGGATCTTGTCTGTTGTGAATAGTTGCGTTGATACTGATGGATATTTGGCTTACCTCTGAGCCTTTCAACACGTGTGAGCGATCATGAGGAACATCCAACGTCATTCAAGCCCATCAGCGCGGGATACTCTTTTGTTCTCTCGTTTATTTGCTGGCCGCGCATGTTTCTAGTCCGTGCAATGAAATTTGGGTATTCCCTTGTGCCTTTAGATATTCATAAGCATAGCCCGTCGTCTCGTTATGTCTCATGACTACTGAAACCAAAGTTCTTAGCAAATCCTCTCCTCATCCCCAAAGTCGGCGATAAGCACCACCATTAACCCCATTAGGGATGGCGCTTTCAGGGGGCAACCGCAGTTAAGCATCAATCAGCGCTGGGCAGTGGATCCTAGCCCCCACTCCAACGCCCAAGGGTCTCACTCCGCTCGCACTCCAAACAGGCAGCCAAATGGAGAATCTCGTTGCGCCGACTCTCCCCCTCCTCATCAGCTTTCGGTCCAGTCCGACTCCAAATTTCCCTTCATCATGGCCCTCCCCCGTCCACCATGTTGAGGCGATACGTGTCCGTCCGGGGATGCTCTGGCCGGCGTCGCTATGTCGTGCTTATCGCTCTACTCGCCTCGTTCTTGCTAATCAGGAGTCTGCCAGCACTGAAAAACGACTTGAACACTCGTACTAGAATTGCGCCCTCCGAGGACCGGCCGCGATACCTCTACCACTCCATTTTCCGCAGGAACCCAGATCGGGGATATGAAGAGCAATTATCCAATGCTTTGCAAGAAATTGAGCGTCAGCAGTTATCGCTGAATAGTCATGAGGACAAGACGCATACGTTATGGCAGATCATGCTGGGGCTGGACCCCAGCGCAGAAGTCCGAGGCGAGGATTCGCTAAAATTTGAGAAGAAGAATTCCGAATGGCAGTACTCGGTAAGATCGCAAGAGCTAATTCCCATACACATGGCGCGATTTGCGCCATTTGGCACGCATTTGACTAACTGACCGTCGCGAGTAGCTCGTCACCACAGAATGGGCCGACGAATTCATTACCATCACTCTTGCTTCCATCCCGGGTCTTGCCAGTCTTTACCATTCCTACCCACACCACGTTCTACGGGCCGACTTGCTACGCTATCTAATTCTGTGGTACTTTGGTGGCTACTACGCAGACACGGACATTTTCCCCGCAAGATCAATCAAGCAGTGCCCATCACTACGAAACTCGGTATTTCAAACCGACAACCCCGACATTTCCCTGGTTGTGGGCATCGAAATCGATGAGCCGTTCGCTTCACCTCAGAAAATGCGCGATTGGCACTGGGTCCGCAGCTACGGCTTTATCCAGTATACCATGTATGCACCTCGTCGATTCAGTCCATTACTGCGAGAAGTCATCGTGCGAGTCCTATCGCATACCAAGCGCCACATCGACGAAAGTAACATCTTTCTCGGGGCACGGTATAATGAGCTGACTACGCTCGAAATCACCGGACCGGGCGTCTTCACCGATGCCATTCTAGACGTTCTATCCGATACGTTACCTGGGAACCACTCGTTGGTTGCAGAGTCCATCAAGGCAGACGCAGGTCTGGGCGACCTTGTCCCAGAATTCTCGACCACTCCTCAAGAGCGGGTGACTTGGGCACCGTTTTACCGACTCAAAGCACCGCTGTGCATTGAGGGGGCCGAGGCTAAGCCGGGTACTCAGCTGGGCGGACTGTGTGTTCTGCCTGTGAATGCGTGGGGGAATGGGCAGAGACATAGCGGGTCAGAAGACTTTGGTAGCTCCCATGCCTGTATCAATCATAGGTTTGGGGGGACGTGGAAGCCGTGGAAACAAAGCTGGAAGAAGTATCTGTTTGGATGAGTGGGATGCGGGTGAGGGATATTCTGGGTTTTATGCTTGGTTACGATTGGTCTGGGTATCTACTCTTACTGTATATATATGTACTCTGGGCGCCCTCCACCTCAGGAGATCCATGATTTACACAGGGCTGTATTATATGACTATACGAGAATGACCCATTATGGGTGCACATAGGTATGATTTTCCTCCAATGAGATCCTCTTCGAGTATATCTCTATGTAGGACCGATGTGTTATCATTGTGTAGGATGCTACCCAATACCTTAAGCTATAACCGGGTCTATCACGGTGAGCGGCCCCTCTGGAGTAGGCCTCAGAGCCCGTGATAAGAATTGGCCGCTCAAGAACAGCAGAGATGATATTGCGACGAATGCAAGCCCAAATATCACACTGCAGTTTTGTATTTGTTTAATAAAGCTCCATGTAGATAAAGCATTGGGCTATACTTTTTGTTGTCTTCCCAAACTGGTAATTAGGGCTAACCCCTATCCGGCCTTATCACGCTAGTCCCGAAACGTTATCAAAAGTTCTTGCTCCGCTGAGACTGTTACGGAGCGTTAACTTGATTTCCAGATCAAGCCTACTCACAATGGAACGACCTGAGCTTGTAGAGTCTCCGCGGAAGCGGCAAAAGACCGAGGATGTTCCCACAACCGATGACACGGTTGAAGTGCTTCCAGGCAATGGCAGTGCCGCAGCGACAAACGCGCAAACCATGAAGGAACACGATGTTGGCATTACGGAGATTGTGACTGCTGATAGCGAGGGATTCTCAGGTATTCTGAAGAAGAGGTATGAGCTGAAGCTTGGACTGGGTTTGCCATCAATGTACTAAACCTCCCGCTACAGATACACCGATTTCATGGTCAATGAGATCACACCCTCCGGCCAAGTTGTTCACCTCCAAAACATCCGCGCTCCCTTCTCTTCAACCAACGAGGAAGCCACTCCGACTGAATCGCAGCAGTCCACACCACAGGCTACTGAGCAGCCGGCTCAGAAGGAGGAAGTCACCGAGACTCCAGAGGCTGTGACACCCGCCGAGTTCAAGGTGTCAGAGGAGGACAATGCTTTGCTTGCGGAGTACTTTGGAGCGGAGAATGCGACTGCCATTATCAATCTGCACCAGACAGCAATGAATTCTCCCAGAGCTCGTCCCAGCGAGTTGGCAAAGGTTACGGTTGTTGTCTCTGACCGCGACCTGCGCACCAAGATTCACCAGGCCATCCGTCGCATCTTTAACTCGCAGTTGGAGTCGAGCACGGATAGCGAAGGAAACCTTGCCATCACGGCGGCCAGCAACCGCTTCAAGCGCAAGGCTCAAGGACACCGTGGTGGCAATCCTGGCCGGACCGGTGGCCGAATGAACTGGGACGAGCTGGGTGGCCCGTATCTCCATTTCACTATCTACAAGGAGAACAAGGACACTATGGAGGTTATCTCATACATTGCGCGCACAATGAAGATGAACCCGAAGACCTTCCAGTTCGCCGGTACTAAAGATAGACGCGGTGTGACTGCTCAGCGCGCCTGCGTCCTCCGTGTTCAAGCCGAGCGACTCGCGAACATGAACAAGTCTCTGCGAAATGCCTACCTGGGCGACTTTGAGTACCGCAAGCACGGACTCGAGCTCGGCGATCTTGGTGGTAACGAGTTCGTGATCACCCTACGCGACTGTGAATTCCCCGGTGTGGATATGAAGGACCCTCAAGCTGCTGTCAGCAAGGCCTCGGAGATTGTTGGCACCTCTCTGAAGAACCTCCACGATCGCGGTTACTTCAACTACTACGGTCTCCAGCGATTCGGTACTTTCACCACCCGAACTGATACCATTGGTGTCAAGATGCTGCAGGATGATTTCAAGGGAGCCGCCGAGGCCATTCTCCACTACCCCCCTCACGTCCTTGCCGCTGCGCAGGAGGGCGAGTCATCCACAGCACTGATCAGCACCGATGACAAGGCCCGTGCCGAAGCAATCTACATCTTCCAAAGCACGCACAATGTCAACGACGCTCTCGCCAAGCTCCCGCGAAAGTTCTCGGCCGAGGCCAACATCATCCGCCACCTGGGTCGCGTTAAGAACGACTACCTGGGTGCCATTATGTCTATCCCCCGCAATCTGCGCTTGATCTACGTGCACGCTTACCAGTCACTTGTATGGAACTTTGCCGCTAGCGAGCGCTGGCGACTCTATGGCGACAAGGTCGTCGAGGGCGACCTGGTTATTGTCAGCGAGCACCGGGACAAGGAGGAGACCGACGCTGCCGCAGCCAATAGCGGCGTGGACGAAGACGGCGAAGTTGTCATTCTTCCCGAAGGCGAGAACAGCTCCTACGCGGCAGAGGACGCATTCACTCGGGCTCGGGCTTTGACCGCCGAGGAGGCCGCTAGTGGAAAGTACTCCATCTTTGACGTGGTGCTGCCCCAACCTGGCTTTGACGTCCTGTACCCAGCCAATCAGATGACCGAGTTCTATAAAAAGTTCATGGGCAGCGAGCAAGGTGGTGGCCTTGACCCGTTCAACATGCGCCGCAAGAACAAGGATACCAGTCTGAGTGGTAGTTACCGCAAGATCTTTAGCCGGATGGGACCCAACTTCTCGCATGAGGTCAAGTTGTACTCTGAAGATAACGAGCAGTTTGTCCAAACGGATTTGGAGAAGCTCAAGGGCGCCGACCAGCGTGACAGTGCTGCTACATCTCAGACTGGAGACAAGTTGGCCATCGTGTTGAAGTTCCAGTTGGGTTCTAGCCAGTACGCCACCATGGCGCTTCGTGAGCTGAGTAAGGGTTTGGTTCGTGAGTACAAGCCTGATCTTGGTGGTGGCCGATAAGCCGATCGTTTGGTATGATATGATGGAAACTGGGTGGCCCTCCACATTCATTGTACATAGCTTGAGGTTTCTAAAAGTGGAACAAAATCACCGAGAACATCCACCAATGAACAGAGTCGGGTGTCTGACCTTATATTACGAAAATCTTTTTTCACCCATTCGTACCTCGCTCATTTTATTTTGCCTCTTAGAGCCTAGGTGTTCGAATAATGAATGAATTCACACTTCATGAGTTGGATATCAAGAATCCCCGCGTTATTAAACATCCCTCCATCACAACGCCAATACTCTAGTGCTCAAAACACAGCCAAACAAATATGTATATAGAAAAGGAAACAGAAAAAACCCCTCCAAAAGGGCCCATCCCGAGTCCCCTTAATCCCTTATCGGAACGACCTCCCATGACTCTCAATATGCGGATGATCGTCATCAAACGACGACACAGAAGACATATCATCAAAATCTCGCTCGTTATTTATCTGCCCATGCTCGTCCGAAATAATCGATACCCCATCGTTATCCTCAATACCCTGATTCTCAAATGGCATCCGTACACTCGCCGCCCTGGCACTAGGCGGGCCATTGCTAACACGGCGACTAATCGATGACACCGGCCGACTGAAATCACGTAGATCATGTTCTGTAGCGCTGAGTCGCTGATCCATCGAGACTGCCATGGCGATCCCCAGTTCCGTTTGTGGATCGTCGTCCGGGCGTGCAGATACAGAGCCGGGTGTAGTGTCGTGAGCATGACTACGAGTGACATCGATGACTGGTAGTCGAGACGGATTCCCTACCGCAGGGTCTGGAGACGCAACGGATATCTTAGGCGTAGTAGCCATGAGAGCGGCAGTTGAGACACCCGGTGTTTCGGAGCCGCTCATTTCGTATCGTGGAGGGGCATGACGACGCTTTCGGTGACGGATAAAGAAGAATAGCAGGGCTAGGATGCCGAGGAGACCGACTATCGCGATGGGGATGGCGATGGCGAGTTTGGTTTTGGCCGAGTCGCCTCCACCAGAGTAAGCACCGGGAGCGGCAGTTTGGAGGGTACTGGTACTAGTCGAACTGACCACCGTGCCGGAGAGAACCATGGATGTCTCTATGGATGTAGTTGATTCGGACACCGCAGATACAATGCTAGTTGAGGTTGGCGTCGTCGATATCCCGTTGATTGTAGTCGTAGATGATGCAGGCGTCACTGATGCAAATCCAGTCGAACTTTCCAGCCATCCTTCAGACAATGAAGCAGGATCTGCTGCCCGACTTTGACCTGCTGCCATCTGTGAAGTCTCCGTAGCCACCGATGTCGGGTTTCCGTCTGCCCCGGAGAGTTCTGAGTTAACGATGGATGCATCTTCCTCCCATGGCAACTGTCTTGGTTCTCGCTTAAGACTATCCAAATTCATGTCCATTGGAGAGGAGTCGGTAAGTTGAGAAGTTGAAAGTTGGGGCCTTGGAAAAATCTCCAGGCAAACCCTTGTAGCAGACTACAATCAAAGAAACCAGGATCACGCAAGGATCAAAGGACGACTGGGGGCCGGAATTGGGAAATGGGTACTTTTTCAATGGGGCGTGGATGAGTACGGGTGGCTTTCATGAGCCCGTATTCCCTTTAGATCGTGTCGGTGATTTTAGCTCTCTTGGAATTTTAGGGTTGGCCGCCGAGGATTGTCGAGAAGTAAAAATGGTATATACTGATAGAAGAGAAGATGAAGGTCGGTGGGAAAGCGCCCACCTGGAAAAGACGGTACATTCCACAGCCTCCCATGACTTCCTGGGTCTCCTTAATTTTTATTTCTCCATTTCTCCATCATCCACCACTCACCAACACTGCGAAGCCGCCCATCTGCGACAGCGGTTCGCGCGCCGGTGGAGAGAAGGAGGGGTTCAACTTGGGGGCTGCACCTTAGCACAGCCCGACGGCGGTTGGTGACTACAAAGAATCCCCGTCCATCCAATCAATCATACTCTAAGCGCGGTGCTGTTCACATGTGACGATAGATATACGCACATTGTTCCGACCTTGACATAAAGAATCTCTATTTACTTTCTGGTAGCTTTTAATGGTCTTCTTGAAGTTTTGTCTTTAGTGATGACGAATTGGGCGGTCTATGTTCTATATTTACCACCCCACAATGGTCGTGCCACGCATTCCTTGGGGCGGAACACGATGGATCGACGCGCTATTCCCTTTTGCGTTTAGTCTGCTGCCCGTGAGCCTTTGGAAGACTTGCTGACGAGGGTCATTATTCTGATTATGTATGACAATGTCCGTAATCCAAATTCAGGGCAAAAGGGGATTGGGTATATGCCCGTATTAAATAAGGATTGCCGTTTCTTGGAACAGGCTTGCGACCTTTCTTATCCATGGGCATAGTGTTCGGGGCTTAGGAGACGGGATGAGATCCACGGATATGGTTCGTATTCTTATACTTGTACCCTCGAAAACACGAGTGACCGACCTATTTCTGTCCACAGCCGTATCGGAGCTATTGCTTATTGCCATAGATCACCAGTCTGGTTTCTGCTTGCAATTGCATAGCTAATGTCATCTTTTCGGCTTTCATCTGCCTGGAGGACAAGATCTATCTGCAATATAGATGGTTCGAGTAGCACAATTTCGACATACGAGCGCTAGATCAGCAATACACGGTAGATCACATAACTATTCAATGTTATGGGCTGATATATTTCGGCTGATTAGGGTTTATCATGGCATGTGCTGTCCATTTGTTCATTTTCATACTTGATGTCTTGAAGCGGGACTTTTGAAATCAACCATACCGAGATGAACTTCCTCTTCATCGAGACTCGAGGAACTAAAAAGAAGTATTTTATCAGATTTCTCACTCATTTTCGCAACGAAAGTTACATTGGCCACGGGCTAGTAGGATACTCTCTACCGTGAAGACACCCGGACTCGGGTCTGGAGAACAGAATATGTAATGGTTGTTTTGTTTCCCAGTCGGGATGGATCTGCCAAAACTGTCAACCCGGACGGAACGACCTTTCCCAATCGGGGACTGCTTTCACGTGACTGCGGAGTAAGCGGGGTCAGATAACCAATTCAACTATCCGTTGTCCCAGAGTCTTCTTAGCAGCTTATCCACTTCACCGACCGTCATGAGTGGTTTCAAGAATGTGATGCAGGGTGGCTGGCATCCGAAGGGCAAGGAAGGAAAGAAAGAAAGTTGGCGTGGTGACTTCAAGGGCATCAACCAAGTGGTGAGCTCCTATCCATTCAACTACCTGGCCAGATGTAAGGCCCGGCCGCTAACGGACGTGACAGGCAGGATGGATGGGCAAGGGAAAAGATCCGAACGACGATGCCTCCGAACATGTATCCCAACCGCTATCATCGCTGAAGGACCCTTCCTCTTTCGGTCCACCACCCAAACACATTCATTACCACGGCGCCGCAGCTCTACCGAACGAGACCACACCGGACCGTCGAGGGATTGGAGCTCCGTTATCTCAGGATCAAATCGCCGAACAGAATGCACACCGACAGCAAGCGGTACAAGAAGAAGAGGAAGCTGCACAAAATCCGCCAGCTCCTCCAATTCCATATCGGGTGAATACGACCGGGCTCTCTACGAACAACCTTCCGCCGCCACCCGTCCGGCGCCTGGATTCACCGAATTCGGGTTCCTCTGCTTCGGCTTCGGCTTCGGCTTCGGCTCCTGCACCGGCGAGCGCAAAACCTAGACCACAGCTCCCGCCTCGAGTTCCGCCACGAAATGCCACACCCGAGACACATTCTCCCTCCCCGCCCCCCGCATACAATGCTACGCCGCCCCCTGCATTACATGGATACGTCAACCAACAAGCGACATCACGCCTTGCCAGCGCTGGCGTTTCGGTTCCGGCACTTGGGATCGGCGAGGCGAATGCTTCCTCGCCGGCGTCCTCGGGTGCGCAAGGCGCAAATGTCAATGAACTTCAATCCCGATTTTCGCAAATGCGAACCATTTCGGGCTCGGCATCACCGCAATCCCCAGCGCGGACTCCTATTCCCAGTGCGAATCGAGAGGACGCTCTTCCTCCCCCTCTTACTTTCCGCGAGCGTCATGCAGATAAGATTGATATGGGCAAGGAGAAATGGGGTGGAGTGACGTCACGCTTCAATACCTTTGTGGAGGATCGCAAGTTTTCGGCCAACGCAAACAAGAGAATTCCTCGACCGCCCGGTCCCAATTCCCCCAGCTCTAGCAGCACCGTGATCAATGCACGCCATTCCGCAGTGGCCGAGAACCCAACTCAATCAACTGGCAACAGCACCCTGGAAGCTCAAGCCCAACGCAAAAAAGCACCCCCACCTCCGCCTCCCAAGAGAGCAGATATTCGTGCAGCTCCCGTAAATGCCTCGCCGACCTCATCCGCCTCGTATACACCACCGCCCGTCCCGCTCAACACCAAACCCCGCTGAGCGGGGAGGATCCACGTATCTTGTACCACGATAGTTCCACTTTTCTTGAACGGCGGGCCGCGAATTGATATTTTTAAAGAGTCCGCGATCCGTGCGCGTGCTTTCTCTTTGTACTACATAGCTTGATCGAGCTCGGTCTCAATTGCACGAATTATCTTGAAAGATCCCTGCATTCCTACACCTTCCTTACTGTGCCAAGGCCTCGGCCGCATGTGAAGGCCCCGGTTGGCCGGCGATACCATCTGATTGACGTGATACTCCGAGATGTTGGGAAAGACATGCTTGCGATGTGCAGTTGTACAGTGACCGATTGGTCCCAACAATCGATGATTACCAGCCCGATGATTTGCGCAGGAACCTTTGGTCTTATATCGGTCCCATTTTTCGGGAGACGGGTATGGCTAACACGTGCGATTGTGGAAGCCCAGGTTATTGGCCTGAATCCTGCCTTGAATTCTGCCTGAATTATCTTGTGACCGAGTCAGTAGTGGCTGAGTCAGCGGAACCAGTCTGCACCCAAGGGAGGTAAGGTTATTCTGGAATTTCCACCCCCCCAATGCAGAGCGTGGGGTTTGCAGATGTTTGGACAGTTTGCAGCATTTGCACTTTCAACGAGTCGCGTGTGGCGGTCGCGGTCGCGTGTCGTCTTACTTCTAACAAAGTCCGGTCATATAGAAGGAATGGAACCTGGTTTCTTGGATTGTCCAAAATCTAAAACCAAAAAACAGGATGATCAGCATAAATTAATTGGTCTGGTCCGGCCATACAGCGAGGTGACCCGATCCATGAGATCAATGGAAAAGATCTCCCCGATTGCCACTGCGGATCATAGTGACCGCACAGGTTTTGGCAGTTTGTCCCAATCTTTGGGGAGCTACGCCATCAACCTCGGCCCTTTCCTTCCCCAATTCCCAACAAACGCGGGCTCCACCAATGCCAGTTGAGCGAGTCCCGCATGCTGATAAGTCCATTTAGACTTGCTGGGTCTACTTTTATCTTCCTGGTGGAGCCCCGTTGGTCTTTCCGTGTCGAGACTGGTTTCTGAACGAAGAACTGGCGCTTTTTTTTTTTTTTTTGCCCTTGCCTCTTTTTTCTCTTCCGTGTCGCTAGCTCTCTCCGCATTTCTACTACTCTCTCATCACAGAACCCAAAGAAAGCTGGTTGATCCTCCCTGTGATCTTCTCTGGCCGTGGGATTCATCATGCTCGACATCAACGTGCCCACCCAGTTCGGCTCTGGTACCGTTCGCATTGCGCTGCCGCCGGCCTCGCTGTTTAGCTTCCCTCCCGCCGAGCTCCCCGCGACGGTCCCCGCGCCGCACGTCGCAGAAGCGACATGGAAGCAACCCTTCAACATTCCCGATGATCTTTATACCCAGTTGTTGGACGTGCGCGTCCCGATCACCATTGCCAGCGTCTACGCGGTCACCGTCGTCCTAATCAACCGCATCAACAAGAGCCGTGGCTACAAGCCCTACGCTTTTAGCCACACACCTCTATTCAAGCTGTTTGTCGTGTTGCACAACGTCTTCCTGGCTGTCTACTCGGCATGGACCTTCCTCGGTATGTTCCAGGCCTTTGGCAACGCCTGGGCGGACCGTGACCAGCCCAATGGCCTCATCGGAGTTGTGGACTCTCTCTGCAAGATCAATGGCCCCCGTGGCTATGGAAATGCCGCTACCTATAGCCCGGTCACCAACCAGTGGTCGATCCCCAACCCCGAGTTCAAGTTGACCGCTGGCCTACCCGATCAGTCCGACGTTGGCCGTCTGTGGAATGGCGGCCTGGCCTACTTTGGCTGGATCTTCTACCTGTCCAAGTTCTATGAGGTCGTCGATACCGCGATCATCCTGGCCAAGGGCAAGAAGAGCTCGACTCTGCAGACCTACCACCACGCCGGTGCCATGATGTGCATGTGGGCCGGTATTCGTTATATGGCAGCGCCCATCTGGATCTTCACATTGGTCAACTCTGCCATTCACGCGATGATGGTATGTTCTTCCCACGTAGCGATAGATTACTGGAACTTCCAGGGCTGACTTCTTTTTTTTTACTTTCAGTATACTTACTACACTATTACCGCTTTGCGCATTCGTGTGCCCAACGCGATCAAGCGTAGCTTGACCACCATGCAGATCACCCAATTCGTCTTCGGTACCAACATGGCCGCCGCCTATCTCTTCGTTCACTACACCATCCCCTACCCCGCCGGAAGCGCCGCTCTGCAGCACCTGTCCAAGGCCGCCCCCGCCGTTGCGACTGCGGTTGCCGAAGCTGGCTCCATCCCCTGGTTGAAGAAACTGGCTCTGCGTGCTGCCGGTGCCGAGGGCATTGCTGAGAACGTCGGTGGAGCCGTTGCTGCTCCGGCCACAGGCTACACCCAGGAGATGATGACCTGTGTCGACACCTCCGGTCAGGCCTTTGCCATCTTGCTCAACGTCTCCTATCTGCTGCCTCTGACCTGGTTGTTCGCCCGCTTCTTCGTCCGATCCTACCTGAATCGCAAAGACCTAAAGGACCTCAAGCAGCCCACCCACATGGAGGCCGCTGAAAAGGCTGGTATGGATGCTCTCAAGGGCCTGAGCCGTGAAATTCGCCGGGCTGCCATTGAGGGTGAGAACAGCGAGAACACTGATGAGGACGTTGTTAAGGCACACGTGCAGAAGATTACCGGGCAGACTGTGACCCAGGACTCTCCCGTCCGGACCCGGTCGTCTGCTGCCAACAAGGCCAAGGCCAAGGCTGCAGCGGCCTCCTCTGCGAACGAGTCGGCCTCGGATGAAGGCTTTTCCCCTGTCCCTGCGAAGAAGGGTGCTAAGAAGCAGACCAAGAGCGAGCGCGAGCCTACTTCAAATCTGCCAGAGACCAAGGGGCAGAACCCCTTTGGCGTTCTGGATAACAACGCTTGAGTTTGATTGAAGGAGATGTGTGACATCGATTTGCGGCATATAATTTTTGGAGTCTTGGCGTTCAGCGTAGTGGTCGAATAAAAAACACCGTGGATACCCACTCCCTCAGCCAGAAAGATTGGCGAATGAAACGAATCCTTCCCGGAGAATGTTGATAGAAATCATTCGCAACACCTGGTCTACCACGGAGTGAATCAATACTGGCCTAGCTTTTGCATGATGGAGTCTGGGCCAGGGGTGTGACGGCTCGTGGATGCTTGGGTTTCATGCGCCATCGGGCCAAAAAGGCAAAACATTTGGTCAGCGACCAAACACCCAAGCTACTCTATTTGCTTAACTTTTTGTCAAGGGGGAAGTACTGCGATAGGATATTCTTTTATTCAAAGTGGAATGATCGCTTGTGACCACTTCATTTGGGCACGTTTGTCAACTCAGGAGAGATGATGACATGAAAGCAGATTTCGCTCGGGTGTCTTCCGCCGGATACTAGGAGGTTTTATATGGACACGCACGGAATTGTAACATAGTGTTTGGTAGATTCCTATTATATCATTGCTATAATTACTCAGTACGAGACTTCATGACTTCGGTTCGACGGCAAAATCTTTGATCGATAAAACGTAAGCGAGTCCTATCTGAGATTTGTCTGCTCAATGAATGGAAGGCGTATTTAGACGGGTGAGGCTTAGCATCAAGATACAAACTGTAGGGGATTTTATAGTGGCATATCTTGACCTGGCTCAATATCAGCCTTCATAATTTGGCCGAAAAGCAAACCCGGGCTTCACAACTTCTATGAAGCTTATTGAAACAAAGTACGCTCATGCTCATTTTGTGGCAGCTCTTCATATAGATGACTAAAAGCAAACACCAGTTGACATGTCACTTTGGCTGAAAGATTCAACATTTGAAAGACTATGTATGGGGATGGCTTACCCGCCGCGCCGGTTGGATCGCGACGGCATGTCTAGTACACTCGTACGAGTGGGTATGAAGATTGCAAGGTTCATTTCCACCAGTTGACACATACTACTAGTAGTATTGATCTTTGTCTCAACGAGCCCGCTGGCTGAATTTCAATTTATCAAAACAGTCGCGGCCTCCGGTCGGCTGCTGTTGGAAAAACATGACCCTCCTCGTCTTGCGCTTTGCCAGTTCCACTGTCATAGACCGGAATCAATCCATCAGAAACAGAGGGGCAGAGCTCCTGCATGTCCTTCATTTGGAACTCGTAATAAAGAGACCATAGCGAAAGAATTTCCACCCGCATGTAGCCAGTGTAGTGCGGTTCATACCGATTCTCCGGATACCGCCCATCGACCATACCAACAAACCCCCAGGGTTGACTGCGCTGCTTGGGCTCTCTCTCCCCGAACCAGGGCTGAGGCTCAGGGCTATTAATAATTGACTTCAGTGATTGCTCATCGATGAACAGGCAGCCTTCAAATCGACCAGCCCCCCGGCCCTTACTTGCATGGAGGTACTCAGAGAAATGTCGTCGAACTTGCTCGATACTGGCTCCATTCCAGAACTGTTTATCTGAGAAGACGACATTCTTATGCGCTTCTTTGACTAATCGCTCTGCGTCCGCGTCTGGCTCCGGATCCTCGGGCTCCTTATATCGAAGTTCGGCGTGAAGATCAGAGTCGATGGAGTTGTTCATAACCCTAGCCAGTTTATTCATAGCAATCGGCCATAGCTCATCTGATTCGGCAGTGTAGACTGTTCGGTATATGATGTAGCCCCAGGGGAAACTGGAGGGCACCGAGGGATATAGAAATCTTCTTGGGTGACGCTTGGTCTGTTTTATCCATGGAGATTTGAGCCAATTGTTCGAGTAGTGGCCAACAAACTCAGGGTGTGACCATCGCTCCGACCAGGAAGAGTGATGGTAGAAGGAGCTGTCATCCCATTCGGTCACTAGCTTGTTGATCTCGGCTGGATCGCGAGTTGGCGGGGATGAAGTTGAAGTAGGCACGTCGGAAGTCATATTGGGGTAATGATAGGCCACGAAGTATTCGAATAGTAAGAGTAATAAGAGATAGTAGAGTAGTATGTAGAGATCCATAGCGAGTCTGCGGGGCAGCGCAAGAGTCAAGGACCTTTCTACCCTCAAACGCTTGCTGGCAGTGGTGATGAGGTCCTGAGAATTTCTGTGGGAATATCTTGATACTCCTTTGGCTCGGGATCAATTTAGCGTGACGCCAATCTTGGCAATCTAAGTTAGCCAAAGTTTGTGCTCCAATTTGAAGTTTTTCAATTGGTGACACCACGGATAGGACTGACCAGGAAATTCATGCGGACTTGTGGCCTGCTCAAAAGCGATGGAATGAAGACCGACATTGGTGCGGATGAAACTCGTCAAAGTGTGAGGCTTTAATCATTGGGTACAATGTTCACTCGCCTTGACTGGCTAGCGGCGGAATTCTTTAGTTTCTTGGCAATCCAGTGAGCATGAGCTTTTGCTCGATTACACGCAGCTTAACGACCCCGACGTCTTTCATTCTCTTGTGAAAACCCCAAATAAGCTAAGCCAGAAATTTAAAATCAAATAATAAGAATACATGCCAGCAACAACCAGGGTTCGCCAGGGATATCAAATTCATTCTAGATTGCTCTAATCCATTGAAGCCAGGAAACTGTAAATATGAAGCTACAAGGTTACCTATATTGGTTTTGAACGGCTGGACTTTGAGAAATAACTCTAAACTCAAATTCAGGCTCCAGGTCAACGTTGGACTATGTACTACTAGCAGCTAAAATCAGCAGGTCCTCAGGCGCCAGGTACTTTGAACTTTGCTTGTCAAAATACCCCTGTCGTGGCGGGGCATCTCGCTTCGGTCAAAAAGACCCAAAGCGAATCCAGGGATCTCGAGGACTAATTGTTTTGTGATGCCGTTAGCTTCATATTCCCTATACCGGTCGCTCTGCTTGGGAATGGCGGGTATTTCGGAGATTTACATCACGGACCTCCCCGTTGGCTACTTCTTGGTGGCTTCGGTTGTTTCAGGTTAAAGTAAAGACACGACCGGGATGTACAGTATCATTGAAATTACAAAAGTGCAGATTTTCACCTGGAATGTCTCATTAGCTCTGGAGTTGTCGCCGTAGTAATTTCCATCATCTCCACCTCTCGCGGCAAGCTGAATGGAGGAAAAAAAACATCCGGCCATAGTCCGCGCGGGGAAGCCCTGAACTCCACCGTATCTTCGCTCCAATCCCTGTTCAATTAGCATTGATGCAGACTATGACCGACTAGCAATATTAGCATTCTATTTCACCCCACATTTTTCTCCGAGAAACAAGTTCTTCAATCACACAGCATGAGTCCAATGCAACATAAATTGGGCCCTCCGGTCCGAAGTGGCCGTCGCGAAGCTTGAATCAATTGATCGGCAGCTTGACACTCGGCAGCAGTCCGAGTCATATTCAAGATGAGACGGGCAACTCGTCTCTTCTACGGATTGGGAACCATCCTCTCTCTGCTAGGCGCTACGGTAAACGCAGCGAATTCAACTACTACGGAATGGCCGCTGCACGATGATGGTCTGAACGAGGTCGTTCAATGGGATCACTTTAGTTTCCAGGTCAACAGCCAGCGGATTTTCATCTTCTCGGGTGAATTCCACTACTGGCGTATCCCCGTCCCCGGTCTTTGGCGCGATATCCTCGAGAAGATCAAAGCAGCCGGTTTCACGGCTTTCGCCTTTTACTCCAGCTGGGCCTACCATGCGCCCAATAACCAGACGCTCGACTTTACCACCGGTGCGCACGATTTCACTCCACTGTTCGAGCTGGCGAAGGAACTTGGCCTGTACATTATTGTTCGACCGGGTCCGTACGTCAACGCGGAAGCCAGTGCTGGTGGATTCCCTCTATGGCTAACCACCGGCGACTACGGCACTCTTCGCAATAACGACACACGCTATACGCAGGCCTGGACACCGTATTTCACCAAGATGTCCCAGATTACCAGCAAGTACCAGGTCACAGATGGAGAGAATGCGCTAGTCTATCAAATTGAGAACGAGTATGGAGAGCAATGGAGTAGCTCGGCGGTGGACCGTGTTCCCAATGAAAGCGCCATCACCTATATGGAGCTTCTCGAGGCCAATGCCCGTGCTAATGGTATCACCGTACCGTTGACTGCGAATGATCCGAACATGAACTCGCACTCGTGGGGAAGTGATTGGTCGAGCGAGGGCGGTAATGTGGACGTTGCTGGAGTAGACTCGTACCCATCGGTAAGTCCATTGATATACTTCAAATACGACCCGTGATATCTAATGAAGAATGATCTGGAGATAGTGCTGGACCTGCGATCTTAGTCAATGCACCTCTACGAATGGTGAATACGTCGCCTTCTCAGTCATGGATTACTACGATTATTTCCAAGAGTCCCAGCCCACCATGCCCGAATTCATGCCCGAGTTCCAAGGTGGTTCGTACAACCCCTGGGGAGGTCCCGAAGGTGGCTGCGCCGAGAACTCGAACCAAGACTTTGCAAACCTCTTCTACCGGTGGAACATTGGCCAGCGGGTCACCGCTATGAGTTTGTACATGCTATTCGGTGGAACCAATTGGGGTGCCATTGCTGCCCCGGTCACTGCCAGCAGCTATGATTACTCGGCACCCATCTCGGAGGATCGATCCATTGGAGACAAATACTATGAAACCAAGTTGCTGGCTTTGTTCACTCGCTGCGCGAAGGATTTGACGAAGACGAATCTCATCGGTAATGGCACTCAGTATACCGACAACTCCAACGTTCGAGGCTATGAGCTACGCAACCCAGACACGAATGCCGGTTTCTATGCGACTTTCCACACTAACACGTCCATCTCTACGAATGAAGCATTCCATGTCAAAGTGAACACCTCTGCTGGTGTCTTCACTGTTCCCAGGCATGGTGGTGTGGTCCGGTTGAACGGACACCAGTCCAAGATCCTGGTTACCGACTTCACCTTTGGCTCGAAGACGCTGCTGTACTCTACCGCCGAAGTTTTGACCTATGCCGTCTTTGACAAGACCCCCACTCTGGTCCTTTGGGTGCCCACTGGCGAATCAGGCGAATTCAATGTCAAGGGCGCGAAGAAGGGCTCCATCAACAAGTGCCAGGGATGCTCTGGCGTGAAATTCTTCAAGGAGAATGGCGGTCTGACTGCTACTTTCACCCAGTCTTCCGGCATGAGTGTGCTAGAGATTGATGACTTCCAGGTAATTCTGCTCGACAGGACCGCTGCGTATAAGTTCTGGGCCCCTGCGCTCACTAATGACCCGCTCGTCCCGGAAACAGAGAGTGGTATGTCTCAGTATCCCAATGGGCGTTTCGAACAAAATCTAACAGATCCTGGCAGTTCTCGTTCAAGGACCTTACCTCGTACGCGGTGCTACTCTATCGGGTTCAAAGCTCGCTGTGACTGGTGACATTGTCAACGCCACGACTCTGGAGGTCTTTGCCCCCAAAGCAGTCAAGTCTATCACTTGGAATGGAAAGACTCTTCACACCCAGCGTACAGACTACGGTAGCCTGAAAGGGTCTATTGCGGCGCCCAAGAAGGTTACTCTGCCCTCCTTTGGATCCTGGAAGTCAAAGGACAGTCTGCCTGAGCGTCTTACTATTTATGATGACTCTGGAGCTGCGTGGGTTGGTAAGTGCTATCAACAACAACCGCAGTGTATAAAAATAAGAATGGCGCCCTAACGATAACCACAGATGTTGACCACCAGTCTACGCTGAATCCGCGCACCCCCACGACGCTGCCAGTCATGTATGCAGACGAATATGGTAAGCAGTCCCCAATGTCATTTTCGAAATTTCTTCCTAAATCTCACCCACCCAGGCTTCCACAATGGTGTCCGTCTCTGGCGAGGATACTTCAACGGCTCCGCAACGGGAGCTTATATCAACGTCCAGGGTGGGTATGCCTTGTAAGTATCCTCAACCCTTCCTCATCCAAAATCAACACTAACCCCCAAACCCAGCGGCTGGTCCGCCTGGCTCAACGGCCAATTCCTCGGCTCGTTCCTCGGCTCCGCCTCCGTGGAAGCAGGCAACCTGACCCTCTCCTTCACCAACGCAACCGTCAACACCAACAAGCCCAACGTCCTCCTAATCGTGCACGACGACACGGGCCACGACGAAACAACCGGCGCCCTAAACCCGCGCGGTATCCTCGACGCCAGCCTCCAAGGCTCTTCATCCGGGTTCTCCCACTGGCGTCTCGCTGGGACCGCAGGCGGCGAGTCGAACCTCGACCCCGTGCGCGGTGTCTTCAACGAAGATGGCCTCTACGGCGAGCGTGTCGGGTGGCATCTCCCGGGCTTCGACGACTCGGCCTGGACCAAGGCGTCGAGTCTGAGCTTCACCGGTGCGACGGTGCAGTTCTTCCGCACTACCGTCTCGCTGGATTTCGCGTCCGACACTGATGTTTCGATTTCGTTCGTCTTGTCCACGCCCGCGAAAGCCACCAAGGCTTATCGGGCGCAGCTCTTCGTCAACGGGTACCAGTATGGTCGGTATAACCCGTACATTGGGAATCAGGTGGTGTATCCTGTCCCGGCGGGGATTCTCAACTACAGTGGTGAGAATACGGTGGCTGTGGCGGTTTGGGCGCAGACGGAGGAAGGTGCGACCATCGGGGTGGATTGGCGGGTTAACTACGTGGCTGATAGTTCGTTGGATGTGGTCAGTGTTAGTGACAAGGCGGAGGGATTGAGGACCAAGTGGACCGAGGAGCGAAAGAAGTTTGCTTGACGGGATGGAAAAGATGTGCATGGCGGGTATTGAATGGAGGTCGGAGAGAATTAATGCTGGATACAATAGTGGTAGTTTTCTGTGAATACTGTTCAATAGCAAGGTTCGAGTAAGAAGCATGTTCATTGCTCATTTTCATCCCTGCAAAAATCCAATTCCCAGATCTAGTGAAGTAGTCTATCTAAAGCCCGTAATTGTGTCGATTTAGCAATATCATCATGTTTCTCGTTCAAACCCAGACAACCTCTCGTATCAAAGCAACGTAAAAAACTAAAAAAACTCAGGTTTGATAAAAGGCAAATCTGACCACCGCTCTCGAAAATCTAAACCAAGAAGCGGAAACCACGGCTGCTGGCATGGCCGGGAACCGATCCCTCGACGTGCTCGCCACGGTCAAGCTTCTTGTTCAGACGGACCAGGATGAACCGCAGGGCAGTCGCAGCCAGAATGGCCATGAACGCGGTTGCGCAGTTTACAGACATGGCAGGAACTAAACTATCATTAGCCTTGCTCAACAAAAGACGCAGGTCCCCCAAGGTAAAACGTACCGAATCGCGGGCCGTCGCTGGTAGGATACATGTAACTAGCATAGATACTGCTAGCATTACTAACGCAGTTAATAGCAGCGAGGGCGGCGGCACGCTTCGACGCCGGACGGGGCAGGGTGTTGGAGATCCAGCCCAAAGCGACGACGTAGCCAGAGTAGAACGATGGCACCATGAGCATCATGGAAAGATATCGAGGAGCGGTACTGGTAGTGGCGGCAGCGATGATAAAAGCTGCAACAGAGACGTACAACGGGAGGGTGACGTGGAAGTAACGCTCGCCAGTGCGATCGGCATGCCAGGCATTGGCGAATGCGCAAATAACGGCGAGACAGTATGGAGGAGCGGTTAGCAGGAGGGTTTCGATGTTGCCGTAGTTGAGGGTTTTGACGACAGTGGGGAAGAAATTCGTGACCGAAGCGGAGGAGACGATACACAGGATCATAAGCATCTACACAAGGGAGATGGATGTTAGCTGGTGAAGTTTGTCGAGGTGATTTTGGACTGCCTACCAGAATGTACGTCTTGACGTCGGTAAAGGCAAGCTTTGCACCGTAAAGGAAGGACTGCTGCTCGCTGTCGACCCAGTCATCCTCGCCAATATCCTCTTCCAGGCGCCAAGCAGCCAGTTCCTTCTCCTCTTCGGTGAGCCAGCTCGTGGTACGGGGGAAATTGGGCAGGACGAAGATGGCGATTACGGCGACGACGATAGTGATAGCGCCTTCGATGATGAACAGCCAGCGCCTGATAAAGTTAGGAAGCAACACCCGAGGATATTAGTGATATTGGATCTTACCAGGCGCGAAGACCAAGCTTGTTATCCATACCACTAGTGATACCGGCGGCAATGAGACCAGAGAAAGCACCCGAGAGAAGAGAGCCCGAGTACAAGGCTGCAGTGCGGAAACCCAATTCCTTGCGGGTATACCACGCGCTCAGGAAGTACAGGCAGCCGGGCTACACAAGAATCAGCAATGGAACCTCTTCTCATAGGGTCGGGGAAAACGTACGAAGTAAGCAGCCTCGACAAAACCGAGGAAGAACCGAATCACAACGAGACCGGCAAAGTTGTGAGCAGCTGCAGTGGCCGTCGAGATGATACCCCAGAGGATCATGGCGGTGGGAAGGTAGATAGCAGGTTTTCCGAACTTATTGAGGAGCAGATTGGAGGGAACTAGTCATCATTAGGGTCATTCAACGATGCTGGATCATGAATAAGGTACTCACTTTGCATCAAGAGGTAACCAACGAACAAGATACTAACACATGTCTGCCGCTAGTTTAGTATCATATTCGCAGTCGGGGTATTTCGAGTTGAGCATACCAAGTACTGGTTACCCACGAGGCCCAGATCCTTTTCCAAACCAGCCAATCGAGCTGCAGCCTAGTGAACTAGTGTTATCCCTGTCATCCACGAAGCCGACAATTACAGCGAACTAACAATATTGTTTCTGTCAAGGTAATTGAGAATGTACATGACAATGATCATGGGCAGTAGGCGGATATCAATCTTGCGAACGAGGGCCTTTTCAGCCGCCGCACGCTCTTCGGGCGACAACGCAGCGACATAGGCCGGTGCCTCCTTCCTCGGATTGGGCTTGTTGGCATTGGCCACGACCTCGATATTGTCCGCATAGGACTTGTCGATATCGGCAGCCTCGACGTCTTGCGATGGACGGGACATTATGGCGATGTAGTGTGGGGAGATAGATCAGGTAGTATAAACGGACGAGATGGAGCCAGCTATCACGCCAAAGACAAGGACCCGGCCACGCAAAGACGAGAAAGTGCCGCAGGACGCAAGGGGTAGTGAGACGAAATAAAAATATTTGAGAGGGGGCAGGACGAGCGACAAGAAATAAGAATCCCCTCGCACAATCAAACCGGGATCTCCAAAAAAGAAAGGTTTTCAGGGTCCGAGTTGACCGTAACTCTTTGTGGGAAGCCGGCCAGCTATAGCGTAACGACATCCCGAGAAAAATGGTCCGGGTCCAACAGCGAAGCTCATAGGGGAACGGACACGGAGGACCATGTCTCTGTGGATAGGATGGGACGGTGGAATGGGCCGACGCGCCAACCAGAGCCGGTCATACGGCATGATTCAACCCCACGGGGGGCGTGCCGAGAAGGTAAACTCCGTCCGGCGTGGTCAGCTTGACGGGAAAAGAACGGCATGAGAAGGCGATTGGGGCCAATGATGGACACCTGGACCCTTACGGGGCCCGCAAAGCGTGGGGGAGAGAGGGGGTCCGGGGAAGGAATGGAGAAGCGAAAACATGGGGGGAGGATGTTGGTCCAGACTTTGTCGTGGGACCAGTGACAACGATGCTTCCCACCATCAACTCAATCCCGCTGGTCCTGTTGTACAGCAGACTATATGGGGGTAGATGGCCATCGGTCTGAATTGCTTCGAGGGCCATTCACTGCTTTTCTTCCAAGAGACTCTCTGGGTTTGCTCCTCGGTTGTTCAGATGGGAACGGGTCTCCTCTATACGCCAGACGTGGGGGTTGCACCAGAATCCCCTCGAAGGGTCCCCGGACAGTCCCGTCCTACTTGAGAGAGACGCATTTCTGATTGGATTGTTTTCAGGTCATAGAACGCACTTGCTGTCTCGCACTAAACCCCGTGGGGAGCTCTGATCGCGTGGAGGGTTGCACTGGACTGGGGTTAGCCAAGGCAGTTCGGCGGGGACGTCCTTGGCCTGGGGGCAACTCTCAACGCCGTCGCACGGTTTGTATCATTGCCTCATTCCAATTTCAACGGTCATCACACTTTTATCGACACGGTCAGGTGCATAGCCGGTGTGTGGAAGAGGTAAAGGCGGGGTGGTGGAGGAAGCGTGCGGGAATCTAGACCGCAGGACCTTCTCTCGCGGTATTACTTGTAGTCTGTTTTGCTCTCTTCGACCATAGCCCTTGCAACGGACAATGAAAGGTAATGAGTGCCAGCAAATTCTTCATCCGAAGTGTCTCAGTTTACTCCCAACTGATAGTAATATAACACGCCGAGCTTGAGCCTAATTGCATGCCTTTGCCGTGCTTGATGGTTGTCTCCCGCCCCGGAATCTACAAAACATTACGACGCCGGTGAGAATAAACAATGCAGCAAAGTGATGACGTTAAGATCCTCTCAACGGAAATCTCAGGCTTGGCTAGCCATCCGAATACAAGATTCACAAGAACCTTATCGGGGATGAGCCCCTGCGGAAGCCACATCAACACTCGCAGTGATACACCTTCAACATCCGAAATCCGAGCCAATACCCGGCAGTCTTTGCACAGGCCGTCTAGAATTGACTTTACCTATCGAGTATAGCAACCCTAGTAGATGGTAGACGCCGGAACTCGAGCCCGCTCCAGAATCCATGTATATCAACCATTCACTACTTCTTCCGAGTCCTACATAACTACAAGGGTGTTGTCAATTGCATCGCAGGACCATTGGAACGAGTTTCACATTAATGCCTATCCCAAACTTAACACGGGAGATGATCTTGCAAAATGCCTCTTCGCCACAACGACTCAATATCTCTGCAAGTGGCAAGGTCTCAAGATACAACCCAAAAAAAAAAGATACACAGCATGAGAAGTTAATCACAAAAGCAAAATGAAATAACGGGCGAAAATGCAGAGGCTCGGATTGCGTTCAGACGAGCCGATGAGATGATAATGGTAGAGGTTGACTAGAGTAAAAAAAAAAGGGGGAGGGGGCCCGACATGACCATGACAGAATGATGTGCTAGAAAACCAAATGGAAAAGACATGGAGCAAAAGAGCCACGGAGAAAAAAAAAGAAAAACCAAGCCCAGTGTGACGACGCTCCCAATACTTAAGGACAATGACAATGTTTCGGTTCCAATGCATGCGGAAAAGACAGAAGATGGAAATAGTGGGAAAGCGGAGCGCCGTGGAAAGGAGGAAAAGAAGAGGTTGACGAAAGACTCGACCGCCGCGCCTGGCAAGTAATAAATGGCATGTAAGGCAACGTTCATTAGATTGACGGGTCAACGCCCAGGGCAGAGAAAATGCAACGGGAAAAGGCGCAAGCGTTGGCGGTAGCATGAAGAGGTAAGTTTTGAGACGAGCCACCCTGTCGGGTTCAACGTACTGAGACCAGTTGTGACGAGCCACGTCAAGAATAACAACTGGAAAGAGAGTTGGCCGAGTGGTGAGGCCGCCGAGATAAGGGGAGAAACGATCCTAGGCAAAGGTAGACCTGGGAAGTTCCCCGGAGAGGGAGAGAGCGAGAGCGTGGAAGATAAAAGGGGCCAAAAAAAGGGCATCAAACACCCCCGATCGCCAAAGTAAATGCAGATCTATGGACTTGGATGTAGACTCGAGGTAAGACACCACGCAAAACAATCCCGACCAATGAAATCAAATGAAGTGCGTGTAGATCTTAGAGTTCTCATGAACTTCCATCTCCTAGAGGCCAAGTTAGTAAACATAGATCAATCGAGTAGAGAGGCGACCAGGGAGTTATTGATGATTCTTACCATCTTAAAGTTATTGATCTCCTCTCGGATCTGCTGTGCAAGCAGAGGCGTCAAACGATTGCAAGTAGCAATGTCCCCGCGACGATCGTACTCGCCACTAGGCCAGGTGTCATGGAATTGAATGCGAGGACTGAACATGATGTTGCGTGAACCCGGCTGTGGGGTGATGGGAGCGCTCTTAGCATCACCACCCGTAAACCGACCACCTTCCGACATGAAGTAGTCTTCCCCTGCGATCTTGACATGGTCGGCTGGACGAGCAGTCCGAGCTCCCTCATCGGGGGTCGTTGGCGCACTAGAATGTGGCGAATCACTGCCATTCTGTGCCCGAGCCTGGGATGACACACCGTGGTCTGAATTGGTCTTCTTCAGGATACCCCGGGTCTGGCGAATATTCGCCAAGACCTCTGCACGCTCACGCTCACCTCCAAGGATGCTCTTGCGCGTGTCACCGGTGTTATCCGAGACACTGCGTTGCGGCGGGCGGTCCCGGATAGAAGCAGATCGGCGAGGCTCCGAGCCACCTTCAGCCTTGGGGAAGACCGTGCCACCACGGGGCATGTCTTGCGGATCAGCATTCACTGTTACGCTCTCCAGGTCTGCTCGTTCCCCTTCAACATTGACCACTGAGATTTTGGGAGCAGCCATAGGCTGTTCCGGCGATCCAACTCCCCCTTCAATTGAGTTGATGCTGGCAATCGATTTAGGACGAAATAGGCCGACGAGGGACCGACCACCTCGCTTCATGCCCTTGCCCATCTTCCGGAGCATCATTGATGCCGAGGAAGCGGTCGATGAGACGGACAGAGCATCGGTGGAGCCACGGAAGAAGTTGCCCTGATGAGAGTAGATACTCTCACCCAAACCACTAGCTTCTTGTTGTTCCGCGATGGCGGCTTGTTCCTCTCCCAGCTCCTCACGAAGAGCATCCCGGCGAGCCTGCTCGGCGGCGGCGGCCTCTCGCTTGTTCGCGGCATTCTGTACGGAGGATGCCTTCAACAGCTCCGAAGCACTGCCAAAAGAGAAGGCGCGTCGCAGACGTGATTTTCCCGGACGCTTTGGCTCATTTTTCAGTTCGGCTAGACGTTTGGCAGCCGGCGACTCAGTCGGTGGTGACGATGCCGTGGTGGTCTGGGCGGTTGTCGGTCCAATCTTTGGAGACCCGGGTGAAGCTGACGGTTGGGAGAGAGGCGAGGGTTTACTAGGGCGCTTCTCCTCCGGCCTGCCAGTCTTGCTGGTGATAGAACTTGCATCGTGAGGCGGCCCTTCTCGTACCTGTGAGAAATGTAATTTGTCAGTTGGTCAATCGCTCTTAGGGTAACACTTCGAATCCAAGAAGCAGCCTTACCGAGGAGGTTGACGAGTGTGCTGAGTGGACGCTCCCCAAGCTATCCCGGTGCGAGTGAGCCGAACGGGGCCTTTGGTTGGTGTCGAATGCGATAAAGTCGTATGGATCCGACTGAGGCGATGAGGAGACGGGCATTTGAAGGTCCAAGCTAGGATAGGCAGCTGGATCCATATTTCCCAGACTGCGGCGACGGTACCGCTTGGCAACTTCTGGCTGTGGCCGCTCCAGATGAGACGAGTCGTCCACGCTGGAAACACGGTTGTGGCCGTTTGACCGAAGAACGGGAGGAGGGCTGACAATCGTTTTATCGTCAATGGCAGGGGGAGTAGACAGAGGGACTGGTGACTGAGACCGAGCACTCTCTGTCCGTTGTTGATTCGCACGACGGTAGCGATTGGGAGATGGCTTTGCGGAGCCAGCGGGAGAGGAGATATTCATGACGTTGGGAGGAGGGAGGTTGGCAGTCGATAGAGGGCGGAGCGGCTGTTCCGTTCTCAATTGCCGGGAAGGGAGGGCACTGTCGTCCTTGGAAATATGGGAACGGAAAGAAGAGTTGGATGAAGAGGAAGTCGATACAGAACCAGCTGCAGGATTGTTGACGCGTGAGTTGCCCGTGTACGATAGATTCACGGAACCCTGATGGATCGCAGGAGCCGAAAAGGTACGGTGCTCCGGTCGAAGATGGGGTGACCACGACTGGCGATGCTGGGTTGTGGGGGAGGAGGCGGAGGGAGCCAGATTGGGAGGAGCGTAGGCATAGGGAGCCACAACCTGGTGGCCTGCGCGATAGCTCCCGGAATTGCCGGTATTGAATGAACTCCAGGACATGTTCTGGTAATGGGAGCCTGAATGCTGGGCCGACGAGGAGACGAAGGTGCCCGAGGAGGAGGAAGGACGCGTCTGGAGCACCGGTACCGTGCTACTATGTTGGGGGATCGTTTGGACCAGCGCAGCCATAATTGTTGCTTTCCGCCCAATTTGACTGAGAAGATTTCACGAGTGTCCGGGTCGGGTCAAGTATCGACAAGGTAACTCGCAGTAAATTGAAAGAACAGCACAAGACGGTCGTGGTCGGGACAGATGAGGTCAAGGAACAAGACGAAGTACTGATAGGGGCCCAGAAGGAGAAGTGTTAGTGTGAAGTCCTAATAATGACCATCGCCGATATATATATGAATGCGTCACCGGGTATGGAGGGAGAGAATGATCGATAGGAAAAGGGGAGAGCGAAATGGATTGTCGTCAAATCTTGGTTCTTGATGGACAGGTTTTGTAGGGAGGAAGGATCGAATGGCAACGCGTCAGCTAGGGGGAGGAGGAACCATACCTGTTCTAAGAAGCGTGAACTTGAAAAAAAAGTATAGTTGTACAGCGATTAAAAAAAAGAGAGAGCAAGGACGCTTGATGCCGATAAAAGAAAAATGCAGAAGAACTCGAAGCCAGGCGAGTGGAAGAAACGAAAGGTGGTCGGATGGGAAACCCCGGAGATGACAAGTCGTGTCGGGAGGACGGGGAAGGGGGGTGGTTGTTAGAGGGGCATATACAAGAAGCGAAAGAAGAAACGAAAAAAAAGAGCCCCAAAGAATAAGAAGACCAGATCCAAAGAAGGGCACAGTCGAGAAGTGCCGCTCGTAGGACTGGGGGGGGGAGGGGGGGGATGTTGAATGAATGGGGGAAAGAGGAGAGTGGGAAGGGGAAGAAAAAGAGGGAAAGGGAGAAGGGGGGGCGGAGTGGGAAGTTTGGGCCGTTGATTCTCCCCACTGGGGTGGCAGTATAAAATAATCACTCAGTAATTCAAGCAAGACATATGTTAATGTTGATAATAAAGAGAGAGAGAAAGGTCTCTTCTATTTCCCCAGATTGCCCAGAGCTTTTTTTTTTAAAGGGGGAGGGGATTGTTCGGCACAAAGGGAAGGCTGCTAGAAAAGTATAATCATACTCTTGCAGGCGACCAGGACTATACGGAGCACAGCGGATTCAGTTTGTTGACTGTGGAGGTGGACTGCCTAAAATGACTTGAGAGATTCAGAGGGTAGGGTGACCAGTGATGAATATCATATATGATTGACTGTCCACCAGTGAGGCTGTCCTTTGGACGGAGTACAATACCTCGCTGTGCTAATTATGGGAGTGGGTACAGATTACTACAGTATGGAATAGAATACAGTTAGGTGCATACATCATCCCCGGAGAGAATTACAGTTTAATGATTTTCTTATTAGGGGTTAGCCTAGAGTATGCTCATTCCCTGCTTCTATAGGTGATGCCAGATTCTTTCATATCTTGAAGAGTTCTCATTTTCCATTATGATTAACGGGGTTTGATTCAATTGTGGAGGATTGACAACACCACGACCAAGGACGGAGCAGCGACGCCTCCGTGCTGGAGACTGCTGGAGGGCCGCACCCGATCGCCAATCAGCATTGCGGAACCCCTTAGCTCATTTCTCGGGCTGAACTTAGGGGGCAGATTTTGAGGAGAAATACTGGGAACCATCCAAGTGCCACACCGGATAGGGCGGGATAAACACCTCGAGAGGGAGGGAAGCCGGAGTCAGTACTTTGGAAAGTAGGATAAAGTACGTGCTGTATATGATCATCTGGCAGGATATCCGGGCTGTAATGTCGTGCTGGAAGTATGCAAGCCGCGGCTGTACCTGACGATGGGGCTCGAATAGGGAGCAGAGGCCCCCTATTTATGTCGTTTATGTCTTTTTGTCTTGGCCCCTCTCGCATGACTCGAGTAATTCATGGATTTCCCCAGGAAATCTAGTGAATCGAGCGTTGATTGTACTTTGTAATAATTACTGTCACCCAGCGAGGGAAAAAAAAAAAAAAAAACTGTCTGAAGGCGTCGCGCGATTAGCGACGGGGACACTAAGACAGTTGGGTGCAACGCTATCCCTCGACGGCGGATTGTTCTCCACATCCACAGCGAATCCACAAGCGTTCGGCGAAACAGATAGCGGCTCCGTGCACCGCACGTGCTTAGGGTTGACACTCTTTGTATTCTGCCGTAGAGTCTGTCTTACGAATAGTCCGTACTGGATAATTAATATCAAGCGATGATCGTGTGGCCTGTCTGAGAGGAAGATCGTATATACTTCGCATTCTATATCATGAAACCGATGCGCTCGTATCCTTCTCGACTTGGACTTGTCTCATAAGACATCCCCATATATGTCGCCCTTCACTCGTCGGCCGCCATGAACTATTAGCGTTTCTCTTCCCTGGTTTCTCAACAAGAAACTAACAAGCTCCCCACACCGAAACGCGCACTACGGGAATTTCCAGCGAGCGGGCTGAGTCTGGTTCCATGGATCCTCCGTGAAGAGCTCAGTTCCCCAACGCTCCATCGATCCCACCGTGATCCCAAATCCTCTCGTTCTCTCCCGTCAACTTTGTCGCAGACTGCCACCCAGGTATCCTCCCGGTGAAACGGCAGCCGTCGGACTGGACGGGAATGGGAGACGGGAATGCAGTTTCAGTTTGGGCTGAAGCCATCGCAGGAGACACATATCGATGATCGATCCACCTAGCCGGGAAGATAATTACAGCACACACGCAGCAGGTAGGACAATATCAATGATGCGATGATCAATCTATGAAACTTAGAGAATTACGGATCAGGCTGAAAGGGTTGACCAATCGCCCGCGCGTGCCGTGATAAGATGAACCGGATAGCGTGATCATGGTTCGCGACGGTTATCGGGAAGTCAAGGGAAGTTTGGAACCCGGCGGGGACTCGAGATTGAGGCAGTTTAGGAGTGGTGGATTGTTTATCCCTTTCATTAATCTCTCCATCGTTCCCGTGTCAGGTCTTGTCGCGAGATTTATGAGTATTCGATCTGCTCGTAGATGTCTGGCAACATTTTGTCGGTGGACAAGCAAACTACATCATTCCAGTATACTCCGTACTCAATGATCCCTATCGTAAAGTCAAATGGTTATTCAATGACGTATTTCCACTTACTCGAATGGAAAATACGTGCTAGCCCAAGACAGGATTAAACGGAAAAAGCAAAGATCGCGCCAGGCCTGGCGGGGGTGTTCGTACAGACGCCACCACGAAGTGCAACTGGGCATAAGCAAATGGGCTTATCAGGAGAGGAGGGGCCAGGCCACGAGCCTTGCCCTCGTCTGTCGAACAGTTGTGGGCTATACTCCGTGCTCCTTTTTCCACCGGCCAATGCTGTGGAAAGGTAAACAATACTTGCAATCCGTAGCCCACTTACGCCCAAATGTACAGTATATTAGCACTAACAAAGTTGAAGCCTTCCTTACTATGCAGACCAGACTCAGTAAGCCCAGTCAGGAGTTTCCAGACTTTAGTAGCACCTTGTTTGTTGCTCAGCCATGGTACAACCAAAGATTCCCGTAACAATCACCTTCTCTCTACTCCCTTCTTCGCATTCCGTGCTGTGTCCATCTCTAATCTCTCTCCGTCGTTCCGTCTCTCTCAGATAATTTGATTCTCCACCCACTGTAGGCCACTAAATCTGATTTTGTCGATCCGCATCCCTTAGCGCCCCCTAAAAAGCCCCCCCTCCCCCCCCTCAAGACCAACCATAAGAAACGCACCAAAGACTGACACACTTCCCGCGTGATCGACATGCCCCAAAACCCATCCTCGAAGCACGGGGCAAGCTCTCCGGTAATTGTGTATATGGTTGGACCAATTTTTTTGAAGATGGAGGATTACGGATGGATCTACTTTATACGCAGTATAGTGTCTGCCTTTTTTTTCTGTTTTCTGCCGCGCAACATAATTGCATTGAACACTCTTCGTGTATCCTCTCTCATTCGTTATTGACTCCCGCTCCCTTCATTCGTTGTCGCCATCTTGATAGCACTATTCGGTCTCTGCCCGCTGTATTGTTTCTTTAGCTCCTACTTCATCCGGATTGGCACCGATCACTTTACCTTGCCGAGGAATTTAGCGCGGCTGACAGACTAGAGAGGGGCGCCTGAACCCGCAAATCATGGAGCAGCTTTTGTTGAGATTTACGTTCCATCCCGTGTTAGTCGGGCATGATTCAGTGCTTCAGGATGCATACATTGGACTCGTATACTCGTATATTCGCCCACCGCTCCTCATAGATGGGCATACCCTCTGTAGACAGGAGGCCACGAGGAACGCGTCAACCTCGTGTGCATACAGCCCAGGAATGTGCGCTCTGGATGATCGATCCTTCGGATTCGCTCCAGCCGTGCTGCTCCTAATTGCCCCAATAGGTGTCGCGGCAGCTGCCAGCTCTCTGCATGTCGCAGCGTCGCCTTGTGGAGAGGAAAATACAATTCTGTATGAATGATCATTGAAATGCAGCTAGAGCTCACTATCTTAGGGCGTACTTCTCAGAGTTGCAGCAACGCAAGCCACCTCCGATTCTTCCACGGAGCTCCTAGATTAACCCGTGAGGCTGTACTGTTTACCCCTGCAAAAATCAATCTGACATTAGTACCCTCGACCCGACTCACGGCGATGAGTTCCGCCCCGAAGGAATCAAATCCTAGTCATTGATCTTCTCCCCCAAGCTCCGTATCCTTGTCTCTTCAATATTCCCCATACATCAATCCTCAATGCCGCCCCCCAACTGACGGGGGCACATCTCCACTCTTTGACGACTAACAAACTTTACGCGAGGAAGCGACGTCTGGGGAAAGCACCGATGTGGAGGTCTTACGCGATGATCCCAACGCCGTTGTGCGCCTCTTCCTCTTCTTTTCCTTCCGGTCGCGGACCCGTAACCGTGCGCGCCAGCGACGTTTGGTCGGGTCAACCGGTCCCATGGAATGATATCGAGAGCGGATATATTTTCGCGAATGTAATCCACTACCAGTCCGCATGGTCCTCTGTACAGATCAAAGCAGAGGCCAAGTTTCCTTCAATTGGAGAGAGAAGGGCCAGATTACAGTACTATAGTCTTCAAATCAAACCCCGAGGTCTATGCGCGCATTCGGACCTCCGAGCACTCAACAAATCACGCGAGAGCACTTCCTTATTATGTCCAGTGATGAGGTACCGTGCAATCTTAATTCATACCCTGCAGATGAACGTCGTTTGATGTTGATGAAAAGCAATGGAGTCGTTTGCAGACTAAAAATCCCGTACATGGTTTAATCTTACTCATAGACCTTATCACTGGCCTGGCGGAATCTATATCCTGGGCTTGTTTAATTCAGTCCAAACACCGGGGCGAACCCGATCACCACCGTGACCATATACTACCTCGCGAGTTTGAAGAGTCCAATTCTTGCTCTCCCAATACTGCTTCTCCTTATCAGTGAATTGAATGAGCATTGGCCGATTATCATACGAGCATTGGCCGCGCAAGACCCCGCTCTCACCCCACAAGCTATCGTCATCATTAGCAATGACTTTGCCCGTAATTGGAAATGACCGCGGAGCTTGTGGGAGAAAACCGAAGAAATGAAATGATATGAGTGACATGATAATGCATGGTGTCTCCGCTTTCTTCTGCAAAGTATAAACCGTGGTATGCAAATGGCAGCTGGTAATGGAGGGCGAAGCTGCGGATCGACACCGTCATACGCTTGGCTCAAATTGACATACACGTGTGCTCCTTGACAAGACAAACACTTGTGAGATGGATTTTGAAGGAAACAGAGCCATTTATGTGGCACGGCAGGGAATATTAGAGCGAGCGGGCCCTAGTTGAGTGAGACCACAATCGAAGAAGCGGAGGTTCAAAGATTACCGTAAGGTCATATGAAGCCAGCAAACCTCGGTCACTATCTCAGAACCATTCTAGAGTGCGATGGTGCGATTTTTCAGACCCAATTGGGCACGGCTCAAAGGAGAACCTTGCATCCATCTCGAACACCGTGCCCATAGGCTACATATATTTCGGTAAACTTGTCCCCCTCCCCGAAAGGCATTCGAAGTCCCATGACATTGAGGCCGTTGTGTTACTGTATCAGCGAACAATGCCCAGGACAGAAGGACCATGGCCTCAATGCAGGCTGACTGGATCTGGGCATATTGCCAATTCTGCTGGTAGATACCATGATCTGGGGAGATGGGCACCAGCATCTTCAATTCCTTTGGGTTGATTGCGATCTAGGCCATGGGGCTGCAGGGCTAAAAATCGGGGTGGTGAGTCAAAAATCTGACTTCTTTCTCAAATGACACGAGGGGGACAATATGATTCAGCAATGATTTCCAGAAAAGGATTCAAACTCTTAGCTAAAGCTCAATAAGCCTAGCCCTGTTAGAGGTTACCTGTAGAGTGCCGCTGAAATTGCTGCTCGTTTTGAAAAGTTCGTGCTTGTCTTGTTTACCTGTCGGTCATGAAATCTATCCATATATCGTCAAGACATAAGAGAGCTATAAAACAAACACAAGAAGATAAGTGATATCGATTAGAATCCTAGCTCATCCTCTCCATCAAAGTCCCCGGAGCTGCCCATGTCCTCATCATCCTCCAAACCCTCAAAGATCATGAACTTTTCGTTTTTGGCATCGGTCTCTTCCTCGACGAGATATCCATCGCCGACTTCGCTGTCCCTGAGGACAGAGTCCTTGCCAATTACGGCTCGGCGACCGACGATACAGCCGGTAAGTGTGCAAGAGCTGTTCACCACGGCACCGTCCATGATCAAACACCTTTGCAAACGCGCGCCCGAGCAAATCTTCACGTTGGCACCAATCACACTCTCCTTGATCACGCACTTGGACTCGACTGTGGTGTTTTCACCGACTAGACAGTCAGACTTGGTGATCGTGGTTCGCTGAGCGATACCTTCGGGGTGTGCAATCTTTTGAGGGAGAGCAAAGGGCGAGGCGGCGGCGCCGGCTTCTTCGACAGACTCGAGCTTGGCCAGACGAAGAGCCGTAGAAAGCAGGATCGCACTGCTATCAACGCGGCGAACGAACGGCGCAGAGCCACGCTGCACATAAGCCAAGAGAGGGGGAATCTTCAGCTCTGGCTTTTCGGCGTCACTCGAGACGTTGGAAACTCGGGACGCAAAGGAGGAGGTTGGAGGGGGTCGGGCCGCGCTGATGTTTGGCCTTGAGCTGGTGGTGGACATGGCGAGAAGATCAATCTCCTCTTCTATTGATTCACCGTCGTAGCTTCCACTCTCGGCATGAGCGCCATTTTCCCGATGGAAAATCTCATCCATCCCCAACTTCTCGCCAAGTCCCCGCTGCCACTCAGCCTTAGCCCAGAAGCCAACCAAGTCCTCGCTGACTGACTGGAACGTTTCTTGACGAAGTGCCAACTCTTTGACCCAATAGGGGAAGATATACAGGTGAGCATCCCGGAAAGTGCTAAGCATCTTAACACGAGGGTGCTTCTCCGTGAGCGAATGCCGAAGAAGCAGGCCCTTGTCCTGTTCCATCTTCTCCTTCACGGTTGCCATGGGCATCGACAATACAACCTTGGACAAGTTGTGTCTCAGCGCCGCAGGACCGTCAACGGCATGCGACACCGCTGGCGCCTCGTCGTTGTCCAGAGGTGCGATGGCCAGAAAGTCGGTGCCTTCGCCTTTCACCGATTCTTCACGGTTTTGCGTTTGGTAAAACACAGTCAGTCCACCGCGGCGACCTCCCTTCTCCCCACCGGACCCAGAAGAAGTTGGACCGTGAGCATTTCGTCCCTCGGAAACGGTAGAGGAGCCTCCGAGCGCACTTTGGGAGACCATCCAAGCTTCGAGAAGCGACTCGCCGGGAATTTCGCACACCAAGTCGCAAGGAAGGAGAAGGAAGTCGGTCTTGATGCAGGCCTGTACCTCAGGCAAACGGAGAAGCTCTGCGGTTCCCATGTTTAGATCGAGATCTTTCGGCGCAAGGACTGACGGCGATGGAGACGGTAGAGAGGTAAGATGAGGGTTTTGTTGTAGTGCGGCCTGAAGAGGTGCCGCAGTCGAGGGAGGTGTAATCAATGTGATATCTGCAGCTCATCCATTAGCTTATGTGCTCGCAAGAAGATCCCGCAATCAACTTTCATACCGGTGATGCCTGATTTCTTCAGCCATGATAGCTGGTAATAGATCAGCGGCCGATTGGCCAAGGGAATCAATGCTTTCGGGTATTCCTCGTTGGTGGTGAAGGTGTTCAGGGAAACTCCAGGGCCGCACAGAATCAAGGCTTGGATGCCAACCCCAGGGACGACTGCCGAAGGGGACGGCATATTGCTGGCCTTTTGGTCGAGACGAGACCAATAGTTGATCGTGTGTAAGTTTAGTTGAATGAGAGAGCCCCGCGGGAGAAGTGGGATGAATGATTGCCGGGTTGATTAGGGGGTGGACGGGGGGTTTGTTCGAGCTTAAAGCTTCAAACGAGCTTTGGCAAGTTCTCAAAGAGCGTAATCCGTGTACAAAACTTCAGAATTGGCCGCGAGCCCTCCAGGCAATAGCGGATGTCTTCGAGGCCTCAAGCGGGACGCCCATTTTTTGATACTATCACGTGATGATAGCGATGAGTCAGCCCTTGACCCGCCTCCATATTTAAATGAGACCAAACAGTGCAAACAGTGGACGGCCGTAAACACCGCGGTTACCATGGGGCTTCTCCAGCCACATGTTTCCGTTCCCCGAGGTCGAGATCCCCATCTCTCCCTCCTGCATCTCCTGCATCTCTTGCGCCCCGTCTCCACGTCTATTTCGTTATTGAGGAAGAGTGAAATGTGATTGGCAAGCCATTGCGACTGCGATTGAATATCTCTAGATGCGCTATTAATAAAACAACAATTCCGCGAGCGCCATGTCTTTTCCCCAGGATTCTCGTCGCCGTCGCGGTGGAGCCGGCTCCGGCTTCAGCTCGACAGGCAGACGAACTGCCATGGGCTACTGGATTCCCTTGGCTCTCACTGTGGGAGTCGCGACGCTGAGCATTGCAGCTTGGATATGGAGTGAACGTGATGAGGACGACGAAGATGACCGCCCCCACGATGGGCGAGACGGTCATTACCCCCCTCCACCTCCCGGCACCGTCGACAGCAGCTATCCTCCTCCGTCGTACGATACCGAGGACTATGCGAGAGGTACAGGGACGGGTGCAGCACCCGGAGACAACCCTTATGATCCTAGCTTCATGGGTCGTATGCAAGGTGCTTTGCGCCGAACCCCGAGTCCGCAACAGCTCTTCGACGGAGCCAGCCGGAGAGTCATGGCTGGCGTAACCGCAGCTGGTGCCTATGTTGGTGGTGCGCTGACTTCGATTCGGGAAGAAAACCGCGGTGACTTTGAGGATCACACGAGATGGTCTGAGGAGGCACAGTCCCGGGCTACCCAGAGCGATCAACAGACCGCGGCTGCGCCCACTATGACCGGCGCGCTACCGGGTCGTACACCAGCTGCTGGCCAGAATCCATTTGAAAAGAAGAAGAAGACCGTTGCTATTGTTGTATCATCTCTTACCCCACCGGACTCTGACGAATTCGCCTCCGAACACGCGGTAAGCCTCCCTTCATATTTGATTCCTTGACCTGATGTGCACAATACTGATAACCGCAGTCTATTCTGTCTCACCTCCCTGAACATGTTGACCTTGATACTTCTCGAATCTTCGTTTTGATTTACGCCCCAGATCTCAAGCATGCGATTGGACAAGGTAGTACCTCTCGCCAGACCACCTCCATTGCGTCCTCTTACTCCAACATTGCAACCGAGGAGGCAAACTCTTCAGCCGAATTGGTTGGGGATCTGGCCAACGTGGAGCCCCATCAAGACGACGAATTGGATGGCACAAGCCCGCTCTTCAAGACTTTATACACTCAGGCCCAGGCGATTGTTGAAAAGGAGACCATGATCATGCCATTCAGCACTGCCGGTGGCTATGTCCACCTTGTGCGCCATCTGTCACCTGACCTAGTTTATGTCCAGGAATCTCTGACCGGCAATGAGGGAGACGCTGTCCAGCACATCTCCGGCTGGGTTCGCCAGGTCATTGTCGTGGTCGGCGATGAAGGTGGTCGTGGCGGCCTCATTGACAGCGATGACGAATCCGCTCTTGCTGATAAGGGAGAGAAATGGTGGCAAAAGGAGGGCACTATTGGCATCGGTAAGCGAATTGATGTCGTCGACGCTCTTCGCGTCGGAGACGACTGGCGCCGCCGAGTGCGTGGGTTGGACTAAACTACCCCCCCGAAACTCTCTGCCAAGGCCCCATGATGTTAATGTTGATACTCTTTCACCTGCATGTCTATATTTGTTCTTAACTTCCCCCTGATGATTGTGTGCCTTCGATTCCCCTCTGTCTTCTTCTTTTTGTGTTTGGTTGTGCACGGTTCGATTATAATCCAGAAACGTCAGGTCACGGGGCCTAGAAACACTGGGATACTGCTTAGCCAGTATCTAGATAGCTTCTATAATGCAGTCGCGTTGCTCTGAATGAACCTTTTTTACTTGATCCAATGTGATACGGCCTGATGAGAACAGAGACATAGTCAATGAGAACTATAGAGCAACTTGTTGGCGATGAAACAGAAACGACAAACACGCTAATCCCAAAGCGGAATGTCATGTGACAGCGTCACGTCTCGCCCGCGGCTTGGCATCATCACCTCAACTCTGCAAGGCTTCCGCCGCCTAGAGCATCTCCGGACCCCTTACCCCAAGCGACATCGATTGATGGACGCCTCCGCTCTCTTTTCCTAGTCTTTCCTGGCTACGCAACACGATTTTCCACTTGAAATTCGCCGTGTTGGTGACCAGGGCCGACCGACCGATCCCCACATGTCTCGCGCCTCGGTCATCCCATTCTTTCTTGGACCCCGGCCTTCATCCAATATCGTCGAATCGGTCTCTGAATAAAGCATCATCTCACATACTGGAAGGTTCCGGGTCGCGCTCTGTGCGCCGATAATTATGGCGACCGCGGTCTCGAAGCCAAGCTCTCATCCTCCGAAGATGAAGCGGCCGCCCCCGCCTTTCCCCCAGACTGGGGTGAACGGGGTCAAGGCTCAGCAACCCTCATCTTCCCCAACCACCACCTCCCAGCGTGTTCTCGGTAATATGTCCGCTGGCTCGAGCCCAAACTTGATCAATGGTGTGACCAATTTGTCAAATAACGCCAAAGGCACCCTGAACCGAACCAAGACACAGTCGCAACGGCCCGGCGACGTAGCTTTGCGGCAGACCCGGCCAGTGACACGAACGTCGGCTGCTGGAAATGATCATCGGAACTCGAAAATGAATCCAGAGCCATATGGTGAGACTTACTCCTGCATAGAATTGGTCAATGCCGTCTTGTCTCATATCTGCGATTACTGACTTTCGTCTGACCGTCATAGTCAAAACCACGTCCTACATCCTTAAGAAATACGCGAAATGCCCTCCCTCCCTCATTCTGCATCTCCATCCCACCCACTTTCGATTTGAACAGCAAGATGGAAGCTTTCCATATAATTCGGAAATGAAGGTAATCATTGAACACCTCCGCGCCGGCACGGTTCCACATGAGATCATCGAGGAGTTATTGCGCGGGGGCGTCAAGTTTTACGAAGGTAATTTTTATCCTTGTCTCATACTGCGCCGAGCTCTGAGAGAATCCATACCGATAACAAATCCTCATAAGGTTGCCTCATCGTGCGTGTGGTTGACCACAAGTCCGTTTCCGCACAAGCGCAAAAGACTTCCGTGTCAACGAGCAATGAGAACAACACACCCTTCTCTCTTCACAACTATAACGAGCACGTCACCCCCTCGGCATTCGTCCCATACCCGAAACAGAACCAGCTCACCACCGATTTACAAACCTCTAAACCGCCGGAGAGCCCGGCTTCTGGTCAAAACAAGGCCGAGAGTCAACCAAAAGGCGAGGGTACCGAAGCTCCGAGTCAAGTCAACGGATCGGACCAGAAGCCTGTATCGCCCAAGCCTCGCGTCTTCACCACTGTTCTTCACCCCACACCTCGTGTGTTACAGGCGGAACTTACCCTTCTCGTGACAACCCCGGATCCCAAAGCTTCCCGTACACAATCCTCCTCAGCCATCCCTCAATCTCCCGCCACCACGCAATCTGACCGCGGCCACCCTGCAAAACGACAGAAGACACTCGTGGAGCCGCAAGACCTACACAAGTGTGAATCAATTCTTGTCAACTCCTTGGCCCCCCCTCTCTATCTCGATCCAGTGGACAGCTTTGAAGACTCACAAGTCCTGCTGGAATTCCTGAAGAGTCCGCTACACAGTGATCCTCCACCATCACCCAAGCGTCGCAAGAGAACTGTTGCCGAGCTTGCTGCAGACGAAGCACTCGCCGCTGAGGAAGAGCGGTTCATGCTCATTATGGATGAGCGCCTACAGCCTACAGCCTCAGGAGCAGCTGGCAGCTCTAAGACCGCTGCTGTTGACGACACCGCTGGTGTTGCACCATTCGAGCCGCGCTTCTCCCGTTTCAAGACTTTGGAGACGATACGCATGCAGCACGAGGAAAAGGCGAAGCGTGAGCACGAGATGAAGCTCAAACAAGAACTGGCGAAGAGACAGCAGCAGGAACAGGAGAAAGAGAGACGGCGTGCCTTGGAACAGCAGCAGGCAGAGCAACACGCCAAGGAGGAGGCGCGCAGGCAGCAACTTGCCGCCCAGCAGGCGCAAGCACAACTGGCGGCTCAAAATCGCCACGTCATGGCCCAACCTAATGGTGTCACTCAAGGACAGCAATCTTCCCCTATCGTACGCCACCAAACCCCCCACAGCACTTCATCGCCGCTGGTTGGCAACGCTATGGCAACCCAGGCTGTACCAATGAGTATCAGCGCATCCCAGCAATCGGGAAGCCCCCCACGGCCTCCATCCTCTATGCAGCATGCCCATCCCAACATGATGGGCCATCCTATGGCTCCCTCAAGAAGTCAGCAAGGGCCCAGCCGACATGGAACTCCACAGATGACTCAGGCTACACCAGCAATGTCACAAGCTACTCCCATCATGCGCAATGTGACTCCAACCCAACGCATGAACCACGGCAGTCCTACCCACACCATGGCTCAGACCCCAATGATGAACCAGCCTATGGCTCAGACTCCACAGATGAACGGTGCTGGCATGGGTCTAACACCTCAACAACAAATGTTGTTACAACAGAGACAACAGCTCCTTGCTCAACAAGGGGGTCAAATGGGCGGCACAGCCCAGTTTACCCCACAGCAGCTTGCTCAGTTACAAGCCAACGCGCATGCTGCCCAAAACATCAAGTCTCACCAACAACAGCAAATGTTACAAGCCCAGCAGGCCCAACAAGCCCAACAGGCTCAACAGGCCCAGCATCAACAGCAGCAACAGCAGCAACAGCAGCAGCAGCAGCAGCAGCAGCAGCAGCCAAATATGCAAAATATACCTCAGCACAGCCAGCAAGCATATCAGGCTCAGCTCATGCGTGCGCAATTTGCACAGATGCAGATGGTGAAGCAGCAGGGAGGCCAAATCCAGCAAGGTCAACCGAATCAACAACAGCAACAAATCCATCAGGGTAGCCCACAGATGACAGCTCAACAACAACAGCAACAGCAGTTGATGATGGCTGCTGCTCAAGCGAACGGAGGCCAGATGCCCAATGTGCAAGGAGCCAATATTGCCCAACGGTACAACCGACTCTTCCAGCAACGTCTCCTTCAGTTGCGCCATGAGATGTCCCAGAGATACATGACCCAATATGGACCCCCCACTCAATATCCACCTCAGATTGCCCAGCAATATGGTGCTGGGTTGGAGAAGAACGCAAAGGTGTGGGTGCAAGATTTGATGCGACGCGACCGCGAAGCTGCTCAGCAACAACGAGCGAGCGCTATGCATGCTCAGCAGATGCAGCAGCAACAGCAGCAGCAACAGCAACAAAACATGATGCACAATGGGATGGGGAATTGATTGATAATCAACACATGCCTACACACCCTCTCTGAAAATGAGGTGCGGATCCATGAATCTACGATATCAGACGTGGCATTTCACGAGGACCCTGGATTCAAGGCGTGAACATATGGCAACGGCTTTATGTGGTGGAGCCACAAACTTCGGATTTCTGCTATTATCCCTTCGACTTGTTTCCTCCCCTTTTTTTCTGGGTCGCATTGTTTTCTCACATTCAAATTGTACAGTGGGGCCAGGGCAGCCCGGATGTTTCAATGGCCGGCGTTACCGCAAGATCTTCCCATGAATGTTTCCCTTTTTACCTTTGTTTTTTTCTGCCCTTCTTGATTGTACTATCTTCCGTGGACACGGTCCTTTTTTTTCTTTACTTTACTTTTCTGCTTTTTGTTTGGCGGGGGTTCCAACGGGTTCGGGACTTGATACCATTCTGCACAGGAGTTCTTTACTTCCATGAAGGAAGAGGGTTTGGTCGTTTGGCTTTTTCGTTTGGGGGGATATTGGCAGTCGAGGCTAGGAATTGGCCCAAAATGCAATAAGACATCAATGTCACATAGGTTGTTACGTCCATTTCATTTCAAATACCAACATATATGATAAAGTGTGCGCCATTTCATGGCTTTAGCATCTGTATTGCTGATTAAGGTTCTCTCCGTCGGGCCTGGTACTATGTACCACATCCACAGCAGACGTTCTCCACATTTGGGCTACCACTGCCCATGGCTCAAGCCGACGGCCCATTGTCGGGGTAAAACACGCCGAGCGGGATATCCGAGCCGAGTCCTCCACACCCGCACCGAGCAGTCCCCGGCCTTGTCTTATCTGCTGGCGTGGGATTTCAACATGCTTCACACGCACCTTTAACACCCTGAAGATTGTCTGGCAAGATGTCGTCCTGGACAAAGTCGGCGAAATGGATCTGGACGCCCAAGTATCGTGAGGAGGACAGTCGTACTGGGCGCTATTTACTCTTTCGCAAGAGCTTCCAGTGGGTAATTCCCACGACCATTAGCGAGTTTCCTGTCCACGTCTCTGCAGACAGTCGCTATAGACTTTATGTGAATGGCCAACGTGCGAGCTTTGGTCCCTGCAAGAGCTATGCAGAGAAATGGCACTATGAAACTGTCGATATCCTACCGTACTTGAAGGAGGGAGAAAATGTGATCAGCGCTCGCGTGCTGCGGTATTCGCCCGTCGAGCCTGGTTCATCGTCAATTATTCGAACCGAGTTGCCTGGATTGATGATACATGGCGAGGTCGAGGTAAATCCTCCAATTTCAGATAACGAATATGTTTGAGCTATCAATGCTAATAGATATTGTATTAGGGACTATCCGTATCAACCGACGAAACATGGAGATGTGTTGAAGAGACCAGCCGACAGATTATTCCTTACTCCGAGTGGAACTTTATCCTCGGTCCTCCGTTTCTCTCCAACCACGAGCGGTTAGCAGAAGCTCAAGAACTCACCGAATGGGAACTCCCGGGATACGACGATTCCAGGTGGGAGAACGCCATTTTCCCTTTCCACCCTGCCAAGATGCTTCCAATGACGAGTCCTTGGAAATTGGCTCCGCGTCCTATTCCTGCACTGCCCGAAACGTTTCGACGCTTTGATGGAGTAGTCAAATGCGAAGGGTCGATTGCCCAGGATCAGTGGACTGGCTTCGTCAAGGAGAATGGCCCCGTTGTAATCCCAGCTGGTGAGACAGTCACCGTCGACATTGAAGTGAGTTCTTTGACGACGGGCTTTATTACCCTTCAGTGCAGTGGTGGAAAGGGCTCGGAGGTGACGCTTCATTACGCTGAATGTTACGAGAAAGATCTGGGGGTGGAAACTGCCCCGTTCCCGAAGCCTCGATCGAAGTCTAATCGAGCTGACTCCAGCGGCCGGTTGTATGGAATCAAAGACATCTATGTCGTGGCTGATGGCCAGCCGGAGCACACTTTCGAGCCTTTCTGGTTCAGGACATTCCGATACGTTCAACTCAAGATTACGACGGGCGAACAACCACTCACTCTCCGAAGCTTCACCCTTCGTGAAACATACTATCCACTAGAAATCAAAACTGAAGTTCAAGCTGGCGGGGAAATGGATGAGATTTGGAATATCAGTTTAAGGACTCTCCAAAATTGTCGTCATGAAACATACGAGGACTGTCCATTCTACGAGCAGAACCAGTTTGTATCAGACTCGCGCCTGCAGATGCTTTTCACTTACCAACTTTCCTCTGATGATCGACTCCCTCGCAAGACTCTGCAGGAGTTCCACGCCAGTCAGGGCCCCGATGGATTGATCAAAGCCCAGTTCCCTGCCGGATTCCGCAGCACCCAAATTCCTCAATTCTCTCTGTACTTTGTCGCGATGGTGTATGACCATATGCATTATTTTGCTGACACCTCCGTTGTGCGTCGGTACTTGAGCACCATCGATGGTATTCTGAACCATTTTGATGAACGACTTAATGAGCTCGGCCTTGTTGGTCGCTTCGACCATGATACTTGGCCCTTCATTGACTGGGTGCCGGAATGGTCTGTTCCTGGAAAGATCTTCGAATCATGCATGCCGCGGGCATACACCACCACCGGAGCTGCCACCTTCAACAGTCTCTTATACATTGTGGCGCTGATGCAAGCAGCTGAGGTGTGTACTTTTGTGGGGAGGAAAGATACTGCACGAGAGTATACTGCTCGTGCGGATGCACTTCGCACTGCTGTGAACGGCCATTGCTACGAAGACGGGCTTTATCTGGACGGCCCTTCGGCCAAAGAATATAGCCAGCACAGCCAGGTCTTTGCCATTCTATCTGAGAGCATCACGGGTGCCGCAGCCCAGGAGCTCATGGCTCGAACGTTGGAAGACACATCATTGGCAAAGTGCTCTTATTCGATGAAATTCTACCTCTTCCGAGCCGTCGAAAAAGTCGGGTTGTACGCGCAGTCGTTCTCCAATCTGATTGGCCCATGGAGAAGCATGATTACAGACAACCTAACCACATGGGCCGAGTTTGAACAGAATGCTCGGAGTGATTGCCATGGCTGGAGCGCAAGTCCCGTGCACGAAATTGTCACTCAGGTGTTCGGTATCTCACCGGCGTTACCCGGTTTCAAGAAGATTCGTATTGCGCCTCAAATGGGGCTTTTAGAAACCGCCCGAGGAACGTTCTTTACTCCGGTGGGAGATGTTTCGGTTTCCTGGACGAGGGATGGAAATCTCGAAGTGAAGGCCACTGCAGATGTTGAAGTGGAAGTTGTGCTTGATGGGGTCTCATCAGTCCAGCAACTAGAAAAGGGCAAGGCAATTGCGTTCTCTCGGAAGACAATCAGATGCTAGAATTATGTATGGCCTTGGGATTTTATGACAACATCCGTTAGATATACACAATTATAGAGTTCTCTACTAGTGTTGTGACAATGCATACTGTACCAATTTTGGCAACATTGCCCTTAGTAGTAAGGCCCTGCTCCGGTGCTCCTAGTTTGTGAATACATGTGCAGACTCAATTCAGGTATCCCTAAAAATCACTGTAGTGAAATATCGGAACCTTTCGAGAAATGGAAGTGTTCACCGATAGAGAATGTCGGGGATTACAGGGCATTAGCGCTCGGATATCCCATCTGCGTGGCGAAATAGGAAACTCACAGCCGTATTGCCCCAGTCGTGCCTGAACCTGCCTGGTCAGCTGCCGAGCCAAGCCGGGGTCATTCGGCCCCACTAAACACTGGCCGAAGCCGAAGTTTCCTAAACCCAAGCCGAAATCAAGGTGAATTTACAACAACATTGATTCCATCTTGTGAGCCTCGTTTGGAAGATTTTTCTGTGATCATGCTTCTGCTTGATGTTGATTACAATATCCCTGATAAGTCTCCGGTGAAAATTCAGATCTAAGAGTCAGCCTCGGCCCACAAAATTTCTCCGCTGTCTATTGTCCACTGTCCACTGTCCACTGTCCACTACTTCCCCGGCATAGCCGAGCACGGGTCGGTCTATTGCCCACCGAATTTTGCTTCACTGTGGGTGGGGACAACGACGCTCCCCCACAATTGGGGAAAGACTGGGGATTCCTTCAAATGCATATGTTTAGGATTACCCAAAAACCCCCGGGTTTTCGTTGGTAGATCCTAGGAAGCTGTACCGGAACTCAAACACGAAGATGGACACTCGCGACACCAAGTCCAACTCAGCCCATTTGGAAAATGTCCCTGAAGAGTTGATGGAGTGCACAACTTCGCCATGGAAATGCCTAGCCCAAAATCCCTGGGTCATTCTATTCTGTCTCTATGGCAATCTCGGGGCATTGATGTACGGGTTTGACAACCTGGTGTTGTCTCTGGCACTGTCAATGCCCGGTTTCGAGTGAGTATTGTTGACGTCTGCTCATGACATTGATCGATCGTGCTGACAAGGACCTAGGATTCAATTCGGCGAGCTCAGCAATGGGTCATATGTGATACCGGCATATTGGCAGTCCTTATGGAGTGCCATGTCCCAAGTCGCCACGATGATGGGAGCTACCATCGCTGGACCGGTGCAGGATCACTTCGGTCGTCGTGCTGCTTTCCTACTAGGCGCGATCATCTCTGCTGCAGGTGTAGCCGTCGTCTATACGGCATCCACTCCTGGAGTTTTCCTTGCGGGAAAGATTGTGAATGGACTGTCACTTGGTATTTGCTTGACAACCGGTCAGACCTACATCTCGGAAGTGACTCCACTGCAAATTCGTGGTATTGCTTTGTCTGCCTATACGTTCTGCATGGTAAGAATTGCCCCTGACTGGGAGATTGAGTGTATCTCTTATGATAGCTTTCATACTGATCTCGAATAGAACCTTGGATACATGATTGCAGCTTCTGTTGCGCTGCCCCGTATGTCAATGGTATCAACATCTGCATACAAGGTACGCCCCCTCAAACTCGAGAATACCATTCCTAGCGATCCCCTGAATGAAACGATTGGTTTCTGATGCCGTAATTTATAGGTTCTGTTCGCCGCCGCATGGGTCTGGCCGGGCGTCATCATTCTCTTGCTTCCACTAATTCCTGAGTCGCCCTACTTTCTCGTCATGAAAGACCAACTGGACAAAGCCCAACAGTCTCTCCAAAAACTAGGCAATGCGCCTTCGCAGGTCGTGCCCCTTTTGGATCAGATTGTTCGTGTCAACGAAGAGGAACAGGCCCGAGATGCTGCCGCCAAAGGAGCCAGTTTCCTCGAATGCTTCCGTGGGGTCAACTGGCGACGTACCAGAATTATCCTCATCTGCAATGGCTTGTCGCAGGTGATCGGAGCCAGTTTCATGTCGAACGGGCCTTACTTTCTTGTTTCGGCGGGCATGTCCGCGGCTAAGATTGGCATGATGACCGAGATTGGTATTGGCTTTGGTCTCGCTAGCTCAATCCTGACTGCCTACCTCATGGCGAAATGTGGACGCCGAAGACTCATCATTTTCGGTTTGTCTCTATCAATCGTTTTCTACACTGTGATGGGAATTGCTGGGTGCTTCCCAAATTCGCGCACCGCCTTGTGGTAAGTCTCGTTGAGCACGCTCGACCCGAGCCTCCTCACTTCTGGAGAAGCCATCGGGGAAATTGAAGCCACACTGACATTTAACTAGGGTCATCGGTATCTTCCTCGAGCTAACCTGGTGGGTCTATGGCCCCGCCATCGGTCCAGCCATGTCGATAGCCGGAGAGGTCTCTGCCGTACGTCTTCGTGCCAAGTCGATGGCTGTTGGATTCACCTTCAACTACTTCTTTTCTACCGTCTGGAATGTCGTGATGCCATACCTGTACAACACGGATGAGGCGCATCTGGGAGGCAAGATCGGATGGATTTTCGCTGGCTTGGGCATCATTACCTTGTTCATCATCTACTTCGAGGTCCCCGAGACCAAAGGCCGATCCTTTGAAGATCTGGATGAGATGTTCAATGAGAATGTCAGCACTCGGGCATTCCGGACATACCAGTGCTGCCCGCCTCAGGAGCTGCGGAAGATTGGCGAAGAGTAGAGTCATGGGCATTTGCGCTGCCTTGTGAGGTATATAGATTTTTGCAATACAGTCACGACATTTTACAGAACGCGCTACGTACCTAGTCTATTTGGCTTGGTTGATATTATAGAATTCAGGAACCTGTTCATGCCAGTAGAAGTGGTCAATCTATGAAAAGCAATTTATTCACAGCAGGTGTGCATTCAGTGAGTATATAGTTAGGTCTCCCACTCCACCTGCCTTCGATTCCACGTTTAGGGCTGACCTCACCATAAATGTAGATCTGCCGTCCCCCGCTATCTGCTTAAAGAGTGAGTACCTGAAGGACAGCCAACTTTGGACCTAAGGTGGGGTAGGTTCAACAAGGCCTCATAATTTCTTTTCATAAAACCCGATGCATATGCAAATATACCAGGACTGAGCCGATCAGCTCATTCACCGCTCGTTAGTCAGGCATCGACGGAACGGGACTTCACCGACACCGACTGCATGTACATGCACGGGTTTTCCTTTTCGAAAATGGAAAATCACGCACGATCTGCTTGCACAAAGAGTTTCAGCATTCACCACAATGTTCATTGTGGTGTTTTAAACATTACCAGATCACCCCCATATCCACTGTCACGACGCCAATCTCGAAGCGAGGGATAGCGATCACGGCACGGGTACACCACGACCGTATGCACGAGCGAAACGACTCTGTAAGCTTACGCAAAAACAATGATGATCAAACTGCCCTCAGATCTCTCAACGGACTTACATGCACGTTCATCACTTCGTCCTCAATGGCCAAATATTATTCTCACACAACAGTCCTGACCGACTCGAAGATTAACATGGTATCCCAACATTTCGAATCTCACATTCCAATGCATCCTGCACACTGCACTGCAGCACCATGCGCCAAGGCCGCAGCACGCATTCCTCATTCGGACGTTGCGTTGACAAAAGGAGCCCCATTCGATCATGTACTTTATCAAATTCCTTCCCATCTAGGCAATCAGGTAGAAAGTAGAGAAATATCCAAGAGAAGCCAGGTTCTGTAGACCGTGCATACCCACGAATGTGCAGAATACTATCGACTTCTCTGCCCCAAGAAGCCGGCGACATGCGCACAGACATGCCAACATCACACGCGGTAGGGATCCAACTGGCTGGCAGCTGCGTAGGAATGTTGAGGATAATCAAATTGTGAATAGGATTTCTCAATCAGACGCTCTGCAGCGAGTCTAATAATCGCGGTGAGCATGCAGCGTGTGAATGGGGCCAGGCTTTAATGACCATGGAAGTAATTTCCCTGGCTCTATACCGGTGCAAAAGTACAAATTATATACGCCCGTAAAAACATTATCACACAACCAATCTCACTGGAGGCAGGTCCCAAATTAGAAGAGAAAACTAAGACATTGTGCAGATCTCGCCCAAAAGCAAAAGAAAAAGTCCTCAATAGCGTGGCCGGATCGTGTTTTCCGAGCCGGGATCCACGACGGCGACTAAGAAGCAGAAAAAAAAAAAGCAAAGAACGAAAGATGTACGTATCTATGATCTATTCAAAATGGCGGCTGGAGGATACTGATTCAAGCTCTGGATTCATTAGATCTATAGCTACAGGCCTACAAAGACAAGAGCCTCGGCTTTGGTGCCTTGTAGCTGCTGCGTTTTCAGGATTTAGGCAAATGAAGGACGAGCAGAGAGTGGAGCACACAATTTCAAGTTATTGTAAAGCAACCTCATAAACCAAGTCCAGGGATAGAAAATAACGAAAAAAAACAGTTTCCTCCAATGTAACATTGTGGAAATCAGCAATCAGTCAATCAAGTCTTAGTATCAAAAAGCTCACGGGCTAGACTCTAACCAGGTGGGAAGGTCGGTATGCTCAAACCGCACCACTTTGTAGGGTTCAAGCCCAGATTTGGGAAATTCGATATGCACAGCTGATCAGAAGAAGCAAGCGAGGAAAATGAACCCCCGTTCTAGACTTGTCCTTCGGTATGAGTACACATCAGGGCATGGACCCAGTTCATCCGACCGGCTCAAAGGTCCAAGCAACAACCGCCAGCCCGGAGAATGGTGGTATGCAAGAGACCCAATCTGGGGATAGACGCACGTAGACACACACGATCTCACCAGCCCAACGGCTCGTCAAAATCAGAAACGTTGCGACGCACAAGTTTGGGCAGTCTGCGCGGCGTGACATGTATCTGGTAGAAGACTGATATAGCTGAATACTAAAAGGGAAGGCCTTGAGAGGCGGATTGAAAAGTCGCCAAGGACTCCCACATGACTCCCCGGAGATGCCACAGTGAACAATCAGTCACGGATAGAGTTATGTGGCGCAAACCAGGCCGAACCAAATTCGATGGTCAGGCCATAGTGACCGATATGATCATTCGCATTAGCCTACCGGGTGCATGTACGAAGTAAAGGGCACGACCACGACTAAACCTCACCGAGAACGAGGGATTCCAAAAATAACCGAGCGACAAAAGTAATGACGATAAGAGCAGCACAAGATTGGTAAAGGTACCATCAATTCCTGAAACAGGGGAATCGCAAATAGGAGCCAAACCCCCGGGACCGGCTTGTAGAGAAGACGCATGGAAAGGTCAAGAAAGGGGATGATCAAAGTGGCGGAATTAGCAGATGCGGCCAACGAGATGATGCATACGGTAGTACATGTACTACTCAGAGTAGACAAGTAGAAGTGCTTCGTACAAGTCATCTCAAAGCCAACAAAGGCCCGGGAATAGCCTGCTCCATCTCGCAGCACGACGCTCCAAACGTAACTAGCGATGAGACCCGCAAAAAGGCAAAAAAAAAAAAAAGGTCCTCGGATCTAAGCACAGCCTACACTATCATATGCTCCGGTACGAGAGGAACCACAGGTCGGATGGCGAGATCCGCGAAGAGTGAGAAAAGAAAATTGTACAAGTGTCAAGAGTGGAACTAGTGAGATCGGACTGGCGGGGAGGCGGTTGTGATGAGTAACATTTACGCTCGGAGGCCTCAGGAACCGTGGAACGAGGCCTAGTAAGATTCAATGGACTGTATGCGAGGATGGGCCAAGAATAGGCTGTCAGATTCATGAAAGAGGGGCGAAAATGACTCGTTTTTCAGAGCTGTTGAAAGTGTTTTGGAGGCTCCATTGTACAGGCAATAGTGTTCGTGTGGAATGTTTTTCGTAGCGGCCATTAGGAACGGAGCGATGAATCACAGGAGTGAGCGACGATTATATGATTTGGATGGTGCTTGAGCAGGAAAGTGGTAGGATCAGGAAGTAGAATAGAAAACATCTCTTGTCTTTTCTTTTCATATTATGCCATAATGTAGTAAGCAATAGTGATACACGCGACAGAGGTGAACTCGGTAAAAAAGATTAGAAAACGTTGTAGCTGATTGTACAAGATCGCCCGTTCCTCCCAAGTGATTATCCCACGGGCGATCGAACCAACAATATAATATGCAAACGCCGTTCAAGTTAAAAACCAAGCAAATATCCACCCCAAGGCCATTTTCGCCCCGACAAATTATGCATGAAGAGGAAGATGAAAGGAAAGAAAAGTAATCACAGGGAATGGTCTTCGCCAAAGCGGAAGACCATATACAACGCCGTAACGGCCAATGGTGGTTGACCGGGGGTAATGCCGATGCCATGTATGGGTGGCAGCCCATTCTCCTCCAAGGGTATCAATGCCTACTAGCCTCGAAAGGCCGCGATTTTGGTGGTTTGTTTCTTTTTTTTGTGATAATTCAATGTTTTTGTTCTCGAGTCTTTGGCGTCTTCAGATTGCGTATTCGTTTGAAATTGATTGCATGGCGTGTTGACATGTGTTTTTGTGTTTTTTGTTTTGTTGTATTCGCCCGGGACCGGCGAATTCCTCTTTGTGGTGTCTATTTGTGCATCTAATCATCCCAGCTATCGACGCTGATATCGCAATCCGGAATTTCCTCCAGTTTGGATCCATAAATGGGCCGCCCATCCTGCGTCAGCTGGCCACGGAATTCGGGATTGTAATCCGGGCTGTTCTCGTCGAGGGTGGAAACATAGCGGTTGCGACCGCCCCGCTTGCTGTGGGTTTTGGTGTAGTGAGCGTTCAGATTGTCGCTTCGGGAGAAAGCACGATGGCAACCAGGTACCCAGCAGACATGGGGCTTCTCCTTGGAATGGCTCTTCATGTGACGCTTCAAGTGCTCCTGGCGCTTGAAACGGCCCTTGCAGCCAGGCTCCTTGCACTTGAACTGCACCTGCTTGATGACTGCAGGCAAATTCTCCAGACTGAGGTTGGATCGGAGGAGCTGCTTCTTCGATGGCTTCCGAGATGGCTGGCGGTGGGTGCGGATCATGTGGCCATCCCTGTATACTGGAGAGACGGGGTATTCGTCTTGGTACTCCATATGGCCGGACATACGGCTGTTGGGAGTGTCACTACCGGGCGTTCCCAGAGACATTGATCGCACGGGGGTCGTGGGAGTATGAGGCTTAAAGGTTTGAAGACTGGCGGGGAACTCGGAGTAGTGAGACGAGGGAGGAGTGACAGGGCCAGCCAGAGTCTGCGCAGGAGTAATGGTCTGTGGAGGCATGGACTCCGTAGCGGCCATCCAAGGCAGCATGTTTGACATGGATGCGGAGTTGGGAAGACGTTCGGGCTGGTTAAACATGGGACGGGAGAGGCAAGGGTTGGAAGCAGACTCGGGCAAGTAGGCTGCTTGAGCTTGTGGGCGGTAGTAATGGTTGCGGCCCATGGTATGGTGATACTGGGGCATGGGCGCTTGATAAGGGAACGTAGGTTGCTCGAAAGTCTTCGGAATTGAATCTTGAGGGATCCAGAACTGCTCGACATTCTCGTCGTAGCCGGAGAGGTACTCAGCGGACATGGGGATCTGTTCTTGACGCTCCATGCCGCCGACGGGCATGCCCATGCCCTCGGCGGATGGGAAGTCCGACATGCGGAAGGCGCTTCGGAGCGGCGTTGCAGAAGTCCGTCGCTCCATAGGCAGGCTGTGATAGTGGCCGGCTTCGTGCCAGCTGGGTGATGCCAGAGATCCTTGGCTATAGATACTGGTTGGGGTGGGAGTCGGAGACTCCAAAGGAGAGAAACTCGAAGTCATCGAGGGACATTCACTGGGTCCCAGAGAGTGGCAATCAACCTCGACAGTCAAGCGATCGGAAATTTGCTGTCCCTGAGGTCTCATTTCTTCAAAGTCTTCGGTCTTCAGGTCTCGTTGGGTGATGGGGTCGAGAATAGTGTCACCTGTATCAAGGAAGTTCGGATTTAGTCCACTGTACCAGTGGAGTATAAGGGAAGGGAGGGTTGGGTCAATGACGAGGTAGGAAAGTATGCGAAGGATTGGATGTAATAAGAAGAACGGAATGAGTGTACTTGGGATGACAAGGCACGGTGAACGAGGGTCGGCACGAGTAAAGAACGAGATTGACACAAAGAAAGGGCTCAGGCACGAGGGAGTGATGCCTGGCAAAGACCACAAGGATCGATTGAAAGAGAGAGAGAGAGAGAGAGAGAGAGAGAGAGAGAGAGAGAGAGAGAGAGAGAATGTCTAGGGCCTTGGGAGAAAAAAGGAATAGATGGAGAGAAAGAAGGGAGAATGGAGGGACAAACGAGCAGAAATAAACAAATTGGGCCAGCATAGAATCCCGGGTGGGGCATTGAACTTACAGCTATACGCCATGACTTCGACGAGATCCAAAGGCGCCCGCGTCGCGTGCCGGAGGAACGCTTCACGCAAGGCCAGGAATGCAGACAATAGCCTCCCTCTGTTACCGCGGCAAAGGGCTGGTCTGAGTAGGAGGGGGGGGTTCAGATTAGCCGGTTCGTGGAGCCCGGCTTCACGTCTGTCAGGAAGAGTGAAGCACCAATGGCACGAATCGAGCGTCGAGGCTACTCTCAAGACTCGTGGCTGGAGAGGGGCACCAAAGCTACGCGGTTTCAGTACCTTCGATAGGGTCGTGAGGGTTTCCCTGGAGAACGACCCTGAGACGCGGTGGTTGGACGTGGAGGGAGAGTCAAGAGGGGACGGATTCAGCCAGAGGGGAGGCTGGGTCTCAGATTAATTGACGGGATCGCTAGGGAAGGGAGGGCAGTAGGTGGGCTGGATGGTATAAAAGATTTCCAGGGTATGGATCGTTCAGAGACACCGGCAAGGAGGATTGGGAGGAGATTGAGAGAGACGAGAAGGGGCGGGTTTATAGTTCCCCAGCCAGGGCAATGGAAGCTTGTTCCTGGAGAGAGAAGAGCCCAGCGAGAAGAGACCTGGAGATCGACAGGATCGATTGCCTCATCCCTAACGCTGAGTTTCTTTGGGAAATATTCTCATTATTATTATTATTATGATTATTCGAATTAATTTCAGGAATTATGATTTATGGGTGGTGGGTGGTGGGTGGTGGTTTATTATGGTTTATGGTTTATGCTCGAAGAAATCAAATATTTAACGAGGATCACTATCATGATCATGCGAATCATGATGATCAGACCGCATAATTCAAAATTTAAATCTATTTGGGATTTTCAGATCGTATTTTGGTTTGGGGATGAAACGACCTTTGTCGGTAGCTATCGTTCTTGCTGAACCACTCCGGAGACTGTGGGGACCAAACTTCATCTCCGATCTCACAGGTACAATTCAAGAAGGGGATCCATTCGGGGGACCCATAGGTACCCATTATGACCCTATCGGTGCCAATGGGTGCCAATGAGTGCCCATGGGTGCCCACAGCTATCATCGCCCGCCGAAGAGCCAGCCAGTTGGGACCGACAGCCACTGGAATGTCCGGCTGTGCCTCTTGCATTCCGCGCAATGTGAGTAGAGTCTATATTCGCTGTTGACATGCAGCTTGGTGGGAGGCGTTGGGTCTCGAAATAATGCCCCAGACTTTCCCTCTTTGGTATTCGTTGCCATTCGTTGGTTTTATTTTTTTTTTTTTTTTTTTTATTTCATTTTATTTTTATCTTATTTTTCCTCTTTCCCGTTCGACAGTACCTGGACGGAGACTTCGTTTTGTCGTGACCAGGTCCAACAGTCCGTGGATCTTAGTCACGCTTTAGGTTTGCTTTTCTTTTCGGCCCCGATGGAGGTCGATCATCGTAGCCCTAATAATAAATACGGTCAATTCGAGCGCTGCGGCAGGAAATCACTAACCACTTGAGCAAATGTCCTAACCATCATAGGACCAGCACCAGATCGACCGTCGCCCCACTCTCCCCGTTCGACGAGGGCCACCATGGAAGAAGGACTTGTCTCGAGTGACATCGTTTTGAGACAGACAGAAATGGGTCAAAAATTACAATCCAGTCGTGCTAGGGAAAGTCAACTCTGGATCGAGAGTCGACGGCGAATCACACGAACTATCTTTCTCGATGATTATCCCAGAGGATCTCCCGGTCGGCCCATCTGAGCTCAGACGTTGTGGCGGATCCTCCAAGTGGGGGCGCTTGATCGATCGAGCCCAGGGTCGACAGGTCAGACGTTGTACAGAGTCGTACCTGTGGGACTTGCAGAACTGCCTCCCAGCTGGGCTCGAGTCGCTGCGGGTCTGTCCCAGTCGGGCCTAGTCGGGCTCCCCCCGGGATCTGCAGTATAAGCCAAATACCCATATCCCGGTCGTGGGGAGTGTAGCATCATCAAATTCCAGTACGTCTGTCGGCTATTCTCCGCGTGCTTGGACCATCGACCCTCTCCCTCTCGACCTCTCGACCTCATTACATACCTCCCATCGTCCCAAGCAAAAGCGACTCGCGCGTTCCGAGGCATGGATCGTCGTCCCATAAGGCTATCGACCCAAAGTACCCTCTATTCTACCAACTCCGTAATGTGCCATTCGGACAACCTTTCGGATGAATGCTGAGAGTGAAATCATCACCATAGCTCTGATTACAATTGGCCAGCCGACAGCGTACTTCGTACTATGTATTTCCTACAGTTCGCCCTCCGCCCATTACAAATAAGCCAATTCGGCCCAAAGCGCCCCCGGTCGCCCACACTCGTCATCCGGTATGGATGAAATGTGCAAAGCATGCAAATCTGCAGATAATAAACTGGACACTGGACCCTGGACTGGGTGCCCGTTGGTAATGCCTATCGGTAGACAAAAAACTGGGACTGAACGGGCGCTGCGCATGGTCGGCGATTCCCCAATCCACGTCGTTCTTTCGGGTTCCTCTCTTTCTTTACCTTTCGCTCGGCAGCTCCGTAGCGAATGGACCTCGTCGCTCAGGGACCGCCGCCCAAACTATCCGAGGAGCTAGTTGCGGACCTGCATCTGACTCCAGGGGATGATTCTGATCCATCGCCCGTCAGTCAAGACCCGAATAGATGGCACCTACTCTAGTTGGGGGCAGACGAGCATGGTTTTGGTGGCCACGGTCTTGGCCTGGCGCGACTTTTGTTCCATCCCAGTATTTCCGAGATTCCTGCCGGGTGACCCAGCAGCTCTCGGGATTTGCATGCATTTCGACATTCTTCAACGAACCTCGAGCAAGCTTCTCGATCCCAATCCCAAGCCACACGAGCAAGTGGCAAAAGAAAAATGGCATTCGCATCCTCGTCATGCGAAACACACCTACGGCTATCTCTTCCCCCTCATTCCAAAGTACCAAAGTACGGGTCCCGACTGTGTTTTGATTTCCTCCCCGTGCCCAACTTGCACCTGGAACGGACGGAGAATGGGGATTGTCCGGACTGATTCCATTTCCCCGGTATTCTCGACTCCGACCGGGACAAGCCTCCGCGAAGCGTGTATCATATCACATTGGCGACCGATAGACAATAGACACGGCAGATTAGACGAAACAGGGAACTCGTCCCTGCTCTCCATTCTCCCTTCTGCCGTGTGCCTTGAACCACGCAACTACTAGGCCGATTAGATTCTCATAGACGAGCGCTTGCTCCCATGGCCTTCTAGGTAGACAGCCGAGTTCTGACAGCTCTCACTAATAGCCTCATAGGCCCGTTGAGGGCTGTGATTCGTGGCGCTTGGTCACTTAGCCAAACTCTATTATTGTTGAGAACTGAGCCACAGTACGGGGCTCGGACAATGCCTGTCGATCATGTTTCTCCTTCGGTCCCTCATGCCGGTCCGTGAGGATCCGTCTGGAGTGTCCGATCCAGACGATCCAGTCTATTCCAATTTAGTGAACGGCCAGCTAGTTGCACGCCCCACTTGGCTTTCTGTTTGTCTCGCTCGCTATATGTGCATTCCAAGTTTACTACAAGACTACCGTATTCCATATCTCATATCTCACAATTCTCTCTCTTTATCGAGTGCTTCGACACTGAGTCTACCACGAGGGCGGTTTAACCTGCAATGTTTCATGCATGTTGGCGGCAAAATCAGGTTTCTGGTCTTTTGCAAAGCAATACTGGGGTCAATAATGCTACCCAGGATATGCTAGCCGGTCTTGCAATCCCGGACGGGGGCTGTTGTACTTTGTTAAAGCCCCGGTTCACCGGAGAGCCAAGAATCTGTGGGCGCCGAACGCTATACCGCTGTTTGTTTAGTTGTCCCCCATAATAAGTTCAGCCCCATAATTTAATTCGATTCATGTCCTTATCTGGAGTTGGTATTCACAATGCTACATAATTCTGACTTGAAAAGCATCATCGCTTTCTTACAACCGTAAGTGACCATTTGCACACATTGAAGAACCCTTCACACCATCGTGCTTCTACTCAGATACGCACAGCTCTAGTTTATCCGCAAGGGCCGGCCGAAAACCCTAGAGAGTTCCCGTAGAAACCCCGAGGACCCCTGCTTCCAAAGGGATGACTGAGTTGGATCTTCTTTCCTGGCTGATCATCTCAAACTGTCAAGACAATGCTTAGTCTCCAGGTATCGATGCTTGGTAATCTTACAGCTAGCCATTACTCGCACCGAACAACGACGAAAGGGCTCGAGACCACATAATCTCGGTCGAGAGTTTAAAGTACCACATTGAGTGGGAGGTGGCAAGGCCCAGGCGAAGGTTTGAATAGTTCGTCCGTAAATCTGAGCTCTTCTGTTGCATTGAGTCATGCCATTCGAAGTAGCCTTATGTCCAAGCCATTGCATGACCTCGGACCGCCACAAAGCCGAGGTGGCGTTTTGATGGCTTGTTCGGGGGGTCCGGGGATCCATTGTGTACATACCGCTTGGCTGTCTGTGCTTGGAGGTCCATGTATTGTATGAGGAAATCTTCAGGTTCGATCACCTCGCCACCATCAATCGATGGTGTGCGAGTTACACTTGCATGAGCCAAATCGTTCGCACTCGAACTGCTCGTGTGATGAATTCATCCGACAATGAGACCTTTTCTCCCGGCCATCTAACGAGTAGCTGGACCGAACGATGGGCTGTCTCAATTCAATCTCTAGCTGACAACGACGATAGCTCGTTGATAGTCATCGTGACATCTCATATCTCATATTCAATGTTCAGGTACCAATCCTTACGATTCGGCCATCAGATTCTCGGCTCAGAATATCGTCAGGGGAACGTCGGATAACCCCCTCAACTCGTAAACCTTATCGACCCAACAAGACCAGTACATGCATCAGCACGATTCGTGCAATCCTGACTCAGGTTCATGGAGCATCAAGAACAACACTATTGATTTTAGATCATTCTCAGACCCATGTTCATCCTACATCTTCCACGCCGAGCACCTCCCTGCTAGCGTGTCTACCCCAGAAATGAAGTCAGAAATGCAATCAATAGTACAAAGCCTAAAGGAGAAGACAAAATCAATTTCCCCTCCCTGGTAAAAAAAGACATGTAAGCCTCCTAGCGCCATGGTACCAAAGTACGGCAGCCTGCCGGTCGATCATTTTGCGGGGGAGGATCCAGAGTGGTCGAATTCATGCACTCGGGCCAATAAAGCAACCCCAGCATACCGTGTACCTCCAGTGTACAGTACTATGCTGAATTACTCTTGAGTTGCTCTCTGAACATTCCCCGGAAGAACGCTCAGCACGATCCGTGAAAAACCGCAGAACCGGGTGAGGCGTGCTGCAGGTTCGTTTCGTCCAACATCCTGGGACCGAATCTACCGACGTCGCCTCTTGAATGCCAGAACCTGGTGGTCCGGCACTTTCGCTAGACCATAACACATCTTTCATATTCATATTCTATCTGTCGGAATTAGGAGCAGGTCCGAGTTTGACTTTACCTTACGGAGTGTGCACGTCCTTCGCACTGGCCATGCTCAGTGCAGATAGGGGAGGGTTAGAGGGCAGATCAGCAGATGGCTATCTTTAGGATAATTTTTCCAGGCCTGAGGATACCCGTTGAAGAGACCCTGGCAGAAAGGGGAAATAAATTGAAGCTTGCTAACTTTGCCTTTGTCAGGCCACTTTATCAAAAGTCGGAGCGGCTTTGCATCAATAAAACGACCGTTTCGAGTCCGGATTTGGTAGCCTTCCACTAAGAGCATAGCAAAAGGTAGTGAGTACTGGGAAAAAACCGGTTACACCCTTCAATAGTGCACTATTATTGCGAGTGGATAATGCAACAAGCTTGACGAAGTTAAGTGGCTTGTACAATTTAGGTGAGGTACCTGGCGATTCCTGGACCAAAACAGCTTAAACTTTAACCCTTCTTTTCACAACCCCACCCCCTTGCATAGTTGTTTCCTATTCTAACCAACGAGCCTCAGAGAATCTCAAATAGGGAAACCATTTAACTAAGACTTTGTTCACGGCAATCATTGCTTTTTGCGCTTTGTGCTTGGTACCTTTTGTGCCAACCATTCATGTTGACGCGCATTGCAGAACGCCTGCATCACCTTGCGTTGTCGAGTCCCGGTTTCCTGGATACAACTCCCAGTGGCTAAAAGTTTGTTCTCGGCACTGCCCTACGATCGGCCTCTCCTAGAGCGCGCTCCTGGAATTGGCTATCGGGGATCGCGTTTGTGGGTACCCTTATTGATGGTGCCCAGGAGTCCGTCTGCCCTATATTTGTTGCTCGTGTTACCCCATCTCTATCCAGGGTCGCGATAAAAGGGGAAGAACGCTGTTGACAGTTGTAGATCAGACACGACCCTTAGTCTCGTAGCATCCTCAAGAACTCAACGAAAGTTCTATATCTGAGCACGACATGATACGCAAACAGCGCCGCGACATCGAAGTCATAGCGCTAGCCAGAGTACTATTGTACTCTGTCTGTGATCCAAATGCACATGCCACAGTCGACTCGATAGCGCAGGTAAAACAGATTGGATATGCAACACGCCTCAATAGCACCTCCCCAGAGCACATTGGAGAAGCTCTTGGCGAGTCGCGGCCCTGATCGACAACATTAATCAACCCTGCACATCACATCTAGCATGCTTAACATTCCCAAGGTCCCAACTGCAGCAGATCGGTGGTCCAAACGCCGCCCACTCCACTGTCCCAATGTACCGCACGTACCAATATGTCTTGGGCTAGCGGCGGGGAGGCGACGAGGCCGGACCTCGACCTGGTCCGTTCACTGCTGTCCGTTGCTCAAGGAGAATCTTGGTGACATCATCGAGGTATGCCCTTGCCTCTGGAGAGATAATCGCGCGCGCCGTTTTTGTCGATACGCATTGCGCTACTTGGTGTTGTTTCATGGCAGGGCAGCAATTTAACGAACTTTTCAAACTTTCAGGCTGCGAAGAAATGGGTAGTGTTCAATATATTGGTCACGATTGTGAGATTGGGTGGAGTAAAGTTGTAGAAGGAGGGAGAGGGAAAGGTTGCAGATCTGTATAGTCCTCTGAGACGAAAGGTATCTTTCATCAGAAACTGGGCTGTGATTTCAGATTCACGTATGGTAGCCAGAGTGATATTCTTAGCAGGTTTCTTTCCACAATCGCTTCTGGTGCACTAGGTTGAATGGTAAATTTTGAGCTTGTTATTTGGTGCTTGGCCAATGGCACCTTTGCCTTAGCTGGCCCATTCCATAGTATGTTAGTTATACTGAGTGATTGCGGAATTTTCTTTGCTTGTAGGCTCAGAGTGTATAAAGGGAAATTGGGGGATTGGGGCTTGGCACCCATACTCACCAGAGGGTAAGTGCCGGTAACCTTGGGGGTATGGGCATCAAATCTCTTCTTGAGAAATCATACGATTATATTCCGAAGTGTATGGGCTAATTAATGTGTAACTGTTTTCAATGTTCGTTAAATGTTATTTAGAAAAAACATACACTGACATTTGCTAGTGAACTCCTGAGTGATATATATCCTGCCCCTGGGTGCTTGTCAACCGCATCACTTAATGTCTATCTGTGGACACATAAGAAACACACACATACTGGACTATTTGAGGACACTAAACCATGAATTGCATTTTCTATCTCAAATGGAAGTGTCTTCAAGAGGTGATCCTCATGTTTTGCCCAGAGCTATGCCGACCGAGTTCGAATTCTGGTCATCTTTGAGGTCAGGGCACCATCTACACACATGTTCATCGCAATGCCAGGAAGCGATCAATGAATACCGTACGGTCGCACCATAAGCTGGCTAAGTCATAGCCATCCATTAATCCATCCCATAAACGAAATAGACTGTAGCTGACAATCGAATTCAACAGCCATGGTGGAACTCATCGAGCCACGGCGTATAGTCCCTGCCGACCATATCGATCCCAACGAACCCAACCAGCCCTCACACAAACATCCCATTTTCCAACCGCAGTTTCCTCGAGACTCTCAAACCGCCTAATAATCGATCCGAACATGTCCATCGATGGACGAAGCATCCGCCCTACCTTCGGAGCAGTAGCGGACAAAACCGCCCGAGCCAGCCAGCCAGACAATCGCCTCATCTCCGACAAAGGGTTACGAGTTCCGAATGCACCGTGACGGCACGGCATGGGCCACGACTCGTGTGATAACCAGCCGGGAAAAAAAAGTAATAAAGTGACAAGAATCCTCCGAGATGGCCTCCCCCGGGCCGCATTGGTGAGCCGCCTGGATGAATGGCAAGCTAGCTGGTCGAGTTTGCAATCCGCATTGCAGAACGCGCGCTGAAAACGCTTCTCCATGCGGGCTCCCGTGGCCTGACAGGCACGCAAGCAACGGGCAGTAATGCAATCTCGATGTTTTGCTTGTTCTGGCCTCGTGTGCAGACCGGATGGGCGCTTCCAACGGCCCCTGAGTGCGTGGATTCAATTAGCCGAGTATCGATAGTCAACAGGGCTAGTTATAGTCGCCCAGCCATGGTCGTTGTGCGACCGGATGACTACTATCATGACGACTGCTCTCAACCGCAGCCATGTCTACTCCCATCTCGTCCGAAAGGTCCCAGATCTATATATGTACAATGCAAAGTATGTATGGGGAGACTTAGATCGGGTTGTGGGGACCACAGCGGAGCTCAAGTGGAGTGAATTGGGAGGATGATGGGTCCATTTTGAGCAAGAGGTGGGTCGTGAAGTTGTCAGCTTGATCGAGTCCTCCGTGACGTCTTCGTTTCCTTGAGAGAAGAAGCCCAGGTAGAAAAAGGGCCATTGTGCGGGCCACATTCCTGCGACGGTCGGAAGGCAGGAGGGAGGCCCAAAACCCTGACGGAACACGTCAAATCAACATCGCGTCAGGAAGAGCCGATTCGTCGTCAAGAAAGTGAACATGAGCTAGGAGTTGACTAGCGAATGGCGAAATCTCTCAGGTCCAATCATTGCATCAGTTCTAATCGGAGCCTTGTCCGAAGCTTCGACCGCTAGTGTACGGTCGGAGTTCAGCATTGAATCAGCATTGAAGTACGCCGAGGAAGAGAGGACTGTCATTGTTCTCGAACGCCCAACGCCGCGACCAAGCAAAAACGGGGTCAGTCGTGATTGCCCGCCCATGGCCCAGTCAACGCTAACTTACGTTGTTAGCGCGGGGAAACTTGAAATCTGCCGTCAGCCCCAACGAGTCAAGCAAATCAGGAGGGTCCCAGGCATTGCGGCTTTGCTGGCGTTGCGACCCTGGGCCCAACGCGATAAGCTGGCATTTATGCCGAACTCCGAGGCCAAGGCAGCTAAATAATCGCCCTCCCAATTTCCACCATCTGAGATCTTAGAAGTCTCTTAATTCAAGGCGCGTGCCTGCTGTTAGAAAGAGCATAGTTGCACAGCGACCCTTTCATACAGCCAAAATGGTCGCCGACGAGACGCAGCCCCTGCTCGCCGGCGCGTCAGAGGCGCCAATCCCTCATCGCTCGAATTCGAAGAAACTCACAATCCTGCTCATGTGCGGTATCTTTGTCCTGGCCGCCGATTTTGGCGCCGACATGTCGCTCGCCCCGCAGGCTGCGATTTTCGAGCAGATCATCTGTCGTAACCAGGGACTTTTGTCGAGCGGAGGGGGTACGCCATCAAGTGGTATTCTACCAGTCAATGGCAGCGATCCATGCAAATCGGAAGCTGTGCAAGCCGAATTGGCGCTGGTGTTAGGCTACAAGGATATGTTCGAAGTGCTACCGAGTATCCTATTGTCTTTACCCTACGGCGTGTTGTCGGATCATTGGGGGCGCAAGCCGGTCATCTACCTGGGCATTGTGGGGATGCTGCTGGGGGAGATATGGATCCGCCTGGTGGGTAAGTTGAGAAGCTTAAATTATCCTTATCCGAAAGTTCTTGATGAGATGCTAATCAGGGGTGATTGCTTTCTAGCGCTGTGGTCGAATGTGCTCCCCCTTCGGCTGGTCTGGTTGACAGGACTGTTCAGGATCATTGGAGGTGGAGACCAAGTGGTCGTATCAATTGCGTTGGTCATGGTTGCAGACATCTTTTCCGAAGAGGAACGGTACGCCAGCAATGACAGTCCGGTCTTTTACTTGACTCTGCTAACTAGAAGATAGATCTACGGCGCTCTTTCGTCTTCAATCCTGTGTGATCCTGGCCGATATCCTAGCCACTCCTATTAGCGCCTGGATGATGCAATACGACATTTGGCTTCCATATATCCTGGGTACAGTCATCATAATTGTGGGGAGTGCTCCGATATTATTTCTCCCAGAGACTCTGGAAGAAGCCAAGGCAAAGAAGGCCAAATACCGTCGTGAAGCAGGTCTAGATGCGGCGGAAACCGACAACACTGACGGACGGATCGAGCCATCTGTCAAACGACCAGTACTGCAAGAGGTTATCCACCAAGTCCGCGAATTCAAAGACTCGACGCAGTTTATCTGGCGTAATTACAGTGTCTGTCTGGTGATTCTATGCTTGTTGGTCACGGTCATTAGTCGGCAGTCCTCGAATGTGCTCCTCCAATTTACTTCGAAGAAATTCAACTGGACCCTTGCTAGGGTATGTCTTTCCCTCCGCTCACGTCGAGCACCAGAATCTGCTAACTCTGCTATAGGCCAGTCTTTTGATTTCACTACGTGGAATATTCAACCTCGTCAACTATCTCGTCGTCATGCCAGCACTGTCCTTCGTCGCAGCCAAGTATCTCAACTTGCATGGAAAACATCGCGATCATCGTCTGAGCCAAGGCAGCGGACTGGTCTCGATTATCGGCTTCTTTGTTATGGGCTTCGCACCCGTTCCAGCCCTGCTAATTTGTGGGCTGGTTATCCTCTCCCTGGGCTCTGCGTTCCTCATCACTGCGCGCAGTCTGGCAACAGGTCTTGTGCCTCCAGACCAAGTCGGCACGCTTTATTCGGCTATTGCCATCTCTCAATCCCTCGGCATCCTAATAGCCGGCCCATTATTTGCCTACCTTTTCCGAATCGGCTTACATTTCGGCGGTGCTTGGATGGGGCTTCCCTTCTTGCAGGCCGGGCTCTTCTACGTGATTGCTACGGTCGCCATGTGGTGCATCCGAGTGCCTCGAGCAACGCAAGATGAAAACGAAGCAGAGCCATTATTATCAGAATAGAGTATTGCTTTGTGACCCAATACGAGGCCCTTCAAAGCCTGGAATCGTTTGTCTTTCACTTCGTATTGCCTCCGATCCCATTGGGGGGAAATGTCCTGTAGATTTAAAAACAGCAAAACCCCGAATCCCCCTCCCTCGAGTGCCAATCTCAGGTGACATGAATGCGACCATCGACCTTACCCTAAGAGGCGAAACGTGAAAGTACAGTGGCAGTCTTCCAGATGGCTTCTGGCACCGTTGGTTCGCTAGGAAGCGGCCGATCGGCGACCTCTTTAATCTCGCAGGGCGCTCAACTCGTCGGAGATCCACCGGAGACGATGCAACGTCAATTTGGGCCTATCCCGGTCCCCGGCCAAACCCAAACACTAGCTGCAATTCGTCCAAGTTGGACCCTCAGGACTTCCGACGGAACCTCCCTCACGCATCGTCGACTTCACGGCTGATGCGACGTCCTTATTGGTGGCTTCCTTTGGTTCTTGTTCCCCGCTCCGGTCGGGATCGACCTCTTTCGTCAGGAAAAAAGGCACCAACTCGGTCGCTAAGTCCGCCAAGGGTCGCTAACGGGTTCAGAAACGACCATTCGTCTATCTCACAAGTTGAACGGCGATATCCGATCTATCGGGCACGAATCATCGTCGTCCTATTGGTACATGTGCTGCTATCAGTTGTGATCGACGTTTCCCCTGGTGATGCGCTGCAGGACGCTCTATTCCTTTGGAGGAGCTCGATGGTAGCGACTTAACGACTAGTCAATAGGTGTGCCCTATTTATGTTTGGCATGGTGCCCTGGTAATTGAACTAGATTGTCAGTTTTATTTCCTTTGAAGACCTTCATTGAATACTATCTCTATCTTTGTCCAACTATGGCTTTCTCTCGCTCTTCTATGCTAGCCCTGGCGGCTACCACTCTGGCCATTGGCGCCTCTGCCCAGCTGGAGGTTTGCACCAACGACAGCGTCTTCAGTTGCCAGAGCTCTTCTACGGAAGCGACGTGCTGCTTCAACTACCCCGGCGGTGCCCTCTTGCAGACTCAATTCTGGGATACTAGCCCATCCACGGGCCCAACTGACTCCTGGACCATCCACGGTCTCTGGTACGTATCTGACATTGCGCACTTGCACCCATCCACAACTGTACTCGCAAGGAATACCGCATAGAACAATATACTCATTGAGATACAGGCCCGACAACTGTGATGGCACCTACCAGGCCAGCTGTGACTCTGCTCGTGCCTACACCAACATCTCGGACATCCTGCAAGCACAGGGTCGTGACGATCTTCTGAGCTACATGCAACAGTACTGGGTCGACATCGACGGTGATGACGAGAGCTTTTGGGCCCACGAGTGGGGCAAGCATGGTACTTGCATCAACACCATCGATCCCGACTGCTACACTAGCTACACTGCACAGGAAGAAGTCGGTGACTTCTTCCAGAAGGTGGTGGATCTGTTCAAGGGTCTCGATACTTACAAGGTATGTACAACCGGCACACCACCAACCAGGAGTACGCGAAGTCTAATAAGAGTCACAGGCCCTCTCCGATGCTGGCATCACCCCAAGTAGCTCTAAGACCTACACCCAGAAGCAGATTCAGGCTGCCCTGACCAGTCTGCACGACGGCGCATCGGTCTACCTTGGATGCTCGAGCGGCAAGCTGAACCAGGTTTGGTACTTCTACAATGTGGCTGGCAATGCTATTGATGGCCAGTACGAGGCTGTCGATACTCGTAAGTGACTCGCCATTATGAAAGAATCACACGCTATAAAGAAGGTACCGAGAGCTGACTTCTTTGCACAGTTACTACGTCGAGCTGCCCTACGACCGGCATCAAGTACGTGCCCAAGTGAGGATCCGCAATGGAATGATGCAAGGATGTAGTCTGGCCTGATATCGATATGAGAGATCTTTACAAATGAGTTCACTTTCTGTGATGTAACGATGTGAGTAAGGGTATCTGGTTTGGTGTCCTGGAGACTATAGTACATAGCACACAACATGGGTTTTGACGCCCATGGAAGGAAAGCAATCAGCAAAGGGCCGACCGCAATTGAGTAGCGTTCGAGTAAAAATACAGATTCTCCACAGAAAGTCAAGAATACGACAAGCAATCTTCCATTTTCCTGTAATGGCCCGCCCCCGACTTGGGTGATGTACGAGCTCGCATGACCGCCGGCGATCAGCATGGGGGCCCCGGCTCTGTACAGATCAAGTGGTCGCCGCGGACTATTTTACAAGTCTATCCACTTGATCATCGATGAGAGATGCGTACTCGGGGAGTTTCCCACTTCGAAAAAGATCGGCTGGCTGGTTGTTTGAAGAAGGCGGGAGCTGCCGGCGTTTCAACCCATTTTGCAGCAGAACTCATGGGATCTGGACAAGACTTTGGTGGCATGCACTCTGCAGGAAGATTTTCCGATCCATTCGAGGCACTGTGCTGCGGTAAGATTTGTGTATGGTCGGAATCTGTTGCCCGAATGTGGTAGATAAGAGAAGGCGAGCAAACCAGAAAGGCAGATAATAGTAGCCTTAAATGCCTTTGAGACGGGCCTGTCGGGCTTCCTCGTCTCGTTTGGATTCCACACGTCCCAAGAAGTCCATACGGCCCATATATCCTTCTTTGGCTTTGCTGTGTGTCCGCAGTTCGTCCTTAATCCCAGCCTGATCCACATACTGCGCCCAGTCGAGTCTGGACTTCTCGACGGTGTTGATCTTAGGCCCGGCTGCGTCTGCCGCAGTCTCCGTGGCGTGTTTCTCCCAACTCTTTTTGATTAAGCCGGTTGGGTTGGGGTCGAATCGCGAGATCTTCCGCAGAGGACGGCGCAGATTAGCGGTACTCGTCGCGCTGTTGGCATTTTCGACCTCTGCGTATTCCACATTCTCGCCGCTAGACAGGAAAGCCTTCGCCTCAGCGGAGTCCTTCGGAACCACCTTTTCCTCGGTGATCCACTCGCCCGCAAATTTGTATGTGCGCTTGATCTTCACCATTTGTTCTTTGTGTTGGCCATGGCGCGTTTTGTCGTCCGATTCTGGGGCATTCTGCTTTGGCGCACTCATACTGGCGACATGGTCGGATTCGTCTGGCGTCGGTTCAAGCTTGTGCTCGATTTGGGAAGCCTCCAGGGCCACTTGACTCTCGGGAGCATTCATCTGCGCCCACAGGGCATCGACATCCACCGTGGCGCCGTCGATTCGAGCCAGCGGTTTACGCTCCTCTTCCTGTCTGATCCAGCTGTGAGATTCCCGAATGAGAGTATACAGGCACATACAGTAGAATAGGAATCTTACATGTGTTTCTTCATTGCGCGTGTCCGCACAAAACCTCCAGTTCCCCCTTCCTCAGCCTCGTCGAAATCAAGATCCTCGTCGTCGACCACATTCTTGCCCTTGGCCTTTTTCCTCTTGAGTTGATTCCGTCTGTCCCGCGCTTTCTGTATCGTAGCTTCGTCGCCAGAATCTAGTTCGTCTGCGACGACCTCATCTTTCTTATCGGCCTTGCGTTTCTTCTTCGCGGGCTCAGCAGCTTCGTCCTCGGATGAGGATAGCTCGGACTCATCTTGCGCCGGATCGAGCTGGAAATCCTCATCCTCGGCGGACTCGTATGGCTCGTCATCTAGGTCGACTGCCGACAGGGCACTCGGATCGGCGGACATTTTGGGAGGGAGCGCTGCTTGTGGTGGATGAAGAAAGACTGCAAGAAACACAGCATCGTGATTCTGCCGGAGGCGGTGCTGATAAGGATTATATAATGAGTCCCAAAGGCCAAGGTGGCTAATTCTTAATCCGTTCCGAAAGATCTAAGGGGTACTCCACAAAGTACCCCCACTGTGAATAACCAACATCAACACCAATATATCATTAAATGACAAGCTCTAATTCGATCATCCATTTTTTGAAAATTGCACAGGGTACTCCTCATGCGCTCATGTAGCTCTAGCCAGGCGCTCTCATTACTTTTATTTCAACATTGTGCCCAAAAGGCCCGCTTCGCCATCTCATCCCGGCTAACGGTCTCAGGAACCCCTCAGGATGAATTTAGGGCCATCGCAAACGCCCCTGTTATCTCACTAATGCCAGTACGCAAAAAGCCGCATTTCTCATCCGCTCTACGGCCCGCTCTAGTTGGTCTCAGCGATTTTGTGCAGATGTCTTGGTTACATTGCCCATAAATATCGGTGAATTCGTTGCATATCGGCGAGTCTTCTCCCTATCCCTCGGTTGTGGAGTATGATTCAACGATGCGGCATTTATCATTACCCCTCTTCAATATTTCAAACTATGACCTGCATGTACACTTCCAATGAATAATCCCGCTTTACACTGTCAATCACCTGAGCGCAACAAGCCCATTACCTGGATACTGATACCTAATCCGACACTCAAACTATAACTATCCCTGCTCACTGCGAACTTGATTCCGGCTTCGAACAAAGCGTATACTTATAGCATACTTTGTTTTCACGGTCGATACGACTGCTTAGTCGCAACCTCCAGTTTCTCCAACTGAACTTGCTCATCGCGACGACGAGATACATCCCGCTGGGACCATGTACCAGCAGCAGCGGCAAGCCCCATCAAAATCTCAAATCCGAGTAAAGCACACAGCATTGCGAAACCAGCACGAGTCTCGTGGCAGTCGCGAGCAAAATGGACAGGAGAGGATGTGGTTCCGCTCGATGAGTCCCATTTGCATGTCCAGCTGTGTAGGGTCTCTCCCTCGCTGAAGCCGCTCGGATAGGATGCGGACGGCCGATAGATGATAAAGACAATGCCAATGAGAGATGTGAGAATCCCGGAGAAGGCCGATGCGGATGCATACGAGTTGAGAAGCTTGATACGAGAATGTGGCTGGGTGGATGTTAACAGTTGTCTTGGAGTTGTCGAGATTATATACTAACGGATGGAAGCAAAGCTATGACCATATATACCAGGTTCAAGGCGGCAATCACACAGCCACAGGCTAGAGCCGCAATTGTCGGTCGCACGTCAAGATTAAGCGGCCAGAGAGCAAGACCGGCACTTGCCCATTGGGTCGTGGTCTTATAGTGATGCAGTGGTTGTGCTTCACAGGCGATGACAGCAATAGCCCCGGCAGTGATCAACGCTGACAGGCCCAATCGAGTCGAATGAATGACCCGGTTGCGCTTGAGGAATTTAGACTCGTCCATAGAGCCAGCCGTGGATGCGTTCGAACTCATCGTGAAAATGGTAGACGGAAGAGGAGTGTGGTAACAATAGAAAGACCTTTGATGATATCACGATAGTATGCAATAAGAATAATAGAGCACGCAACCTTGCCAGCAAGGCTTCTTAATAGGACAACCCTTGGGAGTAAAGATATAAGGTATAGCGAGCGGAACGAGAGACCCTCACTGAGAGAAAAAGGAAAGAAAGACAGGGAAGTCCCGCAAAAGAAGGGAACGGCTCGAGGTGGAAGGGATGTTAAAAACCTCAAGATCCAACCAAGCGCCCCCGGAGGATGCCTCTGAATATGTACTTGCTGTATGACTGTGCCCTTGCCGGTCATAATTTTCTCATCACAATCAATTTCAAAGCGAGTGTCTGACTATCACAAATAGTCCTTTCCCGAAGGCGCTTACCCAACCAAATGGATTAACGGGGTACCCTCCAGAACCGAAAATGCACCCTGGCGCACGGATGATCGAGTTCTTCAGCCAATATTATTCGTTGAATAGAAAAGAGAATTAATGTTTAGGACTGTGAGGGCATCGCCACAAACATGGGGCTTGCAGAATTGTTTTGCTTATGGGTGTTTAGGATGGGGATGGGCGCCAGCGTGCAGGCTTGGCGGGGTGGAAGAGGGGAAGAACTATCATTTGCCCAAAGGCATAAGATAAAAAAGAGCGAGAAAGAGCTATATTTGGAGTCGAGTAGGGATGATCCATCACTGGAGGTCTGAATTATTGTTTCTTATTCGCCCCCCTGCAGCGCCGGGTTCGCAGGGTCTGGGTGGGCGGCCATGGTGATTGGTTCATGCGAAGCGCCGGGGGGCTGCAAGAGGAGGCCACCAGCGGTTATGATAGATTCGGACCCTCAAATCAGATTCTCGAGGTCTAGTTCCTGCAGGGTGTTCGTCTTGGTCCTGCAGAGTCTGGACATGGCCATAATCTACCTCAGGAGCTCGTGGCTTGGATATTGTCATGAGTAGATGGCATCAAAGAGAGGGAACAAGCTGTGCTATTTTGGGAACTCGGGGAAAGCCAGGTTGAGGAGCTTGCCTTTTCTTCAGTTATAATCCAGTTAATTGCGTAGCTCGCATCTAGTGCTCAAATTGCCCCGTGTTTGTATTGCTCGATTAGTCGTATTGTCGAAGATACTCCATCAATAATTCGGGTGCACTGCATGTATCTACAAACTTGATCGAGGGACCTGGTATTTCTTGACCTTCTCAGACCACAAGAGGACTGTGTTTTCGGAATCCTGCCAGCCATTCACGCACGTCACAAGAGCAGAACATTATGCCCGTGTCTGAAAGTGCAAGACGTCACTCTATGGATGTTGGAGATAGCACAATAACGGTATGAATATATATAATTCAATGTTATCGAGATGCCACAAAGTAGGGATCCTTTTTGTATCGAAGAGCTAACATTAACTACGGGTGCGCCGTCTTGAGTGAGATTACTTCAAAGTAAACTGGGCCTCAGACAAGCAGAGGAATTGCTAGGGAAGACGAGAAAAGAGAGAGCAAGCATTCTGGCATTATGGCTGGTCCATATGCCTCGATACATGTATTTTTCCACCAAATCCGTAAGGCTATGTGTGTTTTAGTCAACACTGGTTCCAGAATGCTGATGAACTTCAGGATCATACTCAAGGCCAAATTGTCCATCTCGGCCTTCATAATGCTATTATGCGGCCAATCACCTCGCATACTGCTATCCCAAAGTCCAAGCCTCAGTTCAATTTGTAAGAATAATACTGAATTTGATGAAGAATGGCTCTCAGAGATTACTATCAAAGCACACCCCCGATGACCTGACCGAGTCAAGCATAACACCGGAATGTTTGTACGCCCTCTCCCACAGATACCGTCAACTGCACAACTAGTATGGCGCAACTATAACGGTTGATGGCTAAAAACCTGGCCCTCCCCGTTCCTCAGCTGATTGTTCCTCTCGGGATCATTTACTTATATTGCAATGTCTCTCAAGAACCGGGAACTCCCGGCCATCTCAGAATCCGCATATTTCAGCCTTACATCGGAAGAATTCTGCGGGTCGTCCCTTGGAATGCGCAACTTGCTGCATGTATCCGGCTATGTTTAATTAGATTTCTATGCTGTATCGTGTCTAGATCAATTGGTAATATGTCTAGACGCTGGGCCTTGAGACTTCTACTTGGCAGCTGGAAGGGAGACGGAGAGAAATTACCCGGCCAACATTCCATGCTGAAAGGGTTCTCACGAAGTATTCAGCAAATGACGGTCCATGGTCACTATTGTACTGATAGGCAGCAATCTTGTTCTGCAAAGTCTTTCCCTATCGATGGCCCTTAAAGGAGTTTAGAGCTCCTAGTTTTATTCTTTGCACAATATGCTTGCGACAACACAAACTGGAGGATGCCGATCATGGCTTCTCTCTTGAAGTCAAAACTTCTTCTTTTACATTGTACATATTTGTTTCTGATGTCCATGATCGGCAGTTTCATACTATACACTAGATCGACGCAGATCACTGATCTACCATATGTTGACGCGTTGTTCATGAGCTTTAGTGCCATGACAGGGACTGGACTCACCGTGGTTTGTCTAGCCCTCTGGTCATTGACGACGCACAGTCAATCCATAGTCAATTGCTGACATATCACACAGCTGGATCTCTCTACTTTGAATGGAGTACAGCAAGGAACCTTGTTCATGCTCTTGATCTTGGGTCACTCGACTCTTATTCACTCAGCCACCGCTTTTCTACGCGCCCTCGCCCTTCGTTCTACCCTGAAAGATAACTCAAACAGAAGCGAAAGGTGGCAGGATGTGATTCACAAGCCAGACGTACCTCTGAAAGAAAAGCCGATTGACAAGAGTCATTATGCTGCGACTTCACCTAAATATCCGACTCCATTGAAAACACACATTACAGGGAGGGAAATAGATGCAGACATTCCATCCCCCGAGGACCCTGATGTTTCCCAAGGCACTTGCCGCTTCATCATCGTCACCGACTCATCATATCTTGACTCGAGTCAACAAATCAAGTCCAAAAATAACAGTGGTCACCGACGAAGCGTTGGTGGTTTGAGAATATGCTCTTCTCGGGTTATCGATAGATTGAAGAGCACGTGGCTGCGAATCAAGGACCTGGCGCACTGGAACGGATCAATTGACCCCAATGAGCCGGGCAGGATAGAGTACCAAGCACTTATAACAATATCAGTGCTCACGATACTCTACACCACCGTGTTCCTTTTTGCCGGCATTTTGAGTATCGGACTTTGGATGTCACTATCACGTCCCGATATTCCACAGATGGAAGGAATTTCTCCTCTTTGGGCAGGCGCTTTTCTTGCCACATCTTCATTTGTAAACAATGGGATGTCACTTATCGATACCAATATGGCACCGTTCCAACTGGAGTATGTTTTTTTTCTTTTCACTTGGACTTTGCTCTACAACATGACCTAATTATCTCACCACTGACAGACCTGCTCCACTTCTGATCTGTGGATTTCTCATCCTTGCCGGAAACACGCTGTTTCCTTGTCTTTTACGACTTTTGATATGGACCATCAGGAGCATACTACCAGATAAAACGAGGTGGAGGTCGTGGCAACGAACTTTCGACTTGATTCTTACCCAACCTCAACGCGTAATTTCAACCACCCGCTTGTCTATAGAACTCCTAAGCTGACAAAAAATATAGGTGTGCACTTTTATATACCCTTCTTTGCATACGTGGTTTTTGCTCGGTACAGTTTTGGTGCTGAATGGTATCATGTGGGGAGCTTTTGAGCTTGCGTCTGTTCGCGATGGCGAAATCGCAGCCCTACCTTTCAGGTTCAGAGTCTTGGACGGACTTTTTCAGTCTTCCGGTATGTATATAGCAGTCCTGATAATGATAATCAAGCTAAATGGAGGTACTATACAGCTGTGCGGGGTGGTGGATTCTCTGTTGTGACATTTGAAAAGCTGCCACAGGGGTTGCTCGCTGTCTATCGTACGTACGACCCAGATACCATACGTTCTTACGGGATATTTTGCTGACAAGACCTCTTTGAAGTCCTCATGATGGTAAGAATAAACACCTGCTGGTATAGCACGATGAGTGTCTAATTCTTTCCTAGTATCTCCCATTATTTCCAGCGTCTGCTGCCCTTAGGTATGGATGCTCCCTCCAGGCTACGGCTTGAAAAAGGTTTCCTAATATCTATCAGAAGCACGAATTCCCAGCCAACTGGGCCAACAAAGATCCCATGCATCGAAGCCGGTATATCAGACTACTGCTCCCCAGATAGCGGTTCAAAAATCTCTATACTTGCCCGCAGTCAGTCCTATATTCAGTACTTTCGCGTCCAGTTGAGCTACGATGTATGGTGGTTAAGTCTTGCCGTGATCCTCATCTGTGTTGCCGAGGCCAATCACTACGATTCGCAACCCTTGGCCTTTTCTACGTTTAACATTATTTTCGAGGTTGTATCCGCATACAGCTACGTCGGTGTTAGTGTGGGATACCCTGGCAAAAACTACTCTTTTTGCGGGGAATGGTCCCCATTCAGCAAAGTTTTGCTAATTCTCATCTCTTTCAATGGTCGACATCGCGATTTATTCGCTTCGGCTGGCAATTCCATCTGGCCGCGTGGGCATGGGGAAGCAGCCGACGACGACGACACGAAGCTTCAAGAGAAAAATGCTGAACAAGTCTCCTCTGCGACTATCCGGCTCTATTGATGCGGCTAGCTATCTCTATCTTACAGTCAGATATCCATCTCGCTTAGCTCAGATCATTGGCCCTGAAGTAGTCTCCTAGTCCTTCCCATTCCGGTCGACCTGTTTGCCTACTGCGTAGAACTTCGGCGACTTGCTTTTTCGCAGTGTCCATAGCAGCGTGGGCAGCTCTGATGCTGAACAAAGAGGCCATCAACTTTGTTGATCGGTATGCCCGGTTGTTGACACATGCTCAATGTTCGGCGCCTTTGCGGATGTGAGACTGTAGGCTCCAATTGCACAAAGTGCGGAGCCTATTGTAGGTTGGTGTCGGCAGGCATGCCGGTCGCGGTCACCGAGCTGTCTCCTTGAAATATTCACCGTTTCATCAGACTCTAAGCAGGCTGGTCGGTAATGAGGACTCGAACGGTGCTTTCAGTTGTGGTGGAGTCCCTTGCAACCTCAATAGCATTCCGAATAGCTCTGGAATGGTATTCACAAGACTCCTCCTTTGTCAAGCCCCGAGCCAAGACAGAGCCTATCCATTCTTCCTCTTCTATCGTCGGACAGAAACTCAGGCTCATAGTTTTCAATCTAGGGAGCCTTGTGAAAATGGAGAATAAAGCAGTCTTATCGAGGTGGTCTGTCATAATTTGTTGTTGCTCTTCACAGATGTCGCGTAACACATCATGTACTAGCAAGTATGGTGGGCAATCGTCTGGTAGGAATCCACGGCCCTCGTATATCCAGTCCGAGTAGTCATCGGGCGTTAAGAGTTCGGAACTGAAACACTCCGAATCGAGAATCTCTGTAAGATTGTTTAGCTCTATCGTGTATGCAACAGACCTGGAATCGTCAATCTTACCAGGCTTCAAGATCTCCGGGGCAACGTATGTCAATGACACCACATGATGTCTTATATCGGAACCGGAAAGGCGTTTCAATCCATTCAAGCTGGACCGGGAGAATTCAAATCTGACAGCCCTGAAGAGCACGGGGATTGACGCGTTCCTGAGTCGCTTGCTGACGCAAGATAGCTCTTCAATATCCCCAGGCTGGAGAAATCTCACAATCCGCGAGAGAATATCGGAATGGAGGAGGTCAAGACGAATTCTCGCACCGTTCATGGTCACCGACACACGGCAGGTAATTGACGTCCCAAGGTCAATGGCGACGCAAAAGGAGGTGCCGGATGCGCCTTTGTAGTCGACATCAGACCATGAAATTTCAAGACCCTAGCAGCATCCGCAACTGCGTTCACATCACTGGTCTGCCACCAATTCGACATGATTGGTAGAAGCTCAGAGACAATGCACCAAGAAAAGATCGAGTGGGGGTCTGGGGCAAGTTCCGACAATTTAAAAACCGCACGGACTGCCCTCCGTTCATCGACGGTGTCTCAATAGTTCCTTCGGCAGCCCCGCTCTTCGTGCTAAAAACCAACCAAACAAAAAAAGTCCACCGCACATGTTTCCTAACTTGGTCGCCCAGCGACAAACTATTGAGACGGGGATTTCGGCGTTTTCGGCTGATTCTGGCATCTCACACTCGTCTAATCCACTAGTTAAGCTCTCACTATAAAGTCAATAGACCGGAAAGCATCGCCATGGTCGGTGCAGATTCCCGTCCGATAACAAAATCGATATCCGTGGGTATAAATAGGATATTCGGCATACACGTGGCGCTAAGAGGTCAGGGCATTCTCCACCCACATCGTTCTTTCTCGCTTGTGGAAGTTTAACAGAGGGCCCCCTGCCTGATCTAGCAAGAGAACCAGGATGGAATGTTCCTTTTTCGGAGAACGCGCATTAAGCTGTTCAATAGTCTGTTATTCCATGTGGAGCCCTTGATGAAATCTCCGGTTTCCAGTAATCGTCGTTAGCATCACTGGGGATAACGAGGTGAGCAACTGAACCAATGCTGATTTGCCATTATCGATGTTGCACCCCGTTGCTTCCCACCAAAGCCACCATCAAAGCCACCATCCTCGTGGGTCTCCACCCCCTGGACAACCTTTGTGTACGGTTCATAGTCTAAAGAGACCGGAGTGCCGTCATCTTGGATGCTTGCGCCCAGTCATGACGACCTTGTAAATGTCTATCAGTCCCCATTATCCGAGCGGGACTCCTTAGCTCGGACTTCTACCACGTTCCGGCCGGATGAGATCATTTCCAAAATGTCGTCAAATCCCGGTGTTACGAAAGAAGCAATCTATAGCTTTCGACCCATCTCTCAGGATCCGGAACTTCCGATCGCTACCATAGAAAGAGACTCCTAATGTCTATCCATGGCCTCAATCTCGGATTAGAGTACATATTAGCCAATCTTTCCGTTCCATTCTTGTGAAATAAATAAGCAGGGAAGGGGCAAGGATTCTCATAGGATAGAAAACTCTATGCATGTTCCTGCATGGATTTTGTTTCTCCCACTCAATCGCTTATGGCACTACTACCTTCCTTCCTTCGTTCTGACATTATCTTCTCCGCCCCATCCGTAGGGTAGCCCCGAGACTAGCGAAACTAAATCGGAAAATTGCTCTAATTTGTCTGAAAGAAGAAGAACTAATTCCAAATTTATACGCAGTACGCCTTGCTTATTAGTCCTGACCAGGTTTGACGGGTTTCGTGCACACTAGATAATCAGCTCTTTACAATGGACCGCCCTCACACTTAAGACGAATAATCTAAAGCAGATTTGCAGGAAATTGATTGCTCAAATATCCCATTTTCTTGGGTATCCATTTATACTATAATTCATTAATACTTTGTATGGAAAGTACATAACGTCCTCGGCCGTGCTTGACGTACGCGGAGCGCGGAGTAAGATATTTGAAGCTGATACAATTGCACGGTGAAAGGGGTAATAGTACTCGTCTTTCCCCCATACGTCAATTGGTGCTACCTATATTTCTCCAAATTACGGTAAAAACTATGCACGCCAACACCTAGTAGCCACCTACTGTCTACGGCAATATGCACAACTGGCGGGGAATCAAATTCCATGTCCTATGCCACAGAGCATAGCCACAAGGCATGGCCACAAATATCCACTGTATTGTTTGAAAACTCCCACGGCTTGTACCGAATTGACTGCGCGGGGAAAGCCGGCCGGGGATTTCCACCGCCCGGCAGAAAAGAAAATATGGCGGGGCATGGTCAATTCCTTTTGAAATGCCACCACGCAGCTTCAGCTGGATTAACATCTTCTCATATACACAATGCCATTGTCCCAGCTTCAGGGAGTTAAGCTCCCGGCCTCGGCCGACTTCCACGGTATGTGTCGTGGGCATTGAGGGAGAAGTCGCCCGTGTGTTTCAAAGCTCTTGAAGTGGCGGCACAACTGACCCCCAGTATAGTCCACCTTCGTGATGGCCCGATGATGGAGCTAGTTACTCCTACCATCCGACAGGGTGGTGTGAACACGGTCTTTGTCATGGTAAGAAAAAAAATCTACGAAGAAAGAAAAAAGCGAGAGAATTGTGAATTGGCGCAGCTGTATAACACTTTTGCCCGATATAGCCCAACCTGGTCCCTCCCATCACGACCGTCGACCATGCCCTCGACTACAAGAAGCGCCTGCAGGCCATTGAGCCCAAGGTCAATTACCTCATGTCCCTCTACCTGCACGAATCGATCACGCCCGAGACCATCATTGAGGCCAAGCAGCGCGGCATCACCGGTGTCAAGAGCTACCCGGCCGGTGTGACAACCAACTCCAGCTCCGGCGTTGTCGACTACACTTCCTTCTATCCGGTCTTCGCTGAGATGGAGCGCCAGGACATGGTTCTGAACCTCCACGGTGAGGCTCCCTCCAAGGGTGACGTGACGGTCTTGTCGGCGGAGGAGCGGTTCCTGCCCAAACTGGCTGAGCTGCACGCCAAGTTCCCCAAGCTCCGCATCATCCTGGAGCACTGCACCACCGCGGCGGCCGTCGAGGCTGTTAAGAAGTGCGGCCCTACCGTTGCCGGTACCATCACCGCTCACCATCTGTCTATCATCATTGACTCGTGGGCCGGTGACCCATTCTGCTTCTGCAAGCCCGTGGCCAAGACTCCCGCCGATCGCGACGCTCTCCTCCGCGCGGCCGCCTCTGGCAACCCCAAGTTCTTCTTCGGCTCCGACAGCGCCCCTCACCCGTCCGCCTCCAAGCGTGGTGGCGAGAAGATTGCCGCCGGTGTCTTCACCCAGCCCTATACGACACAGGTCGTTCTCGATTCGTTCGAGCAGGCCATTGAGAACGGTGTGCTCAAGGATGAGGATATCACCCCGGAAATTGTGGAGGGATTCATGAGCAAGTTCGGTCGGGCCTTCTATAAGATCGGCGAGGAGCAGAAGGAGTTCATCACCATTGAGAAGAAGGGTGAGAAGATCGCGGAGATTCTGAAGTCTGATCAGACCGACGTGGTTCCCTTCCGCAAGACCCAAGACACATGGACCGTGACTTGGTCGTAGAGAATCGAGCTCGAACTAAATCCACGAAATAGAATAAAAAGTTCCAGTCCATAAAGGACCATTTCACTTTAAAGCACCGTATCATCTTAGGATGATTTGTCTTCTTGCGCAAGCATGTTGGCCACGTTCTCCAAAGCATGAGCCTCGGAGATATCAATTCGGCGTCCCGCAACAACCGGGTTGCCATCATCGCCCATAGCCAGTTGCCCGGCTCGCTCCAGGTGCAGTCTGATCCGGCTCTCGATGTACTCCTTCCGCTCATCCCGCTTCGACTTGGTCTCCGTCTCGACAGCGGAGGCCGGCAAGCTGGCCAGCTTGGGCCGCAACCGCTCCAATGTAGCTTGCAATGCCGGAAGCTGCGAGAGAATAAAAGTTGTATTCGTCGTAAGCGGGGCGTGTTTGGAATGTGTACCGGCATCTACCCCGACGCGAAGTTGGCGTGCAGCCGGACTGGATGTCAAGAAGGACAGGTCCAGAGCTTTCTTGGGAGTTGTCTTCGATTCGTCGGCTGTGCCATCGGACTTGGCAGATTCCACGGTGGATAGAATAGACTTCAGTTGGGAAATGACGGCTTCATTCCGAGCGCACTCGTCCTTCAATGACCGGTTTAGCTTCCGGGTCTCGAGGAGCTTCTTACGCTGCGCGTGGATGGTCTCGGGCGTGGGCGTATCTGATGAGGACTCGAATGAAAGACCCTACGAACGGGACGAATTAGAATAGACGTTCGCACGAAGACTTTAAAATCGCAATCCTTCCCACCTACCTCATAATGTTTAAGCCTCACCCAGAAGAGTAGATCCTCCGGTACGGTGAGAATGTTCCTGAGCACGTAAATCTCAAACTTGTCGAACGCCTTGTCGACATTAGCTTCGAGTAACGTCTCCAACTGATGCAGCCCATTCTCGATTTCCAGTTTTGCCTCTGGGTAAACGACATTGCCGTCCTCGTCCGTATCGGGAATCGTCGAGCCGTTACTCGCATGACCGAACCCCAAGCGCTCGGGCGGTGTCGCAAGCAACCCAGACTCCAGACTTGAAATGGCCTGGTAGATCAGGTTGTTGATTGAATTGATAATGTCATCGATAAGTGACTGGAACCGCAAAAACAGGTCAGCAAGCTGGTTTCTCAAAGGGGTGGGTCTCCGAATGTCGCGCAGATGCGCAAGCCCTGGATGCAGCGAAAGGGGGTGCGTGGCCCCGAAACGCTATCTGGTCGGAGGCAAACTTACCAAGGGGGTATAGCTGAAGTGCTCTGTGAGCAGGGAAGTCGTCGCATCATTCATTGCAACAATGGAGGGCTCTTGTCAGTGCAAAGCTCGAACTTGACAGGCGCGCTGGAAAAGAAAAGACGCGCCGGGCGGGGGAACAACAGACCGCCCTGGGTCAACCCTCAACAGTCAGTCCGTCGGCTGGCGGGATCCGACAACATTCCTGGGTCCGGACGAGGCAAAGACCGGTTTCCTCTTTGCAAGACTGACCATACACTAGAGATACATATCGAGTCGAATTTGAAATCATTCGCTTACTCGTTCGTTTGGATATCCCAGTTCTACGTCAACAAATAGACATGAGTGCCATATGGTCGCACAGGATTCGGAGACGGACTATCACACCCGCAAGACACGCCTTGCCCTGAGGAATAAGACGATATGCTAATGTACATGCCCAACAGTTTTGAAAATTGGAAGTTTTGAACTGCACGGTACCTTTTCGAAACCTGTAGTTACTGAGTCTTACCGCCAAGCTGCCCATCCTCCAGGTCCTATGTAAACAGAGCGGACCCGGATGCTCATGCGTATCATTTACTCCTCCACTGTATTCCAGACATCCGGATGGAAGTATTTCTTCTGATTATACTGACGGAAGGAAATACTTGACGTGGATAGATCACCATGATCGATTCGGGCCCCCTTCGAGTGCTTGTGATAATCTCACAACGAAGCTCCCTATACCCCAAGAGTAATACTACTCCAGAGGAAATCGTACCGCTAGCGATGCGCCTCCTCAAGAAGAGAAAGATGTGGAAAGCAACGGACTATCCCGCCGCAACGAAACTTCTGGCAGTACAAAAATGGCGAAGTCGCGCATTCCTCGTCTTCGACATCGCCAATGAAACATACGATGCCAAACTCGGCCATCTCCCGGAACACAACCAGCTACCCGTGGTCGTGGCCCACTTTAGCAAGAAGAAGGCAGCGTATCCAGCCAACTCATGGGTCTCTCAGCAAGTCAATCATGATGTCGCAATGCTGCATAATGCGAACGGCTTCGACGCTGTACCGCCGTTCATGGAAGATCACACTCTGGGGACGCCGCCGGCGTATCACAGTCCCCGAGATATCTCGATGTTGCGAGTCACGTATATCTAGAAGATCATGTGGTGGTTTTCAGGCGATGTTGTATTGCATCTTTCATGCAATGTATTTGGTATCTCGAAGGAAACAGAATGTCGATAAAATCATTAGCCCCAAACGCCATGCTTGCTTCCATCCATGTATCCCACATCCAGTAACGGATATTGGCATCAGTCGGCTAAAAGTCCATCGTAAGCTGCGGCGCCATTTTCTCAAGATCTTCCACCTAGGGTACTAGATTAGCATTATCTCCGGCCCATGATGCCGTTTCGCGGAAGAACAACAAACCTCCAAGAACCCATCCCCAGCTCTCCTCCCGCCACCCGCACCCTCCATCTCCGCCCTCTCATATGCCGCACGCGCAATAGCCTCCCTCACAAAGACATCCACGTACTTTGCAACCACCGTATTCGCATCCTTGGCCACCTTGGTCTTTTCATTTTGGAAGTGGTGATGCAGCAGGCGCGTCAGTAGCTTCGCGGGGATCCTGGGTTCACTCGAGGACACATCTTCCGTTTCATGATGTGTGATGATCTCTGCGAGGATATAGTCCGGTTCTTGTGAGAGGGAGCGCTCGCGGCTGTGGACTGATGCGTCGGAGCCAGCGTCCGATCCGGCTAGGGATTCTGAAGCAGGTGGGGACTCGACACGCTGGCGTTTGGTTGTGGATGAGGATTTGCGGTTGCTAGATTTGGAGGCTGAGGCTGATGCTGAGGCTGATGAAGATGATTTGTTGGTGACTGCCTTTGTGGTGGTTTGTTTGGCTTTGCCTTTCGGTTTGGGTGCCCCGGCGGAAGATGGGCCAACACTGCTGGATGCCCGACTTGGTGGCTTGAAGGGAAGCTGGCGCTTCTTCTGTGCGGGTCCTTCAGCCATCCTGTAATTTGGCTGTTTCCTGAATGGGCCTGATGGTCACGTCAAATCTGGTTTGAGGGGTCGGGGTTGACAAGACGGTGATGGCCTGGGCGGTGCTTGGAACGTCGACGCGCTGGTCGCGCTCTCTTGAGACGCGGTATCAGGTGATCGCAGAGGGTCTACAATCTAGCAAGATTGGATATTCCACGACACAGCATCGACACAATAAGCTAGTAGCTTTCAAATTGGCTAACTGGCATTCATTATCTCCATGCATGTAGCATAGATGGTTGTGAAATTGACGGCTACGTACAACATGTTGGTATTATGTATCACAGTCCAAGCCATGACGAAACCCCACTCCTCCATCGTTAAGCACCCACAACTCCTTAACACTCTCCGATTCAAGGCTACGCTGTCTCTTCGTCATCCCCTGGTGGATAAATCACGGTAACATGTAATCCCGTGTGATCCAAAGCCCTCCTGGTATCCGGCCAGGGAACGCCAAACAGGCCCGAATTAAATTGACATGAAAACAAAGCCGTGGGCGAAGGCTCCGTGCCATCCAGGCGGAGGTCAGTCAGTTTCTCCCGAAGATCTCGCAGCGCAGCATAGGTGTGATTGATGATCTGTTCAGGCCGGTCAACACGACGACCATAGCCTGCTGAGGTGAACAGACAAATGATCCAGTGCTTCTTCTGGCTCCGGCGAGAATCTGCTGGCTGCGGCGGGATGATCAAGGCTGTGCCCAGAGGCAGGATGGAGACAGAGTTCACGTGAGTGTACATGTCGCTGATCTCGTGGGTTTTCCCAGCACGTAGGAACTGCAGGCAGTGGCTTCGGTAGACTTGATATGCCGCAGGATACTAGTGTATGGAATGAGCTCTGTTAGATCTTTTGATTCTCTGCACTTCGTTTCACAAACAAGTATTGCTCACATACCCGTTCCTTGAAGGCTCGCGCGATACCCCCTCCCCAGCTACCCTGCGTATTGCAGGCATCTAGTGCATTTAGTATCCAGAGTATCTACGCGATAGAAGAGAGACGGAAGATGTGGTACTTACGGATCAATGCGGACCCCTCGGGAGCATCGAACAGATTGCCCGGTAGCTCTGTGATCCTCGTCGGCGTTGGGGGAAGTGGGTTAGGCCCCGCTACTTGGACTGAAACGGGACGAAACGTTGGAGCTTGCATATTGATGTGAACGATATGCGGGATGCGTTGTGATGATGTAGAGAGAACGTCGAGACGGTGTTTTGGGATGATGTTTTGTCATCCCCGGTGGTGAAAAAGTCACGTTTTGGATAGTTCCCCAAAAATCCATCAAGATCGATCACGAAATATAAACAAATAAAGCGGTCATCCCGTGGACAGGCAGAGTCTCATACCGTGGGCTGTGTACACGGCTGTGGGCTATGAAGTCAGGGAAACTTCCTAGTTAGTAAACCGATCTCTCCGGATACGAGGCTTTGGCCCCACTGGACATGAAAAGATACTGGTAGGTGCTAGTGCCTTTAGAAAGCATCGAATTTTTTTCCATTTAATGTTGCAGAATTACTATAGCTTTGAGATCTAAATATGCAAGATTGGTGAACCTATAGCGAGTCATTAAGTAATAACGGAGTGTTGGCTTGGGAAAGGTGGAGTCACCGAGTAAGAAGCCATCTATAAGCATTGGCGCTAGCCATATAGAGTCGGCAGCACACCAGGTAATAATAGAACTCTTAACTTCCAAAGTCATCACTAATCCTTCCAATTATCAGCAAATTCAAAGAAGGTGTTGGGTACGACTGCCCCAACAACTGGTTCTAATGAAGTATTGAAACTTCAAGGCTTCTGCGGAATCCCAATGACGAGCATAGTTCCAGGGCTACAGCATCCAAGCATTTTTTAGTAATGGTTTTTGAAAAGACCAAGATTCATTAAGGATATTCATGTCATGATTCATTGCTTGAATGTATAATAAAGTGCGTCGACACTGGTAACAAGCCATAAAAAAACAACAAGGAGGCAGACTCCACTTCTCTTCAGTGTTCATACACCTAGTCTTTCACGGTCTCCTTCATCTCACCGTCCTTCTTAGGCCGAAGGTGGCGATGGATAATGGGTCGCAGTGATTCTCTCTTCTTCAAGCTTCGTCCACATCGTTGGTCTTCCTCGACCGGTGTAACCTCCGCGATTGGAGAATGAACGAGGTTGGTTGGAGTGGAGGATGAGGGAGAAACTAGAGTCGAGGGTAAGGAGACGGAAGCGGTACTATCACTACTGGACTTGAGACGTCGGCTCATACCGCGAGAGATTGACTTGATCAGCCCCGGGCTATCTGCTTCGGTGCGTTCCAATCGGGAAATTACACCGTGGGCAGTCGATCCGTTTGTTGCCAAATTGTCTTCGGGGACGGGCAGGAAAAGAAGGATACCCTGATCCGGGGCTATTCCAAGGAGCTCTTGAAGGGCCTTCTGTATGAGATCCGCGTTGCGAATGTTGGTGACCGGTGCAATGGCCGATGGAAGCGCGAAGATCTTCAACAGGTAGGAGGGAAGTGAAGTGTTGCCAAAGATGATCGACACATTGTGCTGTACCACAACCTGCAAAGCGGACTCTGGGCGCTGATAGATGTGGGCCAGGCGGCATACAAGATCGGAGATCAGTCTCAAGTCTGCCTCTTTCGCCTATGGAATGTACGTTAGACAGGAAACGAGTGAAGCCCGGGGTGGGAACAACGCACCTTGTGGTTGGTGGCCAGCTCCGCGATCACGACAGAGTCCAGAGCAACACGGTCCTTGGGTGAGCTGTGAGATCCTCTGATAGCAAATGCATCTTCGTAATACATCGTCTTCTTCTTGGTGGAAGTTGGAGACTCGTTCTCGACGCTCTTGGAGATCACAAAGGCTGGCTCGCTGTCCGGAAAGTACTGTTGAGCTGGCACGGCATTTTCATCATCCTTGCAGTCCTCTGGGAATAAGAACGGGGCGATGGCCTGTCGTTCGGACTTGGGGCGCTGATGCAGGTTGATTTTAGCTGGGATCTTGGGTGCCAAAGTCGGCAGCGAAGTCGTGGAATGGCGGTCCGAGGAGATGTTCGTGGCCAAACGGGGAAGTGAGGCCTTTCTCTGCTGGGAAAGATCCATTTTGCAGCGACTTGAGAAGCAGAAAAGGGTAGTCAAGATTCAACAAACCAGATGAGGGTGTTGCAAGAGGAGAGACTCGCTCACAGGGCAGTTGGGCCATTTTCTCAATGCCAAACAATACACTATGCGTGACAGGAAGCTGCGACTCTATACGGGCAGTGAAACACCGTAGTAAGAGCAAGTACGAACGAGAAGAGACAAGCAATGTGTGAGCATTGGGGGTATCATGGAAGGAGCGACTCGAGCTCAGTACAAATCGTTGCAAACAACAAACCAACCAGCCACCGTCCCCCATTTATGCCCTCTGCACCATCGTCAAAGAGCCAAGCCATTCTCACTGCAGAAACGCCAGTTCGCTAAATGCTGAGTTGCCGCTGGAAAAGATCTTGTCGATGCGACGCCGACGGTCCCAAACAATCTCTCCATTCACATGTCGAATATACAAAACCCGGTGCTGTGGAATAAACTCTTCATCGGACGTTTCCTTCTTCCAGGCATTCATGCTGACTTCCAATTGACCCTCGAATCGATCCACGAATCCAATAATGTAGTCGTCACGACTAAATTCGGAGTCCCAGTTGATACGGTTGATGATATCTGTTTTATCAATGGTCAGGGATTTATTTCTTGGGAATGCATTCATCAATACTAAAGAAAACGGTTACCTCCGGCTGGTCTGAGTCTATTCTCACCAGATTGAAAAGGCGAAGAGATTCTGGGTGGACTTCTGGATGCACTCCGACGAGGCGGGCTGGGCGATCTCGATGCTGCCTTCTCCCCAGTGCGCTCCAGTTCAGCGGGAGAGCTGTTTTCGTGCGAAGTTCCGGTTGTGGACGCCATGACTGCTGTTCTTTACGCGATAAGAAACAATTGATTGATCTAGAACGAAAGAACACTTTCATTCTTCTGGGCAGTGACCTCTTATATATTTCGACTGAGATAGATGCACCCCAGATTCTCATAAATACCCTTCATCCCCTGAAAGACTATGGTGGCTGGCCCCTCAGTGCCAGACTACAGAGTCTCAGAACATCGTGACAATGAACCCAATAGTGCCATAGAATACGATCCATGACTCTCAATGACTCCGACTTGGATGTGAGTCAACGTGGCGGAGCCGCGGCCTGACTCACTGGTGCAAATAGGCCCCCACCACCTTGGAACTTGCGACGGTCGGAATGTTGCATTGTGTTGCAACCAAACCTTTACACCTACTTGATTTCAGAGCTCAAAAGAATTATTGAAACCATGAAGAAGATAAGGGAGATGTCAAGATTTGAATTGAAAGTAGAACTCAGATCTCATGGTGCTATCGCCGTCCACCAGCAACCCAGGCGGAAAGACATCTCTCTAATTTAGCAAGCCAGGTTTCTGTACAAATCTTGATAGATGTGAATGTATTTCTAAGATGACGATATGAAGATCAACAGCGCTATGCAAAAACAATGATCTATTCGAATAAGGAGGCTTGGGTATATCCTTTCATGGAGAGCGTACAAGATGAAGTATGATAATCGAGGACTATCTCTTCCTATCCACTCACCAGATTATCGGGGGTGGTTGCCGTACCAGTGGTAACATCACTATTGGTGGCATCACCATTCGTGGCATTACCATTTTGAGCAGGGCTGGCACTTTCGGCAGTCGTTTTCTCAGTCTCTGTGGACTGCGTCTTCTGCCCATTCTCTTTCGGAACGGTATTCTTCCCCTTCGCAGTAAGAGCTCCATTCTCCAAAGCCTCTTCCGGCAGAGGGCGAACATGCGGCTGGCAAACCCAGAAAGGTCGGCCGTACTCGGCAATCGTAGCCTTCGAGCCAGTCAAAGTTTCATCGGCCCGTCTCTCGAACTTTTCGGGCGATGCCTCATACTCCTGGAGTCCCGCTTTGACAGCCTTTTCCACAAGGGTCAGAACGTTCTCAAAAGCAGCCATATCTCCGGGTCGCGAGCGAGCGAGCGCATCGCGAACGTTTGTGTGACTAGCGACCATTGGTCGCAGGATCTGGAACAGGTGGCCCTGCATGACGCCCAGACTGGGGGAATTGATTCGCTTGAGTCTCTCGCGCTTTTGCTTCTTCTTGGGCGGACCGTCTTCCGCTTCCTCTTCTTCTTCCTCCTTTGCCCTTTGTGCCTCGTCGACGGGATCGGATGGGAGGTAGAGTGGCTTCCGTTCCGGAACGGGTTGCTCGAGGACGTATTCGTAAATAATGTCGAGATATCTTCGCAGGATCGCATCGATTCGGTAACCACCCTTGCCGTCTCGCCCACGCCAGTATTCGCGTCCTTCACTGCCAGGTGGAGGAGCCTTACTGAAAATCGTAGGATCGGACAGGTTGCCCTCTGCGCTCATTACACCGTCGGCGCCAGTTGCCTCCAAGCAGCGCTCAATATCGTCGTGGTTCAAAATATTGCCATTGGCGAAAATAACAGTCTCCGGAGGCAAGTTGTCCCGCAAATACCGGATGTAGCTCCAGTCTGCCACTCCAGTCTCGTGTCCCTTCTGTTCTCGCCTCCGCCCATGAACGGTGATAATATTAGCACCAGCAGACAAGATCATCTTGGCATATTCCAAAGTCTTCTCTTTGGTCTCCTGGATGCGAAACTTAGCCGTAATCGGGATTGAAAGCTCCGTGTGCAGTCGATTAATGAGTTTGTAGATCAAGTCCCAGTCTTCCTGGAGGAAAGCACCGTAATGTCCTTTTCGTGCGATTCCCTGAGGACAGCCCAAATTCAGATCAACAGCATCGCAGTATGGAGCCACGTGCCGTGCCGCTTCTAGGAATTCATTCGGGTCGTTTGCGCAGAACTGAACGAAGAGGGGACGGTCGAATTTGGGGTTTCCGTCGAGGAACAACTCGTCCTTTCGCTTCATGTCGCCGTTCGCCTCGCGAGTGGGCTGAAAGTGTTGCGTGCGTAGCTTGGCTTGTTCGCCAAAAAGGCGTGCATGGAACATGGGTGAGTATGCGAGGAGAGGTTTCGGCTCGTCTGCGGGCATGAAAGATCGAGTGAGCATGCGCCATGCCTAGCCAAGTCATACAGCGTTAGCCTCGAGCACAGGTTATTTGAGAGTGAAAGTGACTCACAAATTCAGACCGATCAACCATGGGAGCTACGATGTACTTTGGGCTCCCAATGCTCTCGTAGAACTCGCGTCCTTGGAGCTTCTTGTGGGGTGTAGCCGCGGAGGCCAGCGCGGCGCCGTTCTGCGGGGCGCTGTCGGTCGCCATTTTAAATATAGTCTTGGGCGTAAATTGCAGAGAGCGCCCAAGCCACTGGGATAATAGCTTCACGGAACCTATTTTGACTGCTTGTAGATTCGAAATGGCAACGGGCAATTACCGCGGAGTCTTTACTTTTTTTCCTGCGCCAGCGCTCTTATCATGGAACGGAATAAATATACTCCGTCTTATCTTATCGGCACGTTCATCCTCTGTAAGTTGACGATTGGAATTGTTACTATATGCACTTCGATTGGCGGGCAGCGTAAACAGTTATGCCAAATAAAGGATTCCCTAGAATGGAATCACCTTCGAACTGTATCTCTTTTTTTTGAACATATTGGTATCCCCTCAAGCGGGTCTTGCCCTATCGAACACTAATATCATCAGCCTTGCAAGGGCATTGAGTTGACCACACTTTTTGTAGCGCATATTGAAGAGCCTGAATAAGAGAAAATTTAGATCTGAGAACGAACGGTACTCGGAGGACATGAGCTGTGATTCGCATGAATAGATCAGGAGCCGGCGAAATGGAAAACAGGTGCCTGAAACCTCAGGCCGCACTAACAATACGCGCCGTGTCGCCTGTGATCGCGTCCCATGGAGGCTGCTTGCCTCGTTGAAATGAAACACACCACATCAAATTCCCTATTGTGTGATAGAATCTGCGTGCTGCTTGGCCTGTGAAAGAATTGGAAAGTGGTTCAATACGGTTATACCCACGCATACAGCTGCTCCAATATTTCAGCCTCATTGATGGCCGCGTCGGCAATGGATGCGTCTACGGGGGCAGGAGGTAAATCTTGTCGATTCCATTGGATTGATCAGATGCTAACACTTTTCCAGCCACATTGACATTAAATCTCTCTGACGACGGGCTCTATGCTGCCCATGTCAACGGAAAAGACCTGATTCTCTATGCCGACCCAGCTTCCGAAAACAACGAAGCCCAGGTCGTCAGGATCAAAGAGAACGGCGTCAAATATCTGAAATTTTGTCCTATATCGACATCATCCGGAAGATTCAACCAAAATTCAGAACGACGACTTCTCAGTGCTAATGACTCTCGCATTTCAGTATGGCAGCTGGAGCCATTGCAAATCTTCGCGGAAATTGAGAATCTCGAGCCCGGAGCATTGAGCATCGACTTTGGCAAAGATGGAAACGAAATACTCGTCTTCCATGCCTGGAACACAAAACTCACAATCCACTCACTCGATACTGGTCGAAGCTCAGTGATCAAGACGCCAAAGGGTGCCAACCCCCTTGGATTCGGATATCGTCCAAATACTAGGCACCTTGCTTTCTTATTAAAGCCCGACGCATCTGATTTGTTGACCATCCATGAGCCCCAGACCCATGAGCTAGTAGGTCGGGCTGTTCTGCCGACTATCGATGCACAAGGTCTGAAATGGAGTCCCGATGGGAAGTGGCTTGCCGTCTGGGATGTTGCAAGTGGTGGCACTAAAGTGCTGGTTTACACTGCGGATGGACAGCTATTCAGGACCTACACTGGACCCGCGGGAGTAGACGATGCATTCGATTTGGGCGTGAAGCAAATTGAATGGAGTTCTGTAGCTGGTTCAAACGGGACTTCGGAGGTTCTTGCAGTGGGAAAAGTCAATGGCAATATTGATCTGCTACGAACCCGCACGGTACGCTAGATGCTCCTGTTCAGCCAGACACCTTCTGACCAATATTCACAGTTCTCATCTTCAATTACTTTATCACACCTTTTCCAAGCTGATCAACACGCACCGAGTATCTGGCGCGAGCGTTTCACCAGCGCCGTCGGTGATGCGGACTACGTTGAAACTTCAAGCTCGTCCGCCTCAAACATGAGTCCCGAATCATCAGGGCCATCACGGGGCGTTGCAATCATGACATTCAGCTCTGATGGAACCCTTTTGGCAACCGTGGACTCCATGCGATCCAACGTCGTCTGGATATGGGCTCTAGATGGCTCTCCCAGGCTGGCTTCCGCCTTGGTACACGAGCAACCCGTTCGGCAGCTTGCTTGGCACTCTTCAACACCACAACTGCTGATCAACACGATTACCAATAATCTACCTACTATACGATGGTGGTCACCGAATGCTCACCCTGTGATCGCTCGGGTTCCTACCCACAAGAGCGAGAGCGGCAAGTATGAAGTGAAATGGCTGGCGGAATCAGAGCCCGACTCGGCCTTTTGGTTTGCATCTACGGAGGAATATGTGGTAGGATATTTGTCTGCAGAAGAAGACTCGGTAAATTTTGAGGTCCTGAACTCGGTGACAAGTCAAGGATATGGTGGAGATGCTGGAAGTATGCTGAGCAGGTAGCCAAGGGAATGGTTGCCGTGCTAGATCTCTTAATGTTGACTGGGGATGATGAATCCACGACTGAAAGATGCATTGGATATAAATTTGGCATTCAGCCCGTGTAAATGCTCTTCAATAATCATATTCCTCCAAGATGGTCACATTCATTAATGTTTACCTTCTTCCAATTTTAGTTCTCCAGTATACCTAAGCGCCGTACCACGTGACTCTCTTCACCAACATATCGAGGCCAGATCATGTGACTCGCACTAACCGAGACCACAGAGAAGGCAACTGGGGCTTAGGGTTAGCGATGCTGAGTCATGCCCCACGGCCATTTTCGTATCTCATCAGCCGACCGCCACCTCCTCTTCTCTTCGAACCATCCACACCAACAGTCAAAATGGTGAGCCTAATATCCCACGACGAACTATTCGGCGCAACAGCAAAACTAATATGTATTCGTGACAGGCGCCCTCAGCAACCGGTGGCAAGAAGCAAAAGAAGAAGTGGTCCAAGGGCAAGGGTACGTTATCGCCATCTCCATCATCAGAGCCTCCGTCATGAGCACCCTCCATCCGACCGTGAAAACTATCTCCAAACTCTCGCCGGGAAGACGCCTGCAAAGAACGAACCGTAGCGAAATGGGAATCGTTGGATCGATCACGAACACTTCTACATATGATGCGCAACGAGATGCGCCGGGAATCAGAATACGAGAACTAACTTTTGTCTTCTGTCTCTAGTCAAGGACAAGGCCCAGCACGCCGTTGTCTTCGAGAAGAGCACCCTTGAGAAGCTCAACAAGGATGTCCAGACCTACCGTCTGATCACCGTTGCCACCCTCGTCGATCGCCTGAAGATCAACGGCTCCCTTGCCCGCAAGGCCCTTGCCGACCTCGAGGAGCAGGGTCAGATCAAGAAGGTTGTCAGCCACTCCAAGCTGAACATCTACAGTGCGTTTCCACCGTGATCTATACTCGTCCGCTATTATATTCTAACTTTCCATTTAGCCCGCGCCGTCACCGCCGAGTAAACGTCCCGTTTCCTCTCGTCCTTTCTCGCGGTTCCTTATTTCCTTTTGCTACGGATGATATCATTTCAGATGGAAAATTGGCTGGGTTTGATGCCCTTCTCGGAAGTGTGGACCATTCGCACCTCCTGGACTCGTATCAGGTAGAACGAATGCAAATAAAAAAGTTACAAAACTTCCAAATTCTTTGAATCCTCGTAGAAACTGGGTTTGTACCCGTTGGTAAAGGCTATTTGAAATCCACGAAATCGCTATGCTTTATGATATACATCGTCATCTCTCCTCCCCAGTCTCCCAAGGAAACACACCCATCAGCCTACGCCTCCTCCTTCATCTCACTCCTCTTCGGCCTCTGCTTCTGTGCACTCTCACAAAGTACCCTCTTCCCCTTCTCCAGATCAACAACCCCATCATCCAAAACCCTCCCCACTTGGAAATACTTCTTATGATTCCTAAAGAACCCCTCCCACCGATCCACCGTCTTCTCCACCGCCGTCCGCGCAAGACGAACCTCCCGCTCCCGACGTATCTTCTTTTGCGCCCTCGTAATACCCTCATCCTCGACATCCTCGACAGGAACGAACAATTCCTCCGCCCCAATCAAATCCGGCGTCAAGTCCTCCTTGAAACAGCCCGTGACAAAGGCACGGGTTGCATCGCGCCCCGTGAAGAAATTGTAGCTCCCGCCGGGTCCGTAGATGGCCGGGTTCGCGGAGACATCGAAGATGGAGCCATTGACGACGAGGTAGATTGGGAGGGACGGGTCGGAGCCATTATAGAGGGAGAGTTCGGCGGGTGTGAGGTTAACTGGGCCAGTCTGGGAGAATTGTAGCGTTAGTATTGTTTGCTTTGGTTGGACGTTTCGTCGACATCGGGGGGAATTGCGCCTGCGATGGTCGGGGTGTGCGGGGAGGGAATTCACCAGGTAGGTTTTCACGACGGGCCATCTAGTGAACCAGGGTCTGTAGCCCCATAGTAGAGATTCAGAGTTGGTAATGTAGTAGGAGAGACCGCATGATGCGAGGATTAATGTGGCGATGATGCGAATAATGTCGAGTAGGCTGAGGCCGTGGCTTTCTTCCCCGTCGGCACGGCGCTCTTGTTTGCGTTGCGTAGTTGATTCTGCATGTCGAGCGGACCCTGCGGACGTTGCTGTCTGTCGCTGGCGAAGTTCCGACATGGCCGTGTATGTGGTGGGCGTTGAATGGGGGGATTTGTAGGTTTGGATTTGGCCTATTGTTTGACAAAAGAGGTGTTCTGGTTGGCAGAACGGATGAGGTCAGAAATGCCGGGGAAGCCCACACTGAATGAGTGATCCACAACTCGCAAACCATCCATGCAGCCAACTAGAAGCTCGATGAGATCGGAAATATTGTTTGATTGATACTAGCTACAAGCTAGAGAGTATATTTTTGAGCCTGAGAGTATGTTTCTCGGTTCATATCCTCTCGTTGGGAATTTCTTGGTTCAACTCATGCGAGCCTCTCTGCTCCGAAGTCGACCTTTCCTCCAATCCATTCTACATCGAGACACGGCCCGAGTAAGGCTTTTACTCGGCTGGGTGGTCCTCTTCACGCTCCCAGCTTCGAGAGAATACATCATTCAACGCCTCTTGAAACGTCCGGCAGTTCATGTCGATCAGACCCTTTTTCTCGCGGGCCTCTGGGTTACGAATCACCGAGACGAGACAAAGATACCTACCAAAAACACGTTAGCATGGGACAAACAAAGGTTATAAAGGGCCTTACTTATTCATCTCCATGAGGTGAAGCATTGTCTCATCGTGCAAGACGACGTGGCTCTCGGCCTCCTGCATTTGCTCGCCCTTGTGCTTGCGAAGTGGGTGGTCCCAGGAGTACAGCTCTGAGATGTCGACAATGACGTCGATGTAATCGGAACACATCTCGTATGCGGCCATGTCGACAGGCCGTGTATCGGAAGCAATGTAAATCTTGCTCAGAACGTCGAACAGGTAGGTCTTTTCGAAACCACAGTTGTTCCCCAGGGTGGTGATGAGGTTCTCGAGAGTTGAGAGGTTGGGGATCAGTTTTTGAATGACTTTACTAAAGGCTTCAAAAACGGAGTAATCGTAGATGGATGTCAGGTAGAAGTGTACAGGGGCATTTTCGTAACCCGCATCGTTCAGTTCGTCGGTGATACGCTGGACAATATCCTGGTATGCGTCGTGCCGGTATTCCTCTGAAAGCCCATCCACTTTGTGAATGAAGACCTCGACATTGATGCCGGGGTAGTACTGCTGAACGGTGAGGATGGTGCGGTTCAGGCGAGCTACCGAGTCCAGGTAATCATCCTGAGCATCGATAACCCATACTAGGGCACCCAGGCTTCCAAAGATATCCTCGAGATCAAAGGATGGTTCAAGATATTCAAGCTGGCCAGGAAAGTCCCAGACTTGGAAATCCATGAAAGAGCTGAGGACTTGTTAGCTATATGGCTCTGGACTAGGTGCGATCGACCATACTCACTGGATGGAGTCTTTTTGAATGCGGGTGGTAGATTCGAGAAATAGCGTTTCGTTAGGTGGCATTTTGTGAAAAACCACGCTGGCTATGGATGACTTGCCACTCCTTGAGCCACGTCAATATTCTGCGTTTCCGCGTGAGGCAAAACCAAGCCAGTTTTAAAACACCGCTTCGAAACAAAAACTTACCGGCGAAGTCCCATAAGAAGTAGACGCGGTTTTGCATCTCGAGGTTTGACACTGGGCTCCAGAATCACTCGGGAATGGCCCGAGACGGCAGTATTGGTGGTTCCCTGTACAAGATTCTCGAGACTTAGCTGGGCAACGGTCTTGCTGGATTTACTACGATGGAGGAGACAAGGATTTGACAGTCGACCCCTCTTCATAAAATCCATGGACCGGGTTCTGCGAACATGCGGGAAAGCCATGTTGGACAGACAGGGAAATGCATGGCACGAGGGGAAGGGGAAGGGGAAGACGGGGATACGGCGAGGGGATCAACAGAAGCATCTGTTATCAACGAGTACAGCAGCGAGGTGAGACAGCAAGGACGGTGACCCCAATGAATGCGTCCCTTAAGGTTGTGGACTGGAAGCGTCTCCCAAAGAGCCGCCAACGAGGAAATAGCATCCCCGTCCAAAGACCGTCCTCAAGACATGGCACCATCACAATCTCACAGTGCTAGGCTTGCATGCCTCGAGCTGGACCATCCAGGAAATTACAGAGAGCATGATATGCGTCGAAGCAATCGGCGATCTCCCTTTCTCACTGATAGCAAAACTAGTACTCCGAACTAGGCGTCCTTGTCTCACCAAAGGGTAAGAATCAGACGCTGCAGTGGTGCAGTAATCACCGTGAGCCATCGGGGACGGCTCAGCCGCATCCCAAACAAAAGCAAGAGGAATAGACAGGGGTGGCCCATATCAACAGAAAAGAAAAATGATTTCTTACCTCCATGGGCAAATAGGTGGTCAACGACCAGACCTTCGAAAGTTCTGAGAGTATATTAGCCATTGTACGTCGCAATCATGATTAAACACGGGATCGACGGACAATTACGGTCACCGAGAAAAGACAGCGATGAAAAGAGCCAGTCGCAAACGATGGAATGCGCTCATCCGCGGAGACTTGGACGGGGCCAGGATGCGATGCGGTGGTACGGGGGTGAATGGAGGGCAGTCAGACCAGTGGCATGCTCCCTCTGCGGGGCTAGGAAGATCAATCGAGACCAAGGGAATCCAATGTCGCCGTTGCACAGCCGAAAGAGCACGGAATTGGCCAAGTATCTTAGTCGTCGGAGTTGAGGATGTTGCACGCTGCAGAGGGGAAATGGGTCAAGGCGGAGGGCCGCTGGGGGATCCGCGTTATCGCATTATCGCCTTATCGTTATCGGCCTGGCGTAATGCTCCGATAAGCCGAGATAACGGCCGATAAGAAGCTCCTCGGAGTGGGCAACCACTACAGGAACGGACAGAATTATAATCAAACAACTTTTGCCCCTTTTCTACAGAAATGGGAACCACCCTAATGGTGGCTATGCTTATGACCCATCTTCGGGCCCTGTGGATGACCTATATACTCGCTGATGCGGTGCTTCCCCTGCTCCTCCTCGTCCTCGATCTCAAAAGCAGGCCATTCCTCCCAACCATCTTCCCAGATACTAGCCAGCTTCTTAGTCTTAGCCTCTCGGCTAAGCTTCTTATTCCTCATGATTTTTTCCCACTGCTGCATATCTTGATCACTCAGGAGGCACTTGTCAAGAATAGCCGAGATCGCAGTCTCGTCAATTCCCTCGCCAATGAACACAAGTTCTTGGCGTCGGTCTCCCCAGGGGCCCTGGAAGTCGTTTTGAATCGACTTTACGACATCCTCGTCTTCCGGCCAGGCTTCATCGGGTACTTCTGCAAACCAAGGTCCTCCACAGCCGACAGTCAACATACCGCCGGCTTGACTCCATTCTCCGAACTGGAATGGCCGAGTAGGTAACCAGAAGAAGCCTTTTGAACGCAAGACGGGACCGAAAGCAGGGTGTTGGCGCTTGTTCTTGAGGATGTCCTCAGGATCTGGTTGGTCGAAGTCCTGCACGGAGTCGGTGTCGGTATCCATCTCGTCATCATCTTGCTCATGGTCATCGTCTTCCTCCATATCCTCGCCTTCCTCCTGTTCCTCCAATTCATTGTTCTGCAGAAGAATGAACTTGTCGTGGAGAAGAGAGAAGAGCCGACGTGGGTGGAAGGGTCGCCGAGCGGAGTAAACAAAGTTGTTAATTCCGTACCTGGCACGCCGTTAGCTATTTATCTCCTAGTTTTTAGTGCGTTGTGATGCATACTCCAGAGTCTCCGGCTTAGGAGCCATACGCTCCCCATTACCGGTTTGTCGGATCGTCATCTCATGCAAGCTACGAAGCCACCCAGCGCCAGAAGCAGCCCGCACGAAATCGAATTTGTTGGTTGCAACAATCTCACGCACGTCCACTTGAGAATAGTTCGACATGAGAACCTTTGCATCGGGGTTGAGAAGCCTGACCAATTGAGAGATCTTGTCTCGTGTCGATTGATCAACTGATTCAATCTTATTGATGATGAGCACATCGGCAAACTCGATCTGGTCAACCATAAGATCGGAGATCGTGCGTTCATCCTCAGGAACGATCTCATCTCGCCCATAGCGGTCAGACAGGAACTCTGTAGTGTCAAAGTTGGAGAGGAGATTGAAGGCATCGATGACCGTGACTGTGGTATCGAGACGAGCCATCGTGTGTAGACCACCCATTTCAACGCTGCGGATATTAGACCGGAAATAGGCAGCACCGAGTCGGGATAGCACGAACATTTCTTTCAAGACCTTCTTAGTGTCTTCATCAGTGTCCGCAATCTGGTCTTCGGCCTCCAACATGGCAGCACTGAATTCTGAGGTAAATGTCTCGGCAACTTGCATTGGCTCGCTAATGCCCGTGCTCTCGATAATGACATATTGGATTTCATTTTGCTTTGTGAGCTGGGCTAATTCGGAAAGTAGGTCTCCACGCAGAGTACAGCAAATACAGCCGTTCTGTAGCTGGATGAGTTTTTCGGTGGTTTGAGAGACCTTGTGGTTCTTGATGAGGGCAGCATCTATGTTGAGTCTGGTATTTGAAAGTGGCATTAGTAACCACTCGTTACTTACACTAGCTAGAGAACTCACTGGCTCATGTCATTCACAATGACTGCGATGCGCAAGCCATGATCGGGGGACTTGAGGATGTGTTTCAATAGAGTGGTTTTTCCACTACCCTACGCGGAGGTCTCAGCACTTTTGTTGTTGATTGTCACTGCAAGTAAATCGCTTACCAGGAAGCCAGAGAGCAAGGTCACTGGTAGCTGCTTGGTTTTGGGCTTGTCCTGTGTCGGCGCCGGGACACGATACGCCACAGGCTCTCGACCCGAATCGATGACCATTGTAGCTTTTAGAATATAGTTGGAGTTCAACAGAAAGAAAGAAAACTTCACGAGAGAAGAAGAAGGGTTTCTAACCCCAAAGCACCTTGCGGGCAACGTCTTTATCTATCCTAGTCCGTCGTCTCCAAGTTCCTCAATGTCGCGCGCCTGTAGTAGAGATTCCTTAGCGATACACCTACTCATACATATCTTTCAAGGGCTAAAATGTGTGAAGTGGAGCCATGGAAGAGCCAATAAATAGCAACTGCCTCCACGAAGCTGATAAATGCTGGAATCTGAGTGGCTGGCGCTGCTGGTCCCCAAGGTACCTGGCTCGTGCTGTTGACCTTCACGGTCCTCAATTATCAACGTCGTATCGGTAATTCTAGTTTAAGAGAGATTTTATTGGCTGGAAAATCACAGAGCTTGTTTTCAGGTTCTTAAACCAGCAGCTAGTAGAGTGGCGTGTCTTAGTATTTTCCCATGAAGTCTGGTTTTTCGAAAGCTCGAGTTGGATAGCACATCAGCACCGCGACGCAAAAAACGAGGACGTTGCCTAATGCATATGCGTTCAATTGTCTCAATCTCTTATAATGGAAACAAGGGCGAATCAAGTCTTAGAAGGCTGAGTGCATCTTGGTCTTTGCGTGAAGAATCATGTCATCTTTAGGTTCCCGGGTTGCCTCTCTATCTCATATACGGCGGCTGGAGACTCAATACAAAAGGCAAACAATCTGCGCAAGATAGTGATCTTTAGCAAAGAAACTCAACTTTTTGTCCGTTTTTTTATGACAGAAAAACTAGTGCAATTTGGTACATCAAAAAGCATATCTGATTAGAAAAACGAGATGATCTGGGACACCACGTACGATATTCGCATTCAGATTGCATCCCCCTACTGTGGAATACAATTCTCACTCACGGATAGATTATTGGGACACATATGAAAATAGGCCCTAGACTTTCAAAGCCCACACTGGCGATGACATTAGCTGCTTGCATCTAGAAGGCTGCATACTCTTATCATAATCACTGTCGACTCTCAGACCAGCTCTAGCGATTAGGGACCAAGCTAGATGTCATGCAAAACACGGAGTATATAAGAAAAAGCGCCAGTCAAGTCGAGAAGATTGCAAATGAAGTCTTTACTCTAATGAGTTGGTGAGGTTGATTGGAATACGGATGTTGATAAATCAAATACCAATGTGTCAAGGTTGGATTAGTCCAGTAGGATATTGCGATGAATAATCGATAAAGGGCAGATATTAAATATGGATATTGATTACACCATAAACCCCCCCCAAAGATTAGTTGCAAAGCTCTAGACACTACTCAAATCTTAACAAATCAGGACCAAGTCCATAAAGATTGAGGCAGTGGCTGATCTACGTATAGGTCATAGCAATCTTTTGCAAAAAGAAAAACGAATTAATTGTGAATCGGGGAACTAGATCGGACGGGGAGAATTGTATAGCCTTGCGCGTAAACAAAAATTGGGAATCGGTACATCCCGTGAGAGCCCTGATATTTCCTTTGAGTACGAATAGGGATCCCTCACTTTAGCCAGAAGATTCACGTCTTTAGCATGATCTGACAAGCCGTCTGCATGATAAGGATATCTCTACTAAAAGATAAGGTTGAGCATTCTTCCAGGACGTGAGGTGAGTACTTACTGCAGTGCTTCTCGTCATAGCCCCACTTCTCCACACTCAAACAGAATGATGCAGTCGGCCTCGAGTCGGCGGTCGGTCTCGCCGACGGGCCGATAGATCCCAGAGCTGCCGATGCAATGATCATGACCAAGTATAAAGGGATACAAGCGTACAATATGCTAGTCGATCTACTTTTCACAGACCAGCTTTGCATACGCGCATGATTTCCAGCCAAGCTTCACCACCTGCATATCCTGCGCTCGAAACAGCCAATAGTTCGTCGATCCCACGACGATCTACACGGACCATCGATCGATCTCACACTTCGCCGCAATATCGCCATCGAAGTCCACACCCCCTTATTATCTCAACCTGACCCTGTACCCCATCAAAACAAACACAATGGACACCATGAATTGGACTCCCAGCCTCAGCACTATCGGCCTCGCAGCCCTGTCCTACGTCGCCTACAAACTCACCCGCCAAGTAACCGTCTACCTCCTCCCCAGCAAACTACCACGCTACAACCGCACCGGCAACAACTGGGCCCTCGTAACGGGTGCCACGGACGGAATCGGCTTCGGCTTTTGCGAAGAGCTCTGTTCTCGCGGCTTCAACGTGATCCTACACGGGCGCAACCCCGAGAAACTCGCCAAACGCGCGCAAGAACTCACCGCCGCCTTTCCAGACCGCAAGATAGACACCATCGTCCTGGACGTGGTCGGGGTAGACAAGGCCGTCGACAATGTCGCGCAACACGTGCGCGATATCACTGGCAACAACGGCAGACTCGGCGTTTTGATCAACAATGTGGGCGGGGAGTTAAGACCGTCCGTGACACTTGATACATTGACATTTTCCGAGGTCAACGAGACAATTGACAAGAATGCGCGGTTTATGACGCAGATCACGCGGGTGCTACTCCCACTGTTATCAGAGGGGCCGGGTCGGACCGGACTTGTCATGAATGTTTCGTCTCTTTCTCAGTGGGGGCTGCCATATATCAGTGTCTATTCTGCGACAAAGGGATTCGTGGACTCCTTTACGCGGGCGCTGGAAGCAGAATGCAATGCTGAGAAGCGCGGTGTGGAGGTGATGGCTCTGCGGGTTGGTCAAGTCAAGACTGCCGGGTATGATATTGATAGTAATCTGTTTGTTCCGTCGCCGCAACCCTTTGCCAAGGCTGCGTTAGACCGGGTTGGATGTGGCGAGGTTATTGTGTGGGCGTATTTCTGGCATTGGCTGCAAGGGATATCCTTTGAGATTTTGCCGCGGTGGATCTTGATGCGTGCTACCGTTGCAAAGATGCTGGAGATCAAGAAAAATGAGGAAGAGAAGGCGCTCAAGAGGCAATGAGATATCGCCCTGACAGCAAAAGCAAGTACATATTTGTATTCTAAGCGGTCTTTGTCAGATTTACAGGATCCCAACGAAGTATTAATAGTCCCTCGTATCTGTATGGATGGGAAAGAATGAACACGAGAATAAGACGCACAGAACAACAAAAGATGTATATTAACAACGGTCTAGAAACCAGCAGTAGCGCGGGCCTCGTCATTAGGGCCATGCAGACCAGCACCCAGGTTCGCGACACACTCGCTCTGCCAGTTCTGGGGTGTGAACTTGTCGACAATCTCCTTGAAGGCATCGAGAGTACAGAAAGTGTCATCACCCGCCAGGTGGTTCTCAGCCCTGGCAGCACAGCCAGGAATGCGCACGGGGCGGTCATTGTAACGAATACGGACATAGTGTTTGCGCAAGGTATCACGGGTCTCCTCGGGGAAAGATGTCACAGGGGTACGAGCAGTTTCGGAGGGAGTTGGTAGCTTAGATGCCGACTTGCCGCCACCAAGAAGAGATGAAAGGACACCAGGCTTCTTAGCAGAAACCGACGGATGAGAGAATTCCTCAAGCGTCTTACCAGCATCGACATTCGTGCTAGGGACCTGGGAGAAGAGCTCAATGGCAACGGAGGAGGTAAAAGGCGGCCAAGACTCATCTTGGAAACCGCCGACACTGGACAGGATAGCTGCAAGGGTGGTATCGTGACATCCGCTCATGGCAAACTTGATGGACTTGCCAGCTTCGGGGATTCCAGATCCAGATGCAGCACTCTCGCTTCGCCAGCCACCATCTACCGCAGTGCTGACCATACGGTCAACAACGTCGCCCATCAAAGCGCCGATGCCGAGCTTACGGTATTCACTGCTCTCATTATAACCAGCGAACCATTCTTCAACAGCAATGCGATCCAGGATCGCGCGGCCCTTTTTGTCGTAGAACTCCGAGGGAAGTCTAGTAGCCGGGCCATGCGCGTCGGAAGCGTTGATCGTGTCCATGATACCCGAAAGACGGGGGTGAGCGTCAACAGCCACCTTGGGCGAGCTCTCGGGCATGTGCTTGGACCAGAGCTTGTTCAGGTAATCCATCTGCTCAGAGTCGTTCCCTGTCAGATCAATATGTCAGTAAGTTGTGACCATGATCTTCCGATCATTTAGCTTACATCGAGCCGCAGCACGATCGGCAAAAAGACGAGCAAGCTGTCGGAACCGGCGACAGTTACCCTCATTAGGGAAAAGTGTCTCCTCAGTGACAGAGCGAGCCACGATCACGGGCGGTGGGAAATCTTGCGTGCGCGCACTGGTCGGATACATGCCCCAGAATGCCTGCTGCAGGGACTCGAGAGCACGGGGGATCGGCGTGGCGCGCAGATACATATCCTCCGTATCAGACTTGATCTCGGGCATAAAGCCGAGCTGGTCGACATAGAGACGACGCAGACGCGTTCCTAGTGCATACGTCGTCTCGCGACCCTTGTCGGTGAGTTCACCGTGCGTGCTATAAGATGATTAATTAGTCTCCGGTCTTATCAAGTGTAGGGCTGGCGCGGTTCGGAAATGACGAACCAGATGGCCTCGATTTCACCTCCTACTCCAGTAGCAACGATGGCCTCGTCATTGTCACCAAATGCCTCCATCTTTCGCCGCCACTGGAAACCATTCCATGACGAGAGGTCTTGGTTGCCGGCAGCCATCTGGACCATACGTCTGGCAACGCCGCAATAAGGCCAGTCTATACCCGGTCGATCAGTCAATTATTCAATAGTCCGGTCATTATAATGAGCTGTAATGAAAGGGAGGTGCGCATACATGGGCTCAGGCCTGTCTTTACAGCACATTAGCATCTATCCAGAGTATAGCAAGTAGCTTCGTTCCAGCAGGAAGGGGACATACATTCTGAAACCGCGACGAAACAGGTGTACGCTCGCCTATACCAATACCACAAAAGCCTCTACTCAGTCTCCAACAACCCATCCGGATAAAGCATAAAAGGTAAACACGGCCAAGATCAAATCATACCATGACGCAAGAACTGCCGGGGTTGGACGGATAGTTAGCTACCCCAAGTCTCTCCGCGGATTGGAAAGTATAGATCACCAAACTCACCACCTGTACCAATTGCAGCTTCAGATCCTTGGGGTAAAGGCGCTGCAGCTCCTCGGGGGAGTAGGCCTCGCGGGGGATTAGGGTCGTCATTGTCGATTGAATGCGTCGGGGAGGAGACGGGGGTCCTGACGATGTTGGCGATGACACGGTGGGTCATGGGGCGGTGAGGGGCGCTTATTGGTGGCTGGCGTGGGGGTTGACCGTTGAACTGCAGTCTAGATCAAGGAGATAGGATCTCGATTGTCTGATGTGATGGTATATACATGGAATACTAGTCTGCCTGTATTCATCTTGTTGTATAGCCATTCTGATTCATTGTATAGAAGGTCATACAAGTCTCTTTTCCTGGCGTGCAGCAGCAAATGGCATGCTCGGGTTTCTTGCCGAGGTCCGCATACCGAACATCTTCTACTCTCACCGTTCAGGTCAGCTACGGAGTATAGTTGTATTCTGCAGTCTGTGCACAGTTCACGAGGCATAAATAAGGTATATACCAATATTCCATATTTGCGTGTCTCTAACTACCCGTAATATTTACTCCTCATAGTCGCTCGTCTCCCACCCGGCCTCACTCTCACTAGCGCTCCACACCGAGTGAGCCGGTAGTTCGGTCTCGGCCTCCTTCTCCTTCGTCTCCGCCGCGACCGCAGCCACACCCGCAGCCGCAGCTCCAGCAACGGCCTTTTTACTCGCGAATTTCTTATTCTTCTGGGCTTTGCGAGCTTCCTCCGCCTCACGGATGGCCTTTTTGATAATATCCGATTGCTGGATGGCATCTCTCTCCAATAGTTCGACAAGTTTCTCCACGGCAGGGGCATATGCCTGTGCCAGAGCGAGATCGCCAACCTTCACGCGCATGTAGTCCATGGCCGCAGCAAGGGGTGCGTTCACTCCCGGGATGAAGTCACGGCGCGGCAGCCCCGGGCGGTTAGGCAACGGGAAGTGGATGTCATCGAGCAGATACGAGGCAGACTGAACGCTTGCCGGTTGCTCCTCAGGGTCGTCGAGGGGGATGTCTGGGTCTGCGGCCTCCTTCGCGAGTACCTTCTCTGTAGGCTCAGACGAGCTCATAGAATCGTGCTTGTTCGTGCCTGCATTTTGGTCGATGGAAGCAATCTTCTGATAGCGTTGACTGAAATGGGTCAGGAAGATGGTGCGAGCCCCCATGCGGCGGGCGACTTCGAGGGCTTCGGCTCCGGTGGAATGACGCTTCGCGAGGGCCGAGCCTATCATATCGTTTTGGAAGGTAGCCTCGTGAATCAGCACGGTCGAGTCACGGCCAATGGAGGCAAACTTGTCAGAGGGTCGGCAGTCGCCGGAGTAGGAGACCTTGAATCCATCGGGGAAGACGATAGATAAGGCGAGGGCACCTTTGCAGTGTTTCACGCGAGTAGTGAGGATGTTTTCCAAACCCAAGGCAGACTTCAGAAGCGGTGTCAGAGGCGAGGAATTATCCTTGAAGTCGAGGATAGTTCTTCCAGAGGAATGAATTCCATAGGGAGCCTTTCCGTCACGAGGCTGCCTGTAGCTGAACTTGGTCGTGATAGAGGGCCCTGTTGATTCCGAATGCGCACACAGGGGAATCAACTTGTCAAATCCAAAGTCCTCGACGGCTGCATACTCTTCCAACCAGGCGATCATCATCTCCTCAGAGACCACGGCCAAGCGCTTTTCCTGAAGAATCTTGGTAAGATCAGTTGCCGGCTCGGTAGACTTAGACTCTGCTCCGTAGTTCTCCTTGTACCAGGCCCTGATCAGGGACGCCGTGCCGAGATGGTGGTCGGCGTGGAGGTGGCTAATCCAGATCATGCGCAGATTCTGCAAGATCTCGCGAGTCTTGTCATACCCGAACAGGCGCTTGATCTGTCCAAGAGTGTTCTCACCGCAGTCCAAAAGATAATAACCATGCCCAGGAACATGAAGTAGTGTCGCGGAGACGTTACGGTACTTGGAAGGGGAAGAGGACCCTGTACCAAGAGCAATAATCTCTGCCTCGGCACCAGGAAGGTCCTTGCGCATCTCGGCCAGTTGCTTTTGGAAATCTGGCTTCTTGACACGGGTACGAATGACCTCCATCCGTTTCTCAACGGAGCGTGGAATCTTGAAAATAGTCTCGGCAGTGTTCAATGGAGTCACGAGCTCGCTCTTGTTGAACCCGAATTGTGGCTCCATGTCGATGATTAGCCCCGGTTGAAGAGGCTCGAATGGTGAGTCCTCCAGCGAGATACTGCCAGGTCGTGCGCCAGTTTGGACCTGTGGGACAGTCACATTGTCATGAACAGGAATGGGGTAGTTCTCCCCCCTCAAACGATTAAGTCGGACAGCAGCCCCAGCACTACTATTGAACGCCAGATAGTTGGGGCAATAGTCCACGCTGGACACAGTGTGCTTGACATGGGACATGCGTGCCACAAAGTCTCGCAGCTTGGGATGATCACCCACGCCCGGTCCCAAAATCCAAATGAAGACTTTGAGCTCGGTAGTTACTGAAGGCGAATTCCACTCCGGGCGATTGACCAAATCCTCGACGTACTCAGGCGATGGCAAATCAATGACAGCAAGGCCTTTACCACGGCGAACCGCGCCCAGAACCATATCTGGAGTCACCGTGTTGCCGTCTGGCGTCTGGATGGTCTCTCCCCTGGCCAGACGAGCAAAGTCCGGGCCCGCGGGGACACCCAGACTCTTTGCCTTGGCAGTATCAAATTTGCCTCTGATGTCGTGACTCCGAATAATGTAAGAGACCGCCTCCTTCGAAGGACTAGTGGGTGGCAGAGAAGTGACCGTAGCGCCAGGCCAAGGTTTCCGAACAAGAACCTTGATATCAGGTAATGGATTGTCATCGCCAGGGAGAGGACCCTTGTATGGCTCGATGTCCTTGGTCTCCGCGTTGCGTACAAAAAGAGCTGCGGGCATTTTCACCTCCGCCAACGGAGTTTCAATGAGCGCATCCATCTTCCAGTCAGAATCAAACATGTCCGAGACGATGGACTGTCTCAGCATCTGGTTATTCGCAGTCTCGTCCAACTGCTGCTCGGTCTCCTGGAACTCATCCAGGCTTCGCTTCCGCGGACTTTGCGAGCGCGTCACTCGCTGAGCATCAGTCGGCTGAGGCTTGAGGGGAAGTGCCCAAACTTTGATGTTCGAATCAATGAAGCTGGGTGTCTCAAAAGGATCCTCCTTATCAAAAGAAATCTGCTTTGCAATGCTCGCCGAGTCATACTCCTTCATATAGATAGGCATACCCGTGCGGAAAACAAATCGCCGAGCCGTAGCCATTGTGTGCATCAAATTCGTGGCTCCGTGGAGAGTCACACTTGATTTCCTCGTATCACTCATGCCATCAGAGGGCTTGTTCTTGTTCTTGGCCTGCATGCCTGCAGCCTTGCGCTCGGCCTTTTTCTTGCTCTCTTCCTCCAATGAATCACTCGAAGATCTCAGCGCATCCGCTTGGGTCAAGATGACACCAATCATGCCTCCGGTATTGGCCCATTCTGTCCGACCTGTCACAAAGATTTCGCCGATAGAAGCAAGCTTATGAGATCTCTCTGTACATGCGCGTTGTGTTCCCTCTGCAAGTTGACCGAACAAGTAACGTTTCTCGGGGAAATGGAGGCCGACGACCGTGCCGGGGGTATCGGCCGTCGGAGTGGTGAGAATCTCGAACCAGGCCTTCATTGGGTGTACACCTGTCAGGTCAACACGAATGTCTTTAATATCGGGATTTTCGAGGTCGGAAGGATCGCAAATCACGTATCTGTCGTCACCAAGTCCAGATTGCGCCGTATAAGGAAGGAAACGCGTGTGAGATTCGATGTCCAGGGTTGGTGGCCGCTTTGCTGAATGGTTTCGAGGGCGGACCTTAGGGTGTTTGACAGGCGGTACTCGAGCTTTCGGAGAGCGATTTAAACTTGATGCTGGTCGCCGAGATTTTAAAGGCTCGTAATCGGCGCTGGTGTTGCGATATCCTGCAGTGAAAATAACAGCCGTTGAGACTGAGGTTCGAGGAAACGCGCGCAAGGCGACAGCGCGAGAAACCGCGGCAAAGAGGTTACCGCGGGCACTGAGGGAAGCCAATTTGGCTGGGAGATGTAAATAATAAGGAATAAATCAGCATAGATTGACCGTACGAGAGACGGGAAGAAGAAGGAGAAGAAGAATGAATGTTGCGGAGGCGAAGCTGCGGAGCCGAACTTTTTTTTGGTGGAGAATCTCTCTGCGTCACCCCCGTCCTGAGTCAACCGTCGCCATCAGACCTTAAAGAAAACTACTTGATCACCCATTACATCGACGACCGATTTATACGTACATTAAAAAGAGCTGGAATTATGAGGCTTGGAGATATTTATCCATAGAGTAGTTCAATCAATTTTCAGCAGTTATTTCGCTGTTTCATCATATATGCGCCGAGTAATCGCTACAAAATTTCCACCCAAAAAGCCCATAGCCCAGCCCGGGAGATACACATGATGTTAAAAAACGAATGAAGAAGCGCCACAAAACTCCCGAGGCGACATCTGAGAACTCCAGCCCGATCACTCGCAAGATATAGCTAGACAGTTCGGCGTAGATGTATCACCAGGCCATATAAAAGAAGAAAGCACGAAGAAGAAAGGTGACGGGATAATGCTAGTACATGAATAGGCAGATATACAAAGAAAATTGGGGACCAGAAAGGTAGGACGCTATATGGGGAATCACTGGAGGTGGGAGGTGGCTAATGACACCCGCTCAAAGGCGGCGTGCATGCTCTGGCAGAGCGATCTCAGACGGATCTTGTCGGCGGCATTAACCTCGTCGGGGTTCTCAACCACCAACTGGTAGCTGGGGGAGGCCTTCTCGGTCAGAATACCGTCAAAGACAAGCGCATCATCACCAGAGCTGAAAGTGGCAGGCGAATCAGCAAAGAGGTCCGACTCGGAGTCAGCGAGGAAGCTGACATCGGACTTCTGGGTCAGAGCATCCAGGTCGGGGATCTCAGGCAGGTCAAGGACGGGAGCCTCGGTCTTCTCGCTGGACAGAGGAGTGAGCGACTTGCCACAGAGAGCCTCAATGTCGAGCTCGGGACCCGCAGGCACTTCCAGAACTGCAAATACTGGAGCGTTGCCGTAGTTCATGTCGATACCCGAGTTCCAACCGTTGCTGGTCATCATGGAGGCGTTCATAGCCTGGTTGGGGACCATGGCCATGGCGACCTGGGAGTTTTGCTGCATCTGGAAGTCCTGGAGACGGGCAGGAGTGGCCTCCTTGGAGATCGTAGCTTGAGGAGCAGGCTGCTGGTGCTGGACCTGCTGCTGAGGCTGCTGAGGGGCGGCCATTTGAGATGAGAGGGTGTCGGGCATGTCGTTCAGGAAGCTGGAAAAGTGGGGAGAGCCCAGGAGCATGCGGGCCAAGTCGTTCAGGCGGGCGTTCTCCTCGTAGAGGGCACGGTTTTGCAGACGCAGCTCGTGAGCCTCGTTGGTGCGGGTGGCAATCTCACTTTCGAGTTGACCGATGTACTCTGCGGGGAAAATGGTTAGCTGGAATGAAGTCACATTCAGAGGAAAATCAAGGATTCCATACCCTTACGACGTGAGCGGAAAGCACGTGCGGACACCTTGTTGCGCAGCTGGCGACGCTCTTTGCTGCTGAGCTTCTTGCCCTCCTCACTAGCTAAGAGACGCTCATCCTCATCCATATCAGCTTCGTCCTTCTTGGCCTTTGCCATGTGAGGCAGGACGGAGGAAGGAGAGGGGGAGGTCTCGCCGGCGGCGACGGCATTGGCACGCATCTGTTGGAGCAGGCGCGAGATACGTTCCTCAACAACGGGATCGGGCTGACGGGTGCCACGGGGAGCGGCAGCATTGGGAACCTCCTCCACACGACGCTGTTGCATCTGTTGTTGACGGATCATGTCGTTGTGCTGCCTTTGTTGTTGGGCCTTGGCCATAGCAGCCTGCTGCTGATGCATGCCAGGGTACATGCGGCCAACCTGTGTGGACGGACCGGCCTGAGCCAGCTCATGGCCGCCGAGCGCGTTGGGGTCGACATATTGGTTCTTGCCAGCGCCAGCCTGGAAGAAATACGGAGCGTTGGGAAGACCGTCGGACTCGACATCCATCTCAGATGGGTTACGAACCGGGGCGGTGTTGAAGTCAAAGGACGTTTCCTCACGCTTCATCTGTGTAGGGAAAACGTCTCCATTCATCGGGTAAGCCTGGCCGCCGTTGCTGAAGTTCATCTGGGGGACCTGGTTAAAGGTCATGGACAAGGCACCGGGGGGAAGACCAGTCTGCTGGCGGTGCTCTTCGTAGTGGTGGCTAGGGGCAGGGAAAGCGAGGGGGGATTGTCCACTGGAAGCGAAGCTGGTGCTGCGAACATCACTGGCGCTGTACTCGGTGCCGGTGACGGACGACTGACTGGCGAGCGCGACCTTGGGACGGGCGGCCTCGGCGGAAGTGTAGGCGAGTTGATCGAAGTTGATGAAGGAGTCGAGGTCTTGATCGTAAGTGGTGTTCATCGGCATCGGCGAGGCCGTGGCGTGCATAGGATGTTCTGCGAGAGTTGCCATGATTGTAGGTGTAGGTACCTGACCCCTTTCGGTAATGAATAGTGGGAGGGGGCAGGTTATATAAGAATAGGGGGGATGTGAATGGAAAGAAGCGAGAGGAGAGGAGCGAGTGTGGTTCTAGAAGGGGGGAGGTGGGTTGAAATTGATCAAAAGGTTGGAAAGTTGGGTCTTGGGATGGAGAAGGGGCGGGTGGGATAAGATAAAAGTGGAAATCAGAAGAGTAAAGCCAAAGGGCCAAAGGGGGCTTAAAGGGCCCCCTCTCACAAAAAGGGCCTAAAGGGCCGAATAGGCCAGAAAGGATTGCGCGTCCTCTGGGCTGACTCAGCGGGGCAGGCTGCTCCGGACCCGTGATTGGTGCGGTTGCCACCCGCGCTGAAACGGTTGTTGTTTACTCCGGTAATCTGAGATGGCTCGGGGTTATCCATTATTGAACGGATGACTCGGTAACGAATATAGTATATTCAGTAGTTTACTGGAGAAGGCCAATCGATCTTTCGTTAACCCCCATTTCTTCCCGTCCAATATCGACTGAAGAGATTTTGGTATATTAAACAACCGCCTATCATCTATGTACACTGCTGTTATGTACATGTACTGTCTGTAATGTCCGTACGCTCAGTACCGAGTCGTACCGAATCGCTAACTACACTTGGCAAGTGGGGGCTACTGGTGCAGGAACCACCCACTCTGATTGGCAGGTTGTACATTAATTTCCAAGATTATTTTGCATATTTAATTATAATTAGAGAGGCCATCGTCCGGTTCGTTCCAGACTTACTGAACGTGGTAAACATCTCGGCGAGGTCTCTGGCATGACGCCGGTGGCTGTGTCTGTTTATTGCCCACATGCTCTAGAATACCACATTCGACAAGTGGCATTCCTCGTTGACAGCGGGGGGTCTGGCGGAGGAATGCACAGCTCACGATGTACATCGTTTACGATCATATGTATTGACTTCTCGAGTGATAGAATACAGGGGGTTACCAACAGGTCCAGCACCCTACCGGGATGGGCTGTCAAGGATCACCATCGTGACCATCCGGCTGGATACTGGATAAGCCAGTCTCGACGCCAGGCCGGGCTATCTCTGCACTAGAGACCAACGGGACCGTATTCAGCGCTTTCAATGGTGGCCACCAGTCACAGTAGCCCACTTGGCCCTATCGACACGGCTGATGGGCTACTAGTACTGTATTGAACGGCTCCCCAGAAAAGCTTGGGATGAAGGAGGTGGTGTACAAAATCTTTCCCAGTCATCTCGCGGCCGGTCTCGGCATCCATCCTCCCATTGCATCATGATACGAGTTCCAACGATACCCATCACGATCGGAGAAGAATACATAGCTGTTGCAAGCGAAACGAAAACACTCAGCCGTGGAACGTGGCTGAGACGGGCTAGGCGTCAACCCTCACAACGGAAGGGCTAGATTTTTTTCCGGTCGGCAAAACCACGGAAGCTGGCCGTTTCGGATCGCCCAAAGCTATCGTCTCAGCACAGTGGACGGTGCACTGACTTACTGGCAATAAGGTTTTTCTGGCTCAAGAGGAAGATCTCCACCCATCACTATTCAATTAATTCATCTCAGCCCGTAAAAATCCTTCACAAATTTGCGATCGTCTTGTTTGGGGGGCCGGCTGACTTCCGCTACATGTGATTACAGCCATGCCGTATTAGGCTAGTCCGGCCGAGTCTATTTGCAAAGCCGAGTTCTCCTTTCTTCGCTTCTTCGGGTTTGCGGCCTCGATCACTACGCCGTACGGAATATTGAGTCTCGCTGTCCATTATAACGGCGATCCGATGGTCTAGTGGTGACAAACGGAAACTCAATGGCTCTTGTTCGAGGGATCGACGTCTGCGGCGCAGGGTCATGCTTTCAACATCTCGCCCTTTTCTTTTGTTCTGCGGTCCGGATAAAATCATAGCCTGACGGAGGACGACTCAAAAGAGCGGATCACGGACCGACAAACTTTGTTCTGCGTTCTCATCTGAACGAGACCGGCCGGGTTTGGCCCCTTTTTCAGCAAAGATCACCTAGGGCTGAGACGAGCCATACGCAGTGACTGTCTTGTGTTTGACAGACCTCGTACCAATCCGAGGCTGTGCCAAAACGCTGCCGTCTGCGCCTCGATGCCACATATTCCATCCTACGCTGGCGAAACAACACCTCTGGACCTTCTCCGTCTTCACTCGTGTAATAATAGACCCATCACCCACGAGGCATGAGGCCTGTGGCGCCAGCCTGGCATCAGTAATTGAGGCGATCATTGACAGTCTAACAGGCGCTAAAAGGAGCTTGAAGATCTCTAAGCCGAACTTTCGCTCCGTCCCCAGTCCTTCTAGAACACTCGTGATTTTGCAAAAAGAACGACCATTGGCTGGAATGCACACGTAGTCTCCTTTCGAACAGGTGCCGACGGTCGACCTCATCGAATTCCTTCTGTCGGTTCGGGTGGAACCCTCGTAGGGCTTCGGCACGTTGTTGCCTCCACTTTCCATTGCTAGAGTTTTCTCTCGTACACGGAATACGACAGGAGAATCCAACTGACTATACTCCGTGCTTGGTGCACTATTGAGAATGATTTCCTTTACCAAGGATCAATCCAGTAAGATGGAGTTTTTTTTCTAGCTACATTCCACGGCTGTGCTGAAACGTATCCTGCGCGCGCCGTTCAAATGTTGACCGACGGCCCAGAGGAGTCCAGATCGTTCTGACCCTGTGGTCGTACTCTGGATATGTGACGACGACTTGTACAAGCCCAGTCACGTCCCTGATCGCCCGGCTTTCACAGAGACCCTCAAGACCCTTGACTAAGTCTACTTTGGGGCTTCGAAAAGTCTTGCAAGTATGGCTGTCTGACGACGCCTCGGGACCCGTTCGGGCCCCATCGCACCGAGGTCAAAAGTTTGGCAGTTTTTGATTGCGATCTCGTGGATCGATCTACGATCCGAGATCTAGATCGCCTGGTAGTTCCGATTAGGTACTCCGACCAAGAATTGCCTGTGAAGGCTGGATCTCTTTACCTTGCTGTAGTCTCGAACATCCAATGACTTCTGTCTAGACCGGTCTATAGAGTCTCCTTGTTGGTACTTCAAAAGCCGGTTTGTAATTAGATGAGCTCTACGTGTCCCAAGGTAGAAGAAAGCCGAGTCAGGAATGTCAAAACATGGTTATGAAAGATGTCTAGGCCTGTTCTTAAAAGGAATTTCTCATACCCTACAGTGTTCTCTTTTTAAGCTGGCAATGAGGCTTTAGCGTTTGTACGTACCATAAGGCTACTTCTATTCACCTGTAAGCGTAAAATATATCTCACAATGGCATCCCCGAATTAGATATCATCATCAACGCGATGACATTGTAGGCACCAATGCCTGTGAAAATATGCCACCTAGTACATTCCACTGATCAGCGAGACTCTCCAAGAACGGTATCGGGTTCTGAAGCAATCTCTCTCACTATCCGCGTAAGTCTTATATAAAAGCCTAAGGTAGCCCTACAGCTGCAAGAGTCTCGTAAAAAGCCGCAGGCCAATCTATCAATCAACTAGACTGCATATCCTAGGTGAAAGATGACTACTTGAGGGCGCGCTTAGCGAGTGTAGAGATGAAATGCATATCAGGGATCTCTTTCTTATCAGCTCCAAACCTCATCATTCCCCAAATCTGTTTTCTTGCGATTAAACTCGCAGAAACTCGGGTGTTAATTAACTGGATAGTTCGAATTCTAATGACAAAGACGGACAAGGCAATAATCACTGAGTGTACCGATATCTCATTCGTCGCCGTGTGGTAGATGACAACAAGTGCAAGGAGCGAGCCTAAGATGATCACAGTCACGTTCGTTTTTCTGCGGTCTGCGCGCACTGTAAGAGCTCTGTGAGGACTGAAGTTGTCGTGAAGAGCATCGAGAGATCATGCACTGATGTCAGAGTCAGCTAAGTTCAGTCACTAAGCCTCAAATAAAAAGGAACCCTTACTTATCTGCGTGTGGTATTGGAGACTGGTATGAAATATACAAGAGTATATTTCAAGATTGCTTAAAGCACTTATCGGTCAGATTTGTCTTTGTCCAATAATGATTTGAATTGGAGTCGTCGATAGTTACCATAGACTAGATTTGTCAGTGTATTGATGGATTCCGCGATGTATCTTGTTACTAAGTAATCCTAGATTGCAACCCCTAAGTTAGAACAGGATAAACCTTAATTCTATCTGAAAGGTTAGCCGTACTTCTTCACAGAAGCTTCTGGCGTGTCAGCTTATGGTTGTTCAAAAAAGAATCGCACACCGACTTGAACTTGGAGCTTGGCGGGCCCTAGAAGGGGCTGTGCAATGTCATATCTGACTACGTATCTGATTTTCGTGCCTGAAGAAAAGCAATCAAAAAAGTTTACGAGGGAAAGCCCATAAGAAATGTGCAAATGTATGAAACATAAGCTGGTATTGTTACCAGGCAACAGTGAAACATGGATGAAAAGGGCGAGCAAACAAGGTGTGATCCTGCCGATATCAGCATCGACTAAAGCCGAGCCAGGACCCCCACGATTAAGTAAAGATGGAAGATCCTCCGATCTCAATGTGGAGATTGTTGAGGATTGAATGATGATGACCTTGCGATCGAGACATCAGTTGCGGCTAATTTTTTCCCTTTTCCAGAGTTCACAGGATGTCCTGCCCTCATGCCTGCCCTGTTCCCAGATACATACAGCCGGGCATCTCCGGGGGTACTCTCCCTCAAAATCATCGGTCAGGTATCACTATCTCTTTTGACTGGCCACAAAGCTGCGGCGATCGCTGATCCATAGATAGATTGTCTTGACAATCCACAGTTGAAATGAGAGTGTCAATAGCCCTTACTCCTTTGGTTTTCTATCAAATCACAGCGAAACCGGTACTGCTCGGAGAACAAAGGGTCTCCGCGCCAATTCAAGCTAGGAAAAGTGTATTGAGCTAGGCCAGAGCCAAGGATAGTCACAGAACAACAGTGGATTGCCGAATAGGCCAGCCGCCCGCGGAGATAGACTCAAGCCCAGCTTACGGTCTTGCCCCCACATGAGATCGCCCGTCTGTTCCCCCCTACCTCACTAGTACTATCCTCATAGATTTGATGGTACGTTCCTAAAGCTATCGGGTCCAGTGTATCTTGGGTGCATCATTCAGCTATTCAATTTGACTGCGAGGAACAGTACGAAATTGAGTTAGATTGTCTAGGAACAAGTTACCACATCTGTATATAAGCGTAGAG